CGGACTACATGAGCTACCGAGCGGCTAACGGAAGAGTCACCACGACGGCTAACCAAGGCACCAAGGATATCTTCATCACTTGGGCTAGCTTCGTTAAGCAACTCAAGGCGAACTTCGGGGACGTTAACGAAAGAAGAAACGTAGTGCGAGCCCTCGAGGCCCTTAAGCAGAGGGGGTCGGCGGTCACATATACTGCTGAGTTCCAGCAGCATGCCCCCCTCACTAGTTGGGGAGACGAGGCTATATGCGACCGATACTACAAGGGGCTAAAGGATCATGTAAAGGACGAAATCTCCCGGTCGGACAAACCAGATGACCTTAAAGAATTAATTGAGATAGCCTAGAAGATCGACAATCGTTACTACGAACGCCAACTCGAAAGGAAGGGAGGAACAACCAGCCACTAATGGACCCAAAAGAGGAGAACTCAGAAGAGTCATTAGCCTCAGCCTATGGAGCTCGACGCTACGTTCAAGCCTAGTGGGAGACCCCGTAACCCAAACAAAGAGCGACAGCTCAAGGAGCGGTTGTGTTTTAATTGTAACAAGCTGGGCCACATGGCCCAAGACTACAAGCAACCTAAGAAAGGGAACGGAGGACATAAGAAGTTTAGGAGACAACTTAACGCCACTTAGAAGGGACAGTTGAACGCCACGTTCGTGAACAAACCCGACTAGGGAATCACTAGCGTTAGCACCCTAGAAGGAGAGAGCTTGGGCGACGAAGATCTCAACGACTTCGACGCATCGCTCGAGAAGGAGAACGAACTCCTAAACAGGGGATTAACGGAATCCTAGAAACTCCAGCTAAAGGAGTTCGAAGAAGACGCGAAGGAGATTGCATTTAAGGAGAATCTACCAGGAGTAGTCGACGTCTACAGACAGGCCATGCTCCGAAAGGGAACTCCAAGAGCGATTCCCGTACCACCGCCCCCAACCGGCTGGCAAGGTACCCAACAAGACTAGGAAGTCGCAATCCGCGCAATGAGGTGCTGCCCTAGGTACCCGTTTAGACAAGAACCTAGGGGAGCAAATCACACCTCGAGTAAGGCCACGATGTAGTTAAAATATAAGCTTGCGGAATACGACGCGCAAGACGAACAGCAGGAGAACACTCAGGGACCTAAACCCTAGGAACTGCAAGCAGACCAAGCTGCTATGGACTACAAACCCACCGATGGAGACGTAGAAAGGTTACGTGTAACCATGGAGAAATCCGAGCTCACGGGCAAGACAAAGGAGGAACAGGAATTGACAAAGTTGGATGCATCAAGGATTGATCACCCCTAGCACCCATATATATTCTAGGAACACTGCAAGTACAATGACTACGAGAGTCACCTACGGAAAAAGACCCAGTATCGACTATTTCCAAAAATCGCACCTTAGGTCTACTTTACGGATATAGACCAAATTCATGCCCTTAGACGAAGTCAGTCTAAAGGAGAACTACCGTTAAAGAAACAACAACAGGTATACGAGAGATACCCGCACCTGCTAGATGAAGCAGAAGGATAGGGAGGACAATCTTCCCAAGGACCGCCCATAGAGGATGATGAACACCACTATTACTCCTCGGACGAGTCAAAAAACTAGGAGTCCTCAACGGTAGGCCACCGGCGAGTGACAAAGAGAGGCCTAGTACGAAGCAGCTGTGCGCCACGGGAGGCAGCATGCAGCTATATGTAGTCGCTAAGATACAACAGCGACACCTCCGAGCCATGATTGACTTAGGAGCAACGGGCAACTTTATGACAAAGAAAGTAGCAGACACTCAAGGTTTCAAGACGCAATTGAAAACCGATCCTTACCCGTTAATGGTAGTAGATGGAGAGCCCATCTCGACCAACAAGGGGATGGTGACCTACGAGACGGTCCCATTAGAAATGGTCATGCTACGCAGACACCAGGAAACGATCTAATTCGACATCGTACACATAGACAATCATGCATGTATCCTTGGTGTGCTGTGGCTTAAGAAACACAACCCCCAGATCGACTGGTAGAACGAGAAAGTTGTAATGAGCCAGTGCGCGTGTGAACAACGAACGGACACGCCATAACGGGAGAAGACCTCCTAGGGCTGACGCGAGGTGTGTGCGACCTCCACAGAGCCCAGTGACCTAGCCTAGGCACCCTTACTAACGAGTATACCGGTGGAGTATGAGGAATACGAGCAGCTATTCTAGGAAGGCCCCAAGAACGAGGCGCTTCCTAAGCACCAACCATAGGATCATGTGATACCCTTGGAAGAAGGAAAGAGTCTACCGTTCGGACCAATATACCAGATGTCAGCAGATGAGTTGAAACTACTGAAAGAATATATCGACGATAACCTTAAGAAAGGATTTATCAGACCGTCTAAATCTCCTGCGGGAAGCCTGATGTTATAGGTTCCCAAGAAGGATGGAAGCAAACGACCATGCGTGGACTATCGAGCATTGAACAACATAACGATAAAGGACCGGTACGCTTTACCGCTAATTAATGAGTTACACGATAGATTCCAGGGAGCCAAGATCTTCACCAAGCTAGATCTACGCGGCGCGTACAACCTAATCCGGATAGCCGACGGCAAGGAGTGGAAAACAGCATTCCGCACCCGCTATGGCCTATTCGAATATCAAGTCATGCCCTTCGGGCTAACCAACGCCCCCGCATCCATGCAACGCTTAATGAATGACGCTTTGCACGAATATCTAGACATATTCACGATCGTTTACTTAGATGATATACTAGTATACTTAGCAAACAAGGACGAACATGCTAGGCATGTCAAGCTCGTCCTCTAGAAGCTGAAGGAATACAACCTACTGTTGAAGCTAGAGAAATGTGAGTTCCATAAAAACCAAGTCGAATTCTTAGGCTACATTATCGGAACGCACGGCATCAAGATGGACCAAGCAAAGGTCACGGCAGTGTTAGAATGGCCAACACCAACCACGGTCAAGGAAGTACAAGCCTTCTTAGGCTTCGCCAACTTCTACCGTCGGTTCATTGCGGGATATTCCAAGGTAGCTCAACCACTCACAGAGCTCACTAGGAAGGATCTCGTGTTCAAATGGACAGACAAAGCGGAGGCTGCCTTCTAGGAACTTAAGACGAAGTTCACGGAGGCACCCATCCTTGCGACATTTAACCCTGCAAAGAAGATCGTCCTTAAGACGGACGCTTCTGACTTCGCGATTGGAGCATGTCTAAATCAGCCAGGCGAGAACGGTAAGTTCAAACCAATCGCGTACTACTCTAGGAAACTGTCACCCGCGGAGCTCAACTATGACATCCACAACAAGGAGCTACTAGCTATTGTCGTTGCCTTTGAGCAGTGGCGCGTATATCTTAAGGGATCCACCCACACTATGCAAGTGTAGACAGATCACAAGAACCTCATATACTTCACCACGACTAAGGTTTTGAACCGCAGACAAGTCCGCTAGGCAGAAACCCTCGCAGCCTACAACTTCACGATAACCTATCGCAAAGGCTCCGAGAATGCAAGAGCAGATGCTCTCAGCAGAAGGACCGACTACATCGGCCCGAAGGAGGAAAGGCCTAGAGCAATACTAAAGAAGACAGACGCAGGAATGCAATACAACGAACTGCTAGCCACGATCGCCATCGTGGAAGACACGGAACTTGAGCAGAGACTCAAGAACGCTTACGCAACAGACGAAATAGCGAAGCGAACCCTAAACAAAGTCGAAGGAAACTTCTCCATCAACGAACAAGGGCTGATCCGATTCAAAGGATTAGTGTATGTCCCAAGTCAAATGAGACGCCCGCTAGTGCAAGAACAACACTCGTTGCCAGCACACGGTCATTAGGGAGTAACACGAACCTTCGAACGAATTGCACGACACTACTACTTCCTAGGTCTAAGGAAGCAGGTAGAAACAATTGTGTTAGGATGCGACATTTGCCAGAAGTCAAAAGCAAATAGACACGCACCATATGGACTTTTGAAGTCCCCACCAACACCAAAACGAGCATGGTCCTCGATAGCAATTGACTTCATTGTCAAGTTGCTAGCATCGAAAGAGCCAATGACAGGATTTGTTATAGACTCCATTATGGTCTCTAACTACAGGCTTATAAAAGAAGCACACTTCACGCCGTTTAAAGAAGCGTCAGACGTGAAGGCGTTAGCATATATCTTTCTAAAAGTCATTGTTGTAGCGCATGGGCTACTAGACGAGATAATTTCGGATAGAGATAAGCTCTTCACATCCAAATTCTAGCAGACAGTCATGGCGCAGCTCGGAACAAACCACAAGCTGTCCACAGCTTTTCATCTACAAACGGATAGACAAACAGAACGAACTAATCAGACGTTAGAAGCATACTTGCGAAGCTATGTTAATACTGAACAGGACAACTGGGTTCAGTACCTACATTTAGCAGAATTCGCATATAACTTAGCACCATCAGAGGTGACAAAAGTCTCACCCTTCTTTGCTAATAACGGATGGCAACTAGAAGCGTACAAAACGCCGAGACTAGATAAATTTCGCTCTAAGGAAGGAACGTTAGAAGTATCGAAGATACTTTCCTTCCAGAAACAACTTGCGACGGACATCTAGTTCTTAAATGAACAATCCGCCGCATACGCAAACAAGAAGCGCAGTATGGAACCTGCCTTTAAGGAGGGGGATAAAGTATACCTACTCTAGAAACACATCAAAACGAAACGACCAAGCATGAAGTTGGACTTCAAGAAATTGGGACCATTCAAGATATTAGGAAAAGTCAGCTCAGTTAATTACAAGCTGCAGCTACCTAAGAACTCCAGACTCCACCTAGTGTTTCATGTCTCATTATTAGAACCAGCAAGAGGCGACGCCCTAATTGCAACAGACACCGAACTCCAACCCGAGAATGAAATTATCGAATATGAGGTCGAGGCGATCCTAGACAGAAGGTTAGTAGGACGCCGAGAAGAGTTTTTAATCAAATAGAAAGATTACGAACCTACGGATAACTCGTGGGAGTTGAGGGGGAACCTCAGCTGCCTAGAGTTGCTGGCGGAGTTCCACCGTCGACACCCCAACGTTCGAAGAAACCAGGAGAAAGGGCCGACAAGTAGTCGTGCTCGGAAACGGCACCCCCGAGGTCAGTAGTAGGAGGGCTGTGCGGGAAGGATTCCTTAGCTTCGGCCTCCTTGCGCTCTTTCTCCTCGGCCTCATCCAGCTCGTCTAGGTTTTGAAGACCGCGCCGCAGCATCTCCGCACCACGAGTCTTCAGAGCTTTCTGCTGTTTACGAAGGCGCATGCGACGAGCGTAGGCCTCTTGCTCTTAGGCAGCGGCAGCCTCTTCCTCCGCCTCTAAACGTTCCTCTTCTTTACGGAGTTTCTCCCACTCCGCAGCGCTTGGAGCGCAAGCGTCGCATTTGGAATTGCGGCGAGCACATTCACTACAACGACGGTAACCTGGAGCAACGATACAAGTACGTTCGCTGCATACACAGTTAGAACAAGGGGACATTGGGATTCCGTCCTTTTCGATACGTTGAGCAAGCAGTTGACGTTCTTTGATTTTGGTATGTTTGGAAGAAGACATGGTTGCAGCCTGACCTGCCCCATGGATAGTGGTGGGCATCACCCCACTTAAGTAGTTAGCACATTTCCTTAGTCAGCAAGACCTAGGGACTAGGCCTCTCGGAGGGGGACCTAGTGTTACGGCTAGCGTTTACGGCTACAGTTTCGCCGACACACCGGTTATAGTAGTAATGAGAATGTTAGCGATTTGACCACCTTTAAGGCAGGGTCAGTTATCAGGCACCTGATGGGTGTCCGGTACCTGGGTTTACAGGTACCGGAAGACAGTTAGGCACCTGAGGATTAGGAGGTACCGGATGGACAGGTACTGGAAGAATCACAGGTACCGGAAAGAGAATAGCTCACGTGATAGATAGTTGGATAGTTGGGATAGTTAGGGCTATCTAACTATCCTAACTATCCCCTTTGGCACGACGCCACTATATAAGTAGATAGTTAGTTCTTAGATAGGAGCTTCGTGCTCAACTCAATATAGTATTTGTTATATACTGTAACGTGTTTTACGAAAGCCTTTGTGTCTAATCCCCTGCCTCCTCTGTTAAGTAAACCAACGCAACGAAACCTCTGTGAGTCTTATAGTTTAAGACCCAGCGTTACACCTACCTAGTTAGATTATAGAATAGGAGATAGGCAAGCTAAGCTACAATTATAAGAGGCACAGCAAAGTAGGGAAAAACAGCGTTGTTGCTACCTACAACACTAAACTAAACACCCTCTAAGCTAGGGCACCCTTAGAGCTATAGCCCTTATAGAAGCCACCCTTCCTAAACATCTTACTAGCGTCGTAACAAGCGGCTACTACTATAAGAGACAAAGGGTTAAAGTGACCCTACATAAAAGACTACACCTAAGTTCCCTCTAACATAAGGCCTACCCCCTACTCTCTATAGGAGGCCCTAACCCTATTCTCTACCTCCTTCTCCTTCTCCTTCTCTTTCCTATAGGGGGTAGGTGCTAGGACTAACTTTGTAGCAACGGCAACGACAGCTACAGCACCTACCTCTACTGCGTTTACTACCTCCTTTAAGAGGCTAGGAACCTCTACCTACTCCGTCTAAAGATAGCGTAGCGATAAACGAACAGCCTAACCTAGGTCAGCACTAATACCCTACTAGGAAAGGAGATTCACTTACCTTAAGTCTTAAATTAAGAGACTTAAGGGCTGCGTAAGTTGTATAGGCCTCCTTATAGAGGTCCTAAGTCGCCTTGTCCTAGAACTTAGGGACAGAGGCAGTAGCAAGCAATAGGACACACTTAGCCTTAAGGGCAGCGTTAACGACGTTAGTAGGGACAAGGGGGGTAGCTGCTTTAGTAGCGACGATAGCAGCGAACTTAGTCCCTAGGAACTAGGGCAGCTATTCCTACTAAGTCAACACTAAACAAACCTAAGAACAAGCTAAAAGCAAAACTAAAAAGCAATAGGAAACCTACTAGAACACACATAGAATGCTACGAAGTGTAGTAATGGCACTTTAAGCTAGTTGAGGACTAGACATAAGTATAGGCTACAGCCCTATAGGAAATTGCCTAAAGGCAGCAGACGTACAGGACGTAGAAGGAATCTGCAAAAGCCCTAGAGGGCATAGGAACTAGCATCTTTAAATTAGAAATCTGCAATTCCCGTTAGCCTAGCCTAAGTTATCACTACTATGCTAGTACAGTTCCTCAACCTACCGAATCGTTCGAATTGGTTTTGTATCTAAAAACAATCAATTAGTATCCTTCTATACGTTTAAGAGGGGCTACTTACTAGTCTTAGAGGGGGGGTTTAGCGTTGTTGTTATAAAGAAAACAACAGGAATTAGGCGAACCTCGATTTCATATTCTAGCTTATAACAAAGCTGTCTAAATTAGGTTTAGCGCGATCTATCTCTCCTTACACAAACAATCTAGAGTCTATAGCCCTAATTAGACTTAATTCGATACTAACTTAGACCCTTATATATAACTTACTACCTTAAATAAAGAAACACTTACTCCTCTACCCTCCTTAGCAACAACTTAGGCTATAATACCTATAACTTATATAATAAACTAAATATAGAGTTCTATATATATACTTTAAGGATAAAGCACCCTTTAAAGGTAGGGGGTAGTATAAGGATGCCTCCTTACTTAGGTTAGTTATAGTTGTTATATGCTGCCCTTAAGACTTAGGGTAGTTATAGTTTAATTATAACTATAAGCCTTAGGTATATAGTATAAGGAAGCCTTAGGTAAATAGGGGGTTAGTTAAGTTAGAGGGGTTTTAGGTATAGAAGGAAAATAAGAATAGAGGGTTCCCCCTTTATCTTTTTTATATCCTTTATAGGAGACCTATAGGATTATACTAACTTATATCTAACTTATATTCCTATATATAACTTCTTATAATATAGTTCCCTATGTCCTTATATAAGAGGTGCTAGGAATTAATTACAATTAAATAAGGGTTATTATATAGGGTAGTAGTATAGTAGTAGGTAGTAATAGTTAATTTTAGTGTTTTAGTAACTAGCTTGCCTAAGTAACTAGCTTGCCTAAGTAACTAGCTTGCCTAGGAAATACGTTATTATATAATAGTAACTATTAAGGTAGAATACCTATATAACTCTATTATAATGTCCTAAGCTTCCTATTTACCTAGGATACCTACTAACTACTAGATAGTAATGTTAAGGTTAATTTTATCTAACTATGCTATTTAAATAAGAGATGCTAGCTTAGTATTAGTAGTTAGATAATAGGATATAGATTAGAGAGATAGGGCTTAGTACTTTAGGGAAAATAGGGAAGGGTCTATCTTTAGTGTAGAAATGGCTATTTAAGCATAGAATTAAATAAAGGGGAAGAATGAAAACAGGTCTTATATTAAGGTAGGAAGAAAGTGTTATAGTGTTATAGCATAGATTATAAGAGCATTTCTATGCAAGTTTTAACTTAAATTAGTTTAGTCTATAATGAAACGTAAGCTAACAAGCTTAATTATATACTAGTGATAACCCCCTAACATATCGTAACAGAAAATGACCCCTCTAAAATGCTAACAGCCACGCCGGCGTCGTCTGCAAAATAGCAGCGAACGCATCAATAGTATCAATCAGCCTCTGTTTCCTCTCCTTCAATTCCACTACATCTGCCTTATCCTTATCGTCAATCTTAGCCGCGTCCCTCGCGGCCTGGTCCGCCCACAAGGCCTGCATGCGCGGCAAGATATCGTTAGTTACCATGTTCGACTTGGTAACAACCAGCGCCATCTTGCCCGTCATGAACGTGTCCCACATTCCCTTCAGCCCTAGTGGCGCCCAGGGCGCCCAGCCTTCTTTCTTGGGATTGGCGGGCAGGACCTCGGTGTCGAGCCGCCGGAGCACCTCGCCTACCCGCTCCTTTTGGGCTTTGAGAATGGTCGAGACGGCGGGGGTGTTGTGGTACAGGCGCGAGCCGAGGATGGCGCGCATCGACTTCATGATCTCCTCGGCACCGCCGATGGTGGCGATTTTGCTAGTGCTGGGGTATTTGGGGGGGGTTTGGCCGGAGGGACTTTGGGGGTTGTTGTCGGGTTCGGTGCCGAGCCATTTCTTGAGAGAAACGATTTGGATATTTTTGCCCTTGCTACTGAATCCGGCCCAAGCTCCCGCCTTAGGCGGGGAGTTGATGTTAGTGTCGAGGAGGACGTACTCTTTGTTCTTCCATGTTTTGGTGGGAAACTGGTTGATGACATGTTTATAGGGAGTAAGGAGGGCGCCAATCCCCGAGGCGGTATCGAGGTTCGGGATTTCAACCGGAACGTTCCAGAGCAGTTTGACGAGCGGGCAGAACTGGAGTGTCGTGCCCAACTTAGCCTTTTCAGGGTCGGGGTGAGGGAAGGGGCCAACATTCTTAGCGACATACTCGAAGAACTGTTTGATGAGTTGAGCTTCGAGAACGTGCTCGGCTTCGTAGTCGACACCGGGGACATCGGCCGGGAGAGCGCCAAACTTGTAGTCCTTGCAGTCGGTGCTTTCGAAGCCATAGGTCGGGTTCTTCAGAGCTTTGGCCTCCGAGGGTGACGGGTATTCGAAGGTGATTCTTTGGCCGCAGATTTCGGCCGGCTTTGAGTTCCTTTTTTCGAGGGCCCGCCTTAGAAGTGCGTCCTCGATAACATTGTCCTCATCCCAGGCGTACCCGATCTTAGAGCAGATGGTACCCGGGCCAGCGCTGTCATCGGTTTCGGGTGGGCAGAAGTAGCTTCCCACGGGCACGCTGAGTACTGGACCCCAGACCGCTGCTCGTTTGACCAGGGCGCGGCTATTGTGGATGTGGCCATGGCCGTGGCTTAGGCTATTGTGGGTATGGGTGTGGCCATGGCCATGGCTATGGCTACGGGTATCGTTGCCATCAATGGTGAGGATGGAGTTAAGATCACGCTTGGTCGGGAGGGGTCCTAGGCCCGGACATGTGCCGCCCTCGATGATGGGCTTTTTATAAGCAGGCGTGATGGCCACCTCGGCTCCTGGCCACTTGAAGCCGGGTGCTGTTGCGCGCGCAAACAGACGTGCGCCGACATCGACCCCAAATGTAAAGGGGCAGGTGTCCTTGGTGGAGATGCCGACGCCCATCTTGACCATGACGCTGGCCTCGGCCACAACAGCCGCGGCGGCCGGTTCGACGTCCCAGCGCTTGTCGAAGCGGATGCCGAACTCAGCCGCCGCTGAGATCTTGGCCGTCGCGTCGCCGATGGCCTGGGCGCCGGCATAGAAGGTCGGCTCGTCCAGGTCCTCGTTGTCGCCGGTGCGCTTGAGGTCCGGGTCGCCGTCACCGATCTCTTTGGGCGTGTAGTTACTGTCGCCGTTGTCGGGAAGGACTTGGCGAACCTCCCAGTTGGCGAACTCGAGACGAGTTTCCACCTTGCCCGACAGGGTCAGCGAGGCGTCGATGCTGCCCTCGACCGTCAGCTGCGGGCCGATAGTTGCGATTCCTGGGATTTTGAAGGAGGCGCCTGGGAAAGGGATGTTCACGATGACGTCCCCCTTGTGGTAGGAAAACTTAGCAACGGCTTCGAGGGTTAGAACTCCCGTGATCTCGCCCTTGTTATAGAAGGTTAGGTAGCTTTGGGACATGTCGAGGGGAGGGGTCAGCTTTGTGACGATTAGGGTAAACCCGAAGCTTGTCGCTATGTTCACTTTAAGGAGGGCCTGGGCGAGGATGTGGCCCTCGTAGTTGATGTCGTTGCGGGTACATTGCCAGGTCTCGTCAATGAGTTTGGCTGTCAGGGTGTCCTGGTAATCATAAGTAAACTCGCGCTTGATTTCCGGGCGGACAATGCGGGCAAGCCAGTCGAGGACACCTGAGCCGAACCAGCGCTCCTCGAGGTCACGACGCGAGAGTCCCCCAAAATGGTAGTCGTCGCGGTATTCTTCCTCCAACCAGCGGGCGTGGTTGCCCCCAGCCTCGGCGAGGGAGCGCTTGATTTTTTTCTTAGTGTTTCCGGCCGCCGAGACGACTGTGTTCCAATAGTCGTCCTGGTTGCTGAAGTCAATGCGCATCTGGGTGTCGCCAAGGTCGCGGGGTACGCGGGTAAAGTCGTAGTCGAAGGTCAAATCGTAGACGATGGGGGTGTGGGCGGCTGAAAGGTGTTCGAGGTGACGGGGAAGACGGACCTTTTCAGAGGCTGGGACCATGTCTTTTGCAATGGCGTATTTTCCGGGGCCGCACCCGGCGGGCATCTCCAAGATGGTGCCAGGGACACCATGGCCGAGACCGATCTTGTGGCAGTTGCTACCCTCGGAGAAGTCTGTGCATACCATCTGCACCGTGTGGGGGCCTTCATCGCCGATGGCCGAGTCGCAGCCTGAGAATACGTCCCAGTGGGAGCCGTCGCGCTTGTCGATGGAGACCTGCAGCTCCTCGGGCGAAGCGAGCACGACGAACTGGAAGGCTGCATCGTTGGGGTTCTGCTCCGTGTCTGAGTCCTTGTCCGTTTCGAGGGAGAAGTCGGTGTCGACACTATCACTATCTGGCGGGTTCTGGAAAAGATTCCCTAGGGGTACGGGCAGAAACAAGGGGTCCTCGGACGGCTCGCAGCAAAAGGTGCGTACTCGAGAAGCTTGCCAGCCGCAAGTCTCGCCACCGCCGAAGTAGCTGTCGGTCAGCTGGGCATATGTCATGTCTGGGCAGTGTCCGTCGAAACAGCTGCCGGGCTTGCCGAACCACTCGCAGTTCTTCCATTTGGGGATGTCTTCTTTAGGGCAGCAGTAGTACTTGTCTGTGTCGAGATCGAGTTCGTCGAGCACCAAGAGGAGCGCTTCTCCTGCTAGGGCGGTGAGAGGATAGGCGCGCCCGACGACGCGAAGGATGACCTTGGCCACGTCTTCTAAGATGGTTAGAACGGTGCCCGAAAATGTCAGCGGCAAGTCATCGCCTTTGCAGGAGCCGCCAACACCACTCCAGTAGCAGCTGTTTTCCTCGGCCAGCGGGCTCTTGCAGCAGTAGGCCTTGTTGCCATCATTGCACCCACCACCGTCGCCCCACTTGTTCATCTCCATCATGACCTCGTCGTCATGGCAGTGGCCGTTGCACAAGGGGGGGTTGCCGCGCCATGCGCACTCTTTGGGGTTCGGGGCCCCAGACAGCGGGCAGCAGAGCTTGCTGCGCTTGTCGTCGTCGCCGCAGGGTTGGTCGGTAATTTTGATGTCGCCGGTGTCGCATTTGCCATCGCAGGATGTGATGTAGCAATGCTTGTTAGATGATTGCCAGTCGTCCTTGTCGCCGGCCGCGCCCAAGTCACCTAGCTTCTTAGGCGAGATGACGGCCTGCAGTGCCGTCAAGTGCTCGTCATCCTGATCGATGGCCCAGATGAGGTAGCCACCCAGCCCTAGGTCCTTAGCTAGGTCCTTTTTCTGGGAGAAGGTGTCGGCGTCATCGTACGACACCCACTCTACCCAACATTGTTAGCTGTATTATTCTTGTTTTGGGTGTTTCAGGGGTAGTTCGGGGGCGGTCCGAGAGTAAAACGACCCTCGATGACACCCTAAATGGGGGAGAACAAAGAATATTAACGTACGGTCGTTGTTCCACGTAATATACTTAACGCCTGCCTTCTTGTCATGTACGGGCTTGATCTTTTTGGCATCAATAACGGCCATGATCTCACGGTAGCTCAAAATGCCCGACTCGCCGCTGCAGCCTCCTTTGGTAGCGCCGCCTTTGAAGCCGCACCCCGGCTTGCTGCACGAGGGGTCCTGCAGCTGGAAGGCGCGGCCATAGAATCCGAGGCCCATGTTGAGCTTGTTCGCGGGAACGTCGTTGCGCCAGAAAAGGTCAAAGGCCTGCTCCATCTCAGTGATGTTCGTGTGCCCGTAGATCTTCTGGCCGATTGGGTTCTTGCCGTCCCAGACGCCGTGCAGGTCGTAGGACATGACGTTGACAAAGTCGACGTGGTCGACGGCCTTGAGGTCGAAGTGACGCATGTACCAGTATGAGGTAGGCAACGTGAAGGAAACGACGTACTTGACGGGTTGCTTCTTGTTGGCGTCGTCGAGCTCCTTGAGGAATGTGACAAAGTTCTTGCCATCGGCGTCGACGCCGCCGCGGTCATCAGCTCCGGGGTACTCCCAGTCAAAGTCGACGCCGTCGAAGGCGTACTCGCGCAGGAAGCTCAACAGGTTGTCGATGAAGGTCTTACGGGTCTGTGCCGAGCCCACCATATCGCTGAAGACCTTCTGGGTTGGGCCCGGGTCGTTGAAGGTCCATCCACCAATGGCGATGACGGTCTTGAGGGCGGGGTTCTTCTTCTTGAGGTTGGTGAACTCGGAGAACAGAGACCCGGCGATGCCGTCCATAGGCGCGATGCTGTACGTGTCCGGGGTGATGGACGCAAAGGAAAAGTACAGGTGCGTCAGGGAGTTTACGGGGATGTCCTTGAGCCCCATGCCCTGACAGGCGCTGTTAGCTCGCCAGCCCTCGTAGTAGCCGATGATGCGGGTCTGCGAGTTGGCCTTGTTCTTAGGGCCAGGCTGGTCGCAGTTGGACTGGCAGCCGCCGGTGGTACCATGATCTTTCTTGTCGCAGTAATCCTCGGTCATGCCGCAGAAGCCCCATTTGCCGCAGCAGACGTTGAGGGGGCATTCCTGGCCGGGCACTTTGGCGTCCTTGCCGCACTCAGACTTGGCATCGCAGTTGGACCAGCAGACTTCGTTGGGCGAGATGCCCGATGTGCCGCACGCCTCCTCGCCGTAGTTGCACGACAGCGTGGCCTTGGGGCAGCAAGCCTTGTTGGCGCAAGGCCGGTCCGGCCCGCACGTGTAGTCGTCGTCTGTTGCTCGGCCGCTCAGTAAAGACGGCGTGTCCATGGCGCCGAGGAAGGGAGTCACCCCAAGAGTTTCGTCGCCGTCCCGACACAGTGGCAGCTCATATTCGCGTCTGAGCTTGGCTGAGTAGTCAAACGGTCTGCGGCAATCACGAATTAGACCACGTCTAGTAAGACAGCTCAAAGGGGGCAACAAGACACTCACGACACGGGATTCCGACACGTTGCTGGCAAATCAGCAACAGCAGCACGATCTGCTGCCTGGTGCCAGGGCAAGCCTTCGGCGAGCCTCTGCCCCCATAGAAGAGCAAGGACAATAGGATACCGCATGGCCGTCCGTCACGGGTGTTGTACCTGCTCGGGAATGTCTATGACCTGGAGGGCAGCAAGCTGCCGCTGCATCTTGTATAAGATGATATCTTGAGTAGGTGGGATTCATTTCTACTCCACTTACCCTGGTCAGGCCTTGCACTCGGCATCGATGACAGTTCACTCCGCCTTCGCGCAGCCGAGGGTAATATCAAGGTCCGATCTCGCCACTATCGACATCCTATTAGGCAGGTAGAAGCGTAAATGGGGACCTTTTTGGGTATCATTGCATTCGAGCATCTCTGCGGTAATTATGCGGACCTTTTCTTGCTTCGGAAAAGGCGGAAGTGCCAAAGTGATGCCCGAGTCACTGAGTCTAGATCTCAACTAACACATGAATAAGCAGCCCCCAAGATGCAAGCTACCACTAGAAAAGCAGGTCCCGTCAGGGTTCACAATCCTATAGGATTCTAGGCGTTGCAATATTAATTAAGATAGTAAGATAGTGCGAAAATGCAATCCCGTCCTTGATACCCGGAGCTATGTTATCTCTTCAGTCTTCCGTCTTGGCGTTGAACGTGCATCGCTTGGCCAGATTGGGACTTAGACTTACATTTAAGCGTACTGTACCTGCATAATATTGCCTACGCGAATAAGAAATAGGATAATTGGCCGAAGATGGCAAGCCGTAGCGGCCCGCAATTTAAGTTTGATGGCCTGTGACAGCGGGCGGTTTCACTGCCCTCACTTATTTTAGTAACAGGTGGAATAAGGGTAGCATCCACCCATGAGCCATATCTGCCAAAGGACAGGGGGGGAACCTAGAGCTGTAAGCCGAATTACGTATTCTTGTATGCTGTTTCCATCTAAGAGTCTAAAAGATGCTCAGCAACCTGCCTAAGAAAAATGTCCTTCTTCCGATGCGATGCCGCCGTCAGCCACACGAAGAGCCCCCTCTCTTCCTCCCACAGAAAGCAGTTATCCCCGCTGACTTGTCTCATTAAAGGTCCCAAGGTAAGCCGCAATCGAGGGATTGGGCCTGGACAACCTTCATAATGCAGACCTTCGTCGTCAACCTGCTTCTCTCTCTCGGGATTGCATCAACAGCATCTGCCACGGTGCTGCTCTACCCAGATAGTCTTCCCTCGACACTTACCGTAGAGTGCACCAATGCCCTGACCGTCGATGTCACGGCCTGCGATCCGCTGGTGAGGGACCTCCGCCCAGACGTCTTCTACCCGCCCGCGTCACTGACGCGCATCTGCACCACCGGTTGCTCATCCGCTCTTGATACATGGCGGTCATCAGTACAGTCCGGGTGCTTGAACCAGACCATCACGGTCGACCTTGAGGTCGAGGCCGCGGCGGTCTATATTCCTGGAGCGCTGCAGTTCTACTTTCAGAATGCCTGCCTCAAGGACGACGAGGGGCGTTTCTGCGGACCAGTTGCAGCCCTGGCAGCGGCCTTCTCGGATCCCGGTATTAGCCCTTTCAACTACATTAGCAACACCACGGACCAGGTGCGACCCGATGACTGCGACAAGTGCCTGGTCGAGCGTCTGCGGCTGCGCGAGGGGTCACCGTACGGTGACGGGCCTATTGCAGCCAGCATGTCGCTGTACGAGAGCATGACGGCGAGTTGCAGCATTACGGGGCGCCCCGTCGCAACAACGACCATCGACTACTTCACGGCGGCCCCTGCTCCAACGGCCAAGGTGTGTGAGGGGTCAACCTACACCATTAAAGCCTCAGAAGACTGCTACACCATATCCAAGAGCCAGGGCGTTGGCACCAACTGGCTGCTAGCCGACAACGACCTAGAGGCCTTCTGCACTAACTTTCCCGCCGTTGGCACCTCTCTCTGCATTACCAACCAGTGCACCACTGTCACCGTCCCCAATAATGCGACGTGCGAGGCCGTGGCTGCAGCAGCCAACATCACCGAGACGCAACTCATTGCCTGGAACCCTTCCATTAGCTACGGGTGCGCAAACCTTCCCAAGATGAACGGCTCCGAAATCTGCGTCGATGCTCCTGGCCGCAAGTTCGTGATCCCCAGCGACACCTCCGCCTTGCCCCCTCTTACCCCCACCACTGCGGCTCCCAAGCCCACTGACGCAGCAGACGGCTCCGGCGGTGCCGACAAGCCTTGCGGGCGGTGGTACTCGGTCCAACAAGGCGACTATTGCAATCTCGTTGCCATCAAATTCGGCATTACCCTCCCCGACTTCTTCTTCCTGAACCCGGCCGTCAATACCAACTGCACCAACCTCTTTGCATTGGAGTCTTACTGCGTCGCCGCAGTGGGCGATATCAACACTTATACGGGCCGCCCTGGTTACGCCAGTGTCACCCTGGACCCCTCTGCGCCCTTCACCGGAATCCCCTACACCGAGCGCCCCGACGCCACCGAGAACCCCTACCCCCGACTATACACGCCCCTCCCCGAAGCCACGGGCACGCGCGACGACTGCGTGCACTACTTCGCCGGAGACGACTTCCAGTTCAACCTCACCGGCTCCACCTTCGGCAGCAACTGCCAACTCGCCGCGGACACCTACAACGTCGACCTTGAGGAATTTGGCTTGTGGAATCCCGGCCTCGGCAACGCCTCGGATCCGGCGTGCGCATTTGAAAAGGGCGTTCGCTACTGCGGCTCATGGTATATCGAACAGGACAGTACAGCTACCCCAACTTCCGCGACACCACCAGGACCGACCATGTCAGGCTCGCCCGCAGACTGTAACGAGTGGGTCCTCGTCACGGACGGGTTGTCCTGCGCGGACCTGGTCTCTGAAGCCGGCATCACCCTCGGGCAATTCCTAGCATGGAACCCGGCCGTTTCATCAGACTGCTCGATCAACTACTGGGTTGACGAAGCCTACTGCGTCGGTATCTCGGGCGACGACGGCAGTTCAACAACCACCGGATCCCCTACAAGCACCGGCGGTCCCACAACCACAAAACCAACGCCGCCTGGCCCAACTATGACTGGCTCGCCTGCCGACTGCAACAAGTGGTCCCTCGTCACCGATGGCCTCTCCTGCACAGACATGGCCACCCAGGCTGGCATTTCCCTCGCACAATTCCTAGCGTGGAACCCGGCTGTAAGTTCCGACTGTTCCACCAACTACTGGCTAGGCGAGGCCTACTGCGTTGGTATCTCGGGTGACGACAGCAGTCCAACAACCACCGCAGCTCCCACAAGTACCGGTGGTCTCACGACCACAAAACCAACACCGCCTGGCCCAACCATGACCGGCTCGCCTGCCGACTGCAACAAGTGGTCCCTCGTCACTGATGGCCTCTCCTGCACAGACATGGCCACCCAGGCTGGCATTTCCCTCGCCCAATTCTTAGCATGGAACCCGGCTGTCAGTTCCGACTGTAGCACCAACTACTGGCTGGGCGAGGCGTACTGTGTTGGTGTCGCTGGCGCCTCTACCCCGACGACGACTGCACCTACGACTACTTCTAAGCCAACGCCTCCTGCACCGACCATGACCGGCTCGCCAGACAACTGCAATAAGTGGGCTGTTGTGACTGACGGTCTATCCTGCACGGATATGGCGAGCCAGGCGGGCCTTACATTGGCACAGTTTTTGGCGTGGAATCCGGCTGTGAGTAGCGATTGTGTGACGAATTATTGGTTAGGGGAGGCGTATTGTGTCGGCGTTAGTGCTTAGTAGGACTAGGGGGGCGAATAATGCTGCTGTGCTAGTGACATCTTTGGTAGTTTCCTTTATAGATAGTTTAACCATATAGGGAGTAGGTACATATATAGATAAGGATCGATTGAAGGAAAGGAATGTTTTCTCTCGTGCTTGCCAGTAGCTGTGAGCGCAACTGTCGGCCTTCCGTTAGAATGTTGAAAAGGAGTGAGTCTGTTCTACCAGCCTGTCCTGTTAATTCTGTAATAGTTACCTACCTAGGTAGGTCTCATCAGATAAAGGCTTCTACATCTTGCTCCCTCTCTTCTATATACTCAAACGCTTTCCACTCTATGTTCTCCCCCTCCCCGCCCACAAGATCCTTAAACGCCGCAATGACTTTGTCCTCCGGCCTCCAGTCACCGACCTGCCACGTCACTTTTCCTTTCCCATCTCCTTTAGGCGCATCGTATCTCACCCCCCATCGGAACATAACGGTCTGCTCCACATCTGTAGTAGGAGGCACCTCATCACTCCCTTCATACTCTTGAACTCGGTCCTTCGAGGGCCGCCACGTAAGCCACGTAAATAGCTCAGCGTCTTGAAGGGAGGGCATCTTTTGCCGTTGTAGAGATGAGGCGAACTCTAAGAGCAAAGGGTTGATGCGCTCCACGATGGGGCGCGTACGGAACATATCGGGCGTGTAGTGTTCGTATATGCCCTCATCACCCCAGTACTCTTCCTCCTCATCATCCCATAAGGCGTGCGTCTCGTCGTCGTATTCCAGGCCTTCGGACGGGTAGTGCTCCTCTCTCGTGATGGCGAATCCTGTCGAGTGGGGATTCTCGCCTCTCGGGCCGGAAAAGTACCAGGTGCCGTTAGGCGCGCACGGGTGGAATTCTACTTTGAGGTGCACCATTCGTGGCCATAACAAACCGTCGCCGCTAGAATGGAAAAGATCAGGGGTGATGAGCGCGATGACGTCTAGTTCCTCCAGGCGACTCCCCAGGTCTCGCAACCCAAGAGACACAGGGTCCATGCCTTCAAACTCATTGGTCGATGGCGACGACAAGGATGCGCCGACAAGGTCAGGCATCTGCACCGCTTGGTCCTCACGCCCATAGGCGTTGGTCCTCCAGAACCAGAGACTGACCTTGGTGAGGGAGGACGGCAACAAGGGCATGACATGACGCACACCCCGCCCGAACTCAACGCGGGCATCACGCCAAGGGCCTTCCCAGACGCGAGCAATTCTCCGCATCGCCTGAGATGTGAAGGCAATGGGAAATTCCTCCCATAGCCAGGGGCAGTGTAGCTCGCGAAGGTGAGGGAGGCGGGTAGCGAGTTCGAGGGGCGTGCGCATGGAGACGGGCCGCATGTTGGCCGGATCTGGGCTGTAAGCGTTGTCGTGGAAGATGCGCAGTTGTATGACGCGGTTGAGGAGAGGTAGGCTCTCCGGGTTTTGGACAGTGAGGCGGCGAGTGTGGTAGCAGCGGTGCACGCAGTCATCGTTGCCTTCGGGGTTGTCGAAAGACTGGTTGGTGATCTGGATGACGGGCCGAAGCCATTCATCCTGGTGGAGGAGTTCCAGGTCGTCCGAGGACGGTTTGTCTGCCATATCCTCGAGGTCATGCAGTGCGTTGAAAAACGCGTGCACTTGGGCTGAGAAGTGGGCGTTGATGGCCTCGAACACGGCCGGCGACTCCCTGCATGGGAGGGGCTCGCTAGGCCGGTTCAAAAGCAGGGGCATTTCCACGACGAGTTGACACGCGGGAAAGACGATCTTGTTGCGTCCGGGCGGTGGGCGCGCATTGTAATTACGGACGATTTCGAGGAAGGAATTGAGCATAGCGTCTTTAGAGGGCGGCGTGGCTCGAATCTGTTGGGACGCCATGGTGATTATCTTGGTACTCCGTACCGTCGCGATGACCAACAGGTGTTGTGCGATAGTATCTATTAGAGAGAAGTTAGGTTGTGATTTAAGTATGTAAAGTATGTAAAGGGGAGAAAGAGGGGTAAGATTAAGTTTATGACAGGTGGAACTTAGGAGGGGTTCAAGTGGGGCTCCGGTCCGTATTCTTGCCTTACCGCCGCTAAAACCCCCCTCGTCCAAGGAATTCGAAGGTCGATATATCCTAGTTGGAAATGGTCGAAAGATCTTTATAAGATCTATAGGGGTTCGCTTAGTAAAAAGTTAACAAAGCAAAGCAGGCGATTAGATGCAAAGGCTAGTTTTAGTCGTGCGAGTAGACATTACATATATCTAGGGCCGTCTGGTGCCTGAAGGGTGAGGCAAGGGGTAAGTGAGGGTAAGCTAGGTGACCTGGGTGACTGAACGTACGTAAGTATGCGACTGAACATGGGCAAAACTTTGCGAGCGAACATGAACGGAACTTGCGAGCGAACATGAACGGAACTTGCGAGCGAACATGGTCGGAACTTGCGAGCGAACATGGTCGGAACTTGCGAGCGAACATGGTCGGATCTTTGCTAGTGTAAGCAGGGGAGATTTTAATCCCTAGTACCTATTGTAGGTGACTTAGGAGGAATTGATCCCTACGTTGAAGAGTAGGTGACAGGGGGATTTTAATCCTAGCTACCTATTGTAGGACAAAGGTGGGGTTTTAACCCGTGCTACCCTGTTACAGTAACAGCGCCCTCTTACCTACCGACCCAAACGATTTATCCTCCTCGACCCAAACAATTTATTTTCCTTGACCCAAACAAGTTATCCTCCTCGACCCAAACGATTTATCCTCCTCGACCCAAACGATTTATTTTCCTCGACGCAAACGATTTATCCTCCTCAACCTAAACGATTTATTCTTTTCGACTCAAACAAGTTATCCTCCTCGACCCAAACAATTTATCCTCCTCGACCCAAACAAGTTATCCTCCTCGACTGAAACAATTTCTCTTCCCGACCACTTTCTCGTCCCGACTAATTTCTCTTCCCGACCACTTTCTCTCCCTGACTAATTTGTCTTCCTCGACCCAAAACAATTTATTAAACATGTAGGGTTATTTTAACCCCTATTACTACTAGAATAATGATAAGAGAATATCTCTATTACCTAGCCTCTCTTTTTTGTGTCTATTCAGCGGATTCTGAACCCCTGTAAAAGATTCTAGATGCAGGGCCAATAATACTCCACTAGTCTATTCTCTAAGGCTAGGCGGTACTTGCAGACCGGTTGCTGCGGATCCGCAAGAGGGGGCCGGGTGTACGCTTCAGATGGTAGGGATCTCTGTCAGTATGTTTTTGTGGCTTTTCTCGCTGATTCTGAGCATCCTTGCTAGAATGCCTTTGGTGGCTTTTCGCGGCGATTTTGCATCCTTGCTATTCTTTTGTGGCTTTTCTCGCTGATTCTGAGCATCCTTGCTAGAATGCTTTTGGTGGCTTTTCGCGGCGATTTTGCATCCTTGTTAGTCTTTTGTGGCTTTTCGCGGTGATTCTGGACATACTTACTAGTATGATTTAGTGGCCTTTTGCGTCAACTCTCAATACCCTTGTAGCAGCGAGGTCCAATAATAGACCGGATTTTATATGCCTACTGAACAGCGCAGTGACATGATAACAAGTAGCATGCACCTTGGACGGCATGCACCTTGGACCTTGGACGGTATGCACCTTGGACCTTGAACGGCATGCACCTTGGACAATATGCATCTTGTATAGCATGCACCTTTGACGGCATACGCCTTGCACAGTTGTGGTAATGGCGGTATAACCATCCTAGCCAGATGTAGACACGGGGACACGGGATGGCCCTAACACAACCAGTGTAAGCTACTATGCGCCTCACTGAACGCTTGGCAGTTGTTGTTAGTCTGAAGCCTCTGGTCTGAAGCCTCTCGCCTTTCACGCTGACCCATGTACGCTGTGTCCAGGTTGATAGGGTACCCGGGTCAACGTACTAGATACTGGAGTAAAGGGGCAGGATGGTTCTGGGCGGTTTTGCGCTAACGAGAGTGGGGCTAGGAAGCCTCGACGTTGACATCATTTCACCTGCCCACAACTCCAGATTCTGTAATAAGACCCCAACATGTGTGTTTCCCAGTGTACAATCGAGCTACATAGTTTAGTTCCAAAATTCAGCTCAGCAATGCGCATCATAGTATAGTTATCAATATAACATGTGCAGCCTTTACAGAGCCGCGCGTATTGTTAGAGTTGCTTCGGTGTCGGCGTTATAATGGACAAAGAACATAGTTCCTACAGAGGCTACATAAGCCCTCAATCCCTGTCTTCCGCGGATGCGGAGGGAGGCATGCAAGGCGTGAGACCGCCAAGAACAGGGGATGGAGCATGGGTTATAGGTGGCGTAAAAGCATGCCTCTGGCAACTCTCGAGCTGTGGTGTGAATTTACGGCGAGACCTGCTTGTTATCAACTACATTATAGACATCAATATCCTTTTTGTAATTGGTCCACGCTTCGAACTGGTGGGCGGTGTATGTATGCCCGGCGATGTGGGTTGCTATGCTGAGACGAAGTAGAGGGAGTATTTCCAACAGAGCGCGGGGGGGTATAAAGGCAGTCTCTCCCTCCCGATTTCTGGCAATGGATTCTATCAGCATAAGCACCATTCAGCAGAAGTCTTAGACGCACCGACAACCTTTGACTAGATACAATGTCTTCGACTGAAGTCGTGAAGGGCTCTGAGCCCTGTTTCGTTAGGTAATCCCTAGCTCTGCTCGTTTCTCCTCACCTTCCAATTGTCCTACGATCACACTTTGTTGAATCTCCTCTGGTATTGAATTCACAGCAACCAACTAACATCTACGTGGTTAGTACTCGACCATATCAAAACACGACAACTATTGAAGTTTATATTACCAATAGCAACATGACCACCGATGAGAAGAATAAGATGTGCCAAACTCGAGTCGAGAAATGGTTTTCTTCACCAGACCACCCCTTGGCTACATATACTGCTCGACAAGATGAGGATCGGCTTAATAGTGGGAAAGGAAACATCCTGGACGATGCTGAGAAGGTAGGACACGACATAACTTCTACTTTGCAAACAATGCTAACTTATAAGGCCGGCACGTAAGGGCTTGTCACGTAGCCAGTCCACCCTATAGGGTGCCCTGCTGTGGAGCTGCCTAAAAAAGGGGCTGGAGGCCTAAGACGAAGGCCTCCAGTCAATAGTTGTTGTATTTACGTAGACCTATTGTCCCTACGAATACAATACCCATTCCTGCCTCTTAGCCTAGTTCCCTAGACTCCTATGAGACCTGTAGGTTTACAACCCTTACATAACTAAAGGGAAAGGAGGTTCCTAGAGAACTATAGATAGAACAATAAACTTGTTGCTAGAGTAACATGCAGCTACAGAGTTTGCGTAGAAATATCGCAAAAGGTTACATAATAAAGACGTGGAGGAATAACCCCTTTTTTTCTATATAGAGAGACAGTTATTATAGTTAATAAGTTGTAGAAAAAGCCCTGAAAGCATATGATAGTCTCTACCTTAAGTACTATAATGGGAACTTATAGTAGGGGATATGATATATTAGGCCCTGTAGAAGCCCGATCTCTATATTATCAAATATACCCCCTAAAGGAGTCATTGAATACATCATTCCCTAGGAACCATGAGTCGTCGTCCTGTGTAGTCTTACCTCTGCCCATTGCGCTATTTCGGATATTAGACCATATGTATGCAACGTATTTCACTATCACGAATACAACGAGAGGAACGATAGACACATTAGTTACTTTTCGGATGGATGGACAAGTTTCATTAGCGGCCGTACCCTTAAACAACACGTCTGTAGATAGTGGTTCATCGCAAACATCTAGAAATACTCCACCTGCTGCTTCTATGGGCGTACTATATGCTCTCACTGGCATCTTTACGGTCCTCTTCCTTGTTATTATTGCTACAGATGCCTGGAAAACTCATGGAAACCCGGAAAGATATAGACCTTAAACCGGCTTTCCTGGTCGTCTAAGGCAGAGCCGGGCCAAAGGACTCGCCAGAGTCATGCTGAAAACTACCAATTGTGAAATTTAGAGATCCTCTCCCAACAAATCTAGGAGGTCTCGATCTTGAACTTAAAGCAACAAGAATAAATGACCCACACCTATCTAATGTGCATATTACAACAGAGAGCCAATGGGAGATTGAAGCTAGTCATATACAGCGCCTGTTGAAGCTATTAGCACAAACAATACTTCTCCTTCTAACCCTTTTCACTCACCGCCACAGTTAGAAGCTAAAGTTCAGGAATGCAACCTGGGATACTCTATATATACAGAGGACTTCACAATGGACAAAGTACACAGTGGCTCAATTCCCTCGGATTTGATTCCGACCCTGTTTAGCCGTGATAATCTTAGACCTGTTTGTACTGACACCGACGTCACATCTCCTACTGATACAGATACTCCGCCGCCTGCTTCAGCCGTAATTGAGGGTGGTTATGCCCACCACTCCCGTGTCCAGAGCATCTTAGCTGTGCACCACGCACCTGTCCATGAGCGAGTAGCAACTTTGGGGCAGCTCGCTGCGGAAGCAGGTCAAGAGCATACTGCTTCTAATTCAGTCGGTATAGCTGGAGAAGCGAGACAGAGAAGACGATTAGCGGATAGGTTGAGAAGTGCATTCAGAGTTCACGAGGGCGAACACTGCCCCGGAAGAAGTGTCGAGATTAGACACAGCATTGTCTTCTCTAGCCATTAATACAGCTAGTAAAAGCACCTCTAAGCTATTAGCTTGTGTACAGTTATATGATGAAAAATCTTTACGATATGAGTACGTTACGACTTAGCAAGGGTTCCCCTCGGGAGGTCTCAGGGTCACTTGCCACCCGATGGACGAAATAATAAATAAATATAATAACAATAACAATAATATCAATTCATAGCGCACCATCACGACTACAACGCAGTTGCAATCTTCAAATGGAGCCCTTTGAAGTTCTTTGGTCTTGTTTAGGCAACTAGTTTCGGCACTCAAAGTACGAGTACAACAGTGATTGAAACGATCCATTGGGGCAGATCTTCCAGACAAGCATGTTTAAAATAGTCATTATAATACCGCACATTATAGCAACCCTGCTTTTTAGCCTGAAGAATGGAGTTAGGACGACGAGGGGAGGAGCCGTGCACTAAGGAGATTTGATAAACCACAAGTCGACGTCCACGGAAGCTTGCAGGAGGGCCAGATAGGGCGACGATATCATGTGGTTCTTCTCGCATCATTGATCTCATTTTACGTTGTCTCACTTTTTATCCCTGCCTTTATTATAAATACCCGAAGAGAAGAATGAGGAAGACAAAGCCGGGGGGTCATCCCTCTTAAATCATCAAGAGACACACAACATGACGAAAGTAAGGTGGCCGATCGCCAGAGTGCATTGGCAGATATGATTTTGACCTTGGTTACACTGATGGTTGTAAATTTTTGCGTTCTTTGATAATGCACTGTGGAGTGCATACTCGACACCGCTAGGCCAGCACTCTATTACGAATCCACAGACGAGGATTGAGTTGCTGGTTACGGGGTTGTGACAGACCCAGTGATGCTGTTAGGCAAGGCAATGATACAGGAGCTACAAGGGATAGCCACGCAGTTGAGTGAAGCTTGGATACAGGGACTGGTCGTGACGAGAACGCAACTGGTGCTGAAGACGACAGTTGTTGCAGCACCAACAAACCCCTCTGCAGATGGATCTGACATCTAATCCGCTCCAGCATTGCCATCCTCGACAACTCCAAAACGCACTTCTATATACCTGCCAACCCGCCATCGGCCTCTAATATTCCAACAAAGACGAGTATCTTGCCATCTGAGTTGCTGTCAGAGACCAATACGCCGACCTGACCGAGTGCCTCTTCCGCAGGCACTTCTTCCACAGGCACTTCTTCCACGGGCTCCTCTTCCACGGGCTCATCTTCCGTAGGCTGGGCCACTTCCACCAGCTCCTCTTCCCTAAGTAGACTTTCCCAATCATTGTGACGCTTTGGATCAGTGGTGAGATACAGGTATGGGCACGTACCCATACTTAGAATTCTAGCATGGTGCATATCTCTATGGTCGTAGAAGCGACATGGCCCACCACAGCTAATTGCGGACTGCGTTTGGGCAGTCTGGACTTCTCGGAAATAGTCCCAGCCAAGTTCGGTATGCTTTTTAAAGACTTTTTTCCATTTAAAGGGGTCAGGGTGTTGTCTGATCGAACTCGAACTCCTAGAATTCTATATAATGTCTAGGTGGTCTTGAACCGCTAAGGCCAGGCTCACAGAGCATAGCTGACGGATAACTGAGCGAGATGGTACATTTTCATAAACCGTAGAGACGTCGTTTGGCTTGAGCTCCCACCGACCATCGCCTAATCTAGCGCGGAGATTATCTGGAGTTTGGTTCTTCAAAAGACATATCAACTTGATATGTTGCTAAATCGTGTCAGCGGACAAAAAGAGACTTACTTCAACGAGGCTCTCGCACAATGGGATTGGTTTTGTCAATCCGGTATGATCAACGAGCGAAACCTGATTAATGACAGCCTTACGGGCGATTGCGCGAACAATGGCGGGACTGAGTGGTCATACAACCAGGGCCAAACCCTGGGTGCACTGGTTGAGCTGGATGCCGCATCTGGCTATGATTACTATATCGATACAGCCCATAGCATTGCCAAAGCAGCCATATTAGGTTTGACGGACTCAGATGGGATTCTGCATGATCCGTGTGAGCCAAACTGTGGAGCTGATGCCCCATGGTTTAAGGGCATTTTTATGCGCAACTTGCAAATCTTGCAGGCAGCATCGCAGTCGGATGACTACTTGGGCTTTATTACAGCGAATGCTGACAGCCCTTGGAATCAAGATCGGAATGACCGGAATCAGCTGAGCCTGGTGTGGTCGGTGCCATTTATTAATCCAGCCAACGCATCGACACAGAGTTCCGCACTAGATGCTCTCGTTGCCGCTGTAGCATTTTAGAGCCATTTATGGGATCTACAAGCTATAATAAAAGTTCTATTTATCCGTTTAAAGCATCATTTCAAGATATCTGTAACCGTTTAGTCTTTATGAGCTGCGAATATGCAAGCTGGCTTAGCGTCTTTCTCTGTGTCCGTAGATATAGAATAGCTGCTTTATAATAAATGCTTCTACATAAAGCACCCCGGCGCTGGTTTACGTATTAGACCTCCTTTAGAAGCAGGTATTGAAAGCCTGAGTTGAATGAGAAAATGCATTTATGCTTTTCGAAAGCTGTTTGACATATTTTATTTTACCGTACCTAATACTAGACCGAGTGCCACAAAGATGGCTCCACATGCACTTAAAATAGACTCTTATAATAGTTCCCTCGGAGAAAAGGAACAAAAACATCATTTTCAGAAGTAACCGGTGCATCAAACTCCGAGTAGTAAGAAAAGTGAGGGGTTTCCCCGCTAAAAAGCTTGTATCAAGCGAATGCAGATCTGACCCGGATTTTATTATTCCGATGCATATAATCATATTCCACGAAATAATTTATTTCCTAGCCGCAATAATCTAGATTATAGCAGATCGTACATTATAGTATTGGAAATTGAAACCTTAGTATAGCTTAAATTAGCGATCATCAAATCCTTTTCGTGAGTGTTATAAGTAGCGTTAATATCTCCCATTATGCTTTCTTGGGAGTCTGGTTTACAAATCTCACTCATAGTATTTATTAGTATCTCGGAAATAATTCATCATGAAGCTTAGTATCACGTCCCAGGTCGGCCTTGCCATTACTGCCATTCTCTCCTCTACGGATGCATTCCCAACCAAGCCTGTCCCCCAACGCCAGCTTCTCATATGTTCTGACAGCACTACCATGCCCTATGGTAAAACGAGTTTAATCCAAGGGTAAATTACTTTGAAATATATATTCGAACCAAATTAACTAGTTCCAGATGGGGCTTCTACATGCATAATTTCTTCAACCTCAACATCACGAACCTCGCTCGTGGTGGGCGTAGCACACGCTCTTTCATCAACGAAGGTCTATGGGGCTCTCTCGTAGCGAGTATTGTTCCTGGCGAGGGAACAATCGTGCTGATCGAGATGGGACATAATGACAATGGTGATCCTACGACTGATACCAAGTTCCGTGCCACTCTTCCAGGAATTGGGCATGAGAGTGTGGTTGTCGCGAGTAATGCCACAGGAGGCACGACTGAGCGAGTGTACACGTTTGGGCATTATTTGAGAAAAATGATCTCCGATGTGAAGCATGCGGGTGGGGTGCCGATCCTGAGTGGCATGGTGCCTATTATGTCTTGGAATGGGGGTGTTTTGGAGACGGACTGGGCATTTGCCGATTATGAGCGAGAGGTAAGTCTATGTTCGAACTGCACCACGAGCGAGTAGATTCTAACTTGAAGGCAATAAGGTGGCTGAGCAAGAGCATGTTGAGTATATTGATCACACGAAATATGCCGTGAACAGATGGCAGGCATTTAGATCTGTCAACGCTACAGCGCCATACTATCCACTCGATGATTTTACGCACACCAGTTGGCCGGGGGCCGAAAGTAAGTCTTATAATATACATTAACGTAACTGGTGGCTTACAATCATATAGTCAATACAGAAGCATTTGTTACGGCTGTTAAATGTGAAAAGCGATCTCTATTCAGACAGTCACAGCTGGCGCCATACCTCAATGCTAATGCAAGCCATATCGAGTATCAGTGCTAATTTTAGTAGATAAACCGTCTATAGATATAATCTAGATGTTGACACGTATGGTTGAGTTATTCCTCATCTTCAATAGAATCGTTATGATTACATTTGGAACAATTGAGCTGTATTATGCTCCACTTTATTATACCCCGCCGCGTCTGCTCCATCCAGTACGCTCCATGGACATTCAAAGTGATAATTGCCAGCGAAGCTTGCATTCATGCGTTTCTTGATGTTACCACGGCATGCAAAAATGCATTCGGCCGAGCGGGGATTATTTATTAATCCCCATAAGCATCGTATAGAGTTCGGGGTATTAAATGCCGACTCAACCAGTGCCGATAACGATCGGCAGGCAGGTCGTATAGCTCATAGAGCTATTCGTGGAGTTATTCCCACTGGTCAATTCTTTATTTACCCCATACCCCGCGATACCAGAAAATAACCTTTATCATGGCAGGGCATGGTGGGGTAAACCGTCAACGGTAAGAACCCCCACCTTACGGTTATTACTGTTTGTTCCAGCGACCTGCGATAGCTTTAGAAAATTGGACAATTTGACATTGAAGCCATGGCGCGACTCTTTGCATCTGCGATTTCTTCGTCCTCTCATTCCTCACAGCGTCGGCTTAAGCGGTAGAACTAACTGCTGCCCTAGACTATGGAACGTTTCAGGGCTCATACTCACCAGAGTATAATATAAGCTACTAGAGAAAAATACCCTTCGCTGCTCCACCAACTGGGGAAAACAGATTTCGAGCCCCACAGCCTCCGCTTCCGATAACTAACGGCACCTACGACTCGGACTAGAGATATGATTACTGCCATCAGCGAACCGTGAGCCCCCTCATCCCCTAACAATACTCGACTGATAATAAGTACAGGTAAGCGGCACAGAGGACTGTTTATACCTCGGGCTCTACTCCCGACCCTGGGATGCCTCGCAACCGCTCCGACCCGTAGTCGTCGTGTACTATGGTGGCGCCTTTATCCAAGGCGGCGGTTCCTTCACGCTCCCACCAGCCGGATACCCAATCCTCAATGTGTCAGAAGCCAACAACTTTATCTTCGTGTACCCGAATTACAGAGTCAACGCTTTTGGCTTCCTTCCTGGTGCTAAGATCGCTGCGGATAGGAAGTCGGATTTCAACCTGGGACTTCTCGACTAGCAGGAGTCGTTGATATGGACGCATAAGTATATTAAACAATTCGGTGGAGACCCGAAAAACGTTACCATCTAGGGCCAGTCAGCCGGTGGTGGAAGTGTAGTAGCGCAGGTCATTGCGAATGGAGGCAAGGCGAACCCGCCTCTATTCTCAAAAGCGCATGCTTCGTCGCCGTTTTAGCCGAAGACGTACAGGTATAACGCACCAGAGGCGCAGAATATTTATGATACCATGGCCGAACTCACCGGATGTGCTGGCAAGAACTCCCTTGCCTTAAATATGTTGATGTCCGGACCATTCAGTGGACTCGAACCCCTGCACAGACCAAGCATATAAAAGGACGTAAGAAATCAAAACATGGAGTCGTAGTTGGGTCCATTATGAAATTAGGTTGTATATACAGTCACTACTTCGCCGGGCGAATGTGTCCCGAAGCGAAAAGTGCACATCTATCTAACAATAATGGGCTGAACATAGAGGAAAGGGTGATTCTTCTGTTAAGTCGGCGGTCTTTAGGCCGAACTTTGCAGTTGATCCGTTACTCCGGAAATATTAGCAGGGATGTTTTAGTGGTTGGAGCAACATTATATTTTCTGATGCTTTTGTGTCTCCATCACTCCGGCTTTCGAAAGTGAACAGAGATCTAGTTTAAGACTTTTATAGAATCGTGAGTGATAATTCGTGTAATATAATAGAAGAATCCTATTTTATTTCTAAGTATAGGCTCTATAACCTAATCCTCCTCCTTATGTTCCTCCTCCTCGTCGTCAACATAGTTAATTGCGCGTAGAATAGTATAAACACATAAAGTAATAGGCGGAATAGTAACGCGTAAGAGTAACAGAGGCAGTAGGAACGAACGATGGCGACGGGCATAGCAGAAAGGAGCAAGGGTAACGGCAACAGTTGGAACGAACGATAGTGACGGGCATAGTAGAAAAGAGCAAGAGCAACTATAGTTGCATGCAATAGGGAGCGCGACTATAAACTACAAAACTCTCATTACTATCTATACTACATTCTTCCCCTTTATAACCTCCATCCCCCCCATCCACGGCCATAGACACTCGGGAACCCTCGCCTCCCCCCTCCCCTCATCCCACCCATTCTCCAACACCGCCGCGAGCACTCTCGGCACTGCCATGCCCGTCCCATTAACCGTATACACCCACTCCTTCTTCCCTGCTCGACTCATCTTCGTGCCGAGTCGTCGCGCTTGAAAATCTGTACACACGCTCGCCGACGTGACCTCACCATACCCCCCATCCCTCCCCCTCCGCGACGGAAAGAACGCCTCGATATCCTTCTTCCGGAAAGCGCTCGCACCAAGATCAGTGCTCGGCATCTCGAGCACGCGGCAGTGTAGTCCCAGCTCGCGCAAAACCTCCACTTGCATCTCTACAATCTCGTCAAACACCTCCGTCGCGGCCTCGAGCTCTGGCGTGGTCCATGAGAACAGCTCAACCTTTGTAAACTCGTGCACTCGGTACAGCCCCTTCGTATCTACCCCCCTCGCGCCTGCCTCTGCTCGATAACAGCGGCTGGAAGCGACATACTTCCTCGGAAGCACCGCAGAATCCAACACCGCACCTGCACCCATCCCCGCGAGTGGAATCTCTGCCGTCCCCGCCAGACACAGTTCTGGACGTCCGCGAGCCACATCCGCCTCCCCCTGCGCAATCGTGTATATTTGCGTCTCGCCGCTCTGGTCTCTGGGCATGAATCCGCACGCTGCCGCGACGTGGGAGTACACAATACTCGGCGGCGCCACAAGCGTCCATCCGCGTGCCGTCGCCTTCGAAAGCGCAAACTGCACCAGCGCCTGCTCGAGCTGTGCCGCAGCACCCATAAGGTAGTACCATCCCCACCCAGACGTTGAGCCTGCGCTCGCAAAGTCGAGTATCCCAAGAGAGGTTCCAATATCGACGTGAGACTTTTCCGACTCCCCAGACGGATGCTCATTGATGTAGCTCACCACCCTTGCTTCGTGTCCGCGCGGGGTGTCAGGGCTTGTGAAATTCGGCAACTCGAGGGCCAGCCCTTCGATCGACCGAGTCAATTCCGCCTCTTCCGTTTCAATGCTCGCCAGTTTACTCTTCAGGCTGCGGCTGGCGGCAATAATCCCATCTCTGCTCAAGTCGTCGAATCCAATCGCTCGCGCGGCGTCTTGGTGTTTGGCCGATTTCGGGTTCGCGAGCGCAGCCTGCAGAACATTGCTCTGTTCGCGCATAGATCGACCATCCCGCTGGTGTCCCTGCCATTGCGCAAACAGCTCGGTGATACGCTGCGGATTCGAACTCTGAGCTCCGTAGTTTCGCTCAATCGCGTTTTGTGTGTAAAGGTCCGGATTTTGGCGGATGTGCTTGATGTCAATGGTCGGTTTCTGAGCAATAGAAGGTCGAGAAGGTTCGGCCCGGAGTCGAGGCGATGGATGGTAAGAGCGCCATTGCGGCCGGCGAAGGAGAGGTCGTATGCGTGGAGGCATCGTTACTGTTGGAGGCGCCGAGAGGCATCGTTGCTATATATTTTGAAGCTCCCGAGGACAATCCGGCAGAATCACTCGTTTCATTCACCGCCCAGGACATCAAACAAGCCACTAACCAATGACGCGCCCCTCAAGGCATCGGCCAACCACCACCACCATATTTTGGAATTTCCAAAACGACTACGACAAAGATATAAAGCACGAGATAATACCTTCTCTCGCCATGTTACCAAGCATCTAACCTACGCATCTCGCCCTCACCACCACGCATGAATACAACGCCCGACAGGCCACAATGAACACTGAGGACCCCGATGGCGGGGTCCCTGCTGCCACCTACAGCGACGATGAGCTGTCCCCCACCAGGCCGAAACCGAAAGAGCTCCCCGCCGACCTCCCCAAATCCCTCAACGATCGCCGCGCCATTCCCGAGTATACAGCAGAGACGGAGATGTATGATGCGTGGCAGGGTGCGTCTCCTCATGCGGTGAAGGACCCCGCTAATATAACATAGGACAATCACAGTTCCTCACTGCGCCAGTGCTCGCCAGACCCTTACAGTTCAACAATCTTTCCCTCTCGGACGATTTTGGCGATGTCTCCCAACGAGTCGAGGACAGCGACAACAGGCTGATGGAGATGCTCGCTGCTCAGGCCGCACACCGTGACGGGTCGGCACCAGACGGAGACGAAGACGCAATCGCAGCGGACGAGAAATTGGACGATGCGGAAAAGAGGACAACGTTGCAACGGGCGCTGAATATGGCGGCCAGTAATGGAGATGTAGAGCGCATACAACGGATTCTGGGAGGGGATGCGAGGAAGTTCGTCGATCTGGATCTGCCAGATGAGGAGGGCACGGCACCACTAATTTATGCCAGCTGCTTTGTACGTCCCCCTCCCCAAGCTATAAGTCCCATCTAACAAATGTAGGGCCATGAACCAGTGGTAGTCGCCCTCCTTGAAGCTGGGGCCAACGTCGACAAGCAAGACCGAAACCAATGGAGTGCGCTCATGTGGGCCATGACCAACCGACACAAAGGAATCGCCAAAACCCTCCTCGACGCAGGCGCCTCCCCGGACGCAAAATCATCTTCTGGCCGCACCGCCTTCGACTTTGTTGCACCCGACAGCGAGCTCTCGGATTATCTTCATGATAGTGGGTATCACATTGGGAATGCCGGTGTGGCAGACGACTTTTACAATGCTGGCTTTGAGCAAGATCGCTTCGAAGAGGAGATGGCCGAAAACGAATTGAGGCGGCGCATGATGATGGAGAGCGCAAGGGATCTGGAGGTCGATCTGGGAAATGTTGGGATGGATGACCAGCCAGAGGTGAGATCAAACTTCCCTACCGGGGACTGTGCTGACTTTGTAGACCCCCGAAGAATTGGAAGAGGAAATGCAGGAATTCGACTGGGCGCGCTGCCTGCACGATCAAATGTTCGTCTTCCAAGAAAGTGAGCTGAACCGCATCTTGGATATTGTCATCACCAACATGACGCCCCAAAGATCAACCTCACAAAAACCGGTGCCAGCAAACATGATTTTCCTCAGCGCGCGCTACGCACACTACCACTCCAGTCAAGAGCTCCTCGGCAAGCTACTCATCATGGCCATGGACAAAATCAACGATGTCGTCGAGGCATATCAGTGGGATATGACAATCTTGGCGTTTTGGATGTCGAACGCCACACTCCTACTACATTACTTGAAGAAGGATGGGGGACTCTCGGAATCTACGGGAGAATTTCAGCTGCAGTTAGCGGAGCTCATCAATGAGATATTCATCCTTATCATCAGAGACGCAGAACGCAGGATAGACAAGGTCCTCGACCCCGCAATGCTCGACCACGAAACAATCCCCGGATTCGAAGACATTGCCTTCCAGGACGAATGGAAGATCTTCAAGCGAAAAACGACTGTCAAGGAGCAGCCTGCAGAAAAGCGCTTCCGACCACCGTCCCCGAAACAGCGCGCGAAGCCAGCCCCGCGCAACGTGACGTCCCTCCTCTCCTCAACCCTCTTCGTCCTCGACCTATATGACATTCACACCGTCATCTCGGCACAGATCCTCGCTCAGCTCTTCTACTGGATCGCTGCCGAGCTCTTCAACCGCGTCATGTCCAATCGGCGTTATCTAGCCCGCACCAAGGCGATGCAGATCCGCATGAACATCTCCATCCTCGAGGACTGGGCTCGCGCGAACAATCGCAAGCCGGAGCATTACGAAAACGGATCCATGTCCGCGTCAGGTGAGACCACAGTCGAAGCGGCGCGCCGCCATCTCGCTCCTGTCATACAGCTCCTTCAGTGGTTGCAGTGTTTTTCATCCCTTGCCCCGGACGACTTTGAGAGTCTTGTCGGGACTCTCCAGCAACTTACGAAACTAACGCCACAACAACTCATCCATTCCGTGAAACACTACCGTCCCGAAGTCGGCGAGAAGGGTCTACCGAAGAGCGCCATGAAATACATCATCAATCTCCAACGAGAAACGCAAGCACGGAAAGATCGCCAGCGTGCTGCTGCCTCATCACCGAGACCAGGCGACTCGGCGCCTTCAACGCCTGTAAAACCTGGGCAGAACAATGGCAACAGCAGCGTACCCCCGACGCCTGACTCGATACAGCGCGAAGAGGAAGAGGAGGAGGAGGATGCGCCCGAGAATTTATTACTAGATCCCGCACTCATGCTTCCATTTTCGCTGCCGACGAGCACGGATATGCTAGTTAGTTTCGGGGCTGGGTTTGGAGGGGTGAATAGAGAGAGGGAGAGAAAGTATATCCCGACGGTGCCTCCGGAGTTTTTAGCGAAGCTGGATGCGAGAGGTAGGGCGGAGGGTGGGAGTTATGCGGAGGCGGATTGGGCAGATGAACCTGTGTAGGCGGGGATGTAAATGGGGGTTACAATGGGAGAGTACTGTATATAGATGCCACCTTAGTCGGTGCCTCAAAACAAGTAAAAAGTACAGCAAACCTTGGCATATGGCAAGACGCGAAATGAGCTTCTTTGGGATGAAATATGAACTAGGCGCTGGCCACAGAGACCATCGACTCAGCACCAGCGGGCAGCTCGAACAAACATAACCACTAAATCCCATGCGTATATTTATAACCCATTCAGTTCTGCGCCAATCTAAATAATCTCACAACATTGCTCAAACAAAACCTCCTTACAATGCCCTCAATGCAGAGGCCGCAAAAACCACACCAGCCACCCCAGCGCCACCACCCATCCACATCGCTCGCAATCCAATCTCCCCTCTGAACGCGTTGACAGCAATGCTTCCCAAGTCGATGGTATCAATAAGCAGACATGCCCATAAGACATTTTTCAAGGCTTCTTTCCGTTCTACTATCGTGGCGTTGGTAGCGTCGCGTGTTGCCTTAAGTGGAATCCCATCTTCTTTGGATGATTTCATGTAGCTGCTGTAAGAAGCAAACAGAAGTCCGCCGATAGCTTTCAAATGGCTATTAGCATTCATTCAGTGAAGAGTCATGGACCGTAGTATACCTAGCTCACGCGCTCCGTAGAATTGTCCGATACTTCTAGAGGCAGAGGCGATAGGAAGCCCGAACATGGACGCGGATGGGAGAGGCAGGATAATTGCGGTGGCTCCAACGAGGAGTCGAACATCGGCAAGGGCTGTGATAAATGCCTTGGTCATGAAGGTTGGCTGTGGTTCCTGAGGAACGAACTGCGATGCTGAGTCTGATTCCATTTTTGAGAGTTCTTAATAGCTTGCGAAATATTATTCTGTTGATGGGAAAATATGAGAGTGATACAGGTTCAAATGGACCAAGCCCATATTTATATAATTTAGTTCACATCCTGCTGTATTACCCGGAAGCATTATTCAACATTATTGTGATCATTATGGGCATAATGGACAAGATGGGGTTATGATGTTCCATGACGAAAAATGCCAAGAGTGAAGCATAACGTTATGTTCTAACCGCAAATAGCTTGGCCTTCATTGTCATGTTGGCCTTCAGCTGCGCCTCTCCTTCCCCCGCATCGTAAATAATTCAAAACACCTGGGTAGTTCATGACAGGAATCATAAAGCATAATGCCGGAAACTGAAGCGCAATCGCTCGAAGTACCAAAACGGGGCGATCCCGACAGGAAGCGTGTTCTGAACGTCTTGGCTCAGCGTCGCTATCGTGAGTGTCCATAGGGTTACAAGGCTATAAGATCGCTCAACGGAGTATATAATATACTAACTGCCAGGACAGGTCAGCGAAGGCAGGAGAAAGTGCATGCATTAGAACGTAGATCTGCTGCTACCAAGGCTCTTTCCACGAATGAGATATTCCTTGTCAACAGTAGAGCCGGTGACCGAAATCAGCAATGCATGGAGAACTACATGGTGCAGGCTGGAGATAACTTCTGTCTTGTATCAGATGGATCAACTCCAAGTTCGGATAACACCTGGAACTCACTGTCTACCAGTGCGGGCAGCAGCCCAGATAATTATCTCAATGATATAAATGGCCTAGATCAAGTTTTCTTCAGTAGGTCTCACGCCGTGTGCACAGAACACATGCTAACTGTAGGCCTGAATAAGACCTAACGCCGCCGCTCTACAACTTGAGCGATTTCGATTCCGAGCTACAGGCCCTCGAGTCATCGCAGTTCACATTTCCGGACGATGCGAATCTCCAGGTGCCCGAGCTCAAGGTTATCAAAGCAGGTCTTGAGATGGCTATGCTTCTTAACTGCGGAGATGCACTCTGGGACCCAACAGCCACTCGCCTCTTCACATCAACCACTCTTTCCATAACACTTCCACCAGACCTACAACCGACTGAAGTCCAGGGGACAATCCCTCATCATCCTCTACTTGATATACTACCGTGGCCATCAGTGCGGAACAAATTTATTTACATATTTTCGCAGCCGGTAGAAATGAGGCCGAAGGCGGCGCGGGATCCGATGGCGCTAATCAAGTTGCAATACGACCTCGAAGACTCGGCGGAAGGAGTGAGGATTTTAAATGAAGACTGTTACGACGGCAAGAACTGGGAGATTGGCCAGGTCGTGTTCCAGAATTGGTGGTGGGCTTTGGATCGGGGCGTTGTAGAGCACTCCAACAAGTTACGAGCGAGGAGGGGTGCGCCCCCGTTGCAGCTGATGTCTGCTTAAACTAACGTTTGGGTTCTATGTCTGTCCATCTCTCGATGGTAATATTATGTATGTTTGAGATAAGCAGGTAAAGTTGCCTTATTAATAACTATGGTTCTTATAATCTGTGCCAGTTATGTATCGTCGCTATAAAAGTTTAACAAACACTATTAATATTCCTTGCGCTATTAAAACCAGCTCTTTACACAGTGTCATATTGAAATAATATTTAATTTCTAACCTATATCAAGTCCCTTTTAAACTTTTAACCAACACGATTATCTTAAGTAGGAGCTTATATATACGAGTCTTGTGAATGGACAGGAGCAGCTTACCCCACAGTATTTAGTAAGGTTTGTAACCCGGCAGTCGCGATTTAGTGCCCCGATGAGCTGGTCTCCCGCTTACCGGGGCACTAACCCCACTTCCCGCTACTGGCTAGGATTCAAAAGTCGTCATCGATGGTGGTGATACTCATTACGAATCTAAGTCAGACAAGTCATCCGACCTACATATTACTGCCAACTTCTGCACTTCCCCCCCCTCTCGCCCTCACCCTCACCCTCACCCTCTATCCCCCTCCCGATCATCCATCCTCTCGCCAACTGTGAACGAAGAGTCACTGTCACAGCTATCGGAATCATGGCGTCGGCGACTGGCATTCCACAACTTACACCGGACGAGATCGCGCGCCGCGATCCGGTTCCCACCGAGGGACTCGCGGAGGATGAACCGCTCCTTGGCCGTCGGGGAGCTGCATCTCAGCGGGAAGGGAGGCCATTGGGGTGGAATCTGATTCTCGGTATGTCTTCCTTGCTTTCCGATCCTGCATCCACTAAAACCTTCCCAGGGACAGCCCTCATATCCCAAGCCGGGATCATCGCCCTCATCGTCCTCATCGTCTATGCCATCTTCAACTACCCATTTTCCCTCTTCTCTTACCATCCACTCCTCAACATTTCCGCCGTCGCCCTCGTCACCCAAGCCGTCATTATCCTCCAGCCGACCCACACAGCCTCCCAAAAGATATCAGGGACTCACGTCCATGCTGCCCTCCTCGGCGCGGCAAGTTTGGCCTTTGTAGCGGCCTTTTCGGTCATAGAATACAACAAGTTCGATCACGGCGTTAATCACTTCACCTCTGCGCATGGCCGTCTCGGGCTCACGACTTACATCTTGATCCTGCTCCAGGCCCTAGTCGGCGTGACACAGTTCTTTGTCCCAGGGCTTTACGGTGGCGTGGAGAAGGCAAAGAGGGTGTATAGATGGCATCGTGCGAGCGGGTATGTACTGCTGCTGCTGATGTTGATTACGGTGGCAGCGGCGGCACTGACGGAGACTGGAGGGGACGTGTTGGGATTGAAATTGGGTTTCTTGGGGGGTGCGGCGGCCTTGGTTGCAGTTGGGGTGGCGGCAAGGGTCAGGCCCGGAAAGTTTCGATTTGGGGGAGGGGTAGGGGCGAGTTAGGAGGTTGAGGATAGTGCTCGCGAGGGTGTGGTGGCATGAGAGTGGCCCATGTGGACAGTGAGTATCTTGTGAGCGTGCGTTTGAGTTTCGTGATATATATGCAGGGTAGTACCCAAATTTAGTTCAGGCCATATATTGTTCTTTGAGGCCACTATTCGTTGCATGCGACGAGCCAGAGTCTCATGGAGGCCAGATTACTTCTAAGAAAATCGAAGCATATTATGGACCCTACAATCACTCATCCACATATTATTAAATATGGTGTCTGTTGTCGCCGCATTGTTCGCCGAACACTTGATCACGGTTCTCGTGATGCTGAAGATAATATAAGGGGACTAGATTCTCAGGTTTGGGATGTCGAGAGGGTGACCTTCGGTCAGGTCGCCGGCTGCGATGGGGGTATCAGGATGAGTTCTCTCCCAACGTTAGGTAAGGCTAGTATTATGCATGAAGAGCTTACCACTCTGTTCCCCAAGGATCCTAGACGAAAAAGTCGTCATCCATCGGCATCACCAACTGCTGCCTATTGTTATTCGTATTAGAATATTAGAATCAGTAATCAGGTAAAACTCTCGTCTCAATCCCAGATTGATATTACGAAAAAAGGCTGATTGATAAGCGCGTATACACCTAACCCTTTCGGGTGCAACGGCCCGAACAAAAAGACGTAGATGCACACTAAAGATCGACTAGCCGCGAAGTACAAAACTGCGATCCAGGAACGAGCCGAGGTGTGGGCGAGAAATGCAGAAATTTCATTGGCGACATCCAGAAATTGCGTGCACCCTACGAGCCGTGTTCGATCGCTGTTTCGGTGGGTTTCTGGCGCAAATGCCGTCCTGGATTGGTAAGTCAATGGTGAAGAAAGCTGATTAAGCATCAGGAAAGATGGCCATCGGACATACCGTTGTCTCCGATGAAGGGTTAGTGGGGGGTAGTGGAGGAGGGGAGAGGGGCGGTTATAAGAACCCCTCTGGGCCGGCAATAAAGATAGAGAAAATAAAACAAGATAACAAGAACTTGCCTTGACCTGCTCATCACTCGCCCAAGAACGACTCTCCCATCCACTCCCTACAAACCGCCACAATGACAGTCACTCAAAGCAACCTCTTCGCCCCCCTTTCCCTCGGCAACCACACTCTCCAACACCGCCTCGCCCTCGCGCCCCTCACCCGTTTCCGCGCGACCGATGCCCATGTTCCCCTCCCCATGGCAGCAACCTACTATGCCCAGCGCGCCTCTACTCCCGGCACCTTCCTCATCACCGAAGCGACGTATGTCTCTCCTGCCGCTGTTGGCTACAAGCATGCCCCGGGAATCTACAACGCCGCCCAGATTGCCGCCTGGAAGCCTGTCACCGAAGCCGTGCACGCCCGTGGGGGTATCATCTTCAGCCAACTGTGGGCTCTTGGGCGCACTGCGGACAAGGAAGGCGCCGAGAGTGAGGGACAGACTGTCAAGGCACCTAGCGCCATCGCGGCGCCCGGTGGTGCGCTTCCAGAGGCTCTCACGGAGGAGGAGATCCAGCAGTACATCCGCGACTATGCGCAGGCAGCGCGCAACGCCATCGAGGCCGGTTTCGACGGCGTGGAGGTCCACAACGCGAATGGATACCTTCCCCACGAGTTCCTGGAGGAAGTGAGCAACCAGCGCACCGACCACTGGGGAGGGAGCGTCGAGAAGCGCTCACGCTTCGGAATCGCGGTCGTCAAGGCTGTTGTTGAGGCTGTTGGTGCCGAGAGGGTCGGTATCAGATTGAGCCCTTACTTCAAGGGGTACGGAATGAACGCTGTTGATCCGACCGAGCAGTTCACGTACTTCGTGAATGAGCTTAAGAAGTTCGATCTCGCTTACCTGCATCTTGTCGAGGGCCGATTCGATGGGACCAAGGAGGAGAGGGACTCTGTCCGCTTCCTGGCCGAGGTATGGGGTAAGGAGAAGCCATTGTTGATTGCTGGTGGATTCGATGGCGAGAGCGCAAAGGAGCTCGTGAAGGAGTATGAGGGTTTCAAGCTTGTCGTTGTCTTCGGGCGCCACTTTATCGCGAACCCAGATTTAGTGTTCAGGATCCGCGAGGGACTAGCGCTGACGCCGTACAACCGCAAGACGTTCTACAACGCCATGCAAGAAGAGGGGTACACTGATTATCCCTTCAGCAATGAGTTCTTGGCCAGCAGAGAGGCGCCATTAGAGATTAAGAGCAAGGCTTGAGTGGGAATGGTTTTTGCATAGCGTGGGTATGGGAGTTTAGACTTGTTTTGCAATTTGATACCAAATTATATCGTTGACTCGAGTCTAGCCTTTGAAAAAAAGTGTGACTGTACAGTAGACCACATCGTAAGGTCAACCTACAAAATACTAACAGTTAAGAATGTGTAACATAGTTCGGTCATACTTGTACAGGCTTAAGAGTCTTCGTGGGTGCGTCTTGCCCACACATAAGAGAGATTATTCATGTCATAATATAGGAACGACATCTCCAGCCCGAGGGAACTACTATTCATGCGAGCTGAAGTCATTCTTTCTGCATGGTGGAAACTGCCAACGTAGAAACCCGGAGCATTAAAGAGTTACAATTGTCATTCTACCACATCTTTCATCTGTCAGACATTCACCTCTTCACTCCATGTATTCCCCTTCCTCTCTCAGTGCCCATATCTCATCCCAGAAACCCCAAACTCCCTTTCCCGCTCCCTCTCTCTCTCTCGCCTCCCCTCCGCCGCCAATGAATCTCTACTAATCGTCCTCACTTGGTTTGGCCCAAACGCTACTCGTCGCTTGTCAATCCGATCATTCGCCGTCAAATCGCTCGGCTCCTCCTCTCCCTCAGAGTAAAACACCACCCTCTCTCTCGACCGGCTACGCGACGAGACTCTCGCCCCTTCACTTCCTCCACTATTTGCATCCCGCACGTACGGCGCGCGGTATGTGCGGGATCCACGTCTCGTGCGGATAGGCGAGCGTTGTTGTCTTGAAGTCCGTGGCGAGGCAACAGGAGGCGACGCAGCTTGCAGCGAGGAACCGGAGTCAGAACTGGGCTGGTACTCGCCTGGGAGACGAGAAGGGCGATAAACACGTGGCTCGTTGGAGGGAGGGTACTCGGTCGTGTCGCGTGAGGAGTAACTGTATGTATCCACGCTTCCACTGGTTGCCGTCGAGACGCTCGGAGGTGTAGGTGCTGGTGGGAGGAGTGGTCGAATATCTGTGCCTAGTTTCATATCAGCGTTTGTCTACGTGTGCTCAATAACTTGATGCAAACCTTCATGATAACTTTGCTGGTCGACGCTTGCTTCGGAGCTTCCTGGCCCGCTCGGTAGAGCTGCACCGTCCAGGTCGCGCGGTCGAATTCGCTGATAGTTAGTGTGCCGACTGGTACGGCTTCTAGTCCGACTCCATTCCTCGGGGAAATACTCCGCAGCATCATTCTGGCTGATGAGCCTCTGTGAAGCTCGATGTGGCTTTCTGCCTCGATCCGCCTGTTCATATCTCAGCTCACCAACGGCTGATGAGGATTTCTGTGGGCGGTAGTCGTAGCGCTCGGTGACAACAAGCATCTCGTCGTCTTTGAGGTTCTTCAACTCTTCTTGAATCCCAGGATGGGCACTGCGAACATTTTGTGGTGGCAAACTTGCACGCTCCTTCCGTCTGGTTGAGGCGGCTTCACGGAATCTGGCCACGGAATCCTCGGAAATGTAATCCTCCAAAGCCTGCGTTGATACTCTTCTTCTGTGGACCTGTGCCTTTGGCGATCTATGTCTCGAGCGCCCTGGTGGGCGATCTCTCTCATGAAGAGGTGCGCCGTCGCTGAGATAATCCATATATGCTTTCTCGGCAAGTCCCTCCGGATCCGAAGATTCCTGACTATCGTATTCATAGTTTTCCGAGAGTGGTTGAGCTTTACCGCGACTCCTCCTCCGCCGAGAAGAACTTCTAGTTCTCCGCACAGCTGCTGGCAACAACTCGCTGGACCTACGCCTGATTGGTTCCCTAATAGCCACTAGGGGGGATTGTTGCGGTTCGTCGCCATCTCCTTTGAAATAACGCTGACTTTGGCGCCCCTTCTGTACTTGGTCGCTTGACTTCTCGGTGACGACAATATATTCCTCCACGGGGGTTCTTGCGCGAACCTTCTGACCGGAAATTAGCTCCCGCAGGAGTCTGGAGAAGGGTGGCTTGGTTGGCGTTACCTTGGATGCAGTGCTGCCAGATTCACCATCTAGATCGCGGTAGTGGCGTTGATTGGTGCTCTTTGAGATATTCTTAAGAGCATTAGTGAATAACCTATAATATGCCCTCACAGTAACGGAGCTCGTGGTTTCATACATACCTTCATCCTTCGGTCTTGGTAATATTTTCGGTCTGTCTCATGCGTATTTCTCCCCCTGGTCACATATTTCACCGTCTCTCCTTCACTTCCAGCACTGTCCTCGCTCGATGTCACCTCCTTCTGGCACTTTCCACAATACGACACAGGCGGGGTTTCTCCAGCATTGATCGGATGCGTCGCTTGGTACTTTCTTGATCTGGGATTGCCGCACTGGGCGCAAATATGGGTCGCCGGGAATAGATCCTTCTCATAAACCACCTTTTTGATATGCTTCTCCCTCTGCGCCTTTCTATAGTGCCTCTTACTCTTCTTCAGTGGAAGTTCAACCTCGACCTCAGAATCAGTCGATCTAAACTCCTTTTCGCACTTCCTGCAGAACGACACAGGCGCTGTATCGCCTGCCTGGAGCGGGTGTGCGGCTTGATACTTTCTCGATCTCAAGTTCCCGCAATTTGCGCACAAGTGCCGCGTAACAGTGATCGACGTTGGCGTAGTCACAGGCGCAGCAGCGGGAGCAGATTTATCATACTGTGAATTGAAGCCGCCAAATCCCATATTCCCCATCATGGACACCATCTGTGGCTGGCCGCCATACATGAACGGCTGCTGTGGGTATCCGAAGTGGCCTTGGTGCATCATCGGCGGCGGTCCATGTCCTGTGGGAACTTTGGGGAGCAAGACAAGCTGGCGATTACCTTGCTGGTATATTCCTGGCCGGGGAGGGGGCATCGCAGGTGCCATCGGATTTGGTTCGTGTACATGATGAAGCACAGAAGTCTTGACGGCCTCAGCATCTGCTTTGTCCTTGTCCATTCTGAAAGCGGCGCCGTCGAAGACCTCGCTGAGAAGATCGTAGCCGATACTAAGCACATGTCCCAAGTCGTAGGATGAACTGCTTCTCGCTTTGCGACGGCTGGGGCGAACTAGACAAAGCTTCCCGTTAATTCTCTTGACACTAGTGTCGTCGCTCAGGAAAGGGTGCATTGTTTGCCTTAGATGGCCAACACTGAGAGCGGTGCAGAAATTGGATCAAAGTGAACAAATGTAACATTTGTAACATTTTATAGGTTGTAGTAGGATTGGAAAGTGCAGTTCGTGAGATGAACGATGAGGTTGAGGATGCAGATGCTTTAACTTACCAGGCAAGATAGAGTTGTTGATTTGTGGTTGTGTGGTCAATGGTTCAGTTGCCCAGTTTGGAAAGAACGTGTCTAGATAGAGCAGTGTTATTTTGCCTCACAAATTCACCTCCAGTCACGTCAAGTCCAGTCGACAGAGGTGAACAAAAGAAGGAAGATAAAAGACCAGAGAAATAGTCAAGAGAAATGAATTTATAGAATGTGTGAAGCTCTATATCTCACTTCCCAGTGGTAACAGAATGATACAGTACCTATTCCGTACTTCCCATCGACCTGGCACCCTTTGACCAACTCGCAGACAACAATGTCCATCTCCATCCTCCACCAGGTCTAAACCCTCAGGATCAGAATTGGATGCCCGAGGTTTCCCACCCCCTTATGGCACCGACAGCTCCTGCAAAACGGGTCAAAGATATAAAAACCGAAAAATATTGGCGAAAACACCCAAAAGGTCTACAGTGCTTTCATATCCACAAGACCAAAGGTCAAACGGGAGGTCTAAACCCTCAGAATCAGAACTAAATCCCTGAGGTCTCCCACCCCTTTAGGACATCGACAGCTTCTGCAAAAGGGATCAAGGAGACAGAAATCGAAAATATTGTAGAAAGCACTTACAAAGATCAAGGTTCAACGAGAGGTCTAAACCCTCAAAATCAGACCTGGATTCCTATAGTGTCTACCCCTTGGGACATCGCCAACATCCACAGAAGGAGTCGAGCATACGGAAATTGATGGATATCGTGGAAAGCACTCACAGGAGTAAGGATCGAACGAGATGTTGCAAATCCCCATATCAGGGTCAGGTTCCTACGGCATCTTGCCTGCACAATCATATGTCTTACAATCCAGGCCCGGCATGTCCACCCCATCTCCTTCTCAAGAGGTTCTCAACACGCCTCAACACCTCCCAACGATATCAAATCCCGTCCTCTGTGTCGTCTGGAGCTCTCTTTAAGACACAATATCTCGGAAGATTGATAGTCCGCTATTTAAGATTCGCCAGAGACATCTTCTCGTTTCAGACTCACCCAAGCACCTGAATATGCGGAGTCACGGTTGCCAAATTGCGCTCTCTTTATGTATGATATTGTCCCCATGGCCGCTGCGCGTTAACTAGATTCTACACTACTGCAGGAACACGGCGCATAATCACACACATCTGCGATGCAACATCTCACATCACGTGAACCCTTGTATCCAAACTCAAACTGGACACCACCCCAACCGTGCCAAACCGTTTATCTTACCCCCGTCAATCTCTCAAGCATTCCTTGATTCGGCCACGCGCCACATACCGGATGTCCCGCGGCGTCGCGCCATATCAGCCGCAAGCTCCGTGCGAACGCGCTAGCCCTTCATCTCGCGCTCGCCTCGGGGAGGGGAAGAAGTTCAGGTGTGACACTGGAGAGGGGTTTCGATCCGTTGGGCGTGACTGATGTATGTGAAACGGAGCTCGCGTGTGGGGATGTGGAGGGGTGGCGTTTCGGGATGGATGTGGGGGACAGAAGCATGTTGTAGCCTTTGGGGGTCCGTAGGGCAGTGGGACAAGGGAGTGGATTTGGAGTCCAGGAGAAGTACACGGCCGTAAGGCATGGTGTTTATCTGTTCCGATTGGATGTGTCGAGAAGGAACCGGTGGCCAGTTCAGGAGATCTCGGTGATGCTCGATGTTGGTAGTGAGAGCAGCGTGTTCTTCTGGACGCTGCTCAGCACACATACTATCCTAGTACTGGAACCTCTAGATCTAGATCTTCGTGGGCTGAGGAGGAAAGATTACTCTCGCACATCACCGTCGCCGACCACGGATACCAGCATCGCATGTCATCGCGGTATTCGTCCGCGATGATTCTAACCCCGTTCGTCCAGAGCAGACTCCATACCAAGCAAAGTGCCCGTACCATCCGTTCTGGGCCTTGACACGCTCTGACCAGTCTAGCATCAGGAAACCCCGATAAGGAGAGCTTAATGCCGTGAATTATGGATTTCACGCAAGGCCGCTCTCGTGAGACATGACGCGGCCGAAAAAAGAGCGCTGGGCGGTGCTCTCATTTTGTTTTCGGCATGCTGAAACGCGGGAGACAAGCCATATTCTATCCATCGGGAGGGACCAGGGTGGAAACCGCTCTATCCGAGATGTCGAATTTGTGTCGAGGGTCATGCATAAAGCTCGAAAAAGGACGTGTCTTCGCCCTCGTCTTGCCAAGAGCGATTCCGAACCCGTGGGCAGGTACTTGATGGAGATCGGCTCTTGGCCCCTAGACACGCCCCGCCTGTGATGTGATTGCTGTGATTGCCGCTTTGTGATGTGATATGAAGCTGGATGATCTGATCGCCTCGGTCGCTCCCCGATCACTACCAGACTTGAGCCCTGGCGAAGATCCCGAGAGGTTGCCTCGAGACGCCCATGTACACCATCGGGGACTCTCGCTCGTGGGCGGCAACAGTACTACGGTGTTACGGTACACAGCGAGCTGCGGCACTCGTGGCGCTAGGATTGGGAATGTGATGCGTGCTCAGGGAGGACGAATGAGGGAATATGTATAACTAGCAGGATTGCAGAACTATAGGATTATACCAAGGTGGTCCTTTTGAGAAATGCCAGATGTCTCAGATGACGGCGCGTGCCGGCGGATTTTGGTAGGAGCACGCTTGCAAGTTGGGATGAAAGGCGGCACACAGCTGGAAGTCGAAGGAGCTATACTCAGTATGTACAGATCGGCGAGCTTCCAGACAGAACTCTGAGGGGCAGCAACGTCTACAGTATCTATTGTTCAAGGAAAGCCGTTCAATCACTTAGGTTTACAATCAACCGGCCAGTTACTCAGAGATGGAGCTCTAGGCCGAAGCTTTGGCCTGGTCCTAGCGATGCTAGCTGCCATTAACAAGCTGTCAACTTCCTATACTGCACAAATAGAGGATACAATTCCATCATAAGCTTCATATACCAAACCATCCTACCCAGCCTCAGACGAGAACGTTGACAGGAACAGTCGCCTGTCTACAGTTTTTGAGGGGTGATCCACCAAAAAACCGAACCCCAGTACCACGATTCCCACAAACGGACGACTCAAGCCCCCTGCAGCCATGCGAAACAAGCCACCCGGACCCATCGAGGCCCCGTACCAGGATGCCCCCCAAATTAGACAACAACAACAGCAACACCAGCATCCCTAGGGCGTTCTCTTGCACAGGGCTTTGAGCAATTTGGGCAATTTTTGCCATGGCCCTTCCTAGCCAAAATGCAGGGCTAAGAAATGGCTGAATGGCCGAGGGAATGATTCGCGATATGCACTTGTTCCCCTGCAATTTCACCCACCGCCACATTCAAGTACATGGTCACAATCTGTGTCGTTCTATCCCGGCAGATCGGACGAGCTGTGCTTGGGATTGATTGCTGTTGATGGATTGGATATGACCTGTGCGCGGTGCGGGTGTCTGTGCCACGGCTTGCTGGGGATGTCTGCCATCCCGGTGCCATCCTTTCATCTCTTTCGGAACAAGACGCTGAGATCAGCAGTGGGGGGTGGGGTGAGGAGGAGATCGGACAGACGCGACGTTTCTAGATGGGAATTATACTGGACTGGGGATGTGAACTGGGCTGAGACTGAGGTCTAGACTTGAGAGATGGAGTGGGTTGATGGGTGATGGGCAGTGGCATAGAGTGGACCAGAAACTCAGAAACTCAGAAACCCTGTGACCCGTCAGAGTCCGTAGCTGCAGTGGATATCAGCGTGGATATTGTGTGGATATTGTGTGGAACATTTGTCTTGATAGCAGTTCACTTCAAGCAATGCTAACCGCGTGGCTTCAGCACTATCCCAAGCCACACTCGCTCCCACGACGACGATGCATTCCTGATGTGACGAGGTGCAGCTACGCCTCGCGTCGTCCATGCTGCTGTTGCTGCTCCCGCTCCTACTCCTGCCTCTTCCCGACTACGCTCGTGCAGCAAACTGGGGCTACTTGAGGCTACTGCAGTGATGCTGCCAACTTCGCTATTTGTGGCGTGGAAGTCACGACTGGGAGACTGGGCAAGCCCAACAATCCTCCGCCAGACACTTGTGGAAACTACGAACAACGACAGGGCCTGGAAGATGACGACCCAAGCCCAGAAATTTAGCTTCAATACTTGCTCTCGTTTCGAGAGTTAGGACAGGAACGGCGCCGTAATAGCGCAGCCGACAGCCGTGGACCATCCACAATCACCGTCGCCACCGCCCACGTTGCAAAGTTACTGTGTAGCGTAGAGCAGTGGTACATGAACCCTCACCACACACATGCCAGAACATGGTCACTCTTTCGCTCGCGCATGAAGATGAGAGGGTGAGCTCTTACTGTACTCTACTCGGCGCACTGTACGTACAGAAACACCAGCGGATCCTCGTGCTCCCCGATCGGCAGAATCCACAACGGAACAAGCGTCAAGCTGCTCGCCTGCGTCACGAAACCGAGGATCGGCGCTGGGGATCGGGCGGGTTGTCGTTGTGTTGTCGGTTCGTTGATTAAGGACCGCGACCCCGGCGAGTGGAGCGACCTCATCAGTGGACGGCACACAGTGGGGGTGCCCTGTTCCCGCGTGTTCCTTTTAGAGTGAGGGCTGGACTACTCGGACCACTTTGTGATGGAGTCCATACAGGGTGTTCATACACTTTGTCCAAATTGTCCAAATTGTCCATAAACAGTTCGAGATGGCGCATAATGTGCAGTGTACATCTTGCCTATCTCGTCTCCGGTGGAGAGCTTGAGGGGATGGTGCGCTCCTGTCTTCCCTTTGAGCTCCATAGCTTGCCCCTTGCTCCATGTTTTTGCTCCATAGCTCTCTTCCAGGCCAGGACGTGCCGTGCATCGCTCTATCTCTGGCTGTCCAAGCTCCATGGTACTCAACTCCCCGGCCCGCATCCATCGCCCCCTGTCCACGTCGCCGGCGTCCAGATGCGAAATATAGTGTCAGGTAATATGACCATCGGGATATAGCACTGGGGATATTGCACTGCAAACTTCCAGAACACAGTGATCGTGATCGTGATCAACGGGAGTAGACTCCGTATGTCGCACCTCGTCTTCTCAGAATCTGATGTTCCTCGTGTTCGTCTCAGGGGCCACCTGTTCTCAATTCTCAGTCAGTTCTCAATTCTCAATTTTCCATTCTCGATACTGAACGTGCGCTCCACATGTCTTCCACCGCATAACCCCTCCTTCATTACAGCTCCCGTTTCAGGCCCGGCCCTGCACGAAATGACTGCCCGTTACGGCATCCTCCCCCCATGGCTGCTAACGTCAACTTAACTTATTCCTTCTGCTCCGCTTACCACACACTCTGTACCGAAGTAAATTCTGCATACGACGGTAATCATAGTGCCAGTGTAACTCTACTGTTCCACTGTGGGAACTTTCGTCCTGGTCTGAGCTGCTTAGAGCACGAGTGGCACTTCCCACTTCTATCTTTCCCACTACTGCACCTACATGGCCTCCCTCTCCACCAACCACATGCCCCGCAGTCAGCCTTTCCCTTGTGGCTTACATAAAATCCCCTCCTTCCCCCAACAGAGCTTCTAGCTCTCTCACTCTCTCCTACTTCCTTTCTCACTCCGAGGTTTTCTTCTTCCTTATACTCACTTTACCTTCGACCTCTTTCACTTCTCTTCTACCCTCTTTTCTGTTTCACTTGATTCCCCCCCCCCACCAAGGCTGCTTGTTCGGCCTCTTCTGCTTCTTCACAAACATCTTCGAGAGACACCTGTAGTTATTTATCATTATAATCCAACTTTTCCCATTTCCACATCCATGGTCCCACCACACCGGTCCCGTTAGAGCGCCATCGCCATGTTACTCACCCTGCAACCGCCCTCGAACCACGCCTTCAAACCCTTCCATGACTACTCCCCCCCCACACCGCCATCCACGTCGCGCTTCTCACCAGCACTCATAACCTCCGGGCCCGCCTACCCTCCGCCGCCTAGGATCACCACTCCTCCCTCGATGTCTACACCGCACCGTGGCCTTCCCCCTCCCGCCGCTCTCGCCCTGCCTCCCTCCCAGTCCTCGCAGGCCTCCCAGTCCCAGCCGGCCCAACAGCCGCCAGCTCCCTCACAGCCCATGACGCAACAGCAGCCGCTTGGTCAACTACCCTCGCCGCCGCAACAATGGCATGGTGCCGAGGAATCCATGCGAACCTGGCTACAGGCGAAGTCGGAGGAGGACAAACGGCGCCAGGAGGAGGAGAGAACGGCCCAGGAGTCTCTACGCCTCGAGCAGCGCCGTATCGAGCACGATATCCTCCGCACTTCACTGAGCGGCGGCATTCCACCTCACCTCATTCCATTGGTCTTCGCCGGCATGGGCGGTGGCAGCCTACCTAGCGCAGGTCTAGAATGGGCGCAGCGCTACGTGGCGCAGGAACAGCCGCAGCTCCAGCAGTTGCCGCCGCCGCCGCAACAGCAACTCACCAATCCTCTCGCTACAGCGCAGCCTGCCTCGCCCATGTTAAGGAGGGAGGATAGACAAATCTCCCACCCGTATGGACACTCACACCCAGCTCCCGCTCCAGTCCCGTCAACACCCGTCGCTTCTCTCACGCAACAAACCCCCTTTGCACAAAGTCAAGGGCAGGGTTACCCAGCTTCACCACCACGCTCACGGACCCAACTCCCCGGTCCCTCAGCACTCGCGCGCACCCCGCAGTCCGTAGGCCTCCCGCGCCTAAACACAGGCGATGTCCAGATCCTGCAGTCCGTTCCGCAATCCCAGTCTCAGTCGCAGACGCAGCCTTCAGAACCCTCCCCGCAGCAGAGTCCAGGGATCTACTTTCACCACTGGCAGCCACCAACCTCTCAGGCGCCACCGCCGCCGAGCACTCAGCCACCTACGCCATCAGGTGAATAACCCCCCAGCAGTTTTCCCTCTGATCACCACGCTAACTCCCAGCAGAAGCGCCTCGCCCTTCATCTCCTCCGAAGAAGCGAAAGGCCCAAGGTCCTCCACCGGCGACGCATCCCCACCACTCGCCACCCTACTCCCAGGGACCTGCTCGTCGCCGCGCACACTCCCACCGCAGCGGCTCGATGGACCAGGCGCGGCGCGGACGTTTCCAGGATAGCGAATCAGCGCCGCGATCGCCGGAGGGTTATGGATATGCCGAGGCAGCGCAGAGCGGGAGGAGGAACACACTTCACTCTGAGGGCAGGCACCCGTTGCCTATGCCTCAGCAGCAGCAGCAACAGCAGAGGGGCGCGGAGTGGCGGTATGAAGAGCGAACACCTGAGCAGGAAATCCGGAGGAGAGAGGGAAGAGAATGAGCGGTGTACCTACTTGGACGCGATGAAAATGCGCAAAATACAGAGGACCTAGTCCTGTTGATAGGGAAATGAACCCTGCTCGACGACTGGGGGGACTGACAGAGGAGAGATTGGGGATGACACACCCACCATTTTTACTACTTCGAACACCAGCCGATCAATTGATCCTGGTGCAACTTTTGCCACAATGCGGCTGGCACCGCGACAGTTGTGATGTCTCAGACTGCGGGCCGTGTGATATATCCGGGTTCAGTTCTGAGACATTCAGCCAGGGGTCATGGAATTATACCAACCCTTCTTCTGCCAACCATACTTTTACTTCGATTCTTTTTTTTTTTCAACTTCATTCAAACGGAACGCATCTTTAGGGGGCATTTTCTTCTTCATCATCACACACTTTTTACTGCTCCGCCGCCGCCACTTGCGCATTTCTTGAGCTCAGCTCCGATTTTCACATCATCTTCTATTCGGAAATTCAGAAACGAATAGATTAGGCAGGGCGGCATCGAAACTCGCCCGTTTTCTTCCTCGGCCTTTCTATTTCGTGTGCGTTTGTGTTGTAATTCATAGGACCGGTTCCAGGATGGGCGACACTGCCACATGAGAGATGAAGGAGGGAAGTTTGGATAGCTTGCTATTGCGAAGCACGGTGCAGCAACATTGTCCGCACCGTTTCCATCGGCCATTGCGCGACGGATAGGGCCCTTGAGCTCGGAGGAGCGGCATATGTACTATAGACCGAGAAACTGGGTGCGTGTGTCTCGAACAACGAGACAACAAAGACGGGGGCTTAGATACGCATCCATCTGCTCCATAAAAACAAGAGAACAGATAGGTGGGCTGGGATGCCTGGATTTATATGCATCAATACCATCTAATTCACACTCGATTCTCGGGCTTTCTACTCTGTTTGTGACTGACTTCGTAATACTCCTAACACGATTTTTTGGGACTGATGACGCTGTTCACGGGATATACACGCGGCATCGGCGGCAATGGCCAGGGAGGTTATATCTCATCCATTGGTACTGCAGACTTTTTTATTTGATTGCAACTTCCCTATGAAGCCACACTACCTACTTGATTCGCTCCTTCCTCCTTTCCATTACTTCATGCTAGTGACTCGCTCCTTCCCCCTCGAGGCCACAGCAGCGAGTCGCCCTTTCCTCCACAAGCTCCATACTGGCGCCTCCACCATATAGGTCGCGCCTTCCGCGGTGCCTCTAGGATATCTGGATATTTTTACATCCATCCCGCCGCCTTTGTCTGCGCATCCTCCCTTCCTCTCACAATAGCTTCATCATCCCGCTTGCAGGATTCAAGCCCGCTCCTAATAGTCCAGGTATACAAATAGCAAAGAAAAAAGAAAAAAGAAAAAAGATCTAGATGGATTAGTATGATTTGGGTATAAATTAGATCTTTGTGTGTCTCTGATATTAGAGTTGTCGTCAATCGGAAGCTTGGTGAGAGATATTATGTTGTGTAGTCGTAGCTCAGTAATTGCGGTGGTTGTGGTGAGATATGGATTATGAAGATTTTGGTGGGTTAGAGTTGTTGTAGGGCGTGGAATGTAGGTATTGAGGGTTGGTATAGTCCACAGAGTAGGGTGCCAGGCACCAGTTTGCTTCACGTCGAGAGACTGACAGTTCCATACATCTCGACAGATGCTCATCGGGCTCTCCTCCTCCTTTGGTGTATCTTCCACTCGGCCCTGGCGACCTTCATGAACAGCGCTTCATCCTTAATCGGCACCCAGCTCGTGAGCACCTTCATTGCATTATCGAAGTCCGAATCAAGCAGGATCTCCCGCGTTCCATCGATCAACGCACAGCTACACGCATGCAGCACATCCAGACCATGCTGGAATGGCCGCTCGGGCGTTGCTGGCACTGAGGGATCCAAGTCGCCGAGCAGCATGAAAACGTCCCAGACGCGCAGCTGTGATGCGAAGGGGATGGAGTAGTTGAACAGCGTGAGGTACCAGCGTGTCCCGTACGCCGTGGGGCCGATATCCAGTTCGTCCTAGCGAAATCAGTATTTTCTTTCTCAGAAAGATGGGGTGGTAACTTACAAGTTGACGGGATACGTCATGTCCCCTCATCCAATCCACCTGGAACTCATCCAATGCAGACATCAGCCCAGCAAATCCATGCGCATACAGCTTGTCAAGTCCCCTCAACGTCCACAACCTGACACACATGATAAACGTCTTTTCTTCGTCATAATAGCACAGTAGTGTGGCCGCCAGACTCGCCATTCCCTGCACATATCCGGTGTCGGGAAAATATAGCGCGAGGCAGTGCAGTACGCGAAATAGTAAACGCTGCCCGCCACGATACCGTTTCCGAAACATGATATGACTGTTGATCGTGCGCGGGACATCCATGTCTATCTGCACATCGTCGGCGCTGCCCTCGCCCACGAGCCGCTGAAACGCTTCGACTAGAGACGCTTCGGTCGGGCTACCTTCCACCTTCTTCGCGCTGGCGTTGAGGAAACAGCGCCAGGCTGTCGCGCGCCACACGTCCGGGATTCCCTTCCATGTCCGGTCGATGAGCTTCGGATGGGCGACGTCAAACTCGAATTCCATGCCTTCGCCGTCCGGGCCTGAGTTGATAAGTTTGGCCATCCGGCGCCACTTCTCCGAGCGCGCCCATTCGCGCTTCTTGGTTACTTCAGCTGCTGTGGTTCTTTCGTCGACTTCAGTGATGTCGGCGAGGCCGTGGGGGAGTGTTAGCATATCGCCTGCTTCATCCATCCAGCGTCTGTCCTGATTGCCAGGCAGGCGGTTGGTAAGGGTCCTCAAGGGATGTGACACGCTTCGTTGAGATGCGCTGGTGTTTTGCGTCCTAAGAGACTTGGCCGCGGTATTCTTGGCTGGAGATTGCAGTCTGAAGCTTCGCTGCTTCCTAGGCGCTTGAGAGGCAAGCTGGAGGGATGTCGATACACGTTGTGGTGCTCGAGGTTCGGGGGTTCCGCTTCTATTTGGTGTCTCCGTGGTCTTGACGATGAATCCATATCGATCAACGTCCTCGCCGCTGATATCTTCCCAGTCCTCAATGCCACCAGCAAGCTCATGTTCACGCCTCAGAACACTGTATCTCTTTGCACTGGGTGCCGCCGCAGTCTGTGGTCTAGGCCGTAGCTGCACGTTGAAAGTATCATTGCTCGGCCCCTCGTTTTCTTCGGCCAGCGGCAGGGGAGGGTTTATCGGATTGCCATCTCTCCAATCCGTTATCACATCCTCCTCGTACATAGACCTGACCTTTAAACTCTCTTTCGCGATCTCCTCTGGCAGCACCGGAAGTAGTGATGGCTCCGGCGCAGTCCTCGGTGGTTCCAGTGAAACCTTCGATAGGTTTGGCGCTGTCTGCAGTGGTTCTGGCGCGGTCCTTGGTGGCTCCGGCGCAGGGTTTGGTGGCTGCAGCACAGACTTTTGTCGCTCAACCATAGTATTAGATGGCTCAATTACAGTATTAGATGTCTCCGGTGCGGTATTCGGTGGATCGATCACCGTATTCGATGGCTCGGGCACAGCCTTTGGTAGTTCTGGCGCTGTTCTCAGTGGCTGTGGTGCAGTCTTAGGTTGCTCAACCACAGTATTCGATAGTTCTGGTGCGGCCTTCCGTGGCTCAACCGCAGCGGGCACTCTTTCTGAGGCCGGCTTGGAAATGGGCTTCGCATTAACCGCTTTCCTCCCTCCAAGAAGCACGCTGCCCCGGGTCGAAAAGCTGACTTGGTTTATAAAATCCAGTTGTGTGTCCGGCAAGCTCGTCGTGAGCGGTGTAAATTCTCTCTCGGGGCTTGAGCTTAGTGTTGGCACATCATCGCTCGAGCTGGGTGTCCTTGGTATGTTCTCGCTGCCTTTGTCCCCGTTCCTGCTTCGTATCCTCCAGCGGCTCCCTGTTGTTATTGACGAGACGTCGCTTGGTGCTATGCTTGGTGCTCTCGGCGCATTCCCTTCCCCCTGCGGTTGTGCCGTCAGTCTCAAACCACTCCCTTCGCTGTTTGTCCCCGGCCTGCTCACGGTCCCGCTGCTGGATATGGTCTGTTGGAGCCGCAAACCCCTGGTATCGTTTCCTGGGCTCACAATTGCATCTGGCGCCGTAGTCGTTGCTGCGGTTGGTGGTCTATCCTGTGCTGTCTCTTCATGCGGCACAGCCTTCACTTTGCGCCTCGAGAAGGGGAATCGCCCAGAAGATGTAGTCGGGCGGGCTTGCGTGGAGCCGGTGATGTCGGGCGCCATTGCGCATGGCGTCTCACTGGTCTTGCAATGGCAGCAGTGTTCAGTCTAGTTCCGCGGCTGGTGGTTCGTTTCGTACGTCAGAAGAATCGCCGGATTAGTTAGTTGAACCCTGAGAGATTGTGGCGCGATCCCCAACTTATGCAGCCTTGCGGACGCTTGCAGTTGCTCTCCGCAAAGAATGAACAAAACCGTGTCCTGTGTAAGGGGAATATGTGCCTCGGAAAGAGGAAGATGAAGATCCAAATCTCAATTGGCAGCGTGCCACGCAGGGGGATATTTGCGGTGGTACTCGATCTCTCTTTTCTGTAAAGTAAGGAATACGAAATACGGGTGCTGAGACCACTAAGAGACCCTAGCGATAAGGGGAAAGGGAGGGAGGGACAGGAGTGAACTGTCCCCAATTGACTCGGCCTATTTTCAGACATTCAGTTAGCTAGCTACCGAAAAAATTAAGCCAAAGGGATAATTTCTAGCAGTTCTTACTATAGGTATAAATCTCCAGCTGTGAAAAGCCTCTCTTCGGAGCTTTTAGGCGGCGAAAATAGGCTTGATAGCTGTTTACGATACGGTCCCAATATGTGGACGGTTCAATCAAGTCTGGGGGAGGCGGCCCAAGCTCGGCATGTGGCGCACGATAGCTTCAGCCTCGCCTCATGCGCCCTCCCGCTATTCAAGCTTTCAAGCTCTCAAACTAGACACCAGCACCACGGATACACGAATATAGACGCTGAAACGACGGAAAACACAAATATGAAGCCATAACTTGCAAATTCAACTATCAACACCCTAATTCACCCAATGCCTCCTCCAGACCTCAACAAAACCCGCACTCGCACCCTCCCAAACTCCACCCAAAACGGCCTCTTTGCCTCGGTCCCCCTCTCTCCGCAAACTCCGATACTCAGGCTCTCACAGCCCCTCCTGGCCCTCCTCCAGAACTCAGCTCTCGAAACACACTGTTCGAACTGTCTCCTCCCCGCCCCGCTGCTCCTCCCATGCCGTCTCTGCGAGGCAGCGCATTTCTGCGAGGGGTGCAAGGAGGGGCACATTGTGTCGCGGCGGCGGGGGATGGCGGGAAGGCATGACGCGGAGTGTGCTACATTTATGAGGGTGACTCAGGAGCGGGGAGAGGGGGAGAGACTCCCTACACCTGTGAGGGGGGCAGCGCATGTGTTGGCACGGTTTGGAGAGGAGGGGGTGAGGGACCGGGTGAGGGGGATGGTGGGGTGGAGGGATAAACAGTTGGGGGGTGGGAAAGGGGTTGAGCTGCAGGCGAAGGCTGTGGTGCATTATTCGGGCATGGAGATGAGTAGGGGCAGGCTGGAGGATGCGCTGGAGCTACTTTGCGTGGTGGGTTTGACCGGTTGCGGTGGTAGAAGTGGTGAGGAGTGGGTGGCTGACGGCAAAACAGATGAATGTGAATTCTTTCCGCATCACGGATGCTGGCGGCGACGAAATCGGGATCGGCTTTGATCCGCTGCTCGGGATGGCAAACCACAGTTGTGCGCCAAATGCGTCTCTCGAGTTCGACGGGCGATGTGCGGTTCTCACGGCACTAAAGCATATCGAGGAGGGCGAGGAGGTCACCATCTCGTATATTGGTCAGTCCAGTCTCCCGCATCTCCCAACTTCCTCCACCCAGACAAGACTCCCATTCTCTGTGAAACCAAAACTAACAACCCACATAGACACCACCCAGCCCCGCGCCGCCCGACAAGCATTCCTCCAAGAGCACTACTACTTCACCTGCACCTGCCCCGCCTGCACTACTCCTTCCACCCCATCCATCGCTGTCGAACCCGGTAGTTGAAAGGAATACGAAGGCAAAAGAAAACTCTATTTACTTACTTATACGAGATCGACAATGCATATCACAAACCGTACCTGCCTGTGCGTCGAATACGAGATCGGCTCGGACCGCGATAAGGTCGCCTTGGGTTCCCCACGCATAAACATCAGACGAACCCCGCATCGAACGACACGACACTCGTCAAAAATCTCTATTATATATATAATAGGATAGACACTGAACAGACAGACAGACAAAAGATTGGATGGCTCACATTGACAGACAACACACTGGGGACTCACCGCCAACCAACAATCGAGACACAGACGCGGAACATATTACGTGAAATCTTTGTATTCCCTCCCCCCGAATTAAAGCTCCCACTCCCGCTGTGAATAAATCAAAGCCTACATACACCGCCATGCATAGCGACACACAAAACTATATCCACGAAATAAAACCCCCTTCTCACATCACATCCCATTAAATCCTCCTCCACCCGCCGCCATGAAATACAACAAACAACCTCCTCTTCCTCTCCCCCCCTTCTACCGAACTTTTGGTATCAAGGCTATCACGCATCCACGCTCTACAACAGAAGCATAGCAGCACCGACGAAGCCCATGAGGCCAGCGCCGACCTTGGCGCCGCCAGTCGCGGCAGCACCCTGGCTGGTGGAGGTCGCAGCGGTGTGCGAGGTGGTGGTTGGGGCCGAGGTGGTGGTGGAGTCGGCGGTAGAGCTCGCGTCGGTGGTTGAGCTCGCGTCGGTGGAGGTGGTCTCGGTGGAGGTGGACTCCTCAGTGGTGGTGGACTCCTCAGTGGTAGAGGTGGATGACTCCTCGGTGGAGGTTGGTGCCGCAGTGGAGGAGGCGGAGGTTGGGGCGGCGGACTCGGTGTCGGTCTTGATAGGGAATTGGAGGGTGTAGTTATATTCGTCTGGGTTGGCGTCGTCGACAATCTTGAGTGCGTAGCCGCTGCCGTTGACGATGGAGGAGTCAGGGGTCCAGGTGTAAGAGCCGGAGTTGGAGATGCTGGCTGGGTGGGTGTTAGTTGAGCGCGATAGTGATTATCCTTTGACTGCAAGCAACTGCAAGTGGACGCGGCAGGGTGGAAATAGAGAGAGGGAAGAAGGAAACTAAACGCACCTTGAATGGTAGCAACAGGCTTCAGATCATCGCTGTTGCCGGTGTCGCTGTGGACGAGCTCCAGTGTCACGGTGCCCTCAGTGGTTGGCGTCCAGGTGATGGTGATTGGGCTTCCAGCAGTAATACCCGAGAAGTCAGTGTTGGTGAAGGGGTTTGGCTGGGAGCCAGTCGTCTGGGCTGCGGCCACGACGGCGAGGGCGCCGGCCAGGAGAGCGGAGATGAAGCGCATGGTGACTTGTGTTTGTGTTGTGGTTTTGTGTTGGTGATGAAAGAGCTTGAGCGAGTAGTTTCTTTGGTAAATGCTTTGACGGATGGAGCGACAGTGAGAAGATGTAAGTATTATAAAGGGTAAAAGAAGCAATATAACAACAACAGCGAATGAATCCAGTTAAGCGCACGATACAAGCTGCAAATCTCTCTTCAAGACAATCTCCTTTCAACGCTTGACAGCTTGGGGGGGGAGAGGGAGAGGGGGTGTGCGTGTCTTATGGGGAATTATGCCGCCCCATGGTCCGATAGTCCCATAGTCCCCCATTTCCGCCCATTTTCTACGGCGCCCATGGGAAGTTGTGGCGGCGATGTTCTGGATTGGGGTATATTGGGAAATTAGGCTGTGATGGATTGAGATGACGGGTGGGGGAATAGTGGAGTGATTAGTGGAGGGATTGTGGAGGGGACAGTGCAGGAACCAACCGAGTCTAACTGCATGTAAAGGATTTCCAACGCCGCCATGGCCGCGATTGCCTCAATTGACCCAATAGCGACGCTCAAGAAGAGGAACGGGCGCAGAAAGGAAAGGGCGGCGGCGGAGGATCCGTAGTCCATCGTCCGCCGACGCGCCGAGGGTAGAAAGAACGCTGCTAAGGCAGGAACTGTACTGTGCTTGTGGTGGTTCTAGATCTACTAGCTGTACATCTTCAGTACCACCTTCCCGCCTACTACTGTAGGTCTCACACATGCAGTTCAAACGGTTTGTCTCTCTTCCATAGACATTCTACGCGTCGTTAGTCAGTAGTTGTGTCGCGTGAGGGATTGTCGCGTTACCTGTTGAGTATGATTTGAGTATTTGAGTATTTGGGTATCTGCTTTGATCTGTTCATTCGTATGGCTTCATTCTTCGTCGCCGTCGATGAGCGACAGTGAGTTCCAGTGAGCGGTAAAGTGACATGACAGTGACTGCTGCGGGCGGGTGCCAAGTTGTCAGGTTGTGATGTGCGTGCTGATCGAATTCCTGCTGACTAATCCACCAATTCCAGGGATCCAGGGACGAAGCTGTCAGGTATACTGCAACAGGATTGGACGAGAACACACAAAAAACTAGAAATGGTGGCGGGGCTAATTATACTCGAAAGAAATCAATATAAATCCAATATAAAGAACTCAGCCACAGCCACAGCTGAATGCACAAATGTACGGAAATATGCACAAAATGGCGTAAACGAGGCAAAAAGCAGGGAAATGCCGCGAATCCCGGTGCTGGTGGCGTAATATAATGCAAGCCAACCATCGTATATGGACGGGACGGCATCGAGTCCAGTCGAGGCATCCAGACCATCCTTGGATTCAGGCTGCCGTCAATGCGTCGGATGCCGTATAATACATGTGCTACGCCGCATCCCATTGCATTGCTACGCCGCATGACGTGGTGGGATAGAAACAACCTCGTCCTTCTACTTCTTCAGTCATCATCAGCCTCATACGGTGTCAGAGTTACCACAGATATCACTACGCGGTCACAAATGCCAAAGGTCATACGGTGGCTGCCAGAGAGTTCGTGGGGCTGTCAGAGGGTTCATACGGCTGTCAGAGTCACCATAGTCACCAGTGTCACAAAACCAAATACTGAAGTCCAACCAGTAGTTGTACATCCAGCTCTCATTCCTCACTCCCTATCCCTATTCCTCTCCGATTAATCATCCCCCCTCGCCCATATCTCTGCTGGTACAGTAAAAACAAAGAATAATGTAAAGGGCTAAAACCTTCACAGACAATAAAAACAATAACCCCTTCCACCTTCATCACCTCATAGTATGACACCAGCAACGGAAACTATACAAATATAAGCCTCCGCCAAACCTGATCCTATACAATCTCCATCCGTGAAAACGTCCGCGCCCACGCCTGAAATAAGAGACGACGATGCAGAGTGATGAGAGCAGATGGTCCTATCAGTTGGCAATGCCCAGTGCAAGTGCACCGAGAAGGCTGAACACGAGCCCATTGAACGGCGACACATGGCGGGCTGCCTTGGCCGTGAGAACGCTCGACGTTGGTGGAGAGATGCCTGCAGCATAATCAGTATGAGATCGTCATTACCGTTGTTAGGGAACATACTTGTGTTGGTCGGTGTGCCGCCGGTGTGGTTGTTCACGCCGATGGAAGAGGTCACCGTGGCATTGTGCACCGGAACCAAGGTGGACGACGCGCCAGCATGCTCAGTGGCCGCGCTAACATTCTCGGTGGTCGCGGTGGCAACAGACTCAGTGGCATTGTGGAGGAAATGTCCTGGGGCCACACTGTGGTGCTGGGCATCGTCACCCTCACCATCATCGTAGTCGATGCCATGGTCAATGCGGAACTGTGGGCTGTAGTTGACGCCACCGCTGGAATCCTTGATCTCCAGGTTATAGATTCCCTCTTCGAGATTTCCCTCGGGATACCAGGTGAATGAATTGCCGGAAAGTCCATCTGGTTGCAGGTCAGCTTGAACTATTTCCATAGTTTCTATTCTTTTAACTCGTGGGGTTGGACTCTGTGGCCATGAAGGGCTCAGAAAGGAAACTTACCAGCAATGGTGTCGACCAAGAGTTGGTTGGATGGCACGCCATTCTTGAGAAGCAAGCTGACCATGCCAGTCGCACCCTGCCAGGTGACCGTGAATGGGTGGTCAAAGGTAATTCCGCTGTAGTCGGAATTGGTGATCATGACCTTGGCATTGGCCATGGCAAAGGCAGCGCCCAGAACGAGGATCTGCGAGAAATACATCTTGATAATCAAAGTGTTTTTGGAGTTTTGCTGTGTTGGTTAGCTGCTGCAATGTAGAGAGCGTTTTGATCTGTTCTGGCAGATTGATTGAGGGTAGGAGAGGAGAGTTAAAGAACGAAGAAGTGAGGTGAGGTGAGGTTTGGAGAGGAGAGGAGAGTTGAGGTGAATTCTGATCAATATAAATCGCGTGGAAGTGAAATTTACTTACTGAGAATATAAATTGTATCCGTCCTCCCAAAAGTTGCGAATAAAAACGTAAGATGCCTGGAAAAGAAGATGTTGAAGAAGAATCAACAAGAAGAAGAAGCAGGAGCAGAGTTGTTTGTTGACAAAAGAGCGTGGGTGGTTACTGCTGGAATGGGAAGTTGCGATCTTAAGGGGTTGACGGAAAGAGCGATGTTGAGATGTGAGAAGGAAGGTACGACCGTACCACAGTCACACAAATTCACAAATTCACAAATTCACTCTTGCACCGCCAAATCCTTGCTTACAACATTAAAAGCTATCTATTACCCCCCACATGATTGGCTTAAATGTCTTTTCTTTATCCAATTCCGTCAATCAACTCAAACATCACCACCCCCTATATTCCACACTTCGGTCACATGAACTCATTTCCATCATGGTAATTACTGGCGACACAACGTGTCTTCTCAGTTACTGCTGTATTATAACATCATACATTCAGTGTCTGTTATCTCGGTTCAGCAACGTAGGATTATATAGAGGGTATATACGACGCCAAACTAAACGTACACGTACACAACCCCTCACAACAACGCACCACCCATCCCCATCCCCTGTCCCCCCAACCCAGCCGCCTCCAGCTTCGCCACCAATTTCTTCATACTCGTCCACTCCTCACTGCGCGAGCTCTCCTTCCCTCCCAAGTCCGGCCCAACCTCAAACACCGTCAGCTCGCCATCAATACCACCCGTCGCAAGCCTCTTCCCCTCCGTCTCCTCCCACGCCACGCGATTCAGACTGCGGCTGAACTGGCTCCTCGCACCCAGCCGCGGCTTCGTCTGCAGTCGCGCACATGGCACCTCAGTATCGACGTTAAGATCCCATACCTCCACGAAGCCGGCGCCATCGACGAGAGAGAAGACACCAGGCTTGCTCGGCGACCATGCAGCGTCGTAGACGACGTCTTCGCGCACAATATCCAGTAGCGGCGCCACGACCTGCGCCTCACCTGTGATACCTGTTGTGGCCGTGGCGGGGGCACGCATGCGCCATAGCTTGACGCTCCAGTCGAGGGAGCTCGAGAGCACGAGGTCGCCCAGATCGATAGGTCCACGGGCGGGGTGGAAGCTGAGGGACATGACCGGGGCGGCGTGGCCGCGGTAGCTGACGCGCTGGTCGACGCCGGCTTTGGAGCCGGCGCGGTCGTAGCGGTGACAGGGGTAGATGGTGCCTTCTTCGGAGCCGACGAGGAAGTAGGTCGGGTCCGTTTGGGGGAATGCCATGCAGGTTGGGCTTAGGTCTTCGGTCTTGGCGGGTGGTGGGGTGGTGAGGGTCAGGAGTTCTTGCGGTTGCGTGAACATGTCGACGGACCATCCGCAGACTACGCCGTCGGTGGAGCAGGAGAGGATGTTGTTGGCGTTTTGGGTGCCGACAATGTCGACTGAGTATACTGGATGGGTATGGCCCGAACCGGTCAGGGGCGTCTTTTGGACAGGCGCAGATTTCGCTCGTGTATCCCATAGCAAGACTTGCCCACTATATGCACCACCAATGATAAGATTGGGGTGGAATGGCGAGAATTTTGCTGTGAGAACATCTGACTGCGCGTGGAACACAAACTCGGGTCGGTCGTGGAGATGGGTATTCCATACTTGAACAAGTCCGTCTGGGTCGTGAGGCGCCGAAGGGTTTTTCGTATATGAAGCTAGTACAAGCTCTGGAAATTTGGGGGAGAAGTTGATAGAGCTAATCATCCTCTTCTTCGACCACCTCTCATCGTAAAACTGGGCTACCTGCTTCACCTTGCGCCGACCTTTGCCAGCGACATTGTCATTCTCGTCGTCTTCATCATCCATGCCAAGGCTGTTATTGTGTGCGTAGTCTGCCAGGACATCATATTCTTGGTCCAAGGCTCGCTCGATGACCTTGCACGATCTCTCGAGGAAGTCTTGGAGGTCGTCCGACTCTTTGATAGCGGCTAGCTCCTCATCTGACAATTCTCGAAGCGGGAAGTTCGCAGCGGCTCCAGTTTGAGACGCTGGTTTCAGTGGCCCATCCGAGATGCTATCTCTAGCAGCCTTGAGCTCCTCTTCAATCTCCTTCCTTAAATTTTGACGTAACTCCTCCTCTCTATCCCTGTCCCTCCTACTCAGTCTCTTGGTGTTGGGGGTGGAGGGTAATGGCCCATCCTCGTTATCCGACTCTGCGAATGGACGCGCCTGGTCTGCCCTTGTCGCCCAGTCCCCTGATGTTTGGACCCCTTTACTGTATGAGAAGACTTCCTTGACTGGCGATGGCGGACACTCGTAGACTGTGGATAATGAGACTGTCGAGAGGGTCTGGGTAGATATTGTATGTGTTTGGGACTGTGGCGCTGCTGGACCATCCGCCGGGCTCACAATGTCGGAATTCTCATTGCTTAATGCCCCTGCGCTCAGGACGCTGTTCGGCCTGCTCCCTCTGTGCGCCGGAGACCCTGCACCTCCTGGACCTGTTGAGCCTGGCCTGCTGTCGCCAACTAAGCTGGATATAAGGTTGTCGAGTTCCCGGCGATTGTCTGATCTCCCTGGCGTCGGAGATATCAACTGCGCAGGTTAGAAATGTACATGGTGTAAAGCGAGGGGTTCGTACATCTACAGGGCTCCCTATGCTCTGCCTCGTTGCTGAGACCTCTCTTGCCCTGAGGGCTCTCTGTCTCTTCAGCTCTTCAAGCTTCGCCTTCTTCGCGAGAATTTCATCTCTTCGTTGTTGCATGATGTCGGTGCCAGACAAACATCGTCTTCAGTCGCGTTTGAGGCCTTTGGCAGACACCCCCTGGTATTTTTCGTAGATTTGGACCACGATATGAGCAGTAAACAAACAAACTCAGGCACTCCAGTCAAAATATTCGCCCATATAAACCCTTCACAAATAAAGTAGGAAGAGCGTTTGAAGTTATGTACTTGACCGAACTAAAGACCCTGAATATTTCCTTGTTGACCGCGAAACATGTTGATGCTCTACTCTATGGGGCACCCGCTTGTCCCAAAATAAAGTCACGTGAAAACTGTCAGGGATCCTCGGGAGCAAGCTTTATTCGAATTCGCAACATCACCCGAATTATTTCAAGAGGCTATCCATCCCGCGCAACACTCTCTCGCTGTCCGTTCAATTGCGATCACGTCGCCATATCCACTTTGACAAGCGGTCCGAAGCCAATTGGCATATTATCACAGTCCCTGCGCCAACGAACGAAACTACACGTCGACATTCCCAATGGCTTCCACCGGTGTTAACGTATGTCCTCCACCACTTCTACCGCACATCATCCCTTCGGGACTGGCTTGCGCCGTTGCCCTTGACATCAAAGGAGCACTCTAAGGACCTTTTCGATGCTGCTAGATCTCCAAACCAAGCCTGACTCTACAATCGCGCATGCGCTGACTTTGAACGCGATAGGTTCTCCGATACTCGGCTCTTGGTGCCGGTGTCTTCTACGGTCTCTACCACCAGGCTACTCTCTCTGCCTCCGCAAAGCTCAACGCTGCCAACCGTGAGTACGAGCGCAAGCAGGGCCTGATCGACAGGGCGAAGAAGGAATACGTCAAGAAGACCGCTCCTCCGGCGGCTGATGGTGGTATGTACAGCGCTTTCCCCCCATTATTTGAATATTTCACGTTCGGCTGTTTTGGGGACATTGCTGGAGGGACGAACAGCTCTGGCGCGAATCTGTGAAGACGGTTATAGAGACAATTGCTGACAGATCTGGCTACAGTTATCCGTGACCCCGAGGACAAGAACTTCGACTTAGAGAAATACCTGAACGCCGAATTCGGTTCCAAATAGAGGATCTGAACTGTTATGATGATGCGGAGATTGGGCAGAGGAAGAGGAAGATGATCGAAGACATGGTTACTCCTGGACAGATGAAGGATGGGGGATGGGCCGGCAGGATTTAGAATGGCAAGCCGTAAAATGGTTTAGACGTCGGTTTAGCATACTTCCTGTACATTGTATTGTACTATATTCCCAAACTATTCAAGTGGTATATCTGATTGCAAAGGGTGTGAGAGTCTGAGCTGCGAATGGAGAGTTGGAAGAGCCTGTTTGGTCGCTGTTAAAGGACACCAATTGTTAGAATCGCCACTCCAGTGCCTATAACTACACAAATCTTATAATAAAATCAATTGACTTATCCCTCACACCACAATAAGCAATAATGATTCTCAAATTGCCAGTCAGTGACTTTGGTGGCATGTGGCGGCAGGTTGGGCATATCCCTGCCTCTATCTGAGTTCGACGCCTCAGGCACAAGCGCAACATCGGGACGCGAGCTCAAGACACCTAAGCATTCCCCTGCTGGCTATGATCGTGAATCAGTCGTCCACTCTTTCATTCACGACCACCATCATGACGGTCGCGACAGAAAATTCCTACCTGACGGGTGCAAAGGGGAGGAACACACGGGGGCTTCTTCGACTGGTCATTCTTTGTACAATTGCGGCGGCAGCTGTTTCCAGTCGGCTGTTCTCTGTTATAAGTATGTATATGTGTAGCTCTGGATATGCATGTCTTGGCTAGAGAAATCTACGTCTTGCGATTGCTCCAACAGGGAATTTACTATGATATTATGTCTGCTTCAGTGGAACTTTTGCTAACTTTCCTCTCTCTTTAGGATTCGAAAGTATAATCCACGAATGTGCGTTGTTTCCCAATTCTGACAGCTTACGACGCCATAGACCTGAGGGACGAACGCTGACATAAAATAGTCGATCCATGGTTTAACTTCAGAGCAACGAAGTACCTGGTCGCCAATGGATTCTACGACTTTTGGGATTGGTTTGATGACCGTACGTGGCATCCACTTGGCAGAGTCACTGGAGGGACATTATATCCCGGCCTCATGGTGACCAGTGGAGCTATTTACCACGCACTGAAGGCATTGACACTCCCCGTCGACATTCGAAACATCTGTGTCCTTCTTGCTCCGGGATTCTCGGGCCTGACGGCATTTGCGACTTACCTCTTCACAAATGAGATGTCCTCGACCCCCTCCGCGGGACTTCTCGCCGCCATCTTCATGGGCATTGCCCCTGGCTATATTTCTCGTTCAGTTGCAGGCAGCTACGACAATGAGGCTATCGCCATTTTCCTTCTCGTATTTACGTTCTACTTGTGGATCAAAGCTATCAAGCTCGGATCAGCCTTCTGGGGCGCCCTTTGCGCCTTGTTCTACGGCTACATGGTCTCTGCCTGGGGAGGATACGTCTTCATCACGAATTTGATCCCACTCCATGTCTTTGTCCTTGTCTGCATGGGACGATTCAGCTCAAGAGTGTACGTGAGCTACTGCACATGGTACGCTCTCGGCACGTTGGCAAGCATGCAAATCCCCTTTGTTGGGTTCTTGCCAATTCGCAGCAGCGAGCACATGTCGGCACTTGGTATGTTCCAAGCCATCCCATGAAGTAATGACTCTTTGCTGATTTTTTAGGTGTCTTTGGTCTCCTCCAACTTATTGGATTTGTTGAGTTCGTCCGTGCTGGCGTTCCCAGCAAGCAGTTCCAGACCCTACTGAGAGGATTTGTCGCCTTGGTGTTTTCCGTCGCCCTCGGAGGCCTTGTATTGTTGACCGTTTCTGGCGTAATTGCTCCCTGGACCGGGCGTTTCTACTCCCTGTGGGATACTGGCTACGCCAAGATTCATATCCCAATCATTGCATCCGTCTCCGAGCACCAGCCGACCGCATGGCCTGCGTTCTTCTTCGACTTGAACCTTCTCATTTGGCTGTTCCCAGCCGGTGTCTACTTGTGCTTCCTGAAGTTGACTGATGAGCAAGTGTTTGTTGTCGTCTACTCCATCCTGGCCAGCTACTTCTCTGGAGTCATGGTCAGACTGATGCTCACATTGACCCCTATTGTCTGTGTGACCGCAGCTATGGTCCTCTCCACTATTCTGGAGACCTACCTGTCAATGAAGTCCCCCAAGTCGGATGCTGAGTCTGTCGCGGCAGAGGCAGCAGCCAAGAAGAATGTCCCAACCAAGGGTGGGCTACGCAGCATGAGGAACCCCCTTGTGGGTATTTATACCATGGTGTCGAAGTCAACTGTGGTGGGTGCTATGACGCTCTACCTTTTGGTCTTCGTCCTGCACTGCACATGGGTCACCTCCAATGCCTACTCTTCTCCATCCGTTGTTCTCGCCAGCAAATTGCCAGATGGAAGCCAGCACATCATTGATGATTACCGTGAGGCATACCAGTGGCTGCGCCAGAACACCAAGGAGGATGCCAAGATCATGTCGTGGTGGGATTATGGCTACCAAATTGGTGGCATGGCCGACAGACCAACTCTTGTTGACAACAACACCTGGAACAACACTCACATTGCTACTGTCGGTAAGGCCATGAGCTCCAGCGAGGAGGTCAGCTACCCAATCATGAGGCAACACGAGGTGGATTACGTCCTTGTTGTCTTCGGTGGTCTCCTAGGCTACTCCGGAGATGATATCAACAAGTTCCTGTGGATGGTCAGGATTGCCGAGGGCATCTGGCCTGACGAGGTCAAGGAGCGTGACTTCTTCACCCCAAGAGGCGAGTACAAGATTGATCACGAGGCCACCGACACCATGAAGAACAGCTTGATGTAAGTACTCTGACTCCCATTCAGTTATCCCCTCCCCTAACAATCAACAGGTACAAGATGTCTTACTACAACTACAACGGTCTTTTCCCACCTGGACAAGCCCAGGACCGCGTCCGTGGCGCCAGGCTTCCAGACGTCGGACCAGTCCTGAACTCGATCGAGGAGGCGTACACCAGTGAGAACTGGATCATCAGGATCTACAAGGTCAAGGACCTTGATAATGTCGGCCGAGAGCATGGAGCAGCTGCGTCATTTGAGCGGGGGAACAAGAAGAAGAAGGCCGCGAAGAAGAGAGGGCCTAAGGTTCTGAGGGTAGAGTAGAATAGAATAGAACCAAGGAAGTGGCTGGTGTTTTGTGGCTATAAAATGTACATTAAGGTCTGTAATGTTAACGGGCTATTAACTTGAAATGACTTTGCCATAATTTATCTGTGACGGAATATATGAAGTTTGAATAATACCCAACTCACAAGACTAAATTCCTACGCCCCCCAAACCTTCTAAGTAAATTGATTCAAAAACTTCAATAATATATATTAGTTGGCTTTTTAATCCAAATTGTACTATGAGGTTAAATAGTATCTATGGTGCCTAAACATCAGCGAGGGCAAACTATTCGTTCAGTACTGGATCAAAAACTTCGCAGAGGAACTAGCCGCAGAAAATGCAGAAAACGAGGCTGCTGAGGCGGCGGCAGAGAAGACCCTAGAAGCTTTCCCCAGGCGTTCGGTGTTGTTACCGTACGTCTATCGCTGTCGCTATGGTGTTGTTACCGTTCTCCATTTCTTGTCGTTGGCGGGGTGTCACCGCATTTCCTGCTGTTGGCTCAAGATACCCGAGTGCCTCTTAAGGCGGTAGAGAGCTGGAATGCCGACACTTCCTGCCGTTGGCACCAAGACACTGTAGTGGCTTTTGAGGCAGTTGGTTACTGAAATGCCAAAAATAAAGCTTTCGATCTTAACTTGGTTCCACATGGAGGCCATGAAAGTGGCCTTGTTGGCTGCCTCAGCGAGAGAGCATTATCATTATCTTGTATATAAATCTATGAACTGTTTCGTCGAACTCGTACTCCAATCCCAATGCCGCCGTATCATATACGCTGATTCTCAGCTCCAAGTTCCGCATCGGTTTCCCATGCTTACAATTCCTGATGTACAAACTTCCCCAGCTTCTCCGTTTCCCCCCTCAACATCTGCAAGAATGGCTTGCTCCATCCGTCGTCTTCTCCTGCCTCCTCTTTCTCAAGCACATAATTCATCACATGGTACACCCAGCACTCATCCCCAACCGTACCCGCAGCCACGGCCGCTTCTACTGGCTTAAACGCACACGTATAATCCATCTTCTGTGGCTTCGTCGGCCACTTCCCAATCTCGGCTCCCATGTCCTCATCAAGGAAGTTATCCGTCACGAACTCCGCGACCTTCTTCCGCACAATATCCCACTCCTCACCCGCTCTGGCAAACAACTCAAGAGGGGTCTCCAGTCCCTCAAGATGAAGAATCACATCGCGCAGCTCAGGGCTCTTGACCAGCCCACTGAGAGCGTTTACCTTGGCCTTTGCCGCACTAGGATCGGTTTCCGAGCGTAGCGTAAGTAGCACCCTCGAGAGAAACTCCTGGTCCGCAGCGTATTCCTGGAGGGCGCTCGAAGAGTCTGCGCTATGCGGATATGGGAGGTAGGAGCGCCACGACTTCTGTGCCTCTTCCAATGCAGTTGGGTTATTCTGGATGGAGTTGGCAATGACACCGGCTGCGAGGCGACGGCGGGATGCGGAAGTGGAGGCATCTGATAAGTCCCCGTCGAGGCAGAATGTGAGTTGTCGAATGACCGCACTGTTCTTCATGAGCTCCACGCCGTAGTAGATGTCGTGAGATAGGTCAAGGAGAGTGGTCAGAGCCGAGACCGACATGGTATAGTTGTCGGCTTGGTCACTGTCCAGGACGGCCACGGCTCTCTGGAACTCCTCTGCATCTGTAACACCACCATCCGGTTCTCTCGGTGGTAATATTTTGCCCGCAGCTTTGTATGCGGGTGGCTTCTTGCCCGATTTATCTCGGAGAGAAAGGGGCTCCTCCTTCTCTTCCGCCACATCTTGCTCTGGTTGGTCGACAATAACCATAGCCTGTTCTGTTGGGATACCGGAATTGTCATCCTCGCCCTCCATTGGGATATTAAGCCTAGCTTGTTTTAAGCCCGAGTAGATATCCATGCGGACATGCAGCCCAGGCGGGATGTCCTGGTCATCATGTATAATTTGAAAGTCCTCCGTCGGCTCGAAAACTCGGGGGTAGCATTCTGCGGGGTTGCTCGTGTGGCATATTAAATCGCTGCTCGGGGAAGGCGAAGGGTCCGCCTGTGATGTAGCGGCGGCAAGACCGAGGAAAAGGCCGCCAGAGAGATATCGCTGCATTGAGGCCCTCATGGCTATGAGAAACCGGGTCTTAGTCTGTCTCGAGGACTGATAAGATATGCTCGATGTGCCTTCGGAAACGGCGCAGCTTTCGTCGTTGGCGCCTGAGAACTTCTTGTTCCCTCAGTTTTAAATTGAACTCTACGAGGTCGAAAGGAACTGATTTGCCGTCTGTTTGCCGCCTCAGTTCAACTTCCCAGTCCTCGCGAACAGTGGGATAATCGTCGAGGATGGAGTAGTGTTCCCAGCTTGATTCGAGTACTGGGCTGTTTGTCCACTTTATGAGAACCCAGCGATGAAGTGTGCCGCCTTGTAAATTCGACTCCCAATCTGTCCGAGTATTCTCAGCTAGGACTTGTTCTATAGTATGTTCTTGGTTGCTGCTTGCAAGTGAGGCAAGAGAATCGGCGTCGTCAAGATCCTCGTTGTATTCTACGTCTGAGGGCTCTCTATCACTTGTGTCGTTGTTGTCATTTAGATCATGGTAGAAACTCATAGTAGAAACTCATAGTTGACCCGCATAAGTAATCATTATTGTATGGTTTTCAAGGTGAGGACAAGTGTCCATAAATTGTTGGATTTGGCCACATCCCGTTAATGATAAGGGCGACGACAGTGTGAGGGAGCTATCGATAAGCCTCCGGAAAAACCTCTGTGCCGACTCCGATGCATTGCCCCCCTATCGCCGTCGCCGACGACTAATCAAACGACTAATCGACGACTCATCCTCGATCGTTTCCCTCACGTGACCGAGGTTTGTCCAGTCGCGCTAAAAGCGGCACGTTTGTTGCGTGGTAGCGCCCATAGCCGACGACACTTGATATTGATCCCTCAAGGAAAACACTCCGAGTCTGCCATTGAGGACCAATTCATATCCTCAACATGTTCGTCCTTCGGCGTCAGGCTGTTCAATCTGCCAGAGGCATTAGAACAGCCCGTTCAACCGCCCAATTCTCCTCATCGACCTCCCGAACCGCCCATGAAGCAGGCCACGGCCATGCAGCTCCAAAGGATGAGCCTCTAGGAGTAAGCAATAGCGAACTGAAGAACCCGAACACCACTGACAATGCTGCAGCTCTCTGTCTATATGACACTCGCTGCTATTCCCGCCGTCTACATCGTCTACTCCCTAGCCCAGCCCTCCGTTGATGGGAAGAAGCCGGCTCTCGAGAGGCTCATCAACAGCTACTCCCACATCCAGGATACATTTGCTGCCAGAAACAAGCTCCACACTGCTGCAATTGAGCAGGCTGCATTCGACCGCAACCTCTTCCAAAGCGACAGGAAGACAGAACACATCAACCTCCGGTTCCCTGAGTAAGTGCATACTCAAATACAGACGGACGATGTTACTAACATCAGCCCAGAACCTTCAACACAGGGTCTCCACATAACGTCATCGCTGGCCAGGGCCCAAGGGATATCGAGAAGCTTGTTGCCCATTATGAGCAGTTGAACAATGCGGCTGAGGAGAAGAAGGTCCTCGCAAGGCAGGCCTGAAGTCGGTGACATAGAAGAAATAGAATACCCCTTACCATATGATGCTGCCATTATTTGTGTCCTAACTTCTAGGCTATCTTCCATGAGATTGCACAGAGGTAAAATCCTCTGTCGAACTGTCAAAAGGTAGGCTTGACTCCTTTCTTGGATACACTTGGCAATTGCCCGTTGGCATCACAGTTGCAACAGGTATGTTCATGGAAGTTTTCTTTGTGTCAGCATCCTTTGAAGCCGCTGATCGGATGCATAAAGGGTTGGTACCTCTATCATCTTTAGCACCCCCTGAATATCACAGGTGTTCTACTTGTCTCTTCAAGAGACCTGGGCAGAGTTGAGACTGTTTGCTTGCCTAGTTGGCTATGTCAGTGGTCGCATATGATCAAAGGGGTTTATCAAGGCTGATATCTTACCTCAGTGCATCCATAAAGCATTGAAAGACTAGTCTACCCCATGGCATGTCTATGATTCTGTTTGATGGGCATAGAGGAAGAGTCTAGCCGTTGCAAGAGTGCAACTATTTCATGTATCCGATGGGGTAGCGCCTGGCGGTCATGGGGACGGGGTATGACGCGCGCACGTCGCACGCTGGCCAATTTCACTTATTCACCTTCTTGTTTTCTTTCTGAGTTTCTTCTCCTCTTACCCTTTTCTTCTGTCAACACACCCACCCTCCCTCAGCACCATTGCTGGTGCTCCTTGATAGCACCTAGCTATCACCCTTTCATATCACAAGTCTGCTACTGTTCTTGAAGCACAAGGTGAGTAAGATCGAAACTAGCATATTGGCCCCTTATTAACTCTGATGAGTAGCTCACACACCTTCTTTGAATAACCTCTTGATTGATCATGGGTGTGAAGTTCACTGAAAAGCTGGGCCTTCATCGCCCCAAGCCCATTCAGCCCAGACCCATTCGCTCCATTAACCAGGAAGTCGCCGTAGGTCACCCAAGGGATGTTCATTATGCATAAATTAACCCCTGGTCCTTAGAACTTGCCACGTGTGCCAAGCGATTATCATGACCAACTTCGTGAGATGGCTAGGCTTGAAAAGGAGGCCAAAGGTGAAGAGGAGCCCAAGCCGATTCCCCGTCCTGACCCGACTCTTGGAGAGGTTATGGACCCCCGAGACATCGATTTGACGGCTTATGTGGACAACCTCCCTTGTATGTGCTCCATATTATTGCTACTTGCAATTCATGTGCTAACTACTTTACAGTCAATATTAGGGTCGATCAGCGCTATCGTATCCGCTACAGAATCAAGATGATGGAGAATAACCAATACAAGGTTGTTGCTGCCATGGATCTGCCAGTCAACTCTGTCATCATTGCTGAGACTCCGATTTTCTACACGAGTGCCAATGACATGGAAGGATTCAGTAGTCAGGTCATGGCCCGAGTCCTGATGCTTTCACCCCCAGATGATGAAGCCTATAACAGAATGAGAGAAGCCCAGGACTTTTCCACTCGTTTGTTCACACGCAACAGCCGCCTCAGCATCAATAAGCTGATTGCCAACAAGTCGTTCAAGCTTCCAGAGCATCTCCATTACGTCAGCGCCGAAGACCCGCTGTCCGGTTTCAAGAATGTTGTCTTGAGACAGTATGTCACCAATCGTTTCAAGATCAGTGATGATGCTGAGTGCATTGGCATCCGTGAGCCCCTCTACGGAATTTACCAGGACGCCTCGCGCCTCAACCACTCGGCTGACCCCAACTGCATGGTGGAAATCAACGAGGCACCTCCATTCAAGATGTTCCTGATCACCACGAAGGACGTGAAGAGAGACGAGGAGCTTACCATCAGCTACCACAACGACATGCACTGTGGCCCTATTCGCCATGGCGAGAAAGCTGCCAAGTGCACAAAGCTGTTTGGCTACAGTTGCTTCTGCAAGGTCTGCAAGGTCCCCAAGAGTGATTTTCCTGAGGATGATGAAGAGGAAGATGACGATGAGAGCATCTGCGCTGTTATGTAGTGCATACGCTTTCAAGCTCCTGGCCATGAGCCGTTTGTGAGCATCTGAATAAGGAACTGAATAGGCGCCCGAGATAAAGGAAATGAATCAATGAAAATGTCATCATGAATGAATGCCTTCTGTAATTGCCTCGTGAATGTTTATTGTGCTCGTTTATATTCTGTATCTACTCCTACCAATCTTGCACAGCTATGTAAGCCTCATGTTCCATTCCTTTGTTACGAGTCTCGATCTTGGCAAGTTGACTGGTCATCGTCACAGTACACAGGCTGTTGTGATATGGTATGTTTAATTCACATTGTTCTTATATGAAGTACAGCACGAAGATGGATATCAAAGTTCATTCCTAGGTTCTACTGTTGAGCCTACTGTTGCCATTTAGAGTATGAATATAAATCGATACTGGCTATTTTAAAACCATCAACATTTCTCTTTTCAACTCCATTGACGTAACGTAACTACTGTAGTCTCAAGAGACTATAATCCTTTGTTTTATCCACGGTTGCTACAACACCCAAAGCGGTGATGGTATTTGTAGCATGTTCAGAGCCTCTGGGTGACAGCATGCATGAAACTTCATTCATCCAGTTCGAATTGCAGAAAAGCATAGCAAATAATTAATAAGTTCTTAAATTCATAACACACTATGCAATAGAAAGTTGCCATTCTTCGAATAACGCGCCAGTGATGACAATGTCTACAATACTCCAAAACCAAACGTCTCGCCCATCCACGCGCCAACCGCTAATCGAGACCCAACAATGTACCCCAAAGGAATAATAACTGCAAACTCCAACTATGCTCGCTATGAGTGAGGTAATGCAATCAGCGTCTATTTCTGGCCATGGCAGCCAATTTTTTCCGCTTCTCCTCCTTCTCCATCCTCAGTCTGTTCTCCTCAGCCAGGGCCAAGGCGTCCTCCTTGCGAGCATATCTGGCAGCCCTCTCCTCCTCTTCGTCGACTTCGTAGGCGGCTGCTTCCATGTCAGACGAAACGTCAGATTCGTAATCCTCCTCGTCCTCGCTGGCGGCGTATGTATACCGAGCTCGCGAAGGGCCTGGGCTTGGGCGATCCCGATCTCGGCCAGAACTTCCATAAGATGGCTGTGGCTTCTTGGCTGCGGCTGGGTTTGGCCGAGCTGTACCCGTGTAACCTGTGGTAGCAGCAGCCGCCTTCTTTGGTCTCTTCTCTGCCTCGGCCGAAGTTGTTCTGGAGCCTCTCCCATTCTCTCTTGCACCATTGCGGCCGTCGCGAAGTGGTGGTGTTGGGCCTTTCCTTTTTGCTTTGCCGGTTGCGCCCTTGCTGGTCGACTTCATCTCCTCGCGCTCCCGTTTGGTTGGACCCTTCTCGATGCGTTTGTGCTGGATCTTTCCAACCTGAGTCATGCTCGTTTGCGCTGCCTTTGCGCGAGCCATGATCTCGGCGAAGGAGCCCTTCTTTGGAACTTTGGCTGTGCTGATTTGAGAGGGCGCGGAGCCGGGTGGGGCACTGGTCGACTTCGTGACTGGAGTTGTGGAGGCCGACGAGCGACCTGGGAGGGGGCGAACAGGCCTGGACATCGACGATGGTGTTCCTGAAGCCCTTTGCGCTGGTGTAGCGACTCTTGGTGAGGCGGTCGCGGGATACTCATTTCGGGAGGATTTATCGCTGTGGCGTGGCAGGTCGCCGTCGGCTTTGCGCTTTAGCGGCGCGACAAACGCAGAGGTGGTCGATGGCTTTGGCTGGTCGCCACTTATCTGCGCGAGGAGATCTCCGATCTGCACGAAGTCAGTTGCCATCGAGGGAGTAGTTGTGATAACGTTCTGAAGTTAGGGAGCATGGCATACCGGCGGCATCTTGACTGTCGACTTCGGGGAAGTTGAGAGTGCTTGTCAAACCTAATCGGTCACTGGCTTTGTTCTTTGCAGGTGCATCAGGCACGTTTTGAGGCGAGCAACCTCAACGCATAGAGCAGTAGATCGAAGAAGCCTTTCTCTCGAGATCGCACTTCATATATATGTCCTTGAGGGGCATATAAGGGTTGATGGCGATGTGTTCACTTAATCCTCGAGTATGACCAGTAGCACGCCTCTCTGTAAGACATCCACAGCCCGCCCAGCGAACGTCGGTTATTGCCTAATCGGGAATAGCAGCCCTAATAATCGCGATTCTCGCTAAGGTCCGCCTCGGCGCTAGAGCCAACTCACACAGATGCTAATGCGATCGCGAACTTTCTGATATTTTTTAAAGATCAACCAACTCGACGTTTCAGTCTCCGCCCAACCTGCGGTTAAATTGATTGAATCTCTTGTTTTCGAAATCAAGTGTAAGTTTACTCATATCCAAACGACCTGAACACCAGAGAATACTCTCCTGGTGTGGAATCGCACACAACTGCCGCTTGAACGTTTCGCTGACGACTTCATCTTCCAGACATCATACAAAATGAAGCACCTCGCAGCATACCTCCTCCTCGCCCTCGGTGGCAACGAGTCCCCTTCCGCCGCTGACGTCTCCGCCGTCCTCTCTTCCGTTGGAATTGAGGCCGACTCTGACCGTCTCGACGCCCTCATCGCCGAGCTCAAGGGCAAGGACATCAACACCGTACGCTATCACTGAGACCTACTTGCCACATATATTTGCTAACTTATTTTTCAGCTGATCTCTGAGGGTGCTGCCAAGCTCGCCTCCGTCCCATCTGGTGGCGGTGGTGGTGCTGCCGCCGCTGGTGGCGCCGCCGCTGGCGGTGCTGCTGAGGCCGCCCCCGTTGAGGAGAAGGAGGAGGAGAAGGAGGAGTCCGATGACGATATGGGCTTCGGTCTCTTCGATTAAGCGCACAATATCACTGCCTTGCCGTAATGGGAAGAGTGTAGCGCTGGGGTTATGGGGCAAGCTGTGCGATCTCCTCTTGAGCTGGGAATATACTTGGAACAAGGGCTTGGAGATTGATCTTCATGTCACTCGATAACTTCTGTTTACACGATATCCATCAATACAATGAGACGTGTTTCCTCCATACAGAGCCGTTGCTAAATACTGCGTTTGTTGCTGATACATATGTGTGACATTTGACATGATTGTGAAGAGCGGCAAATGCATTATTAACCCACCAAATTGGATAATCAATCTTACCGGAAACCCATCTATAACTATCTATAAATCTAAATTATCAATATCAAAGAGATTCCCCGCCGAACCATTCTGTATGACGCCCATATGGTCCAGACTGAGGCTCAACCAAAATTATCGCCAAGCCTTTCCGCTCCGCTGGGGTCTTGCCCTAACCAAACTCCGCCCGTGCCCGCTTAGCGCCCGCCCGCCTCACGGAATATCGAAAAGATGTGAGCCCCATCTCGACGACCTCCTCATCAACCACAATCGCCGACAACTCTCGACGATATACCGCAATCATGGCTGACGACGAATACGTGAGTGCCCGCCTACCTCCCCAATGCCTCTCAATTGAGCGCGATTATTCCAAATGGGAACCCCAAACTGACCATGTCTTTCGCGCACAGAACGCAGCTGAGGCTGCCGAGATCAAGAAGAAGAGAGCGTTCCGCAAGTTCTCCTACCGTGGCGTAGACCTCGAGCAGTACGACCTCCCACACCCATGAAACCCGAATTCTTCATGTCCCCATTATACCCATACACATACACACATGTCACACGGCACGTCCAGAACACAAAGGGGAGCCCCTAGCTAACCCTCGTTCACAGACTGCTCGACCTCTCTTCGGACCAGCTGCGCGACATCGTCCATGCGCGCGCTCGTCGCCGCTTCAACCGCGGACTCAAGCGCAAGCCCATGGGTCTGATCAAGAAGCTCCGTAAGGCTAAGCAGGAGGCCAAGCCCAACGAGAAGCCAGACCTCGTCAAGACGCACCTGCGTAACATGATTGTCGTCCCAGAGATGATCGGCTCGGTCATCGGTATCTACTCCGGAAAGGAGTTCAACCAGGTCGAGATCAAGCCGGAAATGGTCGGTCACTACCTCGCCGAGTTCTCTATCTCTTAGTAAGTTTTACCTTCAACCATTTTTGGGAGATGCGGTTGGGAACAGTGACTAACCAGTTAAAACAGCCACCCAGTCAAGCACGGTCGCCCCGGTATTGGTGCCACCCACTCTTCCCGTTTCATTCCCCTCAAGTAAATGTTGTTTGGGATGGGCTTTCGGGTCGGGGTTGGGAGTCGGAATGCGTGGTTTGCGATGGACTATGGTCGGATATGGCTGTAGCATCACTGATAGCAATGAATACGATTTCCACACTTAATTCTAAACTGGAGCGAACATGTGATTGCTGAACTGAATATTGGACTGGACCCGTGCCTAACAGTTGCATATCTACTAACTCCAAATTACACTAAGCTACATTATCCATCATAATCATCACAAAGAATACACCCCCATCAGCTTCCAAGGTAACAAGCCCCTCGACATCTCCCCCAGGTATCTCTCCTCCAACATATCTCCCCCATTCCCTAATCCCTTCGTACATCAGTCTTACATTACTCCCATAGTCTCCCCTGGCACCCCCCCCCCCCCTTTTTAAAACTGTCACCCATACCGCCTCCTCTCCCTCAAAATATTCAAAATAGCATTAATCTTCGCATCCTGCTGACTAATACCATCCGCCACCAACCTCTGCTCCCTGGACACTTCCTCCAACCTCCTCTCCGCCTCCGCCGCTGCCGCCACCGCCGCCTCCTCCGCGGACGCTGCCCGTGCGTCGCCTGCGGCCCCGGCTCTGGCGCTGCGGCTGTTGAGGGCGATTTCTTGTATGCTGTTGGCTGTGCGTTGGAGCCTGGAGACTTGGGAGGAGAGGGTTGTGAGGGTTATGGCGGGGGATGGGGGGGTTGGAGGGGGAGCTGGGGGAGCTGGGGGAGCTGGGGGCGGAGCGGTGGGGGGCGAGCGGGGACGTCGAGAACGGTCGCGGAATTCGTTGTAGTCTGGTGGGTTGTTAGATTGGGTGAAGGGGAAAGGAAGAAGGGTGCGGGAGGTGGCTTACGCGTTAGGCACTTGGTGAGGGGTGCTTTGCCGCCGGGATTGATCAGTTTGAGGCCATTACAGTTTGGTTCGTCGCAGTTATCTGGGGCTTGTTAATAGAGAATTTGACGGGTTCAGAGGGCTACATACGTGCTCTGCAGTAGCCACATGTTTGGCTGGGGGCGTTGAGGTGACAACTAGGTTCTTGACACTCATCTGGAGTGTATTAGCTGTAGTTCCCATTGGGGCATGAAGGGTTTTGTGACACGTACGGATGGGACAGTAATTGGTGGGCACGACGTTGTCTCTTTCCAAGTAGAATGTTCGCGGAAAACCACATCCGTCGTGGTCGCAGATATCTAGGATTGTCAGCTGGGGTTTGGGTAGCTGACGGGAGCGAGGAGGCTTACGGTCACTGCAGTAGAAGTGGTTGCCACTGCAGCGTTTGGTACAGTATCTCATGGGGCAGGTGTCTAGGAATGTCAGAGTCGATATCGTGACTGGGAAGGGGAGAGCTTACGCAAGTCACAGAACTCTGAGCCAAGTTTCTTCTCTCTTGTGCATGGAGAGCTTGTGCATGACGAGTCTGTAAGGTTGGTTAGGATTATGTGGCGGTTCAGGGGGGTCAGAAGATGAGAGGCATACGACGTGAGCAGAATTTCTGGTATTCTCCATCTTTTTGCATACGGTTGCTTGGGCAGTTCCTGTAAGAGCATCTTATATCTGTTTATGTGTGAGACTTGGTTTTGTCTTTTCAATTGGTGGGTTCACTCACGGCGAGCACATAGTTTCTCGTCGCCCTCTACCATACCAATGCAGACTTCTTTGGAGCAAGTGTCTGGTTGTCGTTAGTATCATTGTGCTGAAGCAGAGGCTCGCACATACGTGTGATGCAGTGGGGTTGCGTCGTCGGGTGACTTCGTTCGCATGTTTCTCTCACGCATTTGTCTGTAGAATAATGTGAGACTACTGGTTGTAGATGGCGTTGGTTGGAGCTTACGCTTTGGGCAGTACAGGAAGTGCCTCCCCGTTTGGACGTTGAATTTTTTGAGAGAATAGCATTCGTCGGCGTCGCATTTATCTGGGAATTGATTATTATCATGTTCTCGTTATCGGCTCTCAAATTGTGTTCACTCACGATGCTCGCAGCAGTCCCACCATCTGTCATTAGGGGATACTACTCGTTTCCCCAAGCAACCACTGACTATGCATTGGTAGTCTATGCTGGGTAAGTATTTATGACGTTGGGGCAGTTAAGAGCCATGGATTGCAAAGAATAGCTTGGGATGGCTTCTTCGATCAATCGAACATGGCGTCTGAGGAGTCGTCGCACTCACGGACTACACATCTTGTCGCCCCGCTTTGTATCACTTTGTTGAAGCACCGAGCTTGGTCTTGTAAGGCGGTACAGGTATCTTGGAGCACAGTCATTGTCAGCTTGGCATTGGAGAACAGAAATGCACATGCATATCTGAAGATTTAATTTACAAAGACGACGTACGAGTATTACAGAAATATGTGGACTTGGCGACCGCCGTCTGACAGTCTCCACCAAAGTCACATTGGTATGTGATAGTGGCGCTCCTCCTCTTTTTCTGCTTCACGCCGGCTACGTAAAGGAAGCCCGGGTTGCGAATCAAATCTGGCGCGGAGTTGCGACCGTAACTCATTATGCGTGCGTGTAGAGCATTAACAAGATGTCCGTCTCATGAGCGGCATACGCTCGTCTTTTAACACTTTCTGAACATGTGTGTAACTGTGGCTGAGAGGGGATCGCAAGGCTGAGCTAGGCTACAGTTCAGCTGTCGAGCGCGGCTCCTCGCAGGGCGTTATTGGTTGGGGGCGCTTGCATGCTTGCATCTGCGAGTGCTCGGGATGTGATGCAGCAGGCGCAGCGATTGGCTGGAGGGGGGGTGAAAAACTCGGTGAGGGAATGGGCGCAAGAAGTGCATCATGAGCATGCACACAAGACGGAGCCTTGTCTTTCATGGAGTTTGTTGGGGGGTGGTATGCCCGAGTGGCGTCTGCCCGCGGTATGATAAGCGCCGAGTAGAGTGTACTGGAGGGAGTATGAGCAAGTGAATCAGGAGTGAAATGAGGAACTTACCAGGACTGAGAGAAAGAGAGAGACAGAGCATACAGCAGCGTGTTCTCATCGTTGGCCGAGTGGGCACATGGCCGCCTGGTTGGTCTCTGGATGTGAGTGCAGCAAGGCTGGGGAGATGAGAGGGAGATGAGAGGGGGATGAGGAGGCGAGAAGGTGGTGAGGGGGGGAGGCGAGGCTGTGAGGAGGTAGTGAGGGGAGGAGATGAGGCTGTGCAGGAGTGTGCAACCAACATGTGCGATGATGAACAAGAGGAAAGGAAAAAAGTGAAGATTGACAAATTGACAGTCAGGATGAGACAGTGGCGTACTGGACATACATACTGTGCATACATACAGTATAGTATAGTATTACACAGCATGGGCGCAGCATGAGCAGAGAATGAGCAGTGAGTGAGCACAGCATGAGCACATGGGCTGAGCAAGACCTACATTTGGATAATATGAAGCTGGAGATGAGGTGGAGATGCACAAGAGATGAGGATGAGGTAGAGATGAGAGTGAGATGGAGAGTTACAGTGGGGTAGAGTGAGTCTACAGTGGCTTACAGTGATCCACAGCTGTCCACAGTGTGACATAACCCCTACAGGTCCCCTACTGCCTGAGGCACTGCAAATACTGCTCCTTCTTTCCCTCCTTCTCACAGCCAGCCAGTCCAGCACGCCATCCTCAATCCAGCTTAGCGTCTTGTCACCTCATTCATTGCCACCGAAATCGGGCCAGCCGTGCTCAACATTGATCAACTCTGCTCACACTAGGCCGTTCTTGGCAAGAAAACGGCAGAAAATAGGCGGAAACACACCAAAACACACCCAAAAAACTTGGCTTATCTGCTATCTCGCCCGCCCCCCGTGGCGGGGTACACCGGAACCATACGGTGAACGGAAATTCAATTTAGTTGCCAATTGACCAATTAATGATTTTTAAATTCCATGTATTTATTTCCATTTTTGACTCATATAGACTATTAAATACCGCATCGCTCCCGTCTGGTCCCCTTCCCCATATTTCAAACATCTCCAGATCCTCATCTTATCTTGAGATCTCCCTCTCCCCCATTCTTCAACCAAATCATGGCTCCCAGCGCTGTCCATTTCACGGGCGATGTCCCCTCCAAGCTGGCCACCGCCGCCAATGCGAACGCGGCGTCACAAGAAAAAGCAAATATCGCCAGCCACACCCCCTCGCAGCGCTACCTAAGCACACGCGGCGGGGAATACAGCGTACGCCACCAATTAACGTCTCGATAAAAATTGATTGATTGAACAAGTGGCTGATAAACTCTCTCTTGAACAGCTCTCCTTTGAAGATGTCGTCCTCAAGGGCCTCGCATCCGACGGTGGTCTCTTCATTCCAGAGGAGATTCCCTCTTTACCCGCCGACTGGGAGTCCGCCTGGAGCGACCTCTCCTTCGCCGACCTCGCCCACGCCATCCTCTCGCTCTACATCTCGCCGTCTGAGATCCCCTCCGCCGACCTGAAGGAGATCATCGATCGCAGTTACTCCACCTTCCGCGCCCCAGAGACCACCCCGCTCGTCCCGCTGGACCAGGAGAAGAACCTGTACCTGCTGGAATTATTCCACGGCCCAACCTGGGCGTTTAAGGATGTTGCGCTGCAATTACTGGGAAACCTGTTTGAGTACTTCCTTGTGAGGCGCAATGAGGGCAAGACCGGAAAGGACAGGCATCATCTCACTGTCGTTGGTGCGACAAGTGGCGACACCGGATCCGCCGCCATCTACGGTCTGCGCGGCAAGAAGGATGTCTCCGTCTTCATCCTGCACCCCAAGGGTCGCGTCAGCCCAGTCCAGGAGGCCCAGATGACCACCGTCCTCGACGCCAACGTCCACAACCTTGCCGTCGAAGGCACCTTTGACGATTGTCAAGTATGTCTCACCCACCCACCCATTACCCCTCCCTAGCCCCACTAACACCACCCCCAGGACACTGTCAAAGCCCTCTTCGCCGACCCCATCACCAACGCCAGCCAAAAGCTCGGCGCCGTCAACTCCATCAACTGGGCCCGCATCCTCGCCCAAACAACCTACTACTTCGCCTCCTACTTCTCTCTTCAAAAGCGCCTCCCCGCCTCCGCAAAGCCGCGCTTCGTCGTCCCCACCGGCAACTTCGGCGACATCCTCGCCGGCTACTTCGCCAAGCGCATGGGTCTCCCCGTCGACAAGCTCGTCTGCGCAACCAACGAGAACGACATCCTCGACCGCTTCTGGCGCACCGGCACCTACGAGAAGAACCCCTCCCACTCCCCCTCCGCGACCGAAGGCCTCGCAGTCGACGGCGCAAAGGCCCACACCGATGGTGTCCGCGAGACTCTCAGCCCAGCAATGGACATCCTCGTCTCCTCCAACTTCGAGCGTCTCCTCTGGTTCCTCGCGTACGAGTACGCCTCCGGCGCCGGCATGGACGACGAGTGGACCAAGCAGCAAGCCGGACAGGAAGTCGCAGCATGGCACGCGCAGCTCAAGTCCGCGGGCGGCTTCTCCGTCAACACCGAGATCCTCAAGTTCGCGCAGCGCGATTTCGACAGCGAGCGCGTGACGGACGCCCAGACTACGGTTACTATTGCCGATTTCTTCGACAGTGCGAAGTACGTCCTCGATCCGCATTCTGCGGTTGGTATTGCCGCGTCGCTGCGTAGTATGGCTCGCGCGGAGGGGGTGCCGCATATCTCGCTTGCGACTGCGCATCCGGCAAAGTTTGCGGGCGCGGTGGAGGTTGCGCTTAAGGACAAAGATTTCGATTTCTCGAGCGTGCTGCCGGAGGAGTTTGTTGGTCTCCAGGAGAAGGAGAGGAGGGTTACGGATGTGCCTGCTGGTGCGGGGTGGGAGGGCGTGAGGGAGATTGTGGTGAAGCAGGTTGAGGAGGAGTTGAGGGGGGAGAGGGCGTAGGTCCTGGATGGAAGAGGGGGGTTATAGAGAGAGAGAGAGGTTACATATATATGCTTACTAGAGCGGAGGAGGGGATACAAAGAGAGAGAGACAGTCAGTCTGCAGGACTATAAACTACACACACGCAAACACAAACACATACCGAGATTTGGGAGGGGTATCTAAAGTAGCTGCTCGGTCTACGTCAGATAATTGGCGCAATTTTGAATTTTTGGGTAGAATATTTGCTTGCATAGGTCTTATCTATCCATGTGGCTCTTCAACTTCGCACTGGAGACGGGAATGGCGAGGAGAGAGTGGCTGAACATGGGATTGGAAAGGATAATGACTGAATCATATTGGGTGGCCTATTTGGTATATACAGTACATATAGCAGGCATAGAACGCAAGGTCATGAGTCCTCGCAAATACTACATTTTTCAGGTGCACCATCATACGCATAACTGCTGCTATCAAACATCGGTCAATCCACGCTCAGACATCAATCACTCAAGATCAAACATCAACAACCCAAACTCACCACCCCCATAAGCCACATATTGGAAAAATATTTTTATTTCTCTGCTACTCTTACACAATGAATGCTTCCCTCTTCAATCCGACAATTATAATCCCCCCATACACCCCCCTATTATCATGCCGAAAAGCGCACAGTAACTTCTTTCCTCCACTATACCACTGTTCAGAATACAACCCCCTCACCCATTCACAACCACACCATATATATATATTCTTACTCCCCAATGACTCCAGTACACCACAAAGTAAAAGCAAATATTAAGCGTGAAAAGAAAATACCGAAAACCCAACCGCCAGAAACTCGTCCATACCACAAGTAATGTATGTTATGCCAGTAAAATCCTGAACAGAACGCCCTCGATAAAAGAGAAACATCCACCGTAGGAATGCTATTCAAAGCCACGTCACAATGCCCCAAGTATAATTGTTGCGAAGGCGTATTCATGCTGGTGGAATGTCGTATGAGTTGTGAACCGCAATGATCGATACAAACACCCCTCGAAGAAAATCCGGAAGACAATAACCTTGGATATGTATGTATGGAAACATATAACTTCCTCCCCAACAGCTCGAAAGGCAACTGACGACACAGAAATCCCGAAATTCTGATAAGGCAGCTCCATAGTTACATTAGAATTACCAGCTCGAATTGGCAACAGACCCAACTCCATTAGCCGCGGTTTTCCAATCTGGCTCGGCGTTGCCCTGGCGTTCCTCATTTTGACGGTTAACTTTGGCTAGAAATTCGGCGGCAGTATACCCGCCCGCTGAAGCGGACCCGGCCCTTGATGGCGGCCGATTTTCATGTCGAACCGACAGGCCAGAAGCAGACCGAACAATCTTGGTGTTGGGGGCGTCAAATGTGAACGATGAGCTTGGCCTTGGTCCTGGAGCCAGCGAGGGAATTGCGGTCCCGCCATAGTTCGGAAGACATCCTACAGCATGAGTTGATGACAACCCAGAAAGTGGTGAAGAAACGGCTGGGCTGTTCTTCAGCATCCCAAGTAGAAACGCCGACGTAGTTGCGCTATACTGCTTGTTGAATTTCGCCGCAGCTTTCGAGGCATGCTGTGGGGGGGAGCACACGCTCTTAGAAGCACCCCACGAGTCAACAGATACCACATCATCATTGTCGTCGTGTAGGGCAACATTCTTGTCTGGCGAAGTTCTCCCACCCACGACTGCCTCTGTTCGAAGAACTAGAGCTTGTGACTCCTCACCTAATCCCTGTTCCTTGGACGTGGCACTACTATCCTTTGACTTCCGAATAATCGTTGATGCCTCACTGTAGCGACCCTGGCCGACTGGAAGAGCATATCCCTTCTGCGGGGATGGCGGATAAAAGTCTTGCCCATCAAATTTTGGTAGGCCCTTCTGGGATTCCTTGCTGGCATTTCCCCAGTACAAGTGTCGAGCACGAACTTCTTCCGGGGTGAGAGGTCTCGTATACATGAGTTCGTGAGATCGAGCCTCTTTCCACGGTACTCCTGGCGGAGGAAATCCCATCAAATAAGGCATGCCCGGGGTATGATGAGAAGCCGAGACCAAAGTACGAGTATCCGCAGAGGCTGAAGTAGACCCATTGCCCCGAGGTTGTCCTGCTGGCATCAAATGACGTCCTTCGTAGCTCTGGGTTTCGAGAACTTCCGGAGTAGGTGTCTTTTCAACCAATGTAGTGTTTGACGACATAGGATGGTTGCCTCCACCCTTTGGCCCAGCCCATGCATTACCTGTGCCTTTCAGGCGGCTTTCTATATCTTGCCCATGTTCTGCTGGGGTACTAGTGGTCTCGTCCAGTATGATGCTATTGGCTTCGCCCACATCGCTCGGTGCGGTACGTGGCTGCACAACGGGAGGCTGTGAACCCTGTTGAGACCTAGGCTTAAAAGGGGCTGCCTTTGCCGCAGAGAGGCTCAGGCGCGTTCGGCTCGTCTGAGAAGATTTCGCGACCGAAGCTTTGGAAGCAGGCACTGGAGTGGGATTATGGAATGGCTCGGATCGATTTATCGCCCTCGATGCCGCGGGTTGGTGAACCGGTCCTTGGTCATATACTCCATCGAAACTTCTCGAGTGATAAACTGGAGTAGCGACCCAACTTGGGATGAGTGGTGCCAGAGGCCGAGGGTGAGCTCCTGGAAACAAGTGATTGAAATCCTCTGAAGGAAGCAGGGCCAAGCTTGCTTCAAGAGTTTGGATCTGACTCTCAACATAGAAACGCTGCTTCTTGACATGTATTTCGTCGATTTGGTGCTTATTGTGATCCAACTGATGATCGAACTTCTTGATCTCATCTTGTAGCGATTTTATCTTTTGTTTCACGTACCCCGGCTGATTGTATGGAGGGTGGTCAAGACCAGGTAGAGGCGGCATGGTCACTGGTCTGTTGTTGTTACTACTTCGGTCTCCCATCTTTGAATGAGGAACAGGCATGCCTCCAAAACCAGTCGTGAGTGGGTTGTTATAGGGGATTGGTTGCGCCTGGCCCAAAGAAGGCTCTATGGGGTTGAATAAGCCGTGATGAAGCGGCATTTGAGGGTATTGGGAAGGCTGTAGATTCTGCAGAGGCATCGTATTTCCAAGCATATTGAATGGTATCACGGGAACGCCGTGGGGGATTTGAAAGTCCGATGGGAGGGGGTAAACCATCTGCCCATTCACCATGAAAGGCTTTGTCATATCGAATTGGCCTGGCGGAGACAGCTTGATCGGGTAAGGGCCAGCCGAGCTGTTTTGGTCCGAGATATTTGGAAGAGTTGGGGCAGGATCTGGAGCCTGTGGCTCAGTAATTGTCGACGGCTGCAAAGTGCCGGAGTTCAATGGTTTCTCTAAAGAGTGGGAGGGTGGAGCAGTAGCAATGTTCGGATTTGTGGTTGGGCTATTGATAGGCAACTGGTTTGGGTCGGAGGGTCTCAAAGCTGCACCTTCTTGCCAGTTTGCATCTACGGCTCCTGCAGCCTTCTTGTCTTGCTTCGCCTCGAAAAAGAACTTGTCGCGGTTCCAGACGAATACAGGCTGCGGAGGGGCGCGAATGTTTGGAACAATTCGGCCGCCAGCTGTCACTCGAACGTGTGTTGGCGAAACAACGGCACGGTAGAATTTCTGGAAGTTTTCGGCCTTCTGCGCATGGTATCCGGATGGTGCGGACAGAGGCTGGCTCGATCTATCAGAGTCATCGCGACGCTTGAACTGCCATTGTGTTTCTTTGAGGGAGTGGCGGATTGGATGTCCACGGTACACAATCTCTTCTTCGTCGGACTCCAAGGAGATCTTGTGTCTATGAAGACGACTATTTTCAGAGCCACCAACATCGTCTCTATTTTTGAAGTTTGGAACACGTCGCAAAACCCTTGTAGGGCACGACTTGAGGCCAGTATCAGACATTATTTGTGATGGCAATCGTAGCAAATCTAGGGGGAGGAAGTGTTAGTAGGTTGTGGATGGCGAGTAGGTATGGAATGGGCGTGAACACGTACCAGCATTGGTATTATTCATCTTTGTCACGTCGCAAATGATTACAGGCAATTGGTCTCGCAAGAAGAGCAAATTTTCCCTCGAGTAGCGCAGCTCTTTTGAACTCCGGCCGCTGGAGCGACTGGATTCAGTGGTTGACATTGGTAGGGGGTTCGATATTGAGCAAGCATCCAGCAGGTTGGAATGAAAGGGTATCAACAAGTTTAAATTTTTGGGGAAGGGGGCCTTGGTGGTGAAGGGGTGAATTAAGGAAGAAGAGAAAGCAAGGAGATGCAACGAAGAGTTTGTTGTTGTGCAGAAAAGGTGCGAAGTTAGAGGGTTGTTGTGGGGGTAAGCGCGACTGAGGGCAAGAAGGGGGGTGATGTACGACAACAAAGGCAGAGGCAGAGAGCGAGAGGCGGCAAAGAAGGTGCAACTCGCGTCAACAATTTAAATACTGCACAGTACTTCCTGCACACAAACATTTAAATAACAGATATTAAAATTTAGTAGGCTAGCGCCAGAAGATACGCCAGAAGATATGCCATATGATCCCCATGATAAAGATTCCATGTTTCAACCTCCAGCCGTACAGATCATGTAATATAGTGGCCATAAAGAGGGAATAACAATTAAATAATCCCACATGGCGAGACCTGATACTAGCTTACCTGACAAGCATAACTTGAGAGAGAGACAGCAGCTAAAATTCACTTATCTTGAATCCCATACTCTACGAAATGAGCCCCCTACGGCATATGCCTTCTCTGCTTCCTACTGGGTACAGTTGTGCATCTCGAGCCTCGACAGACTTCTGGTGGCTGCATACACACAATTTTATGTAAAAAAGCAAATAACAAACCCCTTCCGAAGTTTATATCTGATATTGCTTTCATGTTAATGTTGCAACTGACTCCTATGTTATGTTGTTGTCGCCATAATCTATATCCATCGCTTACCTAATCGCTGATAACCACTGATAAGTGGGCCCAAACCACATTTATATCTCACGTGATTACGCGTGTTTACTCGCGTCTCTTATATATTCCCTGGCTGGTTACTTCCCTCTTTCTTCAACCCATTTGCAGCTCATCGCCAATTTCAATGCGCCCGACATGTTGCCATGGCCAATATGCTCCGTTTAGATTATCACCAGGAATACTCGACCGGCAGAGGACTCAACTTCTCAACTACAGGACCCAATCCATTGACAGCTCGTTGTTCGCGACCCAGATCATCATCATCGCACAGGACTGGCAACTTCTCTCAACCTCTGTATGAAGAGGTCACAAAATAGCAACGCGCCTTCTCCACAGTCATCCGGTACTCATTTTCCGAAAGGAATGCCTCTGGCCTCTTCTCCAGTCCAGCAGCCTCTCGCGGCGTCGCATCCTCGAGCTCCACGCGAGTCTCACCATGAGCATGCCGCGATCGGTTCCGCGTCTGGTTGCAGCCCCCCCGGGGGGCGGGCAACATGGATTGGAGTTGGGAATGGGTATTGGAACTTAACCCTAAGTAATCGTTGGTTTTTCCAAGTTTTGCAGACATGTTGCTCGGCTTTGTTTACTACGTCTCTTGGTACGAAACTTGTTAAGCTGAAAAGTGGTGCAATGGAAGACCAAGGGCCCGAAACACAAGCTGGGGAGCCTAGAGTCTTCGGACACAAAAGAGATGTTTCTATGAGCCATTCTGGTAATACCCTCCGCGAGGGAGCTCGTCAGACTCATCTGCTGGGCGTTATACTCTGATCAAGCCCCGACTGTTTCTTTGGTGCTTAAGTCATTGGTACGGTGGGATATACGTGTTGGTTACATATATGCAACTCTCAGTGTGGAGGTTGTATTCGGGTGCTTTCAACTGCACTGGGTTCGATGAGAGTCTTTTGACAACTTTCTGTCTATCAACTCTGTTAGCATTCCTCGACCGAAGAGTCTCGGTAGAGCTCAAATACATTTCCTACATGCATACTGTCTTCTACACCATCTCCTTGGCTATGCTCTCATTCTTGCCTCGATCCAACTCGTGGGAATTGTCAGAGTCTGACAGAGCGAGGTTTCGATGGCTTCCATACGGAGAGCTTCCAGCCTTGAATGGCCTGGTTTCGTTCTGCCAGTTAGCAGTATTTCAGGTCTTCATACAGAGATGGTGCAGAAGGCGGTACTTGGTTTCACCAAGAAATGGCTGTATTTGTTTGGCTCCTGCATTGCCCTAAGCTCGACGTTGTTGCATTGATTTCAGGGATGGCAGATTGCGAATTCAGTTTCAGGGAAGCATTCCATATGTTCCTATTGACTACTTTGTCAATCACTATATCCACCCCATCGTTCCTTGACGACCATTATAAGCCCAAGAAACCTCTGCCAAGGCAACAGCCACAGGCGTTGTTGATGCTTGCATCAAAGTCACGATCAGCTGCATCAACCTTCTCCTCATGGCTCCGTCCATGAGATGACTGGAGGGCGCCAACACAACGTCAGTTCCTTTTTGGAATTGGCCACCGCGCGACCAGTTGCCCCTAAAGCTTCCGCTCGCGCCTTCACGGCTTTTGTTGATGTCTTTTGTCCGTTTGTGCCCGCTTGCTTATTCCAAGCGAGGAATCGAAAAACTTATCTCCGAGGGCATTGCTTACAAACAGAGAGAAATCTGCTTGTTCTCCGCGCGATGATGATCTGGACCCGAGCTTCGGATTGCCAGTGGACCGATTGCCTGTCGGAGTTGTGCGCCTCTTCCGGGAAAACAGTATTTTGAAGGGCGTCTACGGGAGCATATTCGCTGGGTTTATGCCAGGGGTGAAATTGGTGTAGTTGCGGTGGCGAGTCCACTCCTCTTGCTCACACGACTGACCTTGCCCTCCGGTGCATCACTAGTTAAGGAATGGCCCGAAACCGCTTGTGTGGGACCCATCTCGAGTTGGAGTCAAGGCTTAGTGCCTGTCTACACTTGTGGAGAAAGGTTTAGTTTTGATGCTAGTGATGTTTCCTTTCGAGGCCTTGGGATGCTGTGATGAGTCAGGGTGGACTCTTGAAAGCGGTACCTCGAACAGAGGTATCGCTCACTTTTTTTTTTCGATAAGTCTCCCTTACCCAATGCATACTTTCAGATCGCTAACACTCATTTATGCTAGCAAACACAACCGCGCTGAGGCGCCGCATGTCTATAATACGAAGCTCATAGAGAAGTTAGAAGCCTATTAAGCCTATATTATTCTATTTTATTTTATTCTAGATTTTGACTGTTGCCATTGCCCTTATGCGATGGCCGTACTTGAAAATGGCAAATGGCACTGGTATGAGGGCAACCGCAATAAATGCCAAAAGAGAGTTGCCCCATCCAAGTCCCAATGTAGCATACATATCTTCGCCAGCCAGCGGCAAAAACGCCCCACCAAGAGACCGCAGTACCATATTCGCCGCCAGAGCCGATGCTGAATAGATGTCGAATGTGTCGACAATATAGTTCAATATAGATTGCTGGGGTGATCATTAGTAGGGACTCATAACGTGCGTCCCCGGTGTACTTACAAATACCATTACCAGCGCATGGCCAAAAATTCCCGTGCCGATTATAGGCACAATCCAGTGTACCTGCTTCTCAGCTGCCCAGCCGTACATGAATAGCCCAATGGGCATTAAAATAGCCCCATAGCACATCAGCGGAGCACGATGCTCAGGCTGAGGTCCGGTTGCTTTAGACAGCCGGTGCAAGATTCTATCACTCGTGAAGTAATAAAGGATTGCTCCCACCACGGAACCAATCCCACAGCCCAGAAACGACAATCCTACAGTCCCTGGGGAGAAACCGTACTGGTCCCTGAAGACGATCGCGAAAGTCGTGAAGAGGATGTATAGGTATCCATAGCCAACCGCGAGGTATATCGACAGAATGAGCACTATCGGATTGACAAGCATGCGTAGCGGCCTCACCAGCGAGCGTCGAAGATAGGCACTAGCCTTCATACCCGTGTGATACTGCGAGCGGAACTTGTACTTAGGATACTCCTTCTGCATGCGCGTAGTCTTGCGCCCAAGCAGCGTCGGCGCGAACGTCTCCCGCATAACAGCGAATGTCAGCAGCGTGACGCAGCCAGAGAGTATAGTGAGGATCCAGAAGATCCAGCGCCATCCCAGCGCCTGGACTGCGAATCCGCCGCCCACGGGCCCTACTACTGGTCCGAGGACGGGGCCCATGGAGAAGAGGACCATAGCCTTCCCGCGGTGGTGGATGGGGATCACGTCGGCGATTGTGCCGCCCCCGATAGCTAGCGCGGCGGCGCCTGCGCACCCAGCGAGGAAGCGGAAGCCGATGAGCATGTTTAGACTCTTTGCCTCGGCGCAGGCGATGGTGCTGAGGAAGAAGAGGACGTTGGAGGAGTGGTAGATGGGGAGGCGGCCGTAGAGCTCTGAGAGGGGGGAGCAGACGACGGGGCCGATGACGAAGCCGAGGATGAAGACGGAGACGACAAAGGCGGAGAGGAGGGGCGATTGGACGTCGAATTCTTTCATGAGGGTTGGGACGCTGGGGGCGAACATGGAGGAGGCTAGAGGGCTAGGGGGGTTGTTAGATATAGACTCTTTATTTTCTTGGGGGGGAGGGGCGGAGGGGTGCATGAGCGGTCGGTCCTACGTGATGAAGGTGATGAGGCTGACGTTGGCTACTGTGAGCCATCTTCGAGAAACTGAGAAGTTGAGCGGGTTGGCCTTGTCGTCTGGGCCATCCCAGCTGACGATGTAAACCCCCGGAGCCTCAAGGTCAGCAGTTAGACCTGGGACGGCGAGGATGGCCTCGCGCGTGGGCGCCGGCAGCAGGTCCTCCTTGCCATGTTGGCTCGGGATGCTGTTTCTACGCTCGGCGGAGGCTTCTAAGTCCTTCTCATCGAGGATGATGGATGCCTGTGTGGAAGGGGCAGAGGTGGTCATGGCAGTGATTCAACCCATAGGAAGCATTAAACAACAAGCAGCAACAACAGCAGCAGTAGCACGGACAAGCAAGGTCACTATAGAAAAAATAAAGAACTGAATAAAATCACCGCGGCCCAAGAATAGTCGCCTTGGGGCGGGACTGGGCGCCTTTAAGGCTGGGCTCTCCCCATGGATGGGGTCATCCATCTCGCTCCAAAAGCCAGCTAACGTTGCAGAAACCCAGACGAGCTGGGCCGGGCTCAGTCCTGACGGGGCCCCGATCACAGTAATCGCATGTCATGACTCCCCTCCCCCATAGTGAAAAATAGCATGGAGCGCCGCGAAGGGCGCCAATGGTGGATTTTACTCCAATCGGCACCTCGATTTTTTTCGCGGGCGTGGAGTACAGCGCTGCGCTATGGAGCGCTATGCTGGTTGTAGGGTGGGGAGGCCACCGATCCTGTGTGCCGCACTCCCGTAGCGTGCGTCCTCCCTCGTGGTGGCTTGGGGTTTGGGGAGGGGAGTCGGGGGTTAGGGGGGGAGGAGGGGGGAGCTTTGGGTTAAAAGTAGGTCATCACCCACACGGGACATCCACATATATCCGTATGCAGTGTCCCCCTCCTTCTTCTCCCCTCTCCTCCCCTCTTTTTCATTCGGAGTTTGGGGTTGGTGGTGAGGAGACCGATGGTCGGACCGAGGCGAGGCAAGATAGCGGATCTAGATCCGCTCTTGGTGTCTGGGCCGGGGTCTCCATGGAGTTTCCATGGGGCTCCGGTGGAGATGGAAAGTACCAAGAGTCTTCTAGAGCATCGATGGAATGATGCTGTCTAGCTATGTAGGCTGGCGAGGGGGGTTCAAGATATATATTATATAATATACCCGGGGATGGAATGGAGGGCGGAGGCCGCGAGAGGATCGATGTCCGCCGCCGTTCTTATCTGATGAACAGTTAGTAAAGAATTACCGTGGAAGAACCCCTACCTGGTTGCAGAGGTACTCACGCCATGCCCCGCACGTTTCGCTTTTGCCTCCGGATGGCGGCAGGGTATGGCGATATGGAGGCCAATTTCAGATTACCAATCACTGGGGTAGGGCTTGATACTGTAGATCGCTGGTGAAGAGTAGACCGCTGGTGAGTGACCTTTTCTCCTGGCAAGAAACATATCTAGAGCCCAAATGGAAGACACCAACATAATAAATTCGTCATTCCTTACTCGTACAGAGGTGCCATTAGAGTTAAATCCACTGGGTACGAGTCAGTTTAAGTATATGTAACTCTTTGTGACACCATACCAAGTGATAAACATGCGTACCATCACCATAACTCCTGCCAACTCAATGTCTCACCCGCGATTGAATATATTTCTGAAAGATTCGCCATTCTACCCCCTCTATAATCCCAAATTTGCTCCCTCATTTCAATCAACAGCGTCGATAGTTTAAGGGTAGAATGTGAGCTTCCCAGTCTGTAAAAAGCTGGGGTCTGCGGTAACGTGGACTTCAAACGTGTTTGCTCACGGTCCGGGTTCGAGTCCCGGTCGACGCATTAAATTATCTTTTTGTCGTCTTTGACAGTTTGTGCTTTTGCTTAATTGATTGGAGGATGATGTTTTTGCAGGTGATGTATGAATCGGATGATGGTTTTATGCTACATTTTTGCTTTTGTTGTTGCTTCAATTGCTGGTGGTGTTAAGTTCACGTATGAATTAGACGGACCGTACGGACCGGAATCCCCTCATCGCGTGACTGGATGAGAGTTACCTTGCGCTCTGTAGTGTGCTCAAGAAAGCGCCTTGAAAAAGATGCCGAGGTATAGTTTGCTTGCTTGGTTATTATGAGATGGAACTGTATAGGGAGGAAATGGTGTGTCATTGTGTCAGAGCGAACTATACAGTGTAGCTGTCACAAGAATGAAATATATTAGAAGAAGGAAGCACTGTATGAGATAGAGCTACAGTAGACCTTCATCCGTACAGGTATACCAAAATAAAACTTTTCTATCTGCTAGTCTAATTATACAACGCAAGTCACAAAACAAGGAAAGGGTATCTTCCACCTCCCATCCAGTGCTCCAGATCCTCTATCCCTGAACATGCCGTCTATTGATTGCCGTTGAAAACACAAAAGAAACCACATCCATCTAACAGGTCATTGCATTGCCTCGTCCCCTTCAGCTCCTTCCGCCACGTCCACCACCCCTACCACCACCTCCGCGTCCTCGTCCAGCACCGCCACCGCGGCCGCCACCACTACCACCTCCTCCAGGTACCTGTCCACCACCATTGGCATTCGCATGGCCACCGCCAACCTGTCCCTGTCCACCAGAACCTCTGCTGCGTCCCTCACCACCACCCCTTCCACCGCCTCCTCTCGGGGGCTTCTCGAAGTTCGCGACGATATTCACGCCCCTGACACCCTTAAGTCCCATCTTGCCCACCGTGCTCTTTGGGATGCCAGGCACCTCACCAGCAACCAGTGCATCGAACGCGAACTGGTTTCCCTCAGCCACGAGCCTCTCGAGGTCCCACCCGAACTGCCTGACGTAGTTCTTGTAGTATCCCAACCAGGCCTGGTAGACCTTACCCTTGTTATCGAACGCCGCAGCCGGTCCTGCGATTTCGGTGGCGGGGGAAAGATCAGGCGCCGAGGTCTCGAATGTAATCTCCTTGAGTGTGTACTTGGGGAAGAACGACTCGGCTTCGGTGACGATGAAGACGGCGCGTCCCTCACGGCCAGCACGGGCGGTTCGGCCGAGACGGTGGATGTAGGATTCCTTGTCGGCGGGGATGCCGGCCTGGAAGACGTTGGAGACGTTGGGGAAGTCCATGCCGCGGGCGACGACGTCGGTGGCGACCAGGACGGAGGATGAGGATTTGCGGAAGGCCTCGGTGACGTTGGTGCGCTTGGATTGAGAGAGGCGGGAGTGGAGGACGGAGACCTCGGGGAGGTCTTTTAGGGAGGAGAGGATGGCGGCGTACCAGTCGGCGAGCGAGCCGGTGGGGGCGAAGACGATGACTTTGAAGTTCTCCTTGCCGGCAATAGCCATTTCGGAGCGGAGGGATGAGATGAGTGCGGGTGCGACGGCGGAGAATGTGGGGACAGTGACCAGGAGTTGCGGAACACGCTCGTGGGTGTTGACTTCACCCTTGGGGATTGTGGATGTGAATTTGTACTCCTTGTTGAGGACAAGATGAGCAAATTTCTGCACATGCGGTGCGATGGTTGCGGAGAAGAGCATGCCCTGGCGCTGGGACATCTCCTTGTCTGGGAGGCACTTGATGATATCCTTCAGCGCATTCATGAAACCCATGTCCAGGAGGCGATCAGCTTCATCGAGAACGAGGGTATCAAGATTCCTGAACGAATCGCGGATTCTCTGGTTGCTCAGGTGGTCGTATAGTCGTCCAGGGGTGGCGATCAGAATATCACATCTGCCGAGGATTTGCTTCTCTTCTCTGTCCTTGTTTGTACCTCCGATGGCAAATTGAACCTTGAATTGTGGGAGACGCTGGAGTAAAGCCGATGCCTCCTTTGCAATCTGCATAGCCAGCTCTCTCGTCGGGGAGATGACAAGCAGGGAAATGCCACCTTGTTGTCTGCCCTTGTTGAGCATGGTTTGGATAGCGGGAAGGAGGAAAGCAATCGTCTTTCCCGTTCCAGTCTTGGCTTGCGCGAGGACATCAGTTCGCTTTTGGAGGAGGTCGTGTAATGTCGCTGCCTGCACCGGCATCATGTGGTCGAACTTGAGGTCTTCGGTGATAGTTTGGAGCAGGATAGGGTCGAGGAGGTTCTCTTTGCCCAGATCCGCAAATCTCGGTGTGTCGAGTGGGACTGGCTCGGCCAAAGGAGGAGTAGACACTCTCGGAAGTGGTGCTTCTTGTTGAGATCCTGGAGCAGCATTGTTGCGCCTTGGTCCAGTTGTGGTCATATCTCTCTTCGCTGCGTTATATGGCCCGCGCCTTTGGGGAGGTCGATCCCTGGATTCTTTCATCATTGCGGTGGTTGAAGTCTGTATGAGTGATGGTAGTCGGATTCGTGAGTTGAGTGTGATAAGTTTGTTTAAACTTGTTAACATAACGAGAGATGGTGGCGGCGGGAGGACGACTTATTATTTAGCCTCCCAGCTAACAGAACGAAACTTTGGGATGCAAGTATATTTCTGCCGTATGCGCTAGACCTAAAATGATACCGCCTTTGGATCCCTTGTCCGCCACCCAACGTCACAGACCTTCTAGATCAAAAGCTAAATTATCAATTTCTAGGGGCCTCATTTAACAAATGAGTTACGCTCTCAACGGTTAATAGCAACAAAGTTTGGTGTCTTGATATATTTTGGCTGAATTATTCAGTCGAGTCTAAGTGATTTATTTCGTCTACTTAGCCATAACTCATGACTCGTCTATATATGATTCAATCAATGGCTACTTGTGATTGACGCCGCCGTCTACCCATTTTGAAACTCCATGTTCTCCAGTCGACATTAGAAGCGACAGTTGGTATTTACTCCTTGCCGCTCAATGGGGTACTCCAGCAGAAAACAACTCGGCTCTATGCGGAGCGCAAGCGGCCCAAGGCTAATTCATTCTCATTTCTAACGTGCCTCTCATCTTCCAGCCTTCATCGCCTGCTTCCTGCGGATCTTCTCAGTTGTACGGGTAAGAACAGTCTTGATCTCGCCCTTGGGGAAGGTATCAAGATCGTAGTATGTTGGCGCAATGTCCTACAGAAGCTGTCAGTACACAGTCAAGAATTAATTGGATGTCGGATGAACATACCAGAAGCCACTCAGGCCGAACACTCGTAACAGTTCGCACATAATTCTTAGTAGTAAGAACAAACTCGTTGTAGACAACCCACTCAGAATCATGGCCAAGCACTGTGCTCGGATGCAGCATCACTGCCTGGTCATCCTTCACAGTCTTATACGTCTTTCCACTGCCCTCTCTCTTTGCAACCTGCATAAAGAAGCCAGCCACCAGAGCTCTGCGGATGTTGATGTAATAATCCTTGTTCTCAAATGGAGTGCTGATGAGATCGAGGCCAGACTTCAGCATGATCCTCTCGAGTTGTTGGCGTACGTTGTCGGCAGACTGTAGAGCACGGAGGGAAAGGAAATGCTCGTGACACCATTGCCTTTGGTCGGCTTGCGCAGCGGGGCCCTTGAAGGCGTGGTAAACGTTGAGGAGGGTGAGGTGATCACCATCTGGGTGAGCGAACAGGGCCTTCATCTCGTCTGCGCGTTTGCGAGCCGATGCTGGACGGACGAATACCTGCGGAACGGAGAGCAGGGCAGTAAGAGAGAGGATTTCGTTGGAGCAGTAGAACTCAGGGGAGGTGATAAGCATGACAGCAAGAGCAGGATCCAGGGGGAACTCTGAAGCAAGCTTTCCGAGCTCGGTGAGCTCTCCGTCATCATCCAAGCACGCAAGGTAATTGAGCTCCTCCAGAGCACGCATGAGGGTCTCCGGAGCCGGAGGGTCCATCAAATCGAAATGCACCAGATCCTCAACACCAAGCTTCTTGAGCTCCAAGACCGTATTGGCAAGATTGGAACGGAGAACCTCGGGGTATGTTTGCTCAATCAGCTCCTTCTTGAACGCAGCTTCTGTGTACAGACGGAAGCACTTTCCCGGGCGCGTACGACCAGCACGACCAGCACGCTGTTGTGCTGAGGCCTTGGAAATAGGAGACACAAGGAGAGACTCGACTCTGATTCTGGGGTTGTACACCTTTTGCTTGCTGAATCCAGGATCCACCACGTAGACGATACCGTCGATTGTCAGCGAAGTTTCGGCAATATTGGTTCCGACAATGACCTTGCGTCCGGGCCTGCCACCTGGTCTTGTAGGTGCAGGGGCAGGTTCGAAGATCTTCTGCTGCTGCGCAGGCGGTAAAGTACCATATAACGGGTAAACCTTCAGTGGACCAGCATCCGCCTCTCTCACCATCTCATCTGCTTCCAGGGAGATCTTTCTGCAGGCGTCTTCAATCTCTTCCTCGCCAGTTAAGAAGAGTAAGATATCTCCCTCGGGCTCGGTTGCGTGGATCTGAAGAACAGTTCGTAGCGCAGCCTCAACGTAATCGCGCTCTGGCTCAGGGGTATAAAAAATCTCGACAGGGTGAGTTCTTCCGGGAACAGCAAGCAGTGGGGCATTGTTGAAGTATTTCTGGAACTTCTGCGCATCAAGGGTCGCAGACATGATAACGATCTTCAAGTCCGGTCTTCTCACAGCAACCTCCTTCAACAATCCCATAAGAATATCAGTGGCAAGGGTCCTCTCGTGGGCTTCATCGAGAATGATACAGCTGTAGCGCGAGAGGTTGTGGTCGTGCATGGCTTCTCTCAGAAGCATACCGTCGGTCATGTATTTGAGAATCGTCTTTGAAGACGTAACGTCCTCGAAACGAATGCTGAAACCAACTTCTTGTCCAAGCTTCACATCCATCTCATTGGCGACACGCTGTGCGACGGACATGGCAGCCACACGACGAGGTTGCGTACACGCCACGAGCTTGTTCCTGAAATGTGGGAGGTCGTCGAAGAGCACGAACTGAGGAATCTGGGTCGTTTTACCGGAACCAGTCTCTCCTACGAAGACAAGGATTTGCGTCTTGTGGAACATATCGAGAAACTCCTGCCTCTGCTTATGGACGGGGAGGTCACGGCGAGTCTTCAGGATGTTGAAGTATTGGCTGGAGAGCGGCTGGCCGTTGAAAGGGTTGGCGGGGCCATCTTCGGCCTGGTGGGCCTGCGCAGCGGTCGTTTCATGCCTGGTGAAAGTCGACAATATGGAAGAATCGCCGTTGCCATTTTGCCTCTGACCGTTCGAGTAACCCCCCTCCTCGCCGTTCTCATACATGTGGGCGAGGTATGGGTTTTCCTTCGGGTCGAGATCGACCTTCGCTCTCTTTGCGCGCGACATTTCTTCACTCTCTGGACGACGGTCAGCCATTGTGAAGTTGGTGTATATGGGGGTATGAGAGTCTCGTACTCTTCAAAAATAGTTCTGTTTCGGCGCAAGGCTGAGATATTTGGCGCCTGGAAGAAAAAGTATAATCCACACGAGTAAGCTAGTGAGTTTGTGGCTAGTCGCAACTGCTTTATCTGGGGTCATGTGATCAGGCTGGGGATGTTCGATATCACTTTATATAACCCACACGGCCTGGAATTGTCTACAAACGGGAGCTGTGTCTTGGAATTGTTGTGGATTCTCTATTATCATATTTTTATATAACACATTAGTACAAATAATATTCACAAAATGCCATATATCCCATTAATATTGTATTTTTCTTGGGAATCTTTATCTGTGTTCGCCTAGGTTTGTCTACCTTGTAACGAAAAGTTCCCCCACCATAGCCTTTCGAGGGATTAAGTTACAGGAAACATCCCACGAAAGCCATGGGCCGAGAACAATCTTTATAAAGACACATAGTTTGTCCTTTGCTTACTGTATATTTTAGGATTGCTGGTCAACTCGATAAACTAGTTGCTACATATCTCGCGCATTTATAGCTTCCTTTCGCTGCCAATAGGTGAGCCCAAATGGATCCCGAAACCTCACGACCACCAATGGTGGACGACTATATGCCAACGTTCTACGTTGGGCACCATGAAGCCGGGAGAGCTCTACCAATTTCGGAGAGAACCTTGCGTCAAGGACAGGATGTTGGGGTATGCAGCTGCTCTCTATGCGCCCATGTTGAACGACGCTGACCTGCCCAGTATGATATGCTTACAAGTCCAATAACCACACCGCACTTTCACTCACGAGTTCTCTCCCTCCTATCAAACCAGCTCGAATTATATAAGTCTGCCGACTCTTCTTCGAATGAGCTACCTCCACCGATACTGCCGCCCTTCAACTCGGCAGATACTCCGTTGGGACCTGGAGAGACGGTCAGCCAGCTGGTTGGCTACTGTAGCTCATGGATCGACCTGGGATCCCCGGATCCCTTGATCTCCAATATATCTCGGCAAGTCCTGACTATGGAAGTTGCGTTTGCCTCTTTCTGCGGCGTCACCAACATCATTATACCCGGGCCTCGCCAGTATAACAGCAGCACAGCCACCGCCGATGGATTGGCCCGATATGCTCGCGCCGTACAAGAGGCCCTCGGCGTTGCCGGTTATGTCCATGTGGCCATACATATCCCTATGTATCCCCAGAAAGACAGCACCGCTATCCCTCTTCTAGGCGACATGAAACCTTTCACTAGAGCCGAATATATATCAGATGATTCCGATGAAGATGAGGAGCTATTCGACAGCTGGGATGCGTGGAACGTCATTCGAAGTGTGTGTAAATACAACTCAAGGCTATCCGTAGGTAAGAAACCAATGAAACGATTTAATATATCCATCTCCCCCCGGTCATAAGCCGTTCGCTGTATGTCAGTTTGTTGTAGCCCTTGAAGCATTGGACAACCGCAGAAGTTTGGATTCATGTTTATGTTTTTGCCTCAGACGTGCTAATACAAACATTTAGCACTTGCTATACCTCGCCAGCTTCCAACTGAAGCATTGCAATCTCGCTGGTATGCTGAGCCTTTGCGATTGCTCTCATTTAATGCTTCTACCTTCTTGAAAAACAAGGGCGGCCACCCAGTCCTTGGGAAGGGCCACCAGACTCTCATTTCTCGATATATGCGCCTGAAGCATGCGCCATGGCTTTTACTCTGTGATATTGGGCCAATCCCGGACGTTGAGCCCTACGAGCCATATCCTGTGGCGGACGGCTTCCCTTCCCCAAGTGTTACCACAGACGCATCGGGGGCACCGATGCCTCAGGTGGCCGACCTCAATTCTCTGATCAAGCGCGAAAGCCAGAATTCCAAGTCCAAGGCAAAGGATCAAACGGCTCACCTCATTTACCTCCGCTACCTCCAACGTAACCAGCCTCCCAGGTCTGTGATTGAACGTTTCGGGTCCGGGTACCAGGATTACTTGCAAGCCCCGTTGCAGCCGCTAGCTGACAACCTCGAGTCTGTGACCTACGAAGTCTTTGAGAAAGATCCTATCAAGTACGACTGGTACGAGCGCGCCATTGCGCTTGCGCTCACAGACTGGAAGGCCTTGAACAAGCCCACATCCTCCGCATCTGGCGCTGTGGTCCTCGCGGTAGCTGGCTCTGGCCGCGGACCACTCGTCACAAGAGCACTGAGAGCATCTGCCAAAACAGGCATCCCAATCGAGGCATGGGCGGTGGAGAAGAACCCAAATGCCTATGTGCTCCTCCAGCGCCACAACGAAGAGGACTGGGACAACGCTGTGAATGTTGTCAAATCGGATATGCGAGCCTGGAAAGGTCCGCTTCGCCGGTCAGGCAAGACGGCGGATTCCGGTTCATCTGAAGCACAGCTCCCGACATATGGAAAGGTCGACATCATCGTGTCGGAGCTTCTTGGGTCTTTCGCTGACAACGAGTTGAGCCCCGAGTGCCTTGATGGCGTGCAGCACGTTCTAGCTCCGGAGTTTGGAATCTCTATCCCAAGCAGCTACACGGCGCATCTCTCACCGGTTCTCGCTCCGCGTCTCCACGCAGACATCTCTCACCGTGCTGTCAACGACGCGGATGCAACGGATACGCCTTACGTTGTCATGCTTCATGCGATTGACTTCCTGGCCACCTCCGTCCCTGACCACCCCCGCATTCAGCAAGCATGGGAGTTTGTGCATCCGCTTCCTGCAGCCACTCTTGAGTTGGCTGAGGCGCGGCGACAGGGTGGTGTGAGCGGTGGCGGCGGTGGTAGTATGGCGGGTGGAGATGGGGCGAATGAGCATAATGCGAGATACTCGAGATGTAAATTCGTATGCCTGAACAGGGGTATGGTTCACGGTATTGCGGGATATTTCGAGACTGTGCTTTACGACGGACGGAGGAAATCCGCAACTGGTGAGCAGGTGGGGGAGATTGTGGAGTTGAGCACGAGGCCGGATACCATCGATGCGAAGAGCAAGGATATGATCAGTTGGTTTCCGATATATTTCCCGTTGAAGGTATGTTCGAACATTTTCCGAGTATCAGCATGATCTAACAGAGACAGAACCCGCTACACGTTCCAGATGATGCAGAGGTTGAAGTTAGCATCTGGAGACAGACGGATGATAGGAAGGTGTGGTATGAGTGGATTGTGGAGGCTTTCATTATGACCGGGCCCCGAAAGCGACTCAGAGTCGGCATCAGCGATGTAGGCAGTAGCCGCAAGCAAGGATGCTTGATGTAGACGAGGGCCATATTTACGAAAATATCATGACAAATCATACGGCTGAGGATTGATACCAGCGATTTAAGCTCATATGTTCTCTCCTTTTGTCTATCTGTGAATGGCTATTATAGCAAATTTAGCTTTGGGTGATTGAAAGCCTTTAACTAACCACAATCACTATAATCACTGCATTTTAGCACAGTCCCTACCCAGACTCTTCAGAGGCATGAGTACGAGAATGTTCAGTCAAGATTCATAATGCTTTCCTTTTCCCTTGTTATATGGAAGCTCTATCTTGTGCTCAGTCGTAACGCCATACCCCGGCCTCAATTCACCACCTATGGTATCTGCCCTTCCTTAATATTTCCCACTCCCCGCCAGAACCCCTCGCATGTCCAACATCCCATCCCAGGTGCATGTCTGTCCGTCTTCCCATGCAAGTTCCGAAAAAATCCGCGCCCAACATCCCTCCCACTCATCCCTCCATCTTCGTATCCCCGCCACCCTCCTTGCCCGTCGGCGCAGCCTGGATCCACAGCACGTTGTTGCACCTTATCAGCACCTGGCCGAGCGCGGCAGTCAGCTTCTGGTCGATGAACTCCTCCGTGTTGGTGAGTTGGATGTTCATGTAGCTGTCGATGGAGACGAGGATGCCTTTGTATTCGGTTTGTCCCCACTTGAGGCGCACTACTACTTCTTCGTTCACACTGCTGATAGTTAGACATGCGCGGATCCGGTCAGGGAAGGGAGGGAGGAGGATCGTTGTGCCGCGTGTTTGTGCTTGGGGTGGTGCGGGTGGGCTGGGGTGAGGCCGAGGGGGAGGACATACAGCGATTGTAGCATCGGTCGGGGGTTAACTGGCATAACCTGCGCTATATTAGCATCGTCGAGGCATTCGAGGAGGGTGGAAGGGACTTACACTCATTTTGGCGGTGTTGTGGGTATATTGGTCTGGGACGAGGGTACTTGGGCTTCGACGCGGCTGGAGCTTCTGTCGTGAACATTCTTGGCGGTTGTTACTTTTCAGTGGGTGTGATTATGTAAGCGAGGCTGTCGAATTTTGGTGATGGCGCTTAATGAGGGGTAGGTGGGCTTTATTATATTTCAAATCTTTGGGAATTTATAGGATGCTACAATGTAGAATCTGGAGACTAGATGGTGGTCTGGTATGATATAGAAATAGACTTTGTATGAGAGGATTTTAATTGTTAGATTTGAATGATATCGGTCTTTATAATATTTTGCATGAAATTTAATTATTTTACACGAATATCAATTCAAACACAACACAACATCACAGCAAAGTTTGGTTTAATTGCTACTACTACTACCACCCATCACGCCTTCTTGATCTCCCACTTCAAATCCTTAATGCTAACCTCATCTCCTGCCTTCTCATCATACTCGTACCAATCTCCCTCCTCGAAGTTGATAGCCTCAAACTTGGTTCCCGAGTCGATTCCCGTGACCAGCCAATCTCCCTATAGCTATGTTAGAGTCGCACATATACACACATAAGATATAACACATACCTCAGGCTTGAAATCTATAAACTCAAGACCTCTGCAGTCAAAATCAATGACCTTCTGGGCCTTTGGAGGTGATTCCTGCTGATATGAAATTGGTGGTGCCATGATTGTCGCCGAAGACTCTCTCTGTCCAAACGGATTAAACATGGCCACGAACACGGTTTCCAGTGGTAAATCTCACCTTGCACATTTTGCACTTCCAGACGAAGTTGGCCTCGCCTCTGCTGCCGCTCATCTCGTTCATTTCCTAAATCCCTCGTTAGCTGTTGGAATATCGGAGGAGAGATGGGTTCTAGCATACAAATCGGCTCACGTTGACCCAGTTAGGGTGAACTTCCCTGCAAGATGTACATTGAACCTTGAACGTGTACCAGAAGGGATCCTCTGGAGTATCATCCGGACGCAAATCAGTCACTCTGAGAGGTTGTAAGCATGTGAATTGTGGGATCGGATGGGAGTCGTCTTACCCGGAGAGATCAGCAGTCAAGGTAAGAGAAAGCATGTCTTCAAAAAAATCAACAGCTCTTCCAGAGGAGCTTAAAATTGACTTGCGTTCGTATTATCGCGGAAATCAAAAAGTAGTTCCACCTCAATCTAGACGAAGCTGTCCCGATATCCAACCCACGATAAGCCAAAAGCGGCGTCCCTCGCTTGGCGCGCTAAACGCAGCAAGGTCGGCAATAACTGCTGAGCATAACGCAGGTCCTCGGAGCCCTCCAAAAAAAGTCCCGAACACGCCCAATTGAGCTCCCCACCACCGGCCTTTCGCAATTCCCCTACGAGCCCCGTGTTATAGACCTTTCACACACACGACGGACCCGGGATGGTATAATGCTAGCTCTCTGGTCTCGCACCGTGCAGGCCAGCCGGTCCTGTCAGTGTGGACCATGTCTGCAAGCCGGCGCGAGGATTGCTCGGACGACGAGCGGGGGCACAGCAGCGGCGGCGCGACGACGGTTACGGCCGAGCGATGTGTTTACGGCGAGTTTCTCGGCGATGCTGGCGACGGCCGCGGTGTATGATACGAGGAGGAAGGATGAGCGGTTGTTGCAGTGGGATCAGGCGATTGAGGAGGTGAGGTCGGGGAAGGATTTGGCGAGTATCTCGACGCCGGGACGGGTGTCGATTGGGAAGGCGGCGGATGAGGAGTCGAATATTATGGGGAATGAGGTCGAGGAGTATACACCGGATGCGAATATATGTCGGAAGCTGGAGGAGGGCGCAACGACGGTGCGGAAACTCATGAGTTTTGTGCCGATGCCGATACTTGAAGCACCGCAGTCGACGCCGAGGCGGAGGGAATCGATGACTCCGGTCTGGGACGAATTGGAGGGTATGCTGTGGGAGAGCGTTCAAGAGTCGGGGAACTGGAATAATATAAATCAGGCCAATCGGCGGGAGGGTTCTACGAAGGAGAGATCCCCGGTTGCGGTCGAGAGCGATCGCAGGCTACTGGAAGGGAACGAATTCGCTGCTTCGACAATGTCGCATTGGGACCCCCGGACGACATATCAATTGGATCGACTGGCGCGCAACGTTAATGCACTCGTGCACGAACTTTGGCAAGCTACATCGATGGGGCAAAAAGGAACCGCAAGGCGCGGGGTGGGAACAGATGCGGGAATGGACGCTGAGATGGAAGCTAGGTCCGAAATCAGGCGGCTGACTGAGCTTATGATGCCGATGTTGGATGGCACTACGGCAGCGCCAGACTACCCCAGGGTAGGCACCGTGGGGAGCAATTCAGACTCGCAAAGTCTGAACGCAACACTTGATTCTATAACAAAGACGCTTGGATTCAAAGAGCGGAATTACGATCTAATGATTGCGAAGATCTGCTACAACCTTCTCACCTCAACATCAGTGCCGAACGCCGCCACGTACGAGCTATTAATCCGCGCCTTCACGAAGCTACGACAACCCGAGCTCGCCGAGGTGGTAGTGCACCAGTTCAAGAACAACGGCTTACGTCCCGACGAGGGTATACTATCAGCGATACTCATGCATTACGGGATGTCACGCGACCCCGAGAAGTTCTACACAACCGTCCGACAAATGGCCGGTCTAGAAGACGGCCTAGGCTTCGAGAGACATCATATCTTCGACCTGACCAAACCCACAGTGCAAAAATGGGCGCTGGACACAGACGTCATACACCGAGATGGGTATCTACAAGAGAAGGCGCACCGGAACTCGGATATCTTCGAGTCTCTGATCCGAGGGTGCATGACCTTCCACAACCTGGACGGGGCGCTGCGGTACCTCAAGACGGCTATCAAAGAGGGTTGTTACGTGCGCACCCAGGTCTTCGCCGATATTGTATATTACAGCCTCACGTGTCCCGAGCGGACCAGCGCGCTCCTCCGCATCGTCACGGCGCTGTCGTGGCAGTTTGGGAAGAAAGAGAAGCCGGGGGGCGGGCTGGACTACAACTCAGACGTGCGGGGTAAGATCCACGATGTTCTCGAAGCCTGTGGTTTAGGCTCCGCATTATCGGGAGCGGCAGACGCGGCGGAGGTGATACAGGATGTCCAGCACCCGCTGGCGCGGTACATATACCCCGAGCAGTTCGCGGCGATGATACGGCATTTCCACGCCGAGGAGGCGAAGGATATGGCGAGTTATCGGGCGAGGAGGGTGTCGTTGCCTTTTAGGGAGAGGATAAGGGGGGAGGGGGAGGTGAGCAGGATGAGAGTTGAGGAGATACCCAGGGAGTTTGGAGGGATGTTGATGGCGGATTTGCCGAGCTTTGTGAAGATTTCGAAACTAGTGGAGGAGGAGGGAGGAGGGGAGGATGGGGGGGTGTTTGTGGCGCCGCCTAGCCTGGTAGAGGTTGTGGAGGAAGCTAGGTCTAACTTTCGACCTATGGCAGCGACGTCATATTGTGTTGGAGGTCTTGGTGAGGAGGAGTATGCCGAGGAGGGACCGCTGGCGGGGTGTTTTTAAGAATAGAATAAATAGACTTGAGGGAGTCTGGATCTGGGTTGGATACCCTACGGTGCATATGTGGCTAGTTGGTAGGATAGTGTACATACCATACTGTAAAAGTAATGATAACCTTGAATAATGAGGAAGAATCCAATTATATCAATCCATACATACCAGATCAGACAAGATCAGACAATCCTAACCAGAGTCAGCAGGGAAGCTGTCAAGACCAAGACCAGAACCAAGACCAAAACCAGGACAAGTTTCTAAATATACACCACTGTCACCACTACTGTATGCTATTTTGACACACCACCTACCTTAACACCACCAGTGTGGCTCCCTAACCTAATCCAGTTAGCCCCCTGTAATCCCTTCCCCCCTCGTACCAGCAATCCAATCCCAATCCTCTCCACCACAGCCCCCAAATCCTTCAGCTGACAACGCTAACCTCTATCCAGCCTAGCCCCCACACCCCCCCAAAAAACCACAGCGGAAATCCGCACACACCGGAGAAAAAACAGCTCCACCTGCAACTGCCCTTAATTAGCAAGGACTAGCGAGTGAAACCCCCCTCTGATTGGTCGATGCGGCTGTCAGACCGTGGGATCGGGACCCGCGTGTGGCTGGAGGGACGGGGCGTGAGTGGGTGATGGATGGAGGTTTGACGCAGGCGGGCAGAGCTGGGCACAGGGGGGGGGATTATTCCTCCGGCTGTATTCGCCGTATTTGCTGGGCTTATTTCGTGTGTTGATGATGGGGGGGGAGGAGGGAGATTGGCAGCCCTGGCGGTGGGGAGATACTGGGGAGATACTGGGGAGAACGGGGATATTCGAAGGCATTATTGCATTGCTGGGCTCTATACTGCAACACTGACACTGACACTGACATACTGGGGGTGGCATACACAATTGCTATACTGGGATGGATACTGAAGTATGCGATACCGGGATATGGGATGGATACTCTCTACGGACACAATCACCCTACTGGCGCATGGATGGGAGATGAGACGCGCCATGTGGCAGGGGAGCAGGGACGGGAATCCTGACAGGATGGGGGGCTATACCCACCGAAGTCCTATGGTAAGGTTAATGTCGCGCAAGCATCCAGGTAAGAGGTTACTACTACTGTACAGTTAGTAACGACGCTATCATCTCTGGTCTTTTTCTCCTGTGCTTACCACCCTCCTCCTCCTCCTCCTACTCTCCTTCCTCACACATTCTACCATCGTTTTTCGACTTCAAGATATCTCATCATCATTTCTTTCCTTCGCGCTTCTGGCCATTGAGTATCGAATACTGTCGCTACTATCCCCAACCACACACACACACTCTCAGCTGAGCGACAAACAAAACACACACCCACAGCCTTGTCGACCACGACCAGCGAGCTTCGGCCCTGGAATGCGCATAACCACCACCTCACCCACCTCACCCTCACCCTAACCCCCCTCACAACACACAACCATGTCCGACCTCCCCGAAGTCTACCAACCCCTCCCCCAATCCTCCCCTCACGCCGGGCACACCGGCCCCCACTACGGGGGTCCACGCCCCGAGTCCGAGGGACTACAAGTCCACAGCGCATACGTCGAGAATTACAACAAAGCGCCCTACTCCGATAACCCAGCGCTGGGACCACAACTGCCGTATCAGCCGTCGTATCAACAGCAGCCATACCAGCAGCAGCTGCCGCAGGGACAGCAGGGGCAGTATATCAACCCCCCCCCAGGCGGGCAGTATGCAGAGAATCAGCCGGGGGGGTTCATGCAGGCTGCGCCGTATGCGATGCAGCCTGATGAGAAGGGGAGGAAGAAGCGGATCTGTGGGTTATCGGTGGTGGTATTCTGGTGTCTGGTAGTTGCTGCGTTGTTAATTGTCATTGGGGCCGTGGTGGGTGGTGTGGTGGGGAGTCAGAAGTCGAAGGATTCGCATGGTGCTGGTGCATCTGCTGGTGGTGATACTGCTGGGTCGTCGTCGTCGGCGGCGGCGGGTGTGACGACGACGCCGACTGCGACGACGACGGATCCTACTTCGACGGACGCGACGGCTACGACTGCCAGTGCTACGGCGACGGCAAGGTTCGACGAGGGCACGTTTTACCGCTTATCGAATCAGTATCTCAAGCGCGAATACTCCCTCGACATCCAAAAGGACAACGGCACCTTCTCGCGCAAGCTCAACATGTCCCTCACAGCCGACAGCGACGGACAGTACTGGCAGATCAAAAAAGTGCCCGACGCGGACGAGCGGTACTGGTTCGCCTGCCTGTACCTCGGGAAGGGTATTCGCCTGTTTCTGGATCCGTCGGATCGGATTAATCCGTTGATGGAGGAGGCGGATGATACGGTGACGGGGCAGCAGTGGAATGTGAGGAGTGAGCTGGATGGGACGTGGAGGATTAGTAATGCGTTGGGGAGTGCGGGGGCGCAGTTGAGTACGTATAGTGATACACATGGGTTGTTTATGGATATGGAGGATGATACGGGGACGGAGTGGAGTATTGCGGAGGCGAGGAAGATTGTGGCTGGGGATGGGTTTTTGTAGAGGGGGAGATGGGGGAGAAGGGGGGGAGGGGGAGAAGGGGGGGAGGGGGAGAGAGGGGGTAGGAGGTTTATTTCGAAAAGGGGGGTGGTTTGGGGAAAGGGGGGTTTGTGGATATATGCTTGATATACGGAGGGGAAGAGCGTGGTTGTGGATATATGCCGGATATACAGAGGGGAAAGAAGCGTGTTTGTCGGCGGTGATGGGATTGATGCATGGTGTTTGGGATCTCGTTGTTTTATTAACTATATACCTCATATATTTTCTTGGTCAGAAGCGGGGGAGGGGAACGAGGGGAACTGGTGGAGCAGCAAACGTGGATGGGAGGCCATAATTGCGCGCAGATAGGGAATGAATGAGATTGATACTTGAGATGGTTGAGTTGGGTTGAGTTGCTTTGTGGGTGAGTGAATGGTGTGGAAGAGGGTGTGATATGGGGGTGTGAGTGAGAGTGTGAGTGAGAGTGATCAGTGGCGTTCATCTATTGAATTATCTCTGTGAGATTGATTTGTGGCTTTGAGTTGCGTCTGGGTGATTGGTTTGGGACAGAGTCACATCACACGGCTTGTTCAGCCCTGAGTGATTGAAGCCATTTATTGATTTTATGGTGGCTGTGAAGGGGATTTTGTCTCTTTGATGTACTTCTGGGTAGCTGGTCTGCAAAAGGAATGTAACATGACGCTCAGAACGATTGAATCCATTATTTTATCCCATAATCACCGTCCACACTCTGCGAGACCAAAGATTATACTCTCCGTCTCCCTGCACGTGATTGTCTGACAGCTGGAAGGCCCCCGCCTTCCTGGTACACACATACAGTTGAACTGAGCGAGGTCCACCCACCACCACCCACCACCACCAAAAAAAAAAAAATCGCTAAAAACAACAAAAAAGTGGGCCTAATCCGGGATCGAACCGGAGACCTCTTACAATTTGAATGCTGATGAGCTCCCAAAGCAAGAATTCTACCACTGAACTATCAGGCCCGTTTTGATGGGAGTATGTGTGTTAGTTGGGCATATATAGGAGGGGAATTCTAGTTTTTTACAGCACTACTACTATTACCATACACGATATGTCCACCGTCCACCGCCTACGCAAGAAAAGGTACGCTGCACTTCTCGTGACCACACATTTTAAGGTTCAACTTTTTTTTAACGTGTGGAGTGTCCCTTGTCGCCCAGCCCAGCCCAGCCCAGCAATCCCAGGTTTTGGGGGTTTTGGTACGGGTGGAGGGGGGAAATAAAAAGAAAAGGGAAAAAAGGAAATACTGTAGATGATGCCATATATTTTATTATTTATTTTATGAACAGCGTACACACAGAGACTGGCAAGACCTGCCTGCACCTGACCACGATGGATGTCTTATATTCTCCGCGGTGTGCTTGGTGATGCGACGATAAAGGGGTAGTGCGTATATCTGGATATAGCCACGCACGTACACGTACATTCCTCTTTGCTACTGTACTGTAGCTGCGGACAAAGGGCGGTGATGATGGCGGGGTGCATATATCCAGATATATCTACGTAGATATGCCTCTTACAAGCTGGGGATAAAGGGCGGCCATGATGGTGGAGTGGATATATCCAGATATATATCCACGTATATTACTACCTGTGGACACGATGACGGCGGAGTGCATATATCCAGTCTGGAGTGCATATAACCCCATTCTCAAGGGCAGATACGCGGTCCTCGGAGTGCTCTAATCCAACAGGATACCCTCCCTCTACTTAAACCTCATGTACCTGCATCGAATTTCTTAGTTTCTACAGTAGTGTCCCACAGTAGCTCACAGCTGACTCAGAGTACATAACCCCCCCGTCCCTTCCAAGTCTCTGCCCCTCCCTCCACCCCCCCTCCACTCTCCTCCACCCCCCTCCCAAAGGCGGTGAGTACATCAACCACGCCGCCGATACGCGACGGGCGGCAGAATAACATTTCCAGCCAGTCATCGGCGTCAGGCGGGACACGGCCTTTTCTGCCGGCGTCGAGCGGCGCGGATGAGAGTCAGTTGTCCCATCTCCCTCTTCTACTGCCCTACATTTCCCTACGATCCCTCCAATAATCCCGACATTCTTTGTTTGAAATCTTTCTCTTCTCCATACATCCTTCCCATACACCCGCACGCACCCTATACACTCGACCCGCCCCTCACGATCAGCAGCTCCTCTTTCCTCCTGCATCCGTAGCGCCACTTTGCAGGGATATTATTGTCACTCTGACCTCCCTCGTGGCCCCATTGTTTGACCCTCGGGATAGGACTCTGAGAAGCTCGAGCTGCATACAAGTTGCTGTATACAGCTGTACTTGCTCTTGAATCTTCTTTCTTTTACATCCCGCTCTCAGGGACCCAGCTTCCGTTCATCGGCGAAAAACTCTCATATATCTCAATGGACCACCTTCTGTTGACCTTTTGTCTCATCCTGTCCTTTGACCGCCACCCGGCGCTGCAACTCACCGCCCATTAACGTTGCTGCTGCTACGCCTCATAACACATCATGAAGTTCGGTCGCAAGTAAGTGCATCCTCCTCTCACTCACACATTCACCTCATCTACGTCCCATACGCTGACCGCTCCCCCCCCCCAGCCTCCCCCGAAACCAAGTTCCCGAATGGGCATCCAGCTACATCAACTACAAAGGGCTCAAGAAGCTCATCCGAGCCATCGCCGCGGAACCCGACCACGCCGATCTGGCAGGTCCGCACTCATGAATCCACAAACTTCCCCCCGGACACCCCCCCTCTGACCTCTCCAGAATTCTTCTTCTCCCTCGACCGCAACCTCGAGACCGTCGACGAGTTCTACAACCGCAAGTACAGCAAGGCGTCCCGTCGGCTGCGCCTGCTCGAGCACCGCGACCATGACGACCTCGAAGAGCTGCGCGCGGCGCTGCTGGATCTGCGCGGGCAGTTGCGGAAGCTGCAGTGGTTTGGGGAGGTGAATCGGAGGGGGTTCCTGAAGATCACGAAGAAGTTGGATAAGAAGATCGAGAGCTCGTTTATACAGAAGTCGTATATCGCGTCGCGCGTGGATCCGAAGCAGTTTGCCACGAATCAGGCGCTGGCGGAGAGTATGAAGTCGATTAATGATTGGTTGTCGGCGCTGAATGATGCGAAGACCCCGGAGAGCAAGTCGATACACTCGGTGCATAAGCCGATGCTGAACTTGCCGTCTGGGTTGCTGGAGACGGTTAAGGGGGCAGTGAAGAATGACGATGCGTCTATACTGAAGGAGATACTGGCGACTGCTGAGTTTGATGCTGGAGATCCTGCGTTGAACAGCCTCGAGCTGACGCTCCTCCAACGCTCCATCTCGAGCAAGTCAAAGAAGTGCATTGACTTCCTTTTAGCGGAAGTCAAGGACTTTGACGAGCCGGATGATATCAACCAGCGGAATTGCCTGCATCGTTTGGTTCTGGCTATCAACAAGACGAACAAGGACCAGGCTGCTCAGTTACTCGAGACGAACCAGTTCATCCATCCAGCTGCTCAGCCTCTCCTAGGCCCGCGCGCCAGCAAGTGCGCCGAAGCTGAAACCCCGAGCCTCGATGGCGAGACGGTTAATATGTTATCGTACGTGCTGGAGAGGATGAAACCTTCCCAGTACAACGCCATCGCAGCCAAAGACTCATATGGCCGACTACCACTTCATTACGCTGCACAGCTCGGCATCGTTGTCGTCTGCGAGGTTCTGATGAAGTTTATGCGCGAATGGGGCCTGTTCAATGTTGACAACGGAATCGATGCGCCGGAGTGGCAAGATCATGAGGGTCTGGCTCCGCTGCATTTGAGTGTTGTCGGTGGGCATTATCTTACATCCAAGGCGCTCTTTGAAGCTGAGGGCGTCACTGGAAAGGCGGCTAGAAGCTCAAAGTCCAGCGCCGTCTTGAATCTCGCCACAAAGTCGAATTACTACAGGATTGTCCGTCTCTTGGTAGACTCGGGTGTTGACGTGAACTGGCAAGATGCCGCCGGCGAGACGGCCCTACACGTCGCTGCCAGATTCGGTCATGTCGAGTGCGCGAAGATCCTTCTCGATGGCACTGTGGAGCAGAAGGCGGATCCGGATGTCTGCGAGAAGTATTTTGAGTGGACGCCTGTGCATATCGCGGCCGTTGACGGACACCTTCCTATCATCGAGTTGCTCGTGGAAGCTCATGCGGATGTCAACAAAGAGGACTCTTCTGGGTGGAATGCGCGTGAGCATGCTGCGCTGAGAGGGCATATTGATATCGCGGAGCTGCTAGCTGAATATATAACGCATGACGCGGAATCCCTTGACGGTAGCACCGGGTTGACTGGTTCGCCTCCTGGTATAGCTTCTCTGGAAGAGAGGAACTCGTTGACTACCGTTAAGGAATCGAACCCCGTCAGGGCGTTTGGTCATCGTTATCTAACGGATCAGAGCATGGTTCTCGTCAGCCTCGGATCAATGGACATGCGCAAGCCAAACGACGCCGTAAACCTCGAAAAGATCCCCATCGCCGAAGCCCACTCCACCCAGCTCGACACCGCACTATCAATCCTCGTCTCCGCCGTCGGCGCCGAAGGCGATCAAACCACAATCGACCTCCCCGTGCAAGAAAACATCGCCACAGAACCCTTCACCTTCCTCACCAAAGACCCCTCGAAAGTAAAGCTCCTCTTCGACCTCGTCCCCACCTACTCCGGAAACCAGAAACACAAGCTCGGCCGCGCTGTCGCGCTCCTCTCCTCTATCCGCTCCACCGTCGGCTCGAAGCGCGCAAACCTCGCAGGCGACCTATCTGTCCCCATCGTGGCGGCTGACACCCTCGAGGTGCTGGGGACTGTGAACTTCAATTTCCTCATCATCACGCCCTTCTCGCACCCTAACATGGAGATCACAGAGACGCAGACGTACTGGAAGAGCCTGACGTCGCCTATGGTGATCGGACACCGGGGGCTGGGAAAGAACCAGACAGCGAATAAATCCCTGCAGTTGGGGGAGAATACGATTCAATCCTTCATCTCTGCCGCGAACCTGGGTGCGAATTACGTGGAATTCGATGTCCAGCTCACTAAAGACCATGTACCCGTGATCTATCACGACTTTTTGGTTTCAGAGACGGGAATCGATGCACCAGTGCATACCCTGACACTCGAGCAATTCCTCCACGTCAACGACACACCCACACGCTCTCAACCGCCCTCCCCTCTCCGCAAAGCCGATACCCCCTCGCAAGCCCTGCCCGTCCTCCCCGCGCTAACCCCGCGCCCGCGCTCCCTCTCAGTGGGGTATACGCCGACGGACATGAATACGGCGATGGAGGAGCGGATGAAGTACACGCACGACTTTAAGGCGAATGGGTATAAAGCGAATTCGCGGGGACGGTTTATTCAGCAGCCTTTCACGACGCTGGAGGAGTTGTTTAGGAAACTGCCGGAGAAGGTGGGGTTTAATATCGAGTTGAAGTATCCGATGTTGCATGAGAGTGAGGAGCATAATATGGATGCCTACGCTGTCGAACTTAACTCTTTCACTGATGCTGTGCTCGCCCAAGCGTACGAGCTTGGCGGCCAGCGCCACCTGATCTTCTCGAGTTTCAACCCGGATGTGTGTCTCGTTCTCTCCTTCAAGCAGCCTAATTTCCCCATCCTGTTTTTGTCAGATGCGGGCGCGTCGCCGGTCGGCGATATAAGGGCGAGTAGTCTGCAAGAAGCGATCCGGTTCGCGAGCCGCTGGAATCTCCTTGGGATTGTGGCGCAGGCGGCGGCGTTTTGTGCGGCGCCTAGGTTGGTGAAGGTGGTTAAGGAGCATGGGCTTGTTTGTGTGAGTTATGGGGTGCAGAATAATGATCCGAAGATGGTGCAGGTTAGTTCCCCCGTCCCCCCCCCCCCCTATTATGGAGATGAGGTGCAAGGAGATGAGAGGAAATGCTGACGTGTGTGAAAATAGCTACAAGTAAAAGAAGGCATAGACGCCGTCATAGTCGACAGCGTCCTCGCGATCCGGAAGGGTCTTCAACAGAGCGAGGAACTGGCTAAGGAGGCGAGCGAGGGGGTTATTGCTAAGGCTGTGCAGGCTGTGAATGGGGGTGTTGCGGTAGATGTTGCAGTGGAGTAGGTTGGATTGCATTACCGACTTAGCTTCTCGATAGAAGTGATAGAAGTGGTAGAGGAAGATGATGCGTGGCCATGGTATATCTTGGCTTGGATGATGCATTGCATTGCGTTACTACTGGTATAGTTGGGATAGATCCTATTTTGGGGGGGGGGTGGCTGGTAGTAGACAGTAGATCCTACAGTTCCTGAAATACATTTTTATGACATTCCTGGCAGTACAAGCCAGTTGAATAAGTCTACAATACCTGTCCCTTCATAATTCTTTGTCATGCCCCACCCTTAAAAGTTCTGACCATCACAACCACACGAGAGAAAGTATCATGTAAAGTTTCCATTCCACTCACTAACTCCGAGTCTACTCGCTTGGAAAACTAGGGACGAAAAGACCACTACGGACAGTGAGCGAGGCAATCTGATGCTTCCCCACCTTGCTCAACCAACCGGACATCCCACTAGCAGATGTCCCCCTTCCCCCCCCCCTCCCATTCATTACTGTCCACACACCCATCCTCACCCATACCCCCCACCACCCCCTACCATTTAACGGCAAACTACCCATCAACCTTAATCTTCCTCCCCCCCTGCACCACAACCCCCGTATCCCCAATCCGACTCATAACGCACTTCGGCTCCCTCTCCCCCGAATGCATGCTCGCCAGCGCAAACGAATCCGTATTATGCGCGAAATGCAAAAAATACCCCTCCGGCATCTTCTTGACAGCCATGACGCCGATCGCTCCCGCAGAGTGACTGTTCTTGACACCAGGGTGCTCCATGAAGTCGTTGAGGACGAAGGACTCCATGGCGTCCTCTTCGTTGGTCTCGGTGTTAGTGCCGCCGCGGCCGCGCTTGGTGCAGAAGTAGAGGCGCTCGGCGCATTTCTGGGAGGCCATCGTGGTGGCCATGTGCTCGCCGGTGCCGCTGGTGACGGCGGCGACGGTGACGTTTTCCGAGTCCTCGAAGTCGGCGGGGATGACGGCTGTGCCGACGCCGACGAGGGCGGCTGGTCCGACGCGACCGCGGTGCTTCATGCCGATGCCGCCGGAGGATGAGCCGGCGGCGATGTTGCCGAAGATGTCAATGGCGATGGCGCCGACGGTGTCGGTGATGCGGTCTTCGTCAATGTCGGAGAGCATGAAAGCAGGGAAGGGCTTGGGAGTCTCGTCTTCGGGCTCTGGCAGCGTAGCGGGCTCTTGTGTTTCATCAGAGCCATCGGTGCCTTTGCGTTGCTTGCCGGTAGGAGGGCGTGCCAGACCGGATGGTGCATCAGAAACACTTTTAGATGGTTCTTCAGCCGCATCCACATTTGTGTTTGGTTTAAGCAAAGAGGGAGTACATGTTCCATGTCCTTTACTGGAACGGCTACCGCTGTACCTGGGGCGCTTGGCCGAGTGCATGGATGGACTGACGGGAATACGGGATTGCGTGTTTGACTCATATTGATTTTTTTTGTCTGGAGTCCTTGGTGTTTTCTGGTTGGTCGAGGCTGGAATCCTGGTTGGGAGCATATCATGCTCAGATTGGGAAACATCCTGCATCTTGTCCTCTGCAAAAGTCGACGGCGATGCTGCCTGAGGAGTACCTGGTTGGCCTTCGTTCCATGTAGCACTCATGAGTGCGTTGAAGTGATCTCTTCTTTGCTTATCACGAACTCTTTCTTCGTATTCATGATCAACCACTTCCTCGCCTGGGCTACCTGGGCTACCTGGGCTACCTGGGCTGTTGGGAGTGCGGGGAAACCCAGCTTTCCTCAGGTCCTCTCGCCAGCGGATAAATCTTTCTCTGGCGTTAGTAGACACGAGTGCATCGTGGTGAACTATGTCCATCCCATGCTCAAACCCAAACTCTGTTGCACCATCGGCTATCAACAGGTTTGGTGGTACTCTTCTGAGCGACAATGGGCGGTTGGACTCTTCTAGAATAATTCGGGCGAGGTGGATCGGATTTTTAATTTCTTGTACAAATGTCAGCATGGCCACAAGTTCACTTGGTGTTCTGAACCTACTCGCAACGGCGCCACAAGCTCCACTCCGACCCAGATGGTCAACAACTGTTGCATCGCACTCGACAACGCCCTCGATTGTGAGGTTACTTCCGTATCCAGCATTGGTGATTTCTTTGTCTTCAAGGACTTTGATTGCTGCTTCGACTGCATCGACCGCAGTGGCACCTCCACGAAGAAATCTCATCGCAACTATGCATGCGCTAAAACATTGTTAGCACAATCTGTGTGTGACATCTCCCTGACGGATGTTGTTTCTCAGAAGGAAGGGAATGTTAGCGGCATAGGTAAACTCACTCTGCACATGCAGCGAGATGTATTTTCTCATTCGTGGTGCTGTGATATCCAGCACCAGCATGGACGAATATGGCCGCCACCGGAGCATGACTCTGTCGATTTAACCCCGGCCGTTTTTCCCCAGCGCCATCCATTGCGGCGCCAAGTACTGGCCTAGGGGGTGACGCCTGGAGTCGGATATAACCCAGAACGCGTTGTTCTTTGTACCCTGGAAATGGCCTCGAAATAATCTGGGTTAGGCTTGTATTTGTGTTCCTTACGTGGTCATGGACTCGACTTCGGATGATTCTAAAGTGGGTTCGAGCGTGGTCAAGCCTTCTAGAGAGGATGTGGCGTCTGGAAGCTGTCTCTGGTTTTTGCATAGAGTGGACCAACTGTGAGGTCAACAAAGGTTGCAGGAACAATTATACGAGAAATGTGGATGATTTCTTGGTGCGTTCGGCTGTGAAGTAGGCGAATTTGCGAGGTAACAGGCGAAATCAACATGAAGGCTGAGGAATTCTTGTCCGGTGAGTTGCCTGGCGTTTAGCTCACCGGCGATGTGTGAACTCGTCACTGAGACTGGTGTGCAAGCGGTTGGTTATGTGTGAAAGGTCGAGATTGAAGGATGGGAAACACTATGAAGATCAAAACAAAGAGACGACCTGGGAAATATTGCAGTATCAGCCTCCAAGTGCTTAACGGGGACGCCCAAGAACGTTGAGATACTGGCAACAAACCGGAGCTCTTTGTACAACAGACACGTCTGTTGACCGTCTCATGGAATCCGCACAGAAAGACCCAAAATCAAGAATTCTAGGTTGAATCGGAGAAACAACTGCTATGCAAACGAGCAGCACGTATATGGACAAAAGATCCGTTATACAGAGTCTTTTTATGAATGGGGAGGCCAGGCGGCTTGACACAACAGCACGGGATTTCAGGAAACTTATAATGACAGTGACAAAAAAGGGATAAAGAATGATTGGGAATGAATGATTTCGGTAGAGATGAGATATTTGATGGAGATGAGGCCAAAGAGGAGGAGGCCGAGTAGGGTGATGAGAAGATCCCTTGCTCGGCTTCAATGGAGGACAGAAGCTGCTTGGAGAGACTTATCTACCTTATCTCCTCATCACTTACTCGCAGCTGCCATGGCGTGCAAGTATATTGTCCAGTTATTGACAGATTATTGACACTGGGCAGCTCTTTCTTATTTTGTAAACTGTGAGATGCGGCAGCGAACTGTCAGTCGCTCCTCATAACTTTCAGATATAACAATCCACGGTCACGTGATACGCAGCCACCAGCCTCCAACTTCTCCAGCCTCACGCTAAATCCATGGTGGGGCGGCTTCCGATAGGCTGCGTCGCCCACCAGCTTCCGTCGTCATCCAAACCTCGAAGGTAACAACTTCCTTGCGACGCTGACGCCGCTGCTATATATCTCTACAACAGCTTCATCCATTCTCATTGAAGCTGTTGGTATATTGAGCGCCTGAAGACCCCCCCCCCAACCCCCAAGATGGCGAACCATACCCCCGCCGTTGTCATGGACAAGTAAGCACTTTTACCCCACTCCTCCCCCAATGGACCGCTGCCTGTGGCATTGTAAGACATACTGACATTTTATACAGCGGCACAGGTTTCTCGAAGCTCGGTGAGAGGGAATGAAAGCCCGGAATTGGGACGCAACTGACCATATCTCTCTAGGGTTCGCTGGAAATGACTCGCCGTCCTTCGTATTCCCTACCGCCATCGCGACCAAGGGCGGGGCACCAGGAGCCGGAGGCACTGGATCTGGCCGCCCAGGTGTCGGAGCGAAGCCATCGTTTCTCACTGGTGGAACTGGGTCAGGTGGTGGAAACCTATCTATGAAGAGAGGGACAGAGGACCTGGACTTCTTCATCGGTGACGAAGCCTTGGCAGCCGCGAATGGACCAGGTACGTTGTAGTTTAGTCGTTGGAGGGGAGTGAGACTAACTTTAGCGCAGGATATGGAATTCACTATCCCATTCGCCACGGTCAAGTTGAGAACTGGGATCACATGGAGCGCTTCTGGTCGAACTCGATATTCAAATACCTGCGCGTTGAGCCAGAAGACCATCACTTCCTGCTCACCGAGCCCCCGCTAAACCCACCTGAGAACCGCGAGAACACCGCCGAGATCATGTTCGAATCGTTCAACTGCGCCGGTCTATACATCGCTGTCCAGGCAGTGCTCGCCCTCGCTGCCTCGTGGACCTCCTCCAAGGTATCCGACCGGTCTCTTACCGGAACGGTTATCGACTCTGGTGATGGTGTTACCCACGTCATCCCCGTTGCCGAGGGATACGTTATTGGTTCCTCTATCAAGTCCATCCCAATCGCCGGTCGTGATATTACCTACTTCGTGCAATCCCTGCTGAGAGACCGCGGCGAGGCCGACTCGAGCTTGAAGACTGCCGGAGAGATCAAGGAAGAATACTGTTACGTTTGCCCCGATATTGTCAAGGAGTTCAGCAGGTTCGACAAGGACCCCACACGTTTCGTGAAGCACCTTGTCACCCAGCCCGGCGGAAGGAAGGTCTCGGTCGATGTTGGCTACGAGCGTTTCCTGGCCCCCGAGATCTTCTTCAACCCCGAGATCTACTCCTCCGACTTCCTGACCCCCCTCCCACAAGTGGTCGACACCGTTATCCAAACCTCGCCCATCGATGTGCGTCGTGGTCTCTACAAGAACATTGTCCTGTCTGGTGGATCCACTCTCTACAAAGATTTCGGCCGCAGGTTACAGCGCGATATCAAGCACCTCGTCGACGCACGCATCCGCGCCTCGGAAGCGAAGAGCGGAGGCGCAAAATCTGGCGGCCTGGAGGTACAGGTTATTACGCACAAGCGCCAGAGACACGGCCCATGGTTTGGTGGAAGTTTGTTGGGACAGACGCCCGAGTTCAGGAGTTACTGCCACACCAAGGTATGTGCCATCGAGTACTATAAATATCTTTTAGATGCAGCACTAACATTTTATAGGCGGAGTATGATGAGATAGGCCCCTCCATTGTGCGGAGATTTGCTCTGTTGGGAGGTCCAGGTGGCTCATAGAGTGAGACGAGTGCGGGAGGTACTGGGTGAGATAGGGGGGGAGAAAAAGCTATAGATACTGTAGTTTCAAGCGCCATTGACAGTTTATATTGACTTACATGCTACGGCTGGTGACTATCCTGCCTGACAAAGCCTTACACATTCCAAAAACGCCAGATCCTCATCAGCGTAACCGGCCTCTGTTAGAGTGGATTCTACTGCCTCCCAGTCCAGAGGGATGTCAGGCGCCATGGCCATGTTCCTCGCTTTCAGTGCTTTACGCTCCTTTTTAGCAAGCTTTGCAGCTCTCTTTTCTTCTGTGGTACTTCCGTTGCTACCCATACCTTCATCCCACCCCTGTCTCTGAAGCTCCCCTCTGATTACATTTTTAACTACCTTCTTAAGTTCCTTAAGCAATTTATTCTGCGCCGGAGTGCGTTTTCCGGCCTTGTTGTTTTGGTTAATCATAAACTCGGTTTCCACGCGTCTGGCTGCCTCGGCTTCTACTGCAATTGCGACCGGGATATGGTCTGCTCGGTTTTTGATGCGAAAACCCTGCTCGCGCACCGCATCTTGAAGAGCTCGTTCTTTCTCGGAGAGACTTCGTTCTAGTTCTTGCTGCGGCTGCAGCCAGTACTGATCAAGGCACTCGTCAACCACCCCCGCAAGCGTTCTAACCTTTTCTTGGAGCACCCGTAGCACACGGATTTGTTTCTCGCCCTGTTTCACGCTTGCCCATTTATTAACATAGTCAGACACAGCTAATGCCGCTCTCTTTTCAGCATTTTGATACTCCAACCCCTGTCCCGATGTGAATCCCCTCTCTGCGTCCATGACAGAATCCCACAGCATTATAGTGGATTCCAATGATAGCTGGTAATGTTCCCCACTGTGACTGTGGAACTCCTGTAGAACGTCAAATGGGACTTGTTTCCTAGAATCCAGCCTCACATAGCTCCGAGGTTTCGGCATCTCAGATGCATCCGTCTCTGTGCCGACTAGATTTACCTTTGCTCGATTATCGGTAGTATCCCAATGATTCCCAGAGACTGGTATGTACATTCGGGGGTCAACGGTTTTGTCGATAGACGAGGTGATGGTGACAATATGAACATGCCCATCTGACTGCCGGTGTATGACGACCACTGGGTGATGTTGATACAGCCATTCTCTGTCAACTTCATGGTGCGTATCCAAGCTCCATTTTTTATACGGCTTAAAATTATACACCCGCCCAACACAGTTCCTGGCAGATTCTATCTCCAAGGTTGCTGGAGACGCTGCTCGACCTACATTGGTACCAGAGCTAGAGCTTGATTCCGGACTCATTTATGGCACTTTTTTTGGCACAGGATTTGGTAATTTAAATGAATAAAACGAAGATTGAGGCCATGCATCTAGTACAGGATTTCTGTCCATTATATTTGGGGGTCATGGCCTGGTTGAGGTCACGATGACGGCGAGTTGCCAAGAGACCCTTACAATGGCAGCGGTCCCAGGGTTTTGATAACCCCTAGTCCCCTAACATACTCTATTTAATTCGCTCTGAGATTTTACATACAATTGGGCAAGAGAGTGATTTAAGACGGATATTTCCATCATTGGTGCTTAGGAGAAAGTTATAGCCTTGTCGCGACACCACCTACGTAATGGGACCTGAAAGTCACCTGTTCTCGCATTCAGTATGCTGTCATTCGGGACCATGACTTTGTTTCCCTAAATGCCTGAAATAATCCCGTATTATAATTTCTAGCTACAGGCCAGCCTTGCATTTGCAGTTACCAAGTCGACTACGTTGGTCACGGGGAATCACAGACTATGGACAATTTACCAGATACTCAATGGGCACAAGTTGCCCAAGGGCCCGGTGACGGTAGGCACTACCTCTTGTTATCTCTTCCTGTTTCTCGACATGATCTTTCCTCATCTCATGTCAATGAAAGGCAGTCACTAAACTGTCCCAGAGTTCGAATACAAAAAGGTCCCTGTCCCTATTCCCGGCCCAGATGAAGTCCTAGTTAATATAAAATTCTCCGGGGTTTGCCATACGTGCGTCTCTTTTACTCATATTGCATATTAAAGCACTGACAGAATAGCGACCTACATGTTCTGGCCGGAGACTGGCCTCTCAAAACCAAATGGCCCCTAATCGGAGGTCATGAAGGTGCGGGCGTCGTAGTCGAGCGTGGAGAACTCATCAGCGATGTCAAAATCGGAGACCATGTCGGTGTAAAATGGCTGAACGGTTCCTGTCTCTCTTGTTCCTTCTGCCAGGCTTCAGATGAGCCGTTGTGCCCAAAGGCGATTCTGTCAGGGTACACGGTTGATGGCACCTTTCAACAGTACTGTATTGCGAAGGCCGCACATGTCGCACATATCCCACCAGATGTTGACTTGGCGTCTGTGGCACCCATTCTCTGTGCTGGGATCACGGTTTATAAGGCACTGAAAGAATCGAATGCCCGTCCTGGACAGACCGTTGCCATTGTCGGAGCAGGAGGTGGGCTCGGAACGCTTGCAATTCAATATGCGAAAGCGATGGGCCTCGAGGTGCTGGCGATTGACGGTGGCTCCGAAAAGGGAGAACTATGCAAGAAACTCGGCGCAAAGTCTTATATCAATTTCAAGACCACAAAAGATATCGTAGCGGATGTCAAAGCAGAAACCGACGAGCGCGCAGGCCCCAACGCCGTGTTACTGATTGCGCCGTTCGAGAAGCCGTTCCAGCAAGCCAGCGAGTATATACGACCACGTGGGACGATTGTCGCGATAGGAATGCCCGCGGATGCGATCCTTCGGGCGCCTGTGTTTGAAACGGTCGTCAAGATGATCACGATTAAAGGGAGCTATGTTGGGAACAGGCGCGACACGGCGGAGGCGATCCAGTTCTTTGCGCGGGGGTTGATTAGTGCCCCGCTTGAGGTGATGGGACTCAGTCAGTTGCAGGAGATATTCGAGAGATTACGCGCGGGGAAGGTAGCGGGGAGGATAGTAGTTGACACGAGCAAGTAGAATATTGGGGGAGGATGAGCGGTTTGATCGACGAAGCGCGCGCGAGATGGCGGGAGCTAGAGTCGGGGGGCGTTGTTGTATGAGACAGGTATCATATTTTCTGTCAGTTCGTGGGGGTGAGGGGGGGGGGATTTGAACACAACGGAGGAAGTAGTGACAATAGTATCTCGAAGTTTGCGAATAGCTGATATAACTTATTGTCACTCTAAGTTTTCACAGCAACTATGAATAAACCAAGGCTTTTGAGCACTTGGTGCTGTAATTATCACGGTTGGTTGCTCAGAGATGAAATTAACATGTGAAGTCTTAGCAACTCTAAATGCAGTATCGGTTTCTATCGGACTTTGAGCAACATAGTAGAGTGCCCCTTTGATTCTTTAATCGCGCCATGTCTGTTGGATGTTGGCATCGACATGGAAATTCACTCATGAGGGGTTTGGCCGGCGGCCAACGGTTCCGAGCTAAGCGCTGCGCCTGCCCACCACCAACACCATAGCCGCCCAACATCTTCAAAACCAACATATGAAAGAAGGGAAAAACGATCATGAGATCTGTCAAGGTCGCAACCTTTTGCGACCCTTATCAGGGGATGGGGACCATTGTTGGCCGTGTGAGGCAGTTCTGAGGGATACATGGAATGGGAAACCCGTCCTATTGTCCCTTCACATCGACCCCGTGGGTTGACGCCCTCCAAGATGACGCGGCGATATTCTGATATTCAGTGTAAGTTGGCGCTTCAAAAGAGCGCTTGCCATGATGTTGGTCTGTCTTCGGTCTTTGCCAGACTTCGAAGGTGAGCGCCTACGATGGGCAGATTCAATCCACAGCCTCCGTCCGTTGGAGGTTTCATTTCAACCCTTATCTGTTGGAGGTGGTGTCATGCACACACATGTATATATATCACGACCTGCATCTGCATGATTAGGATCATTCTTCTGTAACACTCAACTGCATCTTCTATTGGCATCTCCCCAAGGCAACGCTGCAAGCCTCCGCATTCGGCCAACATCACCCCCACAAACCACTCACAAACCACTCACAAACCACCTACACACACCCATCATCGTCATGTCTCTGCCATACATTCTCTCTACCCCAACTACCCCACCACCACTCAATATGAAGGGCCACAAGTCCATTGAAGGCAAAGCCTTCCGCTTCAAGGCTCGCATCGACTGGCCCGCCGCCGCACGCAGCGAGCTCGGCTTCTGCGACTCCTTCTTCCTGCACCCCGTCTTCGTGGTGCGCAAACTAGGCCACGACCGCGCCGAAGTGGTCTCCCTGACCTCGACCCGGGACGATTCCGTCGACCCGCGAAACTACCTCCAGATCGCGACGCCGAACTGGATGAAGAAGCAGACTGGCCCCAAGCTCAACCTCGTCAATACCCCAGGATGCGTGACGCAGCTTCCAAAGACCAGCTGGGTGCGCTTGGACAAGTGTCGCGAGGTGCCGCTTGATATCTTGCAGCAGTGGATGAGGGATGATGGCGTGCAGTATATGCTGCGCAAGGAGTCGAGGGAGAAGTTGTATCGGTTCGTGAGACGCGCCGAGTCAGGGTGGATTGATGACAGGGAGGAGGAACAGTTCGGCTCGCCACAGTTCAGTTTGCTGGAGTTTGGTCCGTCCCCGTTCTCTTCGCCGCAATTCACGTTGCCGCGCACTCCACCACGCACCCCGTCGCCGTTCCCGATCTATGAGATGCCAGGAGACAGCTTTCCTGAGGTTGGAAACCGATTCCCAGGATGGGGCGGCCTGAATGTTGTGGAGGGCGACCCTTTCCTTGACCCTTGTCACTGCAAGCGACCGGGTGCACCGATGCCGATGCCGACGCCGAAGGAGAGGAAGAGCTTGGATGTCGACGAGTTAGTAAAGGCCTTGAGAGACCTGGAAGGAAGGGTGGATCAGCTGCACAACGCGCTGAGCCTCTTGCAGATCGTCTCTCAGTCTGGCAGTCGACAGAATCAGAGGACCGAAGCGTGGGATATCCTTTGAAGAAGGAGAGAGAGCCTTTGAAGGGGGAGAGAGCCTTTGGCGAGAGAGGAGCCTTTGAAGAAGGTGGGAGTCTGTGAAGAAGGAGCATTGTATCAACACTGGACCATATTTCTTTCTCTTATATCATTAGCGAAGGCCGAGGCAACATTTGATAGAGGACAGTCGTTTCTAGAATTGGCGCTCGGTAACAGGGATCTGGCGTTTTGATTACTTAGTTAGCTAGATCTTAGTTGAATATTATAGCCATATACTTGTACACATTCTGTGTTTATTCACCCACTGTGCACCACAATCACAATAACATCCTGATATCCTTTTATAACCTGTCTATTATAGGACAACCGAGTAAAAAATACACATTATTCGCCGGGCACTGGTGTCCCAACATTTGAGCCAGACTCGGTACCATTAACAATCCTCCTCTTCTTCTTCTTTTTCCTCGGCACGACCGCTGGTTTTGCGCCGTAGTTGCCGAGGGCGAGATGTGTTCCGCATGTAAGGCAAATCGCACCTTCCGGGGGCGAGCAGAATACTACATATGTTAGCGGTGCCAGATATGTATGAGGGGAAGGACGTACTGCTTAGGCAAATGCTGCATACAAACCCGACGTCAACCACATTCCTGTGGCAGAAACAAGCCGCTCTGAAGTCAACCACCTCTTGTGTTGGAGATATTAGATGTGTCCGCGCGCTCTGATCGGGGAGAAAACCGAGCATAAGAGATTGAAGGAGGCCTTGGGGGTTGCGTAGTTGCATGTAGGTTCCATTCGTGGCGTCGGAAGCCTGTTGCAGGAACACGGTATCTCCTGATAACTTGAGAATATCGATTGGGATCCGCAGTCGTTGGGCCGCGAATGTGGTGTTCATGATAGGGATGTATTGATGTGCTAAGTCTCCTGATACGGAGATGACGAGGATGCGGCACAGGAGCCCTCGGGGGGCATCATCTGTGGGGTTCTCACTTCCGTCGGGGTGGGACTTGCCGCTGGGAGAGACACCGGACTCGTTGTAGGTCACTGTGGCCTTGTTCGAGTATGAAAGTGCGAGGGTCAGCGCCCCAGCCATTTGGGTGGTGGTTGTGGAGGCGACGTCTTCTGTAGTCGTCGAGTCGATGAGCTCTCGTAAGGAAGTGAGAAGGTCGTACTCGATAAGAGAGAATGGGCGGTACTTGTTCGCGTCGTTTGGGGCCTTGGTCGTGCGATCATGCCCATCGGTCATCGCTGTATCTTCTCCAGCCCCGCGCGCACTGGGAGGGCGGGGATAGAGCCATGCCGCACGATGGCTGTGGCTTGCGACAACTGCCACCTGGTTGGAATTGTTGAAGGCTAGATGGGCATTTATGAATACCATAAGATTGGCGACGGCTTTGGAAAGAGGTAGGGTATCATGGAGGAGCGCCCAGGCATGGGGATTCGTGTCGAGGACGATTGTTAGAAGTGACGGGGACTCCTCTGGAGAAGGGTTAGCGCTGGCATCCACCCAGGAAAGAATATAGTACCCGTTATTGTGCGCTCATAGTGATCAGACCCATCAACGGCGTTCATGGTGACGTTATTGAAGCCTTGAGGCCTGTCCTGTGGGAGCACTCGTAGACTGATTCCAAGTCGACTTCAGGCTGTCCACGAGGGTTGCCGTGGCTCAGACCCGTTTCGTCGACCACTTTTTAGTTTCTTTCATATGGCATCCGGAGCCTGTAGGTGGATTATAGATCACAGAAACGTTATATCGTCAAAATGGGTTCCGTCGCCTGCGACAGCCATGCAATGTCTTGATTTACATGCGTCGAGCGCGACTTTTTGGACTCTTTAGAGAGGCGACCGCGAATTTCCATTTCCGGACCCCAGTCAGCCGTCGCCTTGATGACGCCCTGCCATGTGACTTGACTAAAACCCAGAGAGCTTGGCTTATCAGTCCACATAGAGCTACGATAAGAGCGGCAGAAAGTGCCCCGCCATATTCGCTCATCATCATAATCTATCTCTCTCTTTCCTTTGTATCCCTTCATATCAACTATGGACCTTATATAAAGCAGCAATCAGAATATGTCTGATGAAGCTAATCCCCCGCTGCGGCAACCCACCGTCAAAGCTGGGCCAAATGTCGACTTCAGCAGATCCGAGTCAGTTAGTGATGAGGTTCTGGTTGTGCTCGCCGGCCTCGTCGAGGGCGGGCAGGATGACGACGAGACATGCCTTACTCTCGATGCGTTAACACGTCTCTTGAGCAGAGACGATAAGAGTAATCCCCCGGTGGGAGAAGAGCTGGCGCCTCTCATCGATGCCGACTGTTTCGACACCCTTGCCGCCTATCTGGATATGAGACAAGGAGATTCCATACGGGGACACGCAACCATGACACTCTCAGCATATCTTAAAGCTTCTGGCGAGCAGGGTCTCCATTTCCTAACTCGATTTTTTAAGGACAAAGTGCAGAAGGGTACATATGATGACTTCATCATCGCATTCTCAGTTGCGGCTTGTACATTTCCAGTCATACCAGATGTGTCTGCTGAGCTCTTCCTCAGCCCAGGGTTTGTCTATGGCCTGGGTCCTTTAATGAAGAGAAAGTGGAAGAGCAAGAAAGTGGAACAGGCATGTCTTGATATGCTAAATGTCGCTTGCATGCATGGTGCTTGCCGCGAGGCAATCCAGAAGTACTGCACGGAATGGCTGGAGGAGATCGTGGTTGAGGCGCCCAAGGCTATAGACGACTTGCATAAGTCGGAAAGATATGCTGTCGTCGAGGATGGGCCTCTTCAGCAGCGCCTACATACACCTGCCGTCAGGAATTTGGCTGCTGTTATATTGGCCAAGCTACAGGTAAGCTACCTGCAATACTGTATCCAAACATGGCAAGTAGATAAGCTAACTAGGTCTCCAGGCCGTCCCGTCAGCTCCAGCTGATTCGAAAGAAAAAATACAGCCAGCAGTGACAAACGTCGACGAACTGACAGATATCTTCAATCAATACCTTTCCACCAGCGACGAGTCGCTCCACAAAGGGTCAATAGAAGGCCTTGCATACGCCTCTTTGCAGCCAGTGGTAAAGGAGAAGATTGCCAATGACCCAGCTTTCCTTAAGAGCATACTTCATGTTCTCGAGACCAACCCTCCAAAGTCTTCTACGACGTACGGAGGTCTTTCCATTCTCGTCAATCTCACCACTTACCTTCCTTCGCTCACAGAAGAGCAAAAACGCATAACTCAACTGAAAGCCTACGCCAATGCCTCCCGCCCATCTCATGAGGCAGACCCTCTAAATAGTGATGCTCACGTCGCCGCCAGGTGCACCGCCGTTTTCAAAGCAGAGGCTATACCCGTCCTTGTATCTCACTCTGTACAAGGCTCTCTGGCATCCCTAAAACTCATTGTCCAGATTCTCCTGTCCATATCCCGCTCTTCCGAATTGCGCGGGCGTATTGCACAGCAAGGCGGAGTGAAGCTGCTCCTGCACGCATACAATCAATTTCCTGAGACGGACCAAAACGCTAAGAGGACAACAGCCCATGCACTTGCGAGAATTCTCATATCCACGAATCCAATCCATATCTTTGGTGGCTCAAATCCGCATCCGCTGAACCAAGCGATCCGGCCACTCATATCTCTCCTATCTGATGACCCAACGGCAGAGATACGGGATTTACTACCTGCATTTGAAGCGCTCCTTGCGCTCACGAATCTCGCGTCTGTTGACAACGATGCGCGAGATCCCATTATCCGTGATGGTTGGTCTAGTATCGACGAGCTCCTCTTGTCGAACAACACTCTGGTTACACGAGCCTCAGTGGAATTGGTCTGCAATCTGATGGAGAGCCCCACTGGTGTCGCTAAGTTTGCGGACGGGAGCAAACAGGCTAGCAATAGACTACACATTCTACTTGCTCTGGCTGATTCGGAGGACCTCGCAACCCGGCGAGCTGCAGGCGGTGCGCTAGCAAGCTTGACGCAGTGGGATACCGCCGTTACTGCGATTCTTGGACGCGAGCGGGGTGTAGCTATATTGCTTAAGTTGTGCAAGGAGGATGAAGAAGATTTGAGGCACCGGGGAGTCGTGTGTGTGTCGAATATGCTGAATGCACCAGGGGATGGAGGCGAGAAGGCCACCACAAAAGTGAAAGAGGCGGATGGCATAGAGGCGCTCAAGGAGTGCGCGAGGAAGAGTCGGAGCCAAGAGGTTTTGGAAATAATAGTAGAAGCGTTGCAAAGGCTCCTGGGGGATAGTGGTACGAAGTCTCTTCAACTAGCGGCGGCTGCGTAACCTGGGTCCGGAGCCTGAAAATTTGATCAAGCGTAAAGGGGTGGTAGGCATGTTATCATAATAGGTAGTTATTGACATTGTTGATCTTGTTCATTTGTCTATATACGGAGTTATACATCAATGAGACATTTATGCATCGCTTGTTGGCTTCACGCCCTCAACTGCGCCGGTTGCAATGATCCCCTCTGCATCGGCCACGTCTGCGCCTAGCTTATCTTCCACTCCCTCCATTACATCCGTAGCAATGATTTCTGGTAAAGGCTCATCAATCCTCGATAACACGGCAACACCCTCTACGTGCCCAGTTTGGGGGAAGAAGTCGAACCCTCTGATGCTCTCAATCTTATACCTCCTGCCCAACCCTCCATGTCCATCCTTTCCATTAACGTACCCGTGTACCATCACACCCACATCACGAGCTTGCGTGTGGACATTACAGCTCACATAAACCACTCTCCTTGGTCCGAAGCTGAGTAGTTGCCTAAGGAAACTATCGTCGCAGCCCTTTCTCGGCGGGTCAATCACTACTACCGTTTCATCTGCTGGGTATGTAACGGACTTGAAGAGTTCAGGGGCGTCAGCGGCGAGGAAAGAGGCTTTGGACTCGGGGATGTTGTTGAGAGCTGCGTTCTTGGAGGCGAAATCGATGGAGGCGGAGGAAATGTCGATGCCGGTGCTAGATTCGAAGAGGGAGGAGAGGGTGATAGTGAAGAGGCCAGAGCCGGAATAGGCGTCGATTAGATACTTGACTGGCAGCTCGCTCGAGGAAACGGGAGGGATGATATTTTCGCGGATGTACTGGGTAAATGGTGGGAGGATAGAGTTGTTGTTCTGGAAGAAAGCGCCAGCTGGGTTGGTGAAAGTGAAGTCCTCAATGTATTCGGTTGAGGTGGCGTTGTTGTCTGTGATGCACGTTTTGAGATCTGTAGTCTCAGTGCCTTCGACTGGGACAGCGATTGTGTTCTCCGGGATTGGTGATGGGAGTTCCGAGTTTGGCACTCGCTGAGTGGACTCGCGGAGCAGAATCGTAGCACCACGTTTGTACTTGTCCAACTCCACGGCCACGCGGGCGCGCTCACTCTTCATGCCCTTACGAACGGCGTCGGTGCCGATGGGACAGTCCTCAATGTCTAGAGTTATGCGGCGATTCTTCTGCATGAAGCCAATTTCTGGAGTCTTCTCAAAGGCCTTCTTTATGCCTTGCCTGGCGTCGGCGCGACTCCTATATCCTGGCGGTCCGTCAAAATGGGGTGTGAGCTTCGTGCGGTAGTTGTATTGTAATGGACTGCCCATGGTATTCAGAACAGCGGGCACCAGCTCAGTTGGAATATGTGAGAAGTTCTTGTATGCCTTTTCGACGATGGACTTCTTGTGGTCAAGTTGAGTGGAATAGTCGAGCATCTGGAATTGGCAGCCCGAGCACTTGGAGAAATACTGGCAGCCAATTCGACTATCATCTCGGAGTGGTGATGGTTCGACGACACTGAGGAAATCGGCGAGAGAGTAGTGGTGTTTCTCAAAATGCTTGATGACTTTGACTCGCGCAATGTCGCCTGGTGCCGTGAATGGGACGACGTAAATCTGGTCTGAGCCAGGGGCTACAGCCAACCCATCGCCCGTAGATGATATCTCCAACACTTTGACATCGAGTTCTGTGAATGGTGCTGGTAGGGTGGTCTTCGATTCTGACTCGCCCTCTGCGATGCTGCTGACTTCGCCATTCTTGGGGTCTTCGAGTCGCTGCCTCGAAAAGAGATCCGTCACATCTGCTAATAACACCTCTTCTGTTGACCCTTCCTTCACTGGTTTTTGTTTTTGTGTCTTCTGCCTCTTATTTCCACGGCCGCCTTGGTTCCCGCGCCCACCTTGGTGGTCTCTCTTGCGATTCTCGGCGCCCGCCGGCGCAATCTTTCGTTCTGTCTCCATTGGCCGGTAATTAAACTGTCTTACCGTTCTCAATGGTACGAACAGATTTCTAGAAATTGCCCTAGAAAGTTTGAACATTGAGGTTCGAATACCGAATCAGAGTGCATCTATTTCAAAATAATTTCGAGGCCAATTCGGCACCGGATAAATATTGTTGCGGCAACTTAAATTTATCGCCAAAGGTACGGTTGCACCAACCTCATACTCAGGGAGGAAGCCGAGAAAAAAAGCCGCCTCATACCGCGGTGTTCAAGATGAGCGTCTCACGCCCAGCACGATGTGTGTTCTCCTCCGCATCATCAATTGCGAGGGCGCGCCCAATGGTCCAATGCCGAGATTTCTCAACAACCCAGTCTCTTCCGGCACGACGCCGTCCTCGGTTTGCCAGTGTCAAGGCCGAGGATATGGGATTGGTATCTCAGGCTCCCACAGGCCCGGTGCTGAAGAGCTACACCAAGAAAGATGAGAAGAACTTGTCGAAAAGATACACCCCCGATCAAATGCGTGTCATCGCCGCCGGCGAGGAGGCAATCGATATCGAAGACATCCGCAGCCAAGGTGTCATCCGCAACGACCCCTACGCATTCAAATATCTCGACGACTTCTCTGTGCTTCGCCCCACTCTAGACAAAATACCGAAGGCCGCGAGCACTGTTCCTAAAGACGCGCGCTGGTTAAATGAGACGGAGCGGTTCGACCAGGTCAACGAATGGCTAGGAAAGATGACGGAGGAAAAAGAATTACAGGGGCTGACCGAGCCTAACGCTGTGCCCATAACAAGGCTAGACCTACAGAAGTTCATCGACGAAACCCCATCGATGACAGGCGGCGGCAAGTTTGGGTCCGACGTCCTTGCGCCTGCCCTACCAAAGGTTCCAAGCATGGTAGGGATGTACCAAAACTCGACTTTTGTCGACAAGCGCGACCCCACCGGTACCTTCGACAGATTGAGGAGGCAGACTGGAATGAGCCTTGAGCAAGTCATGGATCTGGACGTCAAGAAGATCGTCTCTCATAGGGTTGTAAATATGACACGTTTAGGCCGAATTCAGAGCTTCTATACGTTGTCTATTGCTGGCAATGGGAATGGCATGCTTGGATTGGGAGAGGGGAAGGCTGCAGAAATGTCAGATTCATTGAATCAATCTCGCATGGCTGCTATCAAAAACATGAAGCCGGTTCCGCGCTACGAAGATAGGACGATATTTGGCGACGTAGAAGCGAAAGTTTCTGCTGTGAGGGTTCAGTTGATGTCGAGGCCACCTGGTAAGTCCCCCTATGACAACCTTTATGTCTCGCCTTTTCCAATGCGGTACTAATTTTGTTTCCAGGATTTGGACTCCGCTGCCAATACCTTATCTTCGAAATGTGTCGCGCTGCCGGTATCACCGACATAGCTGCGCGTGTCCCGTTCGCGAGGAACAAAATGAACACGGCCAAAGCCACATACGAAGCGTTGATGAACCAGAGGATCCCGGATGAGGTTGCTCGTGGGTTAGGCAAGAAGTTGGTCGATGTGCGCAAGGTTTACTATGGAGGAGACCAGCAACTTCCCAAAAGGCAGAGGACGGATGATGCTGAAGCGTAAAGAAAGGGACTTGGGGTCTGGGATAGTGTACTGATACGTTTAGAGGTGGTACTGTATAGCGAATTTGTAGTATATATAAGATAAGAAGCCACTGCTGCCCGGTCATTTATTTTGTGCCTTTATTCATTCTCACACCAGCAATCCTGGGTATCCTTAACGCCATAACTCCCATTCCCTCAGCCCACGCCTTCCCAGGAGCCAATCTCCAGAATTAGCCCTTAGTGATCCTGTCCAGCACCTTGATCGCCAGAGTAAATCTCCTGCTGTAGCACAATACTGTACACGCTCGCCTTCAGGAGTGTAAACACCAAGCTTGTTTTGCGTTCCAACTGTAGCAGTCCATCCAGAATTTCAGCGGTCGGTGCGCCTGCCAACCCGTCAAGGAGGGATGCGAGCTGCATATTATATTAGCACGAGTAGACAGATAATGGACGGTATAATACATGCCTTCTTCATATTGTCAGCCAGGCGCTCATACTCCTCCAAGACGTCCTGTTCGAGAGGGGAGAGGTCGTCTGGTCCCGGGGGACTTGTGAGGGAGAGAGACGCAGTCGCGTCATTGAGGTCGGTGGTCATCGTTTGTGAGAGGACTGGATTGTCTCTACTGAGCGGTTGGAGAGTTTCGCAGTGTGCACAGAGGTGAATCTAACTGTCGTTGCGCATATGTGGGGTCGTGGTCGCGTATGTTGACGTGTGGGGGATCTGACAACGCGAGGCTTCAGCCTCGTGAACTTCAGACCATGACGAGATATTCGACCACTTTGACTCTATCAACATTCCCATATTTCCTATTCTTTAATCATATACAAGGTAGCAAACTATATCCCAGCTGAATCACTCCTTTTCTACAGCACTATATCATAACTCATAGTTGCTGATTATATTACCAACCAATCGCTTTTAATTCATCTTGTCCCCGTCAGTTCGCATCAGACCACCACACTGCACGAGAGCTACAAATTACTGTATCAACGAACTCCACCACAGCTAGCTCAAAAGATCCTTATATTTTCCCATCATCTTCTCTCCCAACATTTAACCTAGGTGCGACTACTTCTGGCCGCCCATCCTGGGGACATGGCACCCATCGACCGCAAAGCTACTCTCGCTTTGGAGGAAGACATCATCAGGCTTGGAGAGGCAGCACACGACCCCGAGCTATCGAAAGAAGAAGCCGAAGCAGGGATCCAGGAATTTGATACTTTTCTCGAAAGGTTTGAAGATTGAACTCGCTCTGCCCCGGTACCAACAGCTAACCATTCATAGAACGGCTGCGTATGTTCTCCTCCCGGCTCTCGTCTCACTTGTCAAACCTGACAGGGTGAAGCCATGGCTTCATCCTCATATTTCTCGTGCGCTATCGTTTCTCCCACTCCGACCAAGAGGTGTCCGTAGCACAATCGAATTTGTACTCTCTGTGCATCCAACCACCGCTGCCACCGCTCAGGCGCAAGGACAGGAGGCAAGATCCAAAGGTCCTCAAATTTCACCAGAAGCACTCACCTCTGCTACGCAGTTGATATGCTCTCCGCCACAAGGCGTGACGCCATACTACTGGTTTGAGCACCTTGCTCCCCAACTGTTCTCATTGCTAGATGGTAATGGAGGGCTCGACATGGTTAAAGTGGCAGCCTACGTAATTGGATATGGTATTCTCGGGAGGCCTCAGTTTGGCGCACCCCCAGGTAAGTAGCAATTTGAATGCTTGGTAGAGGTAGACTCTAAATTTTAGTGCAGACGCTCCAGGATGGCAGCTCCTTGCGGAGCCCATTCTAAGAAGTATTGATCCCAGTCAGGGTCGGTCTCTCGCCAAGATCGACAGTGAAACAACAGTAGGACCGAGTATTCTTTCTTCTCCAGCTGAGCTGGCAGATGGGCTCCGAAGACTTGCTTCATTAATAAGCTCACATCCGAACCCGGGTCTGTCAAGACGACTTCTACGAAACATTGTGCTTCCACTGTGGTCTCTCGCGTCATGGTCAGCAAAGGACAACGAACTGGAAGAGTATCGTGCGCCGGCTGGATTTCTATTGCATATTATTCTCCAACTTTCAGTTGACGGAGCCCAGCTGATCCGCATAGCTGATAATTTGATGTCCACAAAAACCCACGGCGGGAGGCTAATGCGATGGAAATATACTAAGTCTCCACAAGGGGGTATTCGCATTGAGAAAGCTACTCCGGTGGAAGATGAACATATGGGAAGACTCCTCCATCTTAACACAGTTGTCGATTACAAGTCGATTGACTTCAAAGTTAATGCATTCTTGGATGTTGTCAAGTTGGCTTCTACGAGCGATGCATTCGGCATATCAAACCTTTTTATTGCAATATGTAGACGCTGGCTAGTTGAAGAGGATGGTCTCGCCGCATCAGAACTCGTAATGTCGACCCCTGGATCTCGCCCACCACGAAATTACGAGGAAAAGATAATAGATGCGAAACTGCTCCAAGGCCTCATTGAAACTGTGCCAGACAGGCTCGTTGAGGAATCCGGGCAAGTTCTGGAACTGAGCTGCAATATTCTCCTCCGAGCCAATCGGAAAGAAGACATGAAAAACGATGATACCGTCGCCATAGCGCTGAGCCTACTGAATATGGTGTTCACTTCTCCATCCTTCAAAGCGTCATCCATGAACCCAAGTTTCATCATTTCAATAAAAGAAGCGCTCGCCGACACGGCGAAAGCACAAAACGAGTCGTCGACAACAGCCCAGAATCTGTTAATGTTGTTAGATTTCAAATTGATAGAGCCAGACGCATTCGATGTTCCACCTCCAACGGTCTCCGAGCGGGTATTAGAGGACAGGCGTGCTTACAAGCTAGCTACTGGCTATATTACGTCCCCAGACTCGCCGGCGCCTGTACGAGCGGAAGGGGTAGATCTCTTGACAACATTGATAACGGGAAGGAGTCCTATTCTCGATGTCCCCGCGGCGATGATCCTGCTATCATCCCTTATCCAGGACGAAGAAGAATACATCTACCTCCGAGTCATCAAGTCTTTCATTCAGCTATCTATATCGCACCCAAAATCCGTTTTGAACGGCATCCTCGAGCGATACTTCGACGCCAACGAAGATCTGAGCCTTGACACACGCCTGAGGTTTGGTGAAGCCCTTTCGCAGGTTATCGAAAAGGCAGGCGAGACATTCACCGGAGACGTGGCCCGTCACGTATGTGAGGGCCTCCTCGCACTCGCAGGTCGTCGGGGCTATCGCCCTAAATCACAAGAAGCGAAGGCTAAGCGTCGTGCGGCCGAGCAGCGCAAAAACAAGGCTGCTGAAGATGCCTGGGGAGGCCCAGTGCCACAACTTGATGATATAGCCGAGGATCATGATCCTAACGTGGATGCGATTATGAACCAGATTGTTGAGGGCTGGGAGGGTACGCGTGACGAAGAAGATGTCCGTATTCGTGCCTCTGCGCTGTCTGTCTTTGCCTCGGCCATTGACTCGAATGTCGCTGGAATTGGTGCTGCTATTGTTGGTGGTGGTGTGGATCTCGCAATCAACATGCTACCCCTTGAGCCGGATCCTGAAAAGGCTATTCTGCGACGTTCGGCAATTACGGTCGTTAATGCGCTTGTTAACGCTATTAGCTCGGCGAGGGAGGCCGGCAAGGATATTGGTATTGGATTCGCAGGCCAGAGTCTGGCTGATGTGATGAGGATATTCCAGTATATATCCGGGACGGATAATGATGGGTTGGTGAGGCAACAAGCCAGAGAGACGCTGGAGCAGTTGAATGATTGGCAAATGAATGAGTTTTCTGGAGCCAATATTGACGGAAATACAGGCCTCAACTTGGGGCTGCGGTTGGGGACACTAGGGGGTTTGTCTTTAACCCCGCGAAGTGCGGCTCCTAGCCCAAGCCCAGGCCCTGGCCCAAGGATTGAGGAGATAGAGTAGTTTATGGTGGTGGGTGGTGGTATTGACGAAATTATGCAGCCTACGTATGATAGCTGGAGTTCCATGAAAGGAATTACTACAACGATTAGAGCATGTCTACTCACGTATGCCTAATAAATATTGTCGTTGAAGTCTATTGGTGGCTGTGATAAAGACCCATCGAGATAGGTTCTAACATGTGCCTGTCAACAGGGGATAGAGTCCGATCGACAACTAGATCGACAAGAGCTTGGACCGATGTCTCAAACGAAGAAACATCTTAAAACAACCCCCTCCGCCCCTACAACGGCGCCACCTTAATCAACACAGCCTTATCCTCCATAAAGCTCTCCACACCTCCAATATAACTCTCCCTCCCAATCCCACTCCCCTTCCACCCCCCAAACGGCATATCATTCCCCTTCGTCGGGCTCGAGCAGTTCACCCCCACTGTCCCCGCCTCCAACTGCTTGCTAACCCTCATCGCGCGATCGATGTCCTTAGTGAACACCGACGCATAGAGTCCGTACTCTGTATCGTTCGCCTTGGCGATCGCCTCCGCCTCGCCCTCGAAGGTGTTGATGTGCACCACCGGTCCAAAGATTTCTTCTTTCATGATCTGTGCGTCTTCGGGGGTGTCGGTGAAGATGGTGGGGGAGATGTAGAGGCCGGAGACGTTGGGGAGGTCTTCGGTGATTTTGGTGCCGGATTTTTCGGCGAGGGCGAGGTAGCGCTTGACTGTCTCGTGTTGGACTTTGTCGGCCTGGGGGCCTTGGGTTGTGCCTGCCTGGGTTGGGTCGCCGAGCTTGGCGCTCATGAATTTGGTTTTGAATCCTTCGATGAAGGTCTGGGCGATGGATTTGTGGACGTAGATTCTTGAGTTCGCAAAGCATCTATGGATTCTGTTAGTTACCATGGCAGTGGCCCATGGAGGGCTCTAAGAATAGGTAGACAACTCACGTCTGCCCACTGTTCCATCCAATACTCGGCACAGTCGCCTGAATCGCCTGCTCGATATCTGCATCCTCGAATACTAATGCCGGTGATTTTCCACCGAGCTCGAAAATGCAGTTTTTCAAGTTCGAATCCGCAGCAGCCTTTTGGATAGCGCGCCCTGTGCGCGTGCTACCTGTGAACGAGATGATGCGGATGTCCATGTGCGACGACATCACAGCTCCCGCTGCGCCATGTCCCGAGAGAATGTTGAACACTCCCGGCGGGAAGCCGGCTTTGGCCACAAGCTCAGCAGCTTTTGCGCACTATGTAAATTATTTAGCTAGTCCTGGCTTCTCAGGGGAGCAACTTACGGTCAAGGGTGCTTTCTCACTGCTCTTTAGAACCACGGTATTACCAGCTGCCAGTGCAGCAGCTCCTTTCTTTGAGAAAAATATCAGCGGTGCGTTCCATGGGATGATGATCCCGCAGACGCCGTAAGGCTGCTTCACGCCCATGTTGACGAAACCGGGGGTGTTAAGACTAGAGGTTCCCATGGGGTAGGCAGCTTCGGAGAAGTAACGAAAGTAGTCAGAAGCAGCGCCAGCATCGAAGAACGAGGTGACTGGACGACCCATCGACTTCGCCTCGAGCTGTGCAAGCTCAGCGGAGTGCTCGGCGAAGAGGACACCGAGACGGGCTAGATAGACGCTGCGCTCTTTGGGGGACAGGGCGGACCAAGCTGGGAAGGCAGCCTTGGCCGCGGCGACGGCGGCGTCTACATCTTTGGCGGTTGCTTCGGGAACTGTGGTCAATTAGTATGGGCCAAGATACGTAAATGGGTATGAGGAGTGCGGAAGCCGGGGCTTAGCTTATGATACACCGTACCTTTAGCTATGAATTCGCCAGTGGAAGGCGAGTGCAAATCAAAAGTTTGAGACTCATCAATGGCTTGAAACTGGAAGAGAGGATAAGACGGTTAGCTACGGATGGGATTGGGAGTTCGAACTGAAGGTTTAAATGGAATCTATGTCGCACCTTGCCGTTGATGAACAGCCTGGTTTCGATAGGGGAGGCAGACATGATAGTGTATGTATGGTTTATGGAAATATATATGAGATATTCGGGGAATATATATATCGAATATATGTCAACGATATTCGGTAAGACGGAAACCAACACATTTGGAGAAGTTGGCGTCAATTAATCTATATAGGAAGGAGAATGTTGTAGGATTGACACTAAGGTTACATATGCGGGGTCCGCCCTCTCGATTTCTACCCCACAGCGGTCCGGTCGGGTTCCGCCACGGACTTAAAGTTATCCGTCCCGTCGTACGTCATATTTATCAAAGTGCTATGTGATAACTCGATCTTAGAGAAACGTCAGTATCTTATGATTTTCCCATGACGTCTGCCATGGTACCAAATTGATATAAATAAATTATATAGATTATTTAGATAATACAATTTATACACACATCTCACATCAAGCCCAAAATGTCACAGGGAGCATCTCAAATGAATACTAATCAGCAGCTTCTCTATGAGGATGGCCTGACACGAACCCTTTCTGAGACTACCCAAGATCGGAAGAGAAAACAGGAAGGCGACAAATATATCCCATTAACATTGCAATCAACTATCTTGCTGGAGTTACTGATTTGCTCCTCACCTCGCTCAATGTACCCTTCCTCACTCTGAAGTTCTTGGTCAACACCATCAGATTAAACATCCTCTCTTTCACAACGCGATATTATCATCCCCAGGTAAAAACAGTCACCTGTAGTTCATACTAACAACAGCTAACTTTCAAAGATTTTGCTTTGAGGATCTGTACTGCAGATGACACTTCAACCCAGGCTATAAGCAGGCTTTCAAACTCCTTTTAAATTAAAATTCAAGAAAGAGCTTTACGCACTCGCCATCGCAGATCTCAGACTTCCATCGCCCAAATCATGCCATCAGCAACTCAGGCTCCCGCCACTCAAACTATGGCGTCAACATCTATCCTCAGTTTGCCCTTCGAAATTCTCTGCAGCATTACAAACCATCTCACCTACAGTTCCCATCTCGCCCTTTCACTCACCTGTCGCGAGCTGTACCACAGAGTCGATACCCCTCGTCAGCCATACACTCGACCACCACGTTCCAAGGCGAAAGTCAAAACATACACCATGTTCGATCTCCTTGAGATAGAGAACTGGCCAGAGTACGGCGTCTCATGGGACACCTATTTCGGTTTTCCGAACCCTAAACCAGCCGACCGGTTCGCATGCCGCATCTGCCTCCGACTCCGCCTAACTGCCATGTTCATCAACCCACAGAAGGGCTACAGATCCTGGTACAAGCATAGGGGTAGGGCATCCCTTGACCTCACAGTGCACAGAGAATGGCGGTTCTGTATACCGTGTGGGATCAAGTGTGGGTGGTATCACCACAGATCGACATTTAAGTCGATGGGGCGGCCAGAGGAACACCTGAATGTTTGCAGGGAGTGTGGTGATTACGAGGTGGTTCAGGTTGGATCAAAAGGGCTGTGGCTTTGTGCTGCGTGCTGCAGAGGATAGGCAGGAGACAATAGTATAGTAATGTGCGGTTAGTAAACGATTTAGACAGAAAGCGATGGAACAGGGCAGCACCGGGCATTTATTCACTCTCAGGATCTTTGTTAGACTTTTAGTGTTTGTTTATTAAATAAATTCCCGCCCTGCTATTGCATCTCTTTTCTAAGGAATCATCCTGAATTCTGATACAAGGTCGCTCTATCAAAGACACCACACTGCCTCACATTCATCAACCTCACATCTCACAAACCATGGCGACAACAGCGACCCTACCAAACTTGCCAGTCGAACTGCTCCATCAAATATCACAGCAGCTCAGTTACAGCTCACATATTGCCCTCTCATTCACTTGCCGAGAGCTCTATACCAAAGTCGATACCCGTCGCCGACCACCCTACTCCTCAGTTAACGGAAAGGCCTATAACATGGAAGACCTTCTCGAAATATAGAAGTGGCCAGAGTACACTCCCCAAACGCCCAACCTTACACTTGAGGAGCTTTGGAAAGTGAATTTCCTCGCTTGCAGCATTTGTTTGAGAATCCGCTGCTCCGTCAAGTTTTGCTGCCGACATAAATTCGATGATGCCTTTTCCATTTCCAGAGACTCGGAAGACTACGATGCGTACGTCATGAAACGGAGGCTGTATCAACGATGTGTACCATATGCCAGAGACTCGGAACACTACCATGCGTACATCATAAAATGGAGGCTGTTTCAACTGTGCGTACCATGTGCGATCGCTAACTAGTTGTATTTCTGCGACGAGAATCACGAAAATGGGGTTTTCCAATGCAGAAGCACTTTGTTGTTCAGCATTTCCTTGGGTGGAAGAACTGGGCTTGTGAGAAGTGCGTAGGCGAGTTGAAGGCTGCAGGGCGTCTCTTAATTCATATATGTTGCCTTGCATCGTTATTCATGCTCTGAACACATCAACCCGTCATCTCAGAAACCATGGCGACATCATCAACAACCTTGCTGAACTTGCCAACCGAAATCCTCCGCCAAATAACAAGCTATATCGACTATCCATCCCACCTCGCCCTCTCATTCACCTGTCGCGAGCTCCATGCCAGGGTGGAAGACCCCAATTCACGACCACGACGCACCATTTCCACCGGCAACGACAGACCCTACACCATACAAGACCTCCTCGCCATAGAGTTATGGCCCGAATTTGCACCGTCCCTCGGCGGCGACCGTGTCTCACGTCAGATGCCCAGCAAAAACGACTTCTTCGCCTGCCGTTACTGCTGCAAGATCCTCTCCGCCATCAACTTCACTAACAGGCATCTTAACCGCGCTTACTGGAAACGCGATAGGGATGAGGAGGAGACTAGGAGGAGAGATCGGAGCGCCTGGCGCATTTGTATCCCGTGTGGGGCTGCGGGGAGGATGCATCCTAGAGATAAGAGTTATCCTTTTGGTGGGATGTCGGGTGGATATGGGTTTACGTGCGTTGGGTGCGAAGGGTTTGTGCTGGAGCGGACGGGGTTTGAGGGTGAGAAGGTTAATTTTACTTGTGATACTTGTCGGGAAAGCAATAGTGAGAAAAAAGAGCCGTTTTCTACTTAGATATAGTGGATATTTAAATGATTTACTCACATGAAGCATCACCAGAGACTGCTGCTCGGAGTACAAGATCTCTCCTCAAATAGTAAATCCTTAGACACTCAAATAAATAATCCCGAATTCCCGTCTCTCTTAGATCATCTAGTGATGACAGAAAATATAGAGACAGAAAGCTAACAAGATTTTATAAGTCTTCTCGGGGTTTATAGAGACGACAGGGCGTTTATTCACTCCTATTCTCTTTACTCTCTTTTTAGCTTTTTAGCGTTTGTTTATCACATACCCTCATACTCCTGTTATCAAACGTCCTTTTTCATACTCTCAACAACATCACTAATCTCACAAACCATGGCAACTACAACGACCTTGCTCAGCTTGCCACTCGAATTGCTCGATCAAATAACAAACGACCTCAGCTATGGCTCTCACCTAGCCCTATCATTCACCTGTCGTGAGCTCTATGCCAGACTTGATCCCAATCAAACTGCCAAACCCCCAAAACTCAAAAGGGTATTCAAGATGGAAGACCTCCTCGAAATCGAACTTTGGCCTGAATTCGCATCCTCGCATCGCAAACCTCTCGAAAAGCGGCAGCCAGACAGAGATGACTTCTTCGCTTGCTGCTTCTGTGTGCGGATTCGCCCCGGCTGGGATTTTGAGACCGCAAAGATGAAAGGCAGATACGGGAAACGTGGTGAAGCCAACAAGGATGCGAGAATGGGGCGCTACTGTATACCTTGCGGAATCAAATGGGGAAAATATTCGCGGAGGGCACAATTTCATGTCGGGGGGTGGAAGGGGTGCTTCGCGTTTTTCTGCACTGCCTGTGGTGGGTTCCAGCGCGAGAAGTATAGATTCGAAACTTATGGGGTTACGGAAAAAAGATGTGAATACTGCCGCCAGGAATCTGACTACAAGATATACCTAGGAGCTGTATGATCCTCTTTAAATCTTCTCTTTCATTGCAGATATTACTCGCATAAAGCATTACTAATTCCTCATCCTAGCCCCTTCCCATGTCTCAGCCGACTTCGTAGATGGCTAGATCGCCTTCTCCAGATAGTGAGTAGCGCACCCAGAATCTAAATGCAACGCTACTAACATTATTTTGAGGCCTACAGCAAACACATTCTGCCTTCTTCGGAAAGTTGTCGACGGGAGATAAAGGGGCCGGGAAACTGCATGTCGTTTCATCACTCTTCTCAGTTTACAGAAGCTTCGGGGCATTTCTTTACTCTCAACTTCTTCATGACCATTCTCGGCGTTTTTAGAGACAATATGGCGATTCTTCACTCTTCGCTGCTTGTTCCCTCGTGCCAGCTTCAGTCTTTGTGCGTTAATGAAATAAATTCACCATGCTGTTTCCATCCTGAGTCCCATCATCAATGATCTATGCCTACCAGCTTCCCACCACACCAACAATGGCACCAATAGTCCTCCTGGACTTGCCCACAGAGCTCCTGCTCCAAATACCAAGCTACCTCCGCTATCCCGACCACCTCGCCCTCGTCGTGACTTGTCAAACGCTATATTCCATTCTCCCAAGACCCAAAACCCGCCCCTCCCAACCCAACGGAGCCATATACCGGCCATTCGACAAGACCCATCTCCAATACTCACCCAATATCCTAATGTACGACATGTACGACATGTTCGACCTCCTACGCATTGAGCGATGGCCATGCTACACACCCTCGCGTCACCACCAACTGCCCGGCCGGGGCGACTTCTTTGCCTGCAGCTACTGTCTCAAGATCCGGCCCGCGCTCTTCTTCGCAACCGATATGATGAAGTGGTGGCGTAGAAAGGTCATACACGTGTCGGAGTTCCCCCCGTATCAGGGTTCGACACCTATGGATATCGCATTGAAGGCGGGGCGTTTCTGTATTCCATGCGGGATTGGGGGAGGGAAGTACCGAGGGGGGAAGCAGATAAACTTTGGGGGCCGGGAGTGGGGGGTGGGATACGTGTGTACCGGGTGTCTAGTGTTTTTTAGTAAGACATGGGGAGAGGTGGAGAAGCCTGGGTGTTGGTGTAATGCCTGCTATGCCAATGGAGGGAGGAGAGATAGGGTTCCAGAGGATAAGTGGGGGATAGTTCAGGCCAGACCTTGTCGCAGATGACGCCTTGAGGACTCCTTGGTGCTTCTCATACGCAACCACGATTACAGAGATCAACAGTACGATGCACCGATCGCAGAAATCAACACTAGCATAGCAATAAACCACTCACTCAATGAAGAAAATATGGCAGCCAAAATCCTGAATTCGCTACCTACCTACTATTACCTCCCCCTCCCCCACCTCCCTTTCCCCTCCCTCATCCCATGTCAAACTTTTAAAGTCCCACGGTATTATATCATTTTCATTTTCATAACCCCTCCTCCCTTCTTTTTTTTTTGCTATAACGCCCTTCTGCGTAACTACTCCCTTACACGGCTCGAAACAGCGTCTCTCTCTCCATTGTTTGATCCTCTCCAACTTAGTGGAGTTAAGACGGATGGGAAAGCATTTATTTCGTTCCGAGACCCTCGCCAGCCTCGAGCTTAGCCTGGCCGTATTTCTTGAGGCGGATAGCGTTGATGTTGATGAATCCGGCTAGATGGCGTGTTAGTATGCGGTGTAATCGGGCCTTGGTGGGGGTGCGGGCCAAAGTGGAGTTGGGAATAGGGGTGCAGGGGACATACTGGTATCAACAGGGCTGAAGTCAACCAAGCTGTCCATGGAGGACTCCTCCTCCGAGTAGAGCTTCTCGGTCTCCGAGGAGCGGCCGAGGATGAAGACGTTACCGCGGTAGCAGCGCATCCTGACCTCACCGTTCTATTGTCCCATGTTAGCACATTCCTTATTTTTCTCCATCACAATGGAACAAGCGGGGTCGAGGAAGACATACGACGCTCTTCTGGGAGAAGACGAGGGAGTTCTGGACGAACTCGCGCTCGGGGGAGAAGTAGAGACCGTTGTAGAGGATCTCAGACCAGGCGTGGGTGACGAACTGGTCGCGGAGGGCGCGGACCTTGCCGTCCATGACGAGACCCTCAATATCGAGATGAGCGTCGCGGAGCTGGTGGGGGTTAGCTTTGGTACGTAGACGCTGGGGAGAGTCCCAGATTCCGAGGATGGGGTGGCAGGATGAGACGTACGATAGTCATAGCTGGGGAATCGTAGCAGCCGCGGGACTTGATGCCGACGTAACGGTTCTATCACAAAATCAGTTAGAAATCGTCACATAACAGGGGTAGACAAGCTACGAACCTCGACGATGTCGATACGGCCGATACCGTGGAGCTTGCCAATAGCGTTAAGAGCGATGAAAAGCTCAAGGCTGTCGGTGATCTCCTTGCCCTCAGTGGTGAGCTTGACGGGGATACCCTTCTCGAAGTGGATCTGGATATCTTGTGGGGTGGCAGGTGCCGTCATCGGGTCATCAGTGCTACAAAAGTTAGCAATTGTATTTTTTTCGCGGGGTATTGCCCCGTCGAGTTTTCGCAAGGGTGTACGCACCGAGTCCACATATCAGTTGGTGGTGGCTTGGATGGGTCCTCGAGCTGACCGCTCTCGTAGGAGCAGTGAGCAATGTTGTCGTCCATGCTGTATGGCTTGGCCTTGGTGGAGGTGACTGGGATGCCGGTGGAGGCGGCGTAGTCGAGGAGGTCGTTGCGGCCCTGGAAGCGCTCGAAGAACTCGGGCATGCGCCATGGGGCAATGATCTTGATCTTGGGGTCGATGGTGAGGAAGGCAAGCTCGAAGCGGACTTGGTCGTTGCCCTTTCCGGTGCAGCTGGGTGGTGGTTAGTTGGTAGTTCTGTGTAACGCATTTGCGGGGTAATTGGGGAAAGATTGATGGCTCAATGGATGGCAATCTAATAACTTATGAGAAGAAGCACATCCACCACACCATCGTACCCCTCTCAGTAACCAACTCATGGAATCACTAACCCGTGGCTAACAAATTGACCTAAAAACAAAAAGTCAGTAAAACACCTCTTTTCAAGATTACCCCTCACCCAAGAATGGAAATACTCACATCCTTCCTCAGCGGCAACCTTCATCTGAGCCCTGGCAATGACGGGCCTGGCCAAGCTGGTGCCGAGCAGGTACCTTCCCTCGTATATGGCGTTGCACTGGATGGCGGGGAAGCAGAGCTCCTCGACGAACTCGCGGCGCAGGTCGGTGATGACCATCTTCGTGGCGCCGATGGCGGCGGCCTTGGAGCGGACTTGGTCCCAGTCCTCCTCCTAGGTGGGGTGTTAGATTGCGTATCCATTGATAAGGTATATGCCTGCAATTGGGGGTGTTGCTGGTGAAAATGGAGGTGGTAGGGGATTGGAGATGTTGTACATACCTGGCCGACGTCGGCGAGGAAGCAGACGACCTCATAGTTCTGGTCGAGCAGCCATTTGAGAATGGTGGAGGTGTCGAGACCACCGGAGTAGGCGAGGCAGACCTTTCCCTTGGAAGCCATGATGTTGGTTATGTGTAAGGGGCGTTGTTGGAGTTTTGTGGTGGAATTGAGTATATAAACAAAAGGTGGTTTGAGGTATGAGTCGGAGGGGAAGGGTGAGAAGGGATCGGGTGGGATGGGATTGTGGGGGAGTCAGTCGAAATTTGTTGTGGGCAGCGATAAGATAAGGTCGGGTCGGCTTATCGAAAGGCGGTCAGGGGATGCAGGATGGGAAATGCAGGAGGGCGGTAAGCCGAACGCCCCCTCGTTGTACAAATATGCAAAGGGGATCAATAGTTTCAAAATTGGGAATAAATCTGAATAATGTGAATCATGGGAAGGGTAGAATCGGAGTTACAGAATAGGGGGGATTTTATGTGGTGAGACATTAATGGTGACACTGGAGAACGGTATAGGCATAGTATTCTTGAGTAACACTACAAGTAACTCTACACATGGTTGTGATCAAAGTGATAATACGGCATTTAAATATGATAAGATATATACATATACAGAGGGAATTGATTATACTTATACATTTATATTCATGGCTATGCGAGTCATGCCTCATTATGGAGGTTATACTCGAGCATGGCGGTCTAGATCTCTCACAGGATGGCTTACAGCTCACAAACATGCATCTGTCTTAAAGCAGTCTAGAAGCACGTGAGTTGAGAAAAGTATCAACACGTGAGCTTAAGTAGAGAAATCTATTACGTTCTATTACGTCGATATTGATATTGAAGAATGGAGAGAAACTCTGTGGTCACATGACGGAATTGCAGTTGCTGGCTTCGGCTGCTCACCTTATAGAAACTCAGTGCTCACCTGAGGGATACTACCTTTCATCCTCTTTATCCTCCTTATCCATGACCAGAAACAGTAAAATCCCACTCAGGTACCACGCTATCACCTGAAAAGATAACCAAAAACTAGCCAAAGTCACGAGAATCTACGGATCAGGGATAATCCGGGTTGAAGTTCCACGCTATCACCTGAGAATTACCTGACGCTAACACCTGATAGCCTTCTCTCCCGTTCCAATTGACCAGTCGCTGGCGCCGAAAGTCACGGGTTTGTCGTCGTACCTTCGAAATTGCAGGGCCGACGAGAGAGAGACAGCGACTCAGGGGAAGGTCAGTTTTGTCATGTGCGATGGGCGAATTGTCTGTTGCCGTCGCCCGTGGGGTGATGGTGTATATAAGGAGGGCATATCTGCCGCCTTGAAAAGGGGTTGTAGGAGAATAATACAGACACGGAGAGAAGATTGGGACGATTATAACGAATTTACCTGCTATTTTACAATATATACCCATATCCATACCCAACATGTCTGGCCCACGCCCATATGAAGTTGAGAGGGTGGCTGCCACCTCCGTCCCGGCTGAGAAGATCAATGAGACCCTCAAGGCGGGTAACATCGGTGTGTTTTGATTGTCTTACTACCCCGCGCTCTTACTTCATCGTTCCTTCCCCCCGTTCCCCAATCCCTCTTCGCCTTCGTTCCTTCCCGGTCTGTTACGATGGTTCGATGAGGGAAAGAGCGAATGGCAGGCACGACTAGTGTTTTCTAGTTCTTTCCTACCTTATAATCCTCAGGGCCAAAGGAAATAGCAGATGGCAGGCACGACTAGTGATTTCTGCTTCGTTCCTGCCTTATAGGCTGCAGACCAAAAGAAATATCAGGTGGCAGGCACGGCTGCCTGCTTTCTGCTTCGTTCCTGCCTTATAACCCGCAGCCCGAAGGCTTCCATGGCGGGGTGATTGGGCTGCGTGGGAGGAGGGGCTATAGTTAGCTGCTTGCTCTAGCTACGGCTGCCCATCCATGGCTAGAGACTCGTTTCTAGATATGAGAACTCCATGGCTACAGACTCACTTATGAGAACTCCCGACCATGTACACTCATTTCTGGCTTATGAGACTCGATCATGACAATGGAGACACTCAATCCCACCCCTCACTTTGCTACACACCCAACCCTCACACCTGCTCAAAACTAACATCCCAGACCTCATTTCCTCCACCCTCGGCGGCAAAATCCTCGCCTGCTCCGATGAATACTTCGCCCCCTCCACCAACCTCCTCAACCCCCAAACCCCCATCCACGAAGCCGGCAAAATGGTCTACACCGGCGCCTGGTTCGACGGCTGGGAAACGCGGCGCCACAACCCCTCCCCCTTCGACTGGGCCATCATCCGTCTCGGCGTCGCCTCCGGCACAATCACCGGCATCGAAATCGACACCGCCTTCTTCACCGGCAACAACGCGCCCGAGATCTCCGTCGAAGGCGTATTCTCCCCCTCCGACGAGGAAGTCGTTTCCTGGGCCGGCGGGCGGGGGGAGTGGGAGCCTATTCTCGGGATCGAGGAGTGCGGACCCTCTGCGCGGTTTGGGTGGGAGATCGCTGAGTCGACGGGGAAGGCGTATACGCATGTTCGGCTTAACATGTACCCCGATGGCGGCATCGCGCGATTCCGGCTGTTCGGGCAAGCGGTGCCGATTTTCCCGATGGATGCAAAGGAAGTGTTTGATCTCGCTGCGGCGCAGAATGGGGGCGTGGCGTTGTCGTGTAGTGATGAGCATTTTGGGGTGATTTCGAACCTTTTGTTGCCGGGACGGGGGATGGATATGGGTGATGGGTGGGAGACGAGGAGGACGAGGGGGGAGCATGTTGATTGGGCGATTGTTAAACTTGGTGCTAGGGGGACAATTGAGAGGGTTGTGGTTGATACGGCGCATTTTAGGGGGAACTTCCCGCAGAAGGTGAGGGTGGAGGGGCTGAATTGGGAGAGGGATGGGGAGCCGGGAAATGAAGAGGGGGGGTGGGTCGAGCTTGTTGCGGAGAGTAAGACAGGGCCGGATGCGCTGCATGAGTTTGTGGCGATGGAGCAGGGGAAGGTGTTTACACATGTTAAGCTGGTTATGATCCCTGATGGAGGTGTTAAGAGACTCCAGATCTGGGGTGCCAGAGCGGCGAGCTGAGAAGTTTATATCTGGGAGAGAAAGAAGGGGATAGAATAGGTTGAAAAAGAGATCCTATCTTGGACTTTGTAACTAGATTAAAAAAGACTCTCATATAGGGATATTTAAAACAAAAAATAAAATCTGACACCAATAAATTATGAGGCAGTTATCACAAAATATTTAATTTTGAAGTATTATAATTGAGCCCTGAAATAATAACCATAAATTTATAGTCCCCAAATTAAGTTCGAACTCTAGTGTTACAGTACATTCCTTCAAATAAACAATCAAACTTTATAAATCGAAAGTAGCAACACACATCCCCATATTAAGATTCAAGACCTGAGAGATCACCATCACAGCAAAGTCATCCAAAATACTACACAAGTTTTAATTCAGAGTAATCAATTCACTTCAACCCCCTTATGGAAAACCCCCCACAACACCATCGCTTCCCTAAAGTAAAATAAAAAGTGAAAAAGAAGTTTCATCATCAAACACCCAATCAATCCCGTCCCATTCCCCCCAGCCGAATTCCAAACACCCTTCCCCGTCGCCAAACCCAAGAACACTCAGATAGTGGCTTCCATTTTCGCTCTCGCTCAAAGACAACAGACAAACAAAAGCAAAACACAAGCAAAACAGACAATATCCCGACAACTAAGCAGGCTGCTCATACATCACCACTCCCCTCCCCTCGGCCCCCACCGCGGACTCGTCGTCGTCGTCATAATAGCTCCCCTCTTCTGACTCGCTATACTCGGTCCCCTCGTCAATGCTCCCACTAACATCCGTCCCCGTCATCGTGCTCACCGTTCCACCACTCTTCCTCCTCAACGTCCCACTATCACTAACCTCCCCATCATCCTCACGGGCACTCTCCTCATCACTCTCCTTCAGCGCCAAGTTCTCCTTATTCAAGTCCCCGTAGCCGTGACGGGGCATACTACCACCCCAGCTCGTCTTCCTCAGTGCCCCGCTGCCACTCGAGTTCTTGACGCTGTGGCTGCGCTTGACGCCGCCAGTGGGGACGTTATTTGTGATCTGGTTGAGGGAGAAATTGCGTCGCGAGGCGCCGGCGGGGTTGGAGATCGGGTGGCTGACGATAGCGCGCGGGGGAGCATTCATGGCCATGCCCACCGCGCTGTGCATCGTGCCTGCGGAGCGGTTCCGTGACGAGCTGGCGCCGCTCGTTGCCGAGCCGGTTGTGGATGCTGCGTGACTGGGGACACGCTTAAGGTTCATCAGGTCGCGGCCTTTGGTCTTGCCGATTAGGAAGGCACGGGAGTGGTCGATGACACCTTCGAGGATGCGGCGCTCGAGCCCTTCAGCGCGGGCTTCCATGTTGTGAAGTTCTTCACGGCGGATGCGGAGGGCTGTCTCGAGGCTTGAGACGTCGGCTGAAAGACGCATCTTTTGCTGGAAGAGACCGTCTTGCTCTGCCTTGAGCGAGGCTACAGAGTCTTTCAGCTGCTGCTCCTCAGCGCGTTGCCTGGCAACGTCTGCTTCGACACGTTCCTGTTCTGCCAGTCTCTTCTCGAGCGTAATTGCTGCCTCATCGGCCTCCTTGACCTTGTCCTCGTGATCGTTGGAGATGCGCTGCGTTTGGATAGACACAAATTCGGAAACCTCGGCGGCTGTTTGCATTACCTTACGATGGATCTCGTCAAGCATATCCAGTTGGGCAAACGACTTGCCCGCAGAGTGCATATGATCGACGAGCTTGTTCAACTTCTCTTGAACCTCTCCGTCATCATATTTGTTTGATGGCGTATTTTGCAGCAGCCCTTGAACAGAGGACAATGAGGCGACGTCACGCTCCTTGATCTTTTCTTGGATGGTATCGGTTGATGTCTTGGAGTGTTCGTAATGCTGACCGACAATTAATAGCACATCCTTTATGGAATCGAGGATCTTCGGGTTGTAATCGTTGACGTTGGAATGCACATCTTCAACTGCGCAAAGGGTTTTCATGACTTGATCACGAGTGAGCTGGTTCTCGGTCCTAACCTCAGTATGGGTCTCTTCGAGTTTCGAATAGGTATCCTCAACACGATTGAAGACTGTCTTTGAAGCCTCTTCCATCTTATCAACCGAGTCAGTCAAGGTGGAGCCGAGCGTGTTGATGAGCAACTTTAGCTCTTCCGCAATCGCCTTCGTATCCTGGAGTGCGGCATCAGACTCGACCCTCCTCTCTTCGCCCGATTTCTCTTTGGACTCTGCCGCTAGCTGGGCATCGTCATATTTTAGCATCAAGTCCTCGAATTTCTCGTCAATCTTTTCCCAGGTCTTTTCGAACTTCTCGTCGGATTCTAGCTTCGCGCCTACAACCCCAGCATTGGATTGTTCGAACTCAACTTTAATGGTTTCCAAGACCTCCTTGACATCTTCGGTGATGTTGGCATTGGAACTGATAACAGGCCCCAGACCTTCCAGGAGCTTGCTGATCGAGTCTACTCCTGCAGTGCCTTCTTCGACTTTCGACTTAACTGCGTCTCTGAATTCCTCGAGGAGTGTTTTGACTTCACTGACTCGCTCGCCGACACCGACGATTTCTGCCTGGCGTTCCTCGAAGGCGGTATTGTTTGCATCCTTCATGTCTTTGACTATGTCACCGAGGGTATTAACATCCTCCTTGCTAGCAAGTCCGGCAAGATCGTCGGTGATCATCTTGTCAATTTGATCTTTGACGCCGAGTACAATGATTCCAACGTTACCATCATTTTCTGAGACATCTTTGACATCCTGAAGCATGACCATAACGTCTTTTACCAGAGCCTCCACAATGCTAACATCCTCTCGCTTTGCCGTTTCTGGAATTTGAGCTAAGATATCGCTGATTGAGTCTCGAGTCTCTCTGATAATATCCTCGACGGCGTCAAGATGATCCTTCTTGACAAGGTGTTCCGGGTCCAAATCATCGATTTTTGCTTTGGTGTTCCGAAGGAGTGTCTCAATGGCCTCAAAATCCTCCTTGTGTACGCTCTCCTCGCTGACCTGGGAAGGCTGTCGGCCTGACATTTCCACAACAGATTCCTGCACATGACGTAAGGTCTCCTCCATATGAATAATATCCTCTCTGCACACCGAATCCGCTGGGGGTACCGTTGACTGGGGAGGCATATTTTCGAGTGACTCAACCTTAGCTCCCAACTGAGAGATTAACACTTCGAGGTTCTCAATGTCGTTCCGTTTGAGACCCTCGGTAGCAATTACCGCACCGCTAGTAATTGCGGCAATGTCCCTGTCGCCGTTGCTGCTATGGTTGTCGTGTAATCCACTGTCACGAAGACGGTCGATATCAAGCCTCAAGCCCTCCATGCCAGCCTTGAGGGTGTCCAGAATCTCGTAGTTCACTGTCATATCAACAGGCTTGCTACCAATCCTCTCAACTTCGACCCTCAAGCTATTGAGTCCGTCATGAAGAGCGTCTAGAATCTCCCCTGTTCCAGATAAGATGCTCTCACCACTATCCCTCGGCCTGTCCATATCTGCTCGGAGACCATCTAGACCATCTCTCAAGGTAGAAAGGATCTCGTCCCTATCAACACTCGATCCCGTTGGGACGACAGAGGTGGCTATTGCTTCACGGAAGCTGTTCAGTTCGTGCCTGACAGATTCCATTGAAACATCCGAGCCTTGAGCCATGGTGTGTGCTAACTCTTCACGGAAGCTGTTCAGTTCGTGCCTGACAGATTCCATTGAAACATCCGAGCCATGAGCCATGGTGTGCGCTAACTCTTCACGTAGCCCATCGAAGTTGTCCCTTATGCAATCAATAATTTCGTCCTTTCCGGTAACGTCAGCAGCACGGTCAACGTAGGTCTCGATGTCGATTCGGAGCTTCTCGAAACCATCCTTGGTCGCATCAAGAACTTGTTCGGTGTCCCGCCCATGAGCTGCCACATTCTGCTTAGCTTCGTCAGAAACAGCCCTAAATTCACTGTGCATAGCGTCAAGAACTTCTTGGAGACGTTCATGAATTTGCTCGCCGTAGGCATCGGAAGTTTGTGGTATATCCTCTAGACCCGCCTTGACGGCATCGAAAACATCATTCTTCGTCAGAGAATCTCCTCCAATATCGCGGCTAAGTTCGTTGCCTTGCATAGTTTGGATTGGAAAATCGAAGCGACTCAAACCCTCTGTAACAGCATCGAGCATGTCCTCTCTCATGGTATCGATATCTCTGGGTTCTGGTGGAGGGGCAGATGGGAATTCAAACTCCTCCAGGCATTCCCTCACTGCGTCAAGGATTTCATCCCGCGAGAGGCTTGCCTCTGTCTCAACTTGAGGTGGCGTAAAGTGTTTCAGGCCTTCGACAACAGCTACAAACACCTCTTCTCGTGTGGCGCCAACTTCGCGACCAGTGTCTTGAGGCATATACTCTTGGATGCCTTCCTTGAGGCATGTTAGCATCTCTTCACGCTCTAATCCGAAGTGCTGCAGCTCGATATCTGGCTTGTAGTTCTCCCATGCTTCTCGGACTGCATCTATGACATCTTCCTTTGCAACTCCGGCGGGCTGGGTGTCGGTGAGAGCACTTCTGACGGCGTGGTATACCTCTTGGCCATCAACATTGCTTCGAGATATGGCTGATGACGATGATTGCCGACGAGCTTCTCGCATTACGTGATCCAGATGCTGTTTGAGATCCAGAAGCCCCTCGTTTATAATCTGAGCTACCTGTTCGTTCGAGGCGGCTGCGTCTTGGGATGAAGCGCTGGGGTCGCTCCTTGCCTGTTCGAGTTTCCTCCCAATATCACGGCCCATTCCAAGAACTTCACCCCGAAGCTCACGCACGAGGGCCTTGACTTCAGCTGTAAGTCCGCCGCCTTGTGCCACACTATCTTTAATGCTTTTGATTAACTTCAACACGTCTTCATTGATGATGTCGGACGCGCGAGACTTCCCACTCTCCTTCAACCCACCGCCAAGAAGATTCTCCACACGACTAACCATAGGTCCTGAACGGAGTCCATCGTAATCTACTTCTGATTTTGGAGGCTGTTCGAAGCTGAAGTCACGAGGCCTGGAATTGTTGCCGCCACTTTTGTTGACAACCAGCGCACGGTGACCAGAACCTTCTTTGATTAAATCCAGAACCTCGTCCATCTTCTTCGCTGTCTCCATCCCGTCATGGGAGAGCAGGTTGGAGACTTCAGTTAAGCGGGACACGAGCAGGTCTTGGCCTTCTTTGGTCCCCATTTCTCTCAAAACCTTCTCCAGGAGGGCGATGGATGCAGAACCGTCGGGGTTGTAAGAGGTCGGGGCCGGGGTCCCCGTTAGTCCGCGATCGATTGATGCCGAAAATGAGGTTGGGCTTGGTATCCGTGGCAGCGAAATAGACTTCACGCTCCTTGATTGCGGGGTATGGGGTTTATCGTCGAGCATATAGTTCTCGCTTGAGCGTAGCATGTAGGGTGATTGATTTGTAGGCGTAGTCAGATTTGTAGAAAGGTCGCGAAGGCTTTTCCTGATATCTTCGTCTCGCGCATTTGTTGCCTCTTTCAGGCTCACCAAGTCTGTGGCGTTATCTTTGCTTCGGCGATTCAGCTGGGCCATCTCACGTTGAAGGCTCGTCGCAATGCTCGTGAGGCTGAGAATCTGGTTTGATATAGCGTCAAAACTTTGCGGGACGCGCACCATCGCAGTAGAGTTATTAGTGGTCGCCGGAGGTGGCGGGCTTGCACTCTCCCTACTTTCCCGACTTTCTCGGCTCTCTCTGTTGGACATAGATTGTAAGGCCAGCATCGTGGCAGACTGTGGGGAACTGCTGTCGCTCAGAATGCTCGATTGTGGTCGGCGTAGTGATGGCCGCACGTTGAAGTTTTCTCGTAGTGTAGGAGCCGCTGTAGGTGTAGCTGAGCGGCTGTTTTCTTTCTCTGGTGATCTCGCCATATCGTTGTTTTCTTCGTCGTCCTTCTTATCTGGTGATGGAGGACGTTGAGGCGTCCTCTCCGACGATCTCTCGGGTGACTTCGTCGGCGACAAGCCCCCACCATCTATGAAGTTGCTTAGGTCTCGTACATGGCCTGTCTGTAATGACTGCATGCGCTTGTGTGCAGCGCCCTTGATAAGAGATCTCTCTGGAGTTTCCATGCGCTTTACTGCACTATTCGCGGCGAGTGGACCTTCTCGGCCCCTCTCTGTGAGGGCTGCGTGTGCTGATTGTATAGCAGTCGACGTATTCGGCCGCGAGGTGACACTTGGTGATGAGGGGTTTAATGGAAGTGGAGGAGGTGCTCTGTCCGGATCAGAGCTATCCCACCTAGCAGTTATTGTCAGCGACGTTTGAGCATGTTGCGTAACATGGAGCACTCTTACATGGGGATCATGGCCTTGCCAAAATCGATGGAGCCGGAATTCTGGTGCCTCAATCGCCTCTCGTTCTCCCTCGAGCTGTCCATCTCATTGAGTGGCATCGTTACTATCGCAAGGCGAGAATTGTCACTTAGGATGTTGACATCCGGCTGTAGTATGCAATGGTTTATATTTGTGAGGTTCGAGTAATTTGAGACAGCTTGTATAGTGTGTTGTATGGTATATGGGGTAGCAAAGCAGGGTCAGTGGGGTACTCGGGGAGTATATTGCCAGCGATGCGACGAGAAGAGACGAGATAATCGATGTTGCCGCTTTGGGCATATACAATTGAACCCTCGCACCTCTGACGTGGTTGGCCCTTGCAAGTTTTGTTTACTATCAGTTCGTTACTCGGCAACCACTATACGCTAGTCCGTATCAGAGTAGCGCGTTTGATGCGGTAACGGACCAATCGGAAATTTTGGGTCGCCAAGACTTTCCGCCCTCCTCCGCCACTCCGCCCCTCCGCCCCTCCGCTCCTTCCGCACATCTATCTACCTCTAGGGTTTGCGAGCCCTTGCGGCTCTTTCCAAGCAAGCGAAACTTTCGAAATTGGGTAGTGTGCATTTCGACGAGGGACTCTACGAATCGACCCAACAACTCAACGCCAAACGAAAGCCGACATGAAGTGTAAGTAGCTATACTGGTCACAAAACGAATACTCCAGAACCTGTCGCTGATTATGGTTTTAAATAGTCCTCAAGGTTGGCCGTGTTGCCATCATCACCCGGGGCAGATTTGCCGGAAAGAAGGTGAGACGAAATTGCTCTTCCGCCCCTCCACTCCCAGATACGAAATCCAATACTGCGACGGCTTGATATAAATCGATTATGCGATGCGACTGAAAAATATTGAGCGCGAATTGGGCATTGGCAGAGCGTGGACATGGAGTGCGAACATGAGCAAATGGCTAATACAGGTCCAATAGGTTGTGATCATCCAACCCCAGGATTCCGGCAACAAGTCGCACCCATACCCTCACGCACTGGTCGCCGGTATTGAGCGCTACCCGTCTCAGATCACCCGCCGCATGTCCAAGGCCCGCCAGACCAAGCGCTCCAAGGTCAAGCCTTTCATCAAGGTCATCAACTACAACCACTTGATGCCAACACGCTACACGCTCGAGCTGGAGGGACTCAAGGGTGTTGTCACTGCCGATACCTTCAAGGAGGTTTCGCAGCGTGAGGAGGCAAAGAAGACTGTCAAGAAGGCACTGGAGGAGCGTTATACCTCGGGCAAGAACAGATGGTTCTTCACTCCTCTCAGTACGTACCAAGCGAGATGCATACCAATTACTGTATGCGACGAGATTGAAAAGGCAGCCACTAACATCAATTGCAGGATTTTGAACGGTTTATTGTCGGTTGGGGTTCGGCATGGGGTTCGCATAGCATTTCTGTCCGGAATACGGGCTAAGGATTGTTGCATTTAACAAATGAAAATGCTGATGAACCTTCCATTTCAGAACTGCGTGCAAACACTGTGTGAAGTGATCACATAATTTAGTAGATGCAGTTCTGTAAACCTTTTGTGTCCCTTTGAAACAGTTCTAAGTAAAACCACACCTTTTATTTGCCTTCACATCCCATCAAATTCCTTATAGTTGCTGTTCCCAGCGGAAAGACTCTGGCAAGTAAGCCACGAGCCCACGGTCGAAATCCAACCCGTCATTACATCCACACTGCTTTGTATTCATTGCTTGTTTTATTCTTAAGTAAGAAGAGCTTCTGGCATGTAGTTCTGCCAATGCAGTTGCTGTTCTTAGCAAGGGGTCTCTGGCATGTGGTTCTGATATACTGAGCCGCCTCATAAGCCAGCCCTTTTTTATCATATTCAAACCGCCTCGAAATTATTACAGTTACTACTCCACGCAGGAAGAAAGAGAGCCTCTTGTCCTGTGGTCTTGTTATTCTCAGTCGTTTGAAAATTATCTCTTCTGCTTGTCTTCACAGGCCTTTGAGGGGATTCCAATTCAATGCAGTTGCCATTATCACCAGCTAGAGTCTGTGGCACGTGGTCTGGCTGTTAAGCATGGTCACCCACAAACCAACTCTATTACTTACCTTCACTTAATGTTTTGAATTCACTTCAGTTGCTGTTTTGGTTCTGAGCGAGTTACTTCCTCGGATTTGTTCCAGTTGCTCCTTTCATCAAACACCTATCACACCCATCATACCACTCATCCGCTTTCATCTATTCAAGTCATACTCGGCCTTCCGTATTCTATCCATGCATTAAACCCCCTCGATCTTTGAACTGGATTAGATCTCCGTCAATATGGCTCCTAATTCGGGTGACGGGTCGCCATTCAATGGTCGTGAGGCCATCAAAGGGTTTCCGCACAATAGCGAAGGTATTCTCCACTACGCTGACGACTCGACTATTCAGCAACCTGCTTCGGTCACAAAGAGCAGCAGGAATATCTTCAAGAATCTCTTCAAGGGGTCGGGTAAGCCAGACAAAACTGGCAAATCAGTTAATGCCGACGTCAAGAAGCCAGGCTTCTGGACGTTTCCTGACCACCTCCCGCCACCGACGCCGGAGCAGATTTTTCAAATCATGCATGCCTCACCAGAGCACCTTGCTAAAGTAGCTGCTGAAAAAGAGAAACAAGATGCTAAGAAGGCGAAAGAACAGGCGGCTGCACTCAAACAGCAAGGGAAGGTATCAAATCCGGGCAACCGGGAAGACAACAACCACTCAACTGATTCGGTGATCATCTCACCGCCTACTAATATGAAATGGTCATTCGACGGAAAGTCCATTATAACTTACAAGGAGCCTGGCAATAATCACTTTAACCCCGAACAAACTGCCATCCCACATGGGGCCTACCAAAGAGAAATGGTGCCCGGAACGTGGAACGAATCTTCTGGGTCTATCAGCGGACCAGCAGTTTGGACGGATGTGCAAGAGGTTGGCGACTTTAGGTCGTCCTTCTCCGATGACTATCCACTCCAGCATGTTCACGAGCCTCGATCTGGACCACCGCAATCGCGTCCGATTGATATGCGGCTTCTTCGGACTGTATACGAGATTGCAGAGGCGGCATACCTACCAGACCTCAGAAACAAGCATGAATGGATCTCGTATTTAGAACAACTCCGCGCGGTAAGAGTTATTCTGGAATCCGTATATCCAACTATTAACTAATATGCTGGCAATGTAGGGTCTAATTAGTAACTCGAACCCTCCCAAGCCTCCCGTCATGGACGAGCAATTTTCATTTTGCCCAGCTATGGATCCTGTGAACGAGGAAGGAAGGATAGCTTCATTGTTCACCATCGAACGTGTTTGGAGCCCTCTTCAAGAAAGCAGGGCGAAAGATCTTGTGCAAGCCTCGAAGGAAGAATTCGCAGTCACGGGGGTATCTATCAGCCTAATCGACAACAGCAATGAGATTCTCAAGGCCGAATCTACCTATAATTGCCGAATGATAAAGCGATCGGTGAGCATTGCAGCTCATGCTCTCTTGACCGCCGAAGTCTTGGTAATCCTTGACACCACAAAGGTATTTCAGTTTATCCAATGATTCCTACCGAGACTGACTGTTTTAGGACTGGAGATTTGCCAAAAATCCGCTGGTTGTAAATGAGCCATACATCAGATTCTTTGCTGGAGCACCCATTCTTTCCAAGAACGGTGAAGCTGTTGGAGTCTTCGCCATCTTCGGGCGCGCGCCGAGAGATTCTTTCCCGGCGCTGCAGCGACACAACCTGGCCGAATATGCGGCCGTGTGTGCAGTCGAGCTCAATACAGTTCTGGAGAAATCGTTTTCTGAGCAAAGCCTCCACTCACGTCAATCGGAAGCTATTACTGAGGTATGGGATCCGACTTGCCTCGAGGGTGAACCACCAGCTAGACCTAGAAGTCTCTGGATGCACGAAGAGACCCATCGCTTGCTCTGTGGAGAGCCAAGAGAGGATGAAGAAGAGATTAAATACCCTGCTACTTTCGAAGAGCTTATGGCGGGATTTGCTACTGAATCAGAGGACGACGACACGGCACGTGACTCTGAAGAACAGCTCCTCGCGCCGTACATGAATGGAGCCCATGCCAATGTCACATATTATTCTGTTGATGTGAACTCGAGTACTCCAGCAAAGGAGATAGATGCTGTGAAATCGGATTATGCGCTTCTTGGAAGCGATAACGAGGGGCCAGACTCCCCCCTTGGAGGACGATCCGCTAGGGGTTCAGATTCTCCCCCTTCAGAGGGTTTCGTTTGGAGACCAGACTCTCCCACCTCGCGGGGTCTCACTCGGGAACTAAAGTCTCCTCTCCTGGCTGGTTATCCGGCGAGGCCATATTCTCCAATAATGAGGACCTGCACGCCGAGACCGTACTCTGGCTCTGATCTAACTTCTGCGGCAGGGGAACCCCACCCGAATACACCAGAGCGCGGATTTGATGAAACCCGCCCGAATACACCACAGCGCGAATTCGATGAGCAACGGGCTCCACCGCTCAGTGTGCAAGAGGTCCTTGACGGTGCATTTTCAGCTCTGCGAATCGAATATCCCGATGCACCTATCCGTAGGCAGAGAAAGAAGTCAATCCGCAGCATTTCGCAGCATGAGGCGGAAATCAAGAGGCTTCAGATCGAGAGTGATATTCGTGCAGCTCACATTCAAGCGACAAAGATTGATAGCTCCAGTTCAACCGTCGCTACTGGAAGCTTCAATACCTCCGGGGGATCATCGACCCAAGCAACAACTCCTCCTACTTCGTTCAACACTCGGATGTCTACTCTGGAGTTTGTGGATACCCACCGGCGCCCACAAGCTGATGCTGCTGCAAAGTCTGTTGCTCTTAACCTGAAATTCGACAGAGTATACGTCGCTGAGCTTTTTCCCACCAGCGATTTCATGACGCTAGGCGGAGTGGCTATTACTGGTATGGGTGTGAGGATACTAGCATCTCACAATTGTCCGCCTGATATGATCCTCGATACGGACTTTCATCTGCAGGTCGTCCGCAGCCCGCTCGGTGCCATGAGATGGCACGATAAGGATGCCCTTCCTGGAGCTACAGACAAAGGTCTTTTAATCCGTCTTCATTCCAAGGGTCCTTATGGTAGTCAATCAGGCGTCCACACTGGGGGCATTGTATATGGTGCAGTCCATCTGGCGCAGTCGCAGGGTGGGGATGATGCTGGGATCACCCACGAGGAGCAGGCTACAATCTTTGGCGGGGCCAGTGCAATGAGTGCAATCTTATTCGATAAAAACGATAAGAGAGGGCGCAAGGACAGCCCATGTGTCAATTGCAACACTCATTCCCATGCGGGCACTCATACTACGCCTGTTGCAGCGGCCAAGGCCGGAGGGGCTGGACCTGAGCGCTCCATTTTTTCTTCAGCAATTGAGGCTCCAAAGGCTAAAGACGCTGGACCTGAGCAGCCCGATCCTGTCTCGGCATTCGAAGCTGAATACGAACAGTCTAAATACGCTATAAGTAAGGAGAGTATGAAAGAGGCTTCCAAGGCTGTGGCGGAGATTATGAAATTCGATATAGAGGAGATCTTGTCCCCTCAATGGTAATATTCGATGTCGGCGTATATATACCTCCCAGAATCAATGGGGGTATTTCGTTTCGAGCGACTATACCGACTTATACCACCGGAATTCGCATTGTGTTCAACTGGACATACTTTCATTGGCAGTTTGTCAAGATGCAAACTTGCTGGGGGTTTTACTTGTTTGGCTACTTCGGTGTAATGGGCCGAGAATCATGCTGCTATGTTTGCTACCGGACAGCAGCAACTGGGTGCAAGTTTACTGCGCCGCCAATGACCCATTCATACATCGCCGGAAATTCACTTGTACAGATTACAACTTTGCTTTCACTTTCTCATTCTTCATCGGCGGAAATTCACTTGTACAGATCACAACTTTGCTTTCATTTTCTCAGTCTTTCTTTACTTTACATGGTTTATGATTCATGGCTCACGGTTCATGGTTCACGGTTTATGCTTCATGGTTTATGCTTCATGGTTTATGCTTCATGGTTTATGGCTTGTGGCCTACGGCTTATGGTTTATGGTTTGCGGTGCATGGTTCTTGATTCATCTTTTGTTCTTTCGTTCAAGGAAATGCCTTTATTATGATGTCGGGGAGGTGCTATAGGAGTTATATGCGGGGAGTTATCTGGAGAGTGTACTGGAGGGGTTCTATATGGATGGTTCTGGGAGTTCCTACACGACGGATAGACGTACAATGGGGTACTGGCGGTATATATTGCAGTGGGGGGTTATTTGATGGGTTACATTGCAGTGTCTCGTCTGAAGGTCAGGAGTCACTAGGTTCATTTGCTTTTGCATTATACCCGAGATTTGAGAAGATGGCGGAGAAGAGATATGGGACAGTTTGATCGGATGATTATGGAGATGGATGAATATTCGCGGAGGAGAGGAATGTACGATATGAAATTGACAATGGGAGGAATATGGGAGAATAGGAGAATGGGGTTCATAAAAGCATCTACGGACTAGCCACTCTTTTAGTGAATAGACACCAAATGACGCATTAAAAAAGACAGTTCTTGAGAAGGCTCGATATTTGGAGTGAAAATGAATAAATAAATTGTCACAATATGAGCTGAAACCAAACTGCTGGTAGCATCTCCATGAGGCCAACCACTGTCCCTTGGTTAAACCTCACAAGAACCTGGATGAAAGAACCCCCCCAGGTAGAATACACTACGAAGTAGAATCGGCTTTCGAATATCCACTCATCAAAAATACAACAGGGGCCCAGAAGAAGAATCCTGAAGAGTAGAACACTGTGAAATCAGAATCGAGTATCAAGTTCCAGATCTGCCAAGTACGCCAAAAAGACAACTTGACACAAGACCTCCGCCATTGTTCTTGATATATAGCTCCCGCTGGCAATTTTTGCAGAGGTTATATCGTACTGGCCAGCCAGCTTCATAAACTTGACCAGTGTAGATGGCACTATACGGACAAACAAAGTCAGAGACGGCAAGCACGATGGCCACACGCTTACCTGAAGCACACAAACGAAGAAAATCCAAGGAACATCCAAAACCAATCAATCATAGGATCACGCATAGGACTGCGGACAGCTTCACAAACTATTTCAATTTAAGGTAACAATATCAGATCACACACTCCAGTTTCTAAGGTAGATGTTTCTATTTTACAGCTAATGCATTACCCCCCCTCGTACGCGACAGCTCGCAACCGGCCGCCTCGCCGCCAACTAAAGAGATAGATACATAGCGCGGAAGTGAGGGGATCTAACAAACACAGGAAATCAAGGCGCAGGTGTTGGTCCTTTATGCGATGAAGGACTTGGTGAAGGAGACGATGGACTCCTTGAGGCGGGCCTCGAGGTCCTTGCTCAAGGCACCCTCCTTGTCGAGAGTGTCGAGCAGGCTCTGCTCGTTGGTCTTGAGGTGGGCGAGGAAATCGGCTTCCCAGACAAGGATCTTCTCGACGGGGACGGAGTCGAGGTGACCGTTGACACCGGCGTAGATGAGAGGAACCATCTCGTTGACGGCCATGGGGGAGTACTGCTTCTGCTTGAGGAGCTCGGTCAACTGGATGAGAAATTAGCTTCTGTACATTTTGATGGGGTGCTATGCGGGGATACTTACACGCTCACCACGGGCGAGGGTCTGCTTGGTGGCGGCATCCAAATCGGAACCGAATTGAGCGAAAGCGGCAACTTCACGGTATTGGGCCAAGAAGAGCTTGAGCGAACCGGCAACTTGCTTCATGGCCTTAAGCTGGGCAGCGGATCCGACACGGGAGACGGAAAGACCGACGTTAATGGCTGGGCGGATACCCTTGTAGAAGAGCTCGGCCTCCAAGAAAATCTGTCCATCAGTGATGGAAATGACGTTGGTAGGAATGTAAGCGGACACATCACCACCCTGGGTCTCAATGATGGGCAGAGCAGTGAGGGATCCACCACCGTGCTTGTCGGACATCTTGGCAGCACGCTCCAGAAGACGCGAGTGCAGGTAGAAAACGTCACCGGGGTAAGCCTCACGTCCGGGAGGACGACGGAGGAGGAGCGACATTTGACGGTAGGCAACAGCCTGCTTGGACAGATCGTCGAAGATGATAACGGCGTGCTTGCCGTTGTCACGGAACCACTCACCCATGGAGGTGGCAGTGAAAGGAGCGATGTACTGGAGAGGAGCGGCCTCAGAGGCAGTGGCGGCAACAACGATGGAGTACTTCATGGCGTCGTTCTCCTCAAGGGTCTTGACGAGCTGAGCGACGGTGGAGCGCTTCTGTCCAACGGCGACGTAGACACAGTAGAGCTTCTTGGACTCATCGGTGCCGTTGTTCCAACGCTTCTGGTTAAGCATGGTGTCGAGAGCGACAGCGGTCTTTCCGGTTTGACGATCACCAATGATCAACTCACGCTGACCACGTCCGATGGGAACCATGGCGTCGACGGACTTCATGCCGGTCTGGACGGGCTGGTTGACGGAGTGACGGGGAAGAATGCCGGGGGCCTTAACCTGGGCACGACGCTTCTCCTTGGTGTTGATTGGTCCCTTTCCATCAATTGGGTTTCCGAGGGCATCAACGACACGGCCGAGAAGCTCTGGTCCAACGGGAACATCGACCTGTGATGGATTAGATGGAGTTAAGGGTTCTGAAGTATGGGACTACTTACAATCTCTCCGGTACGCTTGACGGTCTCACCCTCCTTGACGAGACGATCGGAACCGAAAAGCACAACACCGACCTGGCCGGCCTCCAAGTTCATGCACATACCCTTGACACCGGAGGCGAACCTATTGTTGTTGTTAGCATCGAGTCGTCACACCATGAATCGTGAAAAACTTACTCAACCAGCTCCTCGGCCTGGACATTGCTCATGCCATGGACACGGGCGATACCATCACTATATTCCAACTATTGTCAGCCATCGATTCCCATTGATATCACGATATAGATGTCGGGCTTGACATCGAATCGTGATGTCGCATTGTTGTTGACATACCCGACGGAGAGGACACGTCCGGTCTCGGCAAGGCCAGCCTCTTCTTGGACACCACGGATCTTCTGCTCGAGGATGGAAGAAACCTCAGTCGGGGCAGCCTTAGCCTCAGCGTAAGTACGAGCCTGGATGGCGGAAGCGTTGAAGGCAGCAGGTGCAGCAATTCTTCCCTACGCGGTTGACATCAAAGTTAGCCGAAAGCCCGAAAAAATGCAGACGAAGCTGTTGGAGCTCCCAACAAAGCTGTCAACCATCATAATCTATCACTCAGCAAACTCAATTGAGTTCACCGAGTATATATCGATGCATTAAGATGACTTCGAGCTCCGTTGGACCCCGTTGGATATTTCGTGGTGGACTTACTGCAGCGACTCTGCCGGAAGCAGAGATTGCGCCCACCGTCCGGCTGGACTGTCGGAGAGCGTTCCTGAACATTGTGACCGTCGTCTATGCTACAAAGACACAAAAAAGAATCAATTGCTTCAGCAATTGAGGAGAGGAGATTGTGAAGGGAGGTGTTTTGGAGATTGGATCAATCGTAAGAAGGGAGTCTTGAAGAACACAGAAGATCGATGCGAGAGAGCCCGAGCCAGAGTCTTGGCATCTCGCTTGTGAGTGGTTGGCCTGAAATTCAGTGCACCCACTCCGAAAGAAACGAGGTATCCGTAGCGATGAGCCGTGGAAAAAAAATCATGTGCCGTCGACGGTATAAATTCTAAATATTGATAGATATATGGTATATTATTTATAGTGAATGGGAATTTATATTTTGATTTTTCCTGATTTTATTAACTGCTGTGGTCGACGGTAATGCCGCTCACGATGCAGAGATTAATTGCTGGTCTCAGCTTTGTTGGCCGCTCATTACATATTTCTCTCCTCGGATCGGACCACACCGGAAGGAGATAAAAAATAGGAGAACAGGCAAAATAATGCTGCACAAACAGCAGCAACAGCACTAATTGAGCGCTTTTATTATAGAAATCATTAATACTTTTCAAAGGCAGACAGGTTTATAATGGTTTTATTTTATCCATATTTAATCTACAGATTTCTATCGACCTCACACGCTCGGTAGCACATGACCGGCAATCAGTCTCCTTCCGGCCGGGTAAGCCGCCATCATCAATCACCCTTGACACTGAGATGCTAGAACTGCAACCTCCGCCCTTATGGCAGCTAAAACCCGTCTGCAGTACCATCTACTCTCTCTCCGTTGCATTTCATCGTTTTCAAGATGGCGCCTCCTTTGTCATAAATCACGTGACATACACAAGCTTGAGGGCTTTAGGCCATCATGTCTTACTTCAACGGTCCCTCGGCCATCTACTATCGAGGCAGGGTATTTTCTCATTTCTCCTTTACTCCATCACTGGTATCATCAACCCCATGGCCCCAAGGTCCAGCTTGACTGCTCTGCAGCCGCAGCTCTCAACCCGGCCGGACCCATGCTCTGCCTCGCCTTCGCTGCCGGGATAACTTCCTTCGCTTTGGAAGCACCAGCGGCACCATACTGCAGCCACTGGTCTTTCTCGACTATCGATACGGAAGGCAGTCGTAATTGGGATATAAGACTGGCACCGCTCCAAGCACCCATCGAGTCCACCGCACTAAGGGTTCCATAATTTGGCGGAGGCGCGAGCTTATCTCGTTCTCTCCTGATCTGACTCTCAATAGGGTCAGGTTGTTGGTTTTGAAAAGCTGCTGGCCTGTGATGCTCATCCGTTTCCGGATGTGCATGTCCATCGATTTTGATCGCAACGGGTGCCTGGTTCCTTTGTTGGGACCTAAGCTTCTGGTTTGCACGCAGTTGATCAAAGGCTTTCCCTTGAACCGGTTCCCAGCCCCTGGAGTCGATGAGAGACTGGACATCACCCAAGATGCGACTCTTAAGACCGGGAATATTAGACCCGCCACCAACAAGTATCAGTCGTGACATGCAAAATGACCGCACATCAACTGGGAGAAGTAGAAGACTTCGATAAACCAACAGATGTAATGGTAGTTCTTCGTCGTCTAGGTCGCAGGGATTGATATCCTTCACGAAGAATGCTTTCTCGCAAGGCTCGGCCAATTCATTAAATGGTATCTTCAACGTCATAGGCGGCTGTGTTGATGATACAGGTATTGATACAACGTCTTGTTGGTCATTAAATCGTAGACTCTCCATCGCAGCTGACAAGGCTTCCGATGTCTCGGTCTCAGGAGTGGGCTGCGATGGTTTGCACCAGGCCATGCGTGTGACGACCTCCTCGCATTCTTCAAAGCTGATCAACTTGCTGTCTCTCTCATCGTCTTCTTCGTCGTCGTCTTGAGACAGCCGAGATTTTATGGCACGCCCAAGGACCTTTCGCATTTTTAGGCCCAGTAACCTGCTTGCTCTAACAGTCCGGCGGCAAGAAATCTCTCGGTATTCGTACACTCCAGTGACAGTTGTCTCAGCCCAGCCAATATCTATAACAAGAGCCGATCGAAGCCCAGCGGCTACTGCCGATAGCACAGGCGCGGAAAGAAGCGAGATAGTCGGAGGCTGGAAGCTCGTGAAAAGGGTATCGAGTACCGTTGAGAGAAGGGGTAGAGGAAAGTCGGGCTGTAATACCAGGGATATGCGTCGAGACCCAGAGCCAGTTACTAGATATCTTGGAAATTGTCAGTTACTGTAACAAACAAACAAACGGAGGAATATATGGGAATGTACTTCGTAATAGCCTCTCGCATAGCCCGTTCGATCCTGTCGCCGACAAGCCCCAGGTCCACATGCCTCAGATCTGGCCTCCACAGCTCATGTTCCTCTCCCCAGGCCTTGCCCGACGCCCTTTGTCGCCAATCAGCTCCATAGCCAAGCTGCCATTGCCTGTAATCGCCAGCTCTCCTCTGCGTATCAGGTCCGAAACCAATGACTGCCCTGGGCAGTGCGTCTCCTGCTAGACCTGCTCGGAGATAACGACTGCCAAATTCGAGAATGATACAGTCTTCTTCCGCGCGCAAAGCTGACGGAGAGCTAAAGTTTGAGATCGAGACGGGGCGGACTGGAGTGCGGGGGCTGGCTAATGGAGCTCCTGGGGAGCGGATCTCAGAAACAGGCCGAATGTTGGCGACGCTGCGGTGGGCAGGCGTTGCCATTGCTTAGCATTGTCTGGGGCCCAAGATATAAATCAGATTTGTGCCATGTTTTTGCGTCGTTGGTGTAGTGTACGAGGCAACAGCTTGATTCTAATGATATTTCTGAGATATCAAAGTCGGGATATCTGCAAGGTACCTGCGTGGGGACCCGGTTGGAATATCCACACTATTGCGGCCTTGATTTGAAGGCTGTAATCTACGAAATTGCAGTAGTAGTCATGTTTAGGAAGGTACGACTGAGGGATGTCACTTGGCGTTTAGAAATATCTACAAGATTCTACTATTTCCTTTGGAGTTTATAGAAACTGTAAATAAAATAAAATGACCTTCATCACTCTGAGTCTATGTTTCAAGTACAGCATCCACGCTTCAGCCAGGTCCCCTGCGTCGCTGGGACGACTTTGAAGCTAGTCCTAAAATAAACAAAATAGAGGCTTAATCAACAACGCCCTTTCCGTCACAATGGATCGAGTAGGCAGCCCTCGTCGATAATACCCTGGGACTCCCGGAAATAGCTTTGCCTCCCAGTCTGGTATCATCATTTGCTACTTCGCATTGCTCATTTGAGGTTATCGCTCGTAGGAATTATATTCCGGCTGCTATTATTTTTTGCCCCACATTATTATTATAATATAAGAATGAAAACATGGGCATTCCCGGGTGCGTTAGGACCTATGACCTCTAACTAAAGACACAATTACTAACATAAATAATAATAGAATATACAATGAGATAGGCCCAGGTCAAAGGGTGTCTCTGACAAAGCTTGCGGTAGAGAAATTCGAGCAAACTGGGAGGCCGTTCAGAATAGCGATCGACATCTCCATATGGAATTTTGAAGTCCAAGGAGGCAAAGGTGAGTTTTAGTTTCTGTTCCTGCAGTTTTGGAATACAGTTCTTATGAATTAAGGTGGCCCCAATCCGGCGCTGCGAACTCTATTTTATAGGCTCGTAAGACTTGCCGGAACATCCGTTCAGGCAATATTTGTCTTTGATGGGCCCGACAGGCCTCTCCTGAAACGCAATAAAACGAGACGCAAAGGAGGTTCCGCATATCAGGCCGATGTGCGTAGAACTAAGCTTTTGCTGCAACTATTTGGCTTTGAGTCCCACGATGCTCCGGGAGAAGCAGAGGCCGAATGCGCGCTGTTGCAACAGCGGGGTTTGGTTGATGCCGTCCTCAGTGAGGACGTGGACACTCTGATGTTTGGGAGCGGCCTGACAATTAGAGACTGGTCGTGTGAGGGATCTGGAAAAACTCCCCCCACTCACGTGTCCTTATACGACGCCAAAGTCACCAAGGAGGGGAAATCTGGCCTAGACCGAGAAGGGATGATCTTGGTCGCCCTGATGAGTGGTGGCGACTACGATACCGCTGGTGTAGCTCGTTGCGGAGCAAAGATTGCGTGCGAAGCTGCAAGAGCAGGTTATGGAAAATCACTGTGTGACCTCGCTCCTGATGACAGTTCCGGGTTGTTGGCCTGGCGCGAAAATCTCGCACACGAGCTTCATACGAATGAGGCTGGATATTTCAGACAGAAGAACAAGGCTATCACTGTACCGGATGACTTTCCGAAGAAGGAAATTCTACAGTACTATATGCATCCTATAGTCTCTTCGGAAGCCGCCTTGTTGAATTTGAGGTCGCGGCTACAGTGGGATAGAGAAATCGATTCGAAAAGACTGAGAATATTTGTCGAGGAATGCTTCGAATGGACTGGCAAATTGAACGCAAAGAGGCTTATTCGCCTCCTTGCGCCGCCTATGCTAATCTACAAGCTACGAGAAAGACCAAAGAGTGTCGATTCAGGGCATGGAAACTTGGTTTTGATAGAAGCTCAAGAACGAGAGATTGTACAAGACATCACAGGCGAGAGACAGCACTTTTCAACAGATGGAATCCCTGAATTGCGCTTGACTTTTGAGCCGTTTGGTATAGTCGGGCTAGACGTTGATGCGGAGATTGATGATGAGAGCAACCTGGACCAACAGGACGAATATCTGGCTGTGGATGAAGAGAATTTGGAAGTCTATCAATCAGATAACGAACCGACTGGAAAGAGCAGATCCATGAGCCCTATGAAAAATAGACTGGCTGCTTATGACCCTACCAAACCCTGCAAGACGTGGGTTTCTCGGAGCATTGCGAGAGTTGGTGTTCCTCTCAAGGTAGAGGATTATGAAGAGTCATTAATGCTGAAGCAATCGCGGGCAAACGCGCCGAAACGGAAAGCTGCCCCGAAAGCAACCTCAACAAAACATGGCATGAAGCAAGGAGCATTAGATCGATATTTTGTTACAAGCAAACCGGTCGCCACCAGTGCAGCCTTGTCTTCGGAGTCTCCAAATAAGAAGTCTGACCATAAACCACAGCTGCCTCCAGTATACCTGGCTCCTTCTCTCGACAAGCCGCCATTGCAGCCAAAAGGGGCAAGCAAGGAACCTCTTCGGCCACGTCGCGAGTACCGCAAAGCTCCTTCTGGAGACCGCTACTGCCAAGTCTCGCCCAAGCCGAGCAACCCTTGGGCAGCCACACAGTCTCGCTCATCTCAACTAGTGAGCGCCAATGTGTCAAAGGCTGGAATAAGTCAGTCCCACAAAGAGGGGTCATCGCAAGCAAGTTCAAGCTCAGCTTCTCAAATGATATCATCTTATGATACTTCTTCATCCCGCAACTTGTTTCCAAAGAAGCATTCGAGAAATGGCTCACCGCCCCTTTATGTCTCGTCTATTTCCGACGCTGAAATACCTACCGGTTCTGTACAGTTACCTTCAGTTAAAAAACGGACAGCAGTGACTGGCGACCAAGGAAACAGTGTTGGGTCATCAAGAAATACCCAATCAGATGCGCCTACATCAAGCATGCAAATTAACCGCAAGCCTGATATAGCTCTGGATGACGAATATCAGCCCACTCTCTCAGACGAAGAGTATGGTGCCCTGCCACCTCTTGACTATCCACTTTCGCCACTCTACACGAACACCTACTCAACTGAAGATAGCAAAGGGACACAGAATGCCATCGACCTCATGTCATCTTCTCCTCCGCCACATTACACCACAGCAAAACAAGCCGAATCGCCGCTGGCCAAGGGCCGACCTTCTCCTCCTATGGACATCCTTCCATTTGCCGACAGCAAAATCCCCCAAAAGAGATTCCTTGCACCCCGAGAAAGTTTGCCTGGTGCTTGGAAGACATATACAGAGAAGGAAGTACAAGACATGGAGCGGAAGGGCAGAGGCAGGCAGAAGTGGAGGGTGAGCCAAGTTGAGGCCTTAGATTTGACGCAGGATTAGCTTGTTATTGAAGATGAAAGGAATAATGATGAAATGATTTGATGTTCAAAGGAATATATAACAACACGAAATCCATTGATGTCACACGTCGCATGTTATAATTGTCTTGAAAGCATGCTGAGTGTTGGCTTTAAAATCATTCTGAGAGATATTGTACCGTATGCGTCTACTTATCTGAGTGGTTTGGTTCCTATTGGCCTTGTATTGGCACAACCTCGCCCGGTATTATCTGTATTGATCTTGAAGATAGCCAAATACCCCAGTATTCCAGCTCCACATGATCGTGTCGAGTAGTGGTGCGACGCAACCAACTCTAAAAGCTTTCCATATCCCTCTCCGACGCGTGCACTCGCACGTGGTATTGGGTATAACTATGTCGTTCACGGCGGTGGCACACTGTTGTAGTAGTTTAGTACAAATATTCACGGGGAGGGAACTGAACCAGACTGACCCGAGGTAGTCCTCCTTGATGCTACCAATCGCGTACATGGACCCGACATCAGAACGCAGACCGATCAACTTGACTCGGACTTGCGCGCCCTTCTCGATCACTTGATCCTCATTGTCGGTCCACTGCCACGGCGTCGCGTTCGGGTCGAACTTGATGTCTTTGGAGATAAGCTGTGGTGGGGTGCGATTAGCATCTTGGGAACTTGGCCTGGGTCAAAGTCCTTACTTCTCTGGAGACGAAGAACTCGAGAGGTCCAGCCATGCAGTGGAAGCCAGCTGGGTTCACGGCCGTGACGATGGCATCAACCTGTGCATTGCAAATCAGCTCTACTGTGAGGTACAAAAGCACTGGCGTGCCTTACAGTCTCATTCTTGAATGGACGCCAGACGACCGCTCTGTATCGAACAGTGAACTCCGCGAGGCCGCTGCCAGGGATAATGCGACCTTCAGAAACGTTGAATGTGTCCATCACAGAGATAATGTAGTATTGTCCGGTACAGGTTCCCTCCACATCGCTGAGGAGCTTCGAAGTGACCAACTCGTGCATGTTCTTGCCAAAGTACGACGGGTGCAGGGTGACCTGACGCTCAAGGTTGTGTAGGAAAAACATGGTGCTGGTTTATATGTAGGTATCGACTGAAGCGCTTCGACCTGAGGGGATCTTGGACGAGTGGTGCAATGTCGTTTGAGAAGGCACCGATCTCAAAGATCTACGAAGCTGCCGTGCTAGACTTTCCACAGACACCCCTGAGGCAATTTAGCACATAGAGCACTAGTCGTGGCAATTTTGGCCTGGTATTTCCGTAGAATATGCGCTGGCTTGAGGTTGCGTGCCTCTTGGAATCCGATGGACGCGCAGTGAAGCGCTTCTCTTGTCCAGGCGCAAGCAAATTCCTTTTATAAACAACGGCCAAACACTCTGGCAGCTCTCTGATCTGGATCGCGGAGCGTGCACAAAGGTTGTCGATGTTTGAACAAGGCAATAAATGAGTGTTGCGGCTCTCGTCGAGGTCGTTGGTAGACGCCGATCGCAGTAAACGCGCCTCCAATCGGTCGCGGCGCATTTTTGTGAGGCTCAAACAGAGCATCGCACGTGACAAATGTACCACGTGATACGTTACGGAAACGGTGGGTCTATGCACGGTCCGAGGTCCGCGTTGTGAACGTGAACGTGAGCTGTATCTTACGTGCGGAGCGTCTCAGATATCATAAACCCCTCAACGTAACAAATATATTTCTCTGTCCGTCGTCGCTATTAATGGTTTTGCGCACTTCCGGCCGTGGCTGACCTTTGATATTCTACATACCTGATATTATTCCCTTTCTCCTCTCCGCCTAAAGATGGGTGGTACTCTTGACCTGGAGAAGCAGCTATGCTTCGTGAGTATCTCCTGCTGTGAGACCACAACCTTTGGCTGATGTGTTCTTGCTCCAGTATAGCTCTTATCACCAGAATCCAGTCAATGTGGGGATACATATGCTATGCATCCCAATGATCCTTTTCTCATTCATCCTCCTTGTACGTCAAATACGTTGAGTCCGAAGTTTCCGCGGCCCAAGCTCACATCTCCTACGTAGCTCACCAACTCCCCCACGATCATTCCCTTGCCAGAATGGGCCACGATCACGAACCTCGACCTTAATTTGGGCACCATAATGGCTCTCTATTACTCCATCTTCTACATCCTCCTCGAACCAGTGGCCGGTTCCATGATAACGCCTATCCTTCTTGCCGGAACCGCATACTCCAAGCACCTTACAACCGTGGCTGCGTACCCAGCAAACCAGATTGCCTTTGGCGTTTTCATCTTCTCCTGGATCGCTCAGTTTGTCGGCCATGGCGCATTTGAAGGTCGCGCTCCGGCCCTCTTTGAGAACCTCCATATGGCACTTGTCACAGCCCCATTTTTCGAATGGATCGAACTCCTTTTCAAGCTTGGATACAGGCCCGAGCTGGAGGCAAGAATGAGAAAGAGTGTCGCTGAAGAAACTGCGAAAGTCAAGGCGGCTAAGGCTGCTGGGAAGAACGGGAAGGCACAGTAGTGAAACACGGTTGTGAGACTCTGAATAGCGGTTAGCGGGAGGTCGATCTGGGCTGTACAAAGTTTCACGGGTGGAAAGAAAGGCTGCGGACAGTACTGTCGTCGCATGAATGAGGGTGACGGACGGAAGTGAAACAAGTGCTGGGAAGAAATTGAGAATACCATGCTGGAGGAGAGCGACTGAAACAGATTCGCTCGGGGATTTCCCTAATATGGCAAAGAGGAAGGCCAAGAATGACTGAAGGGTCGGACACGTTTCTTTGTATATTCTTTTCGTCAGTAATGATCCGATATGAATTACGATTTTACATTGACAACGGGGTCTCACATATCACTAATTGTTCCCAGAGACTATAAATTGTGCATGATAGCTTGATTGCTACCAAAGGCTAACCTAATATTATGTCAGAATACTTAAATATATTTCTAAGAATGGGTATGGAAAGAATCGGAAACGACAGAAACAATCGAGCATACTTGCTAGCACTGGCTGCGACAAGGGCGTCCCCTATATTTTGAGTTAGCGACAACAAAGTAACTGCGAAGGGGTTAACAAAGGGGGATTAGGCATATCTACCCTCTCTCTGGCTGCGATGGCGGCGTGGAGCGGTCAACGAACCCATGGATTGGCGGTCAACAGGTTGCTGCTGAGAAGTCCTCCTTCCCGCATTGATCCATGCACTCTCAACAGTCTCGATCTCCGTGCTCATCCGATTCAGCTCTCTGTCGGTCGGCCTCCCGCGATGATACGATGGGCCCTGTGGGTGGCTCTGCGGTACGTATATTCCGAGACCTACCTGCTGGTTGGATGACTGGGTTGGACGTTGTATTGAAGAGCGCCAAAGCTCTAGCTGCCGCTCGTCGTTGGGTGGCTGGGGAGGACGCTGCGGAGAAGAGCGCCTGGAGTCTGGCTGCCGCTCGCTGGATGACTGGGCGTAGCGTTGCGATGCAGAGCGACTAGGGGCAGGCGGTGGCCTGGATGTGGACGTCGGGTTCGTCGCCGCTCTGTGGGGCCTGAGAGGGGAAGGCGGCAACGGCTTGTTTATGTATTCAAAGGAACCATTGTCGTGCGGGTGTGACGTGTTTGGCCAGTGCCGGCGGCTATCAGAACGGCCCCGAGGGCGTTGCCTGCGATCTGCTGACGAGTATATCGGCGATTCCTCGAAGGCAGTAATGTCAGGGTCCTCAAATGGGACACCCGAAGAACCAAGGTACTGGCGAAGCGTGTCAGGGCGGAGGTTCTGAGGCTCGCGATATATGGCTGTGGCTCTGACGTTGGGCAGCCGAGGAGCCTCGCCGTGGAACTGGACGGCGTTGCTCCTCTCTAGGCCCTGCGGTCTTCGGTCAGCAGGCCGGCGCCTGGTATTACTCCTCTGAGGATTCGGGGGATAAATGGGATTATCAATGTCGAGGTCTGTCTGGTGTCGATAGACTGGGCGCGGCGGTCTTCGCTGGGCGCTGTCGCGGTCTTTCCTGAGTTGCTCATAAGTAATACCGCGACGAGAACACTTAGGACATACCTGGACCTTGTTGTAGCTTCGTGTCTGCTGTGGCCGCCTGCAGTTCCTGGGAGGCGAACAGAACATCTTCGAGAAGAAGCCTTTTCGCTCGAACCTCAGCTGTCTAGCTAGGAGATCGGAACACTTCTGTATCTCAGCATGCTCATGTTCACAATGAACATTGAAAATGATGACGGTGCGACACATCTTGACGGATGCGCCTCAGGGCCTGGGTGGTTGTATACCGCTGCCTGAGCGGCCTGGAGTTGGAGTATTGGAGAGCCTTGTATGAGAATCTATCCTATCATTTGCTCTTGGTAATGCTTCTCGAGTGGTCTGAAGAGGGAAAAAGAAGGTTGTGAAGAGACATTCGAGGCCATATTTATATAAAATCTTGTCGTGGCGAAGGCCGCGCCTAAAGTTGAGTGTTCGTGGATAGTTCTGCAGTTTAGAGACAAATATGAAACTAACAAATGAAGCTATTCAGACCGAAACGAGTGTTTCTTTGTGTTCGTTGATGTTGAACAATGCATTGTTGTCTTATCATAAAACATAATGAATGTTTTCCTTTAACCTTTCCTTTGACATGCATCGTGTGTTTATTCTGAAGTTTCAGGCACAATTTGGATGATAGGCTGCTTCCGCTACAGAATATTGTATGAACTGTATAACTTACTCTGTAACCTTCAATGCCCGTCTTCATGAGTCAGAGTTGCTACGAGCCGTTCCGTTCCTGTTTATCCCATGTTTGCTAGGTTATTCATTATACCAGGCTTAAAACCATGCCGTTGTACGACGACGAGCCTAAACAATTATCGCGCCTTCCAAAAGTCTAGAGCATGACTATGCGCCCTAAAGATTGGTACTGGAAGCATAAGCTAATAGAATGCATGTCTTCAGCTGCATTCATAGGTCAACTCTCTTGTTGATTATCTGCAAATTGTCACACGTGTGGATATAAAACCCCTTCCCACTGGGGATGGTAGCCGTAAAAATGAATTTCATTGAGAATGACAAGCTCTAGTCTAAAGAAAGTGTCCCATCTCGGCCACTCAGTCAAGCTAGCAGCATATGCAGGCAGACAAGCCTCCCAAACGCCAAATGCCCCTCTGATTGTCCTCTAGTGTAGGCTCAAACCAGACACAACCCATCCCGCCATAATCAGCAGTGCGCCCCAGTCCCAACCCAGTCCGTGTCCAAACTCCCCATCGTGGTATTATGCACCTCGGCAACCATCTTACCGGTAGAACTCTCCCCTCTTAACATTAACCCCGTACTCTCCAACCGCCATCCCCAAATCCTCCATCGTCAGCACAGTCCTCCCCTGCCCACCACCCTGTCCGCCACCTCCGTATCCCGGCCGCTGAACACCCAACGCGCCTCCACCGGCTCTCTGTGTCTTCCCCTCCGCCGCGCCCACAGGTGCTGCGCTGGCGCCTCCAGCAGCACCGACGAGGTTGCCCATCGGGTTATTGGCTGAGGAGCTGTTCGACGAGCGGATCCGCGAGTATTGGTATGCGTCGGCGGCGATGTCAGCGACGAACTTTTGGGTCGCGAGAGCGAGGAGGCGAGAGAGGCGGGGATCGGTTGTGGGTGGTGGGGGGAGCCCGGCGCGTGTGAGGTAGTAGTTTGTGACTGCGTCTGGGATCTGTCGGCGCCAGTTAGAATTTGCACAGATCATGACACTTCAGAAAGGGGAGTTAGGCATGGAAGGCGATATAGAAGGGTGCCGAGGAGGATGAAAGGCGATTCAAGATAGAAGTGAGACTGGGGATCCGCTGTGGCGAAAGACAAGGGAGGCATATGGAAAAGCAAAACATACAATGGGAGCATAATCATCCATCTTCCCCAGGAACTCCTTCAAGCTGGCATCCTTGCGGCTCGGTAACTTTGGCTCAGGAGCCGGCGCAATTGCCTCTGGGGCTTCTGATACTGGCTCGGCAGGGCGTGCCGCGCCAGTGGCTTGAGGTGAATCCGGCATAATTGAAGTGATGTATGAGATAGAGGTCTGATTTCTTTTGCTTCAGATAGAATTCACCTCAGAATGTCATTGATCATTGATGGAGTGATTGATCGTGACGAGAGTTGATTATGAGACCCGCGCGGTCGGTAGTTGACTGGTGACGCTAAAGGGTGCAACAGTGGCGCTAGAGGCGGTTATTTATTCCGCGCGCGCGTGAATGAAGTCTCGATAAGAGATAAGTCGGAACAATATAGAGCGAGCTGCGAATTGATGCCTCCAGTTGAAGCAAACAAAGTTGCACACTTTGACTTAGTTTTGAGCATTTGATCTATTGAAAGATTGTGATATAAGAATTATATCTATAGATAATAAAAAGTCCTTATTATATTTATTACTAGTATCTTCTAAAAGTATCGCTGGTAGTGTTTGTTGGCTTTTCCTTGCCTTTACGTGACTGATACGTAGACTTTTCCGCAGACGCACGAGCAGCATCTTGTACATATTACAGTAATTCTACAAATAACCCCCATCCAGTTACACACCGAGCGCCAGTTCCCATTCCCAACTATATTCACGGCGACGTCGCCTCCTGCTCTTGTTCCTTCGCCTGATCCAAGCTTATAAAAAATGCCAACGCACGCTCATATGTCCACATCGTCACCGCGCTCGCCGGCGCTGCTTTGACCAAACTAACCGTCAATCCCCTGTACAGCCCTCTCCACCCCTCTCTCCTCACAATCGCCTTCATGCTCCCCCCAACGCCTCTATACGCCAACCCACCAACGACATACTGCCGCCTCGTCGGACCCTGAACCTGCAGCCGCTTCCTGACCAGATCAAGCGGGAACACGGCAGTCTTGGCAAACACGCTGGCCGCTACACCAGCCACCGCATCGCCAGATCCAAACGGTAGTGTCAGCGTCGCGCTGTAGGGGCGCAGTGTCTCGTAGACGGAGAAGAAAAGGCCCATGTATGGCACGATTTGGATTATGCCTGCGGACAGGCCGCGGAAGAAGCCCGCGGGACCTTCGTTGGTAGCGATGGAACGGATGCCATACCAGAGGCTGGGGTAGACTTTCTGGGTGCCTTGGGCGGCAAACCGGGTGCGCAGTAGGTCGAGTGGGTATGTAACCGTAGTAGAGACAGCACCGGCGGTGGCACCGGCGACAAACGATTCCGTGGGCGGGGAGAGGGGATGCGTTGAGAAGAGGGACTGTAGGCCTAGTGTTGTGAGGCGATAGGTTGTGAATTGCACGGCGGAGTAGGTGATGTACAGGGCTTCGGCGGGGATGTTGCCTTTCCAGAGAGCAGTGAGGCCTTCCTCGCGAAAGATTCGGACGAGGGTCTGGAGGGTGCCTTTGTAGAGGGGCGGTTGCGTAGAGGGAGGATGGGGTTGGATGATCGTGCGACCGGGATGGGTTTGGAGTTGAAGGCGGATTTTAACGACATCGAGAGGGGCAATGACAAAGCTGAGGGAAATTAGCTTCTGTGATTTGTATCATAATCGGATCTGAAAGCCATTGAGGATGGTAGGAAGAAAGGGCTGCTTGTTGAGGATAAAGACTGGGCAACGTGCTTACCGTGCAATTAACCCGGCCGTGGCTCCAGCGAGGACGACTTGCGTCTTGGAGCCCTCATCCTTCAGGCGATGGTCTGCGCTTCTTGACATACATCTGGATAGTCCCGTACGGGGGACGTTGCCGAAAGACTGTTTGATTGTTGAAAGTTGGAGATTTAGGTATATTTATTTCCGTTGAATTTGGAGATTTGGCCGCTTAGATACGGGAGGCGTCATAGCGACAGGGGTGATGGCGGGAGAAGTTCGGGACTTCCCTCCCCTCCCCGCCATAATCGGTGACCCGCTACTCCAGAAGCAGCTGCACGAGATCGATGCTTGTGAGCCGAGGCTGCGATTCTTTCAAATGTTTACTTGCTTCACTTCTTCCAATTCCTGTATATATTTCTATATTTGAGAAGCGCTTCCTTATATCCTTATATAAGTTTCAACAGCACGTTTTACGTCCATTGATCGCTGCAATATACTACATATTCTCGGCTGCCGGTTACCCCTCCACCCACGGCTTTCCTCACCGCTGTGGGAAATATCGGCGACGATGTCGCTTTTAAGGAATACAGCACTGGCAAGCCCAATTCGAACCGCTGTTCGCAGGAGTTTTGCTAGGCCTGTAGTGCATATCCGCGCTCAGCAAGCATATGCGCCGGTGCAGTCCCGGAGAGCAGTATCCACAACGACACGTAAGTTTCTAACAATGCAGCCAGGCATAGGAGGAGAGCTTCTTTGCGCTATACTGCTGCGGATATCTGATGTATTGAACTTGTGCTGACAAAACCAGAGAAGCAAGCAATAGTTCTCACCGGCACAAAACCCGCGTCGACATACAAAGCCCAAGGAGCATCTCCCTTAGCAGCCCACCAGACAACAGATGGCTACCGACTCTGGCTCCGCGACGCCTGCTCCTGCCCCCTCTGCGTCGACCCATCAACACGGCAGAAAGTCTTCGAAACCCCCAAGATTCCCGCCAACATCTCCTACAAAAGCGTAACAGAGAGCAAAGACGGCAAATCCATCTCCGTGACCTGGAACAATGACATCCCCGGCTACGGACCCGAACACACTTCCACGTACGAAAAGAAGGAGCTGGAGCGATACGACAATAACCCCGTAGCGGTTGAGAGCCTGCAGGCGAATGAGGGGGATACATATAAGATCTGGAATCGCGACCAGGTCTCTGAAAAGATCCAATTCATCGATTACAACAAGTCCATGGAAGACGACAAGACCCTCTTCGAAGTCCTGAAGCAGCTGCGACTCTACGGTCTGGTGTTCATCAAGAACGTCCCCGGCGAGAACGGGCCCGCTGCGATGGGGAAACGAATCGGGAGACTAAGAGATACATTCTACGGCGAGACCTGGGACGTTAAGTCCGTCCCCCAAGCCAAGAACGTGGCATACACCCACCAATTCCTCGGTTTCCACATGGACCTCCTTTACATGGCCGACCCGCCCGGATTCCAGCTGTTGCACTGTATCAAGAACAGCTGCGAGGGCGGGGAATCAATGTTCACCGATGCCTTCTATGCTGTTAACCAGCTGCAATCGAGTCATCCCGCCGAAACAAGCGTATTAGCAGAGTTCCCCGTCAACTATCATTACAAGAACGCCGGGGAACACTACCGGCACTCCCACCCCACCATCGAGTACGACACCACTGCGCACTCCACTAGCCCTCCGCGCCCCCTAAAATACGTGAACTACTCCCCCCCCTTCCAAGGCCCCTTCAACCTCGCCAACGGGACCGCGGACACGACCTCCCTGGCTCAGTTGAGCAAGTACCATGGGATGGCGGGGAAGTTCCAGGAGATCACGGAGAGGGAGGAGAATATATATAAGTATAAGATGAAGGAGGGGGAGATGGTGATTTTTAATAATCGCAGGGTGCTGCATGCGAGGACGGCGTTTGATGTTAGTTCCGGGGAGAGGTGGCTGAAGGGGGGGTATATTGATACGGATGTTGTGTTGAGTAGGCATAGGGTTTTGAGGGAGGAGTTTGAGGGGTAGATGTTGGATGGGGTTTATAGATGAGACTGGGGCTATATAACTCGTATATAGATAGCCAATATATCCAAATATTGCATAGTTCATTGCCTCTCTGATATCGCCTCTTCAAGAGTTTCTAGACAGCACTAGTATCATAAGAGACACCCAAGGTGGAGGCATAAGAGTAGAATATAATCATCAATGACTCAATAGAATACGCAAAACGCTACGAGACACCATAAATCTTACAAGTACATCCCCCCCTCATCAGATATGTTTTCTCCAACATCCACCCACCCCCCTCAAAATCCCATCCAAGCTTTTTCACTTTTCCTCTTACCCACCCACTCACTCTCTCCTTCCCCTATATATTTTTTCTCATCCTCCCCTCTATTTCGCAAAATGCAAATCATACCCCAACCACTTCCTCGCCATAACCTCCTCCACACTCAACGGAAACCCATAAGTCAACGGCACGAAAAACCACCATCCCCCCACAACCGCAACCATAATCACGCCCGCCGCCGCCCAGCTCGCCAGCAGACTCTGTCCCCCCAATCTCTCTCTCGCAGGCAACGATCGCGCGCTCATAGGTGATCCGTGCTTAGTTCCCGACTCGGCGACGGTGAAGCCGGCCTCCTCGAGAGCGACGGGCTCGATGGTGAAGATGAATTCGAGGAGGGCGCCGGTGACAAGGCAGGAGGCGAGGTGCGCGGGGAGGTAGTGGTGTAGGAAGAGTTGGCGGCCCATCAGATAGAAGGGGAGGTAGTGGAGGGCCCAGGCGATGAAGAAGAAGCCTGTGGAGTTGTAGAGGCGGGAGCGGGTGCCTGTGGGGTGTTAGTTCGTGCAAAAAAGTGATGATGGGAGATGGTGAAGGGGAAGGGGACTTACGGATATCAAGTGCATCAGCACCACGACGAAGAGAAAGCTGATCCGCAGCAATAATCCCAACATACACCGCCAACAGCGACGAAGCAAGCCACCACCCAACCGGGTTCCCGAGGAAGTAAATCTGCGACCTCGTATCATTGTGCGTCCAGAAGCTAACACCACGCAGGAGGAACGGCCAATGGAACGGCTGGCTCGCATACGGATGGCTGCTCGTCAGGGCGTTATTATGGTGGAACATCGCGCGCTGGACTTCGAACCACTTCTTCAGGAACGGCATCGTCTTCACCTGTCTCGCCTCGCGCTGGAGTCTCGGACTATCGGCTGGGATGGACGGGATCTCGTCAACGAACCAGACGTTGGAGGATTGCGCGACGTTCTTGTTCCCGTTGATTTCCTGCTGCTTGTAGGCCCAGTCTGGGAGCGGCGTGGTGTGGGTCCACATGGCGACTTTGGAGGGGTTGTGGATGAGTTTGAATTGTGCGGCGAGGGACTTGAATTCCTGGTTCGGCTTGCCGTTCTCGATGCGGATCTCGAAGAGGGTGTCGTTGTGGCGGGAGCCGTGGGCGTCTTCGAGAGGGACGGTGGAGAATTCCTGGTTCGTGGGGTAGTAGGGGGATGCGACGTCGTGGGAGAGGAGGATGGTGTTGGTGACGACGTGGCGCAGCTTGACGAGCTCGTGGTTGCGGACGATGCGGTTGGGGGTGTCGGCGCCGTCGGCGGGGAGAATCTCCCAGTGGTTGTTGGTGTCGTTGAAGGGGTAGCCGGTTACTTGCTGGCCTTGGCTGGAGACACGTCCGTCGTCGTAGCGGAGGGGGTACTTGTCCGGGTGGCTGTGGAGGTAGGTCTTGGTCTCCTTGTGTCTGAGGACGATGTTGTCGAAGTAGTTGATCGTCACAGCATTGGTCGTCATGAGGTTATCACTCAGCGTCTCCTGGAACTGGGGCGTCATGAAGTCATCACCCGGACCCGACTTGGTGAGGATGGAGAAGTGAACCTGGAACCAGAAGAGGTAGAACAGGAAGGGGACGAAGATGAGACCGAATGCGCGGGCGGCGAAGTGCTTGCCGAAGTCGATCAGAGAGAGCGCGCCCTGGCGACGGTTGACATCGAGGAGATCCCACAGGTCAATGGCGACAGCAGCTCCGACGGTGAGGAAGGCGAAGGTACCGACATACTTGGTCGAGATAACGCAGCTGAGCGCAAAGCCAGTGAGAAGGAGCCACTTCCACCACTTCCTGCCAAACGGCTGGTGTCTCAGCTTATAGAATCGGATATAGCAGAGCAGACTGCACGCCATCGCAAAGACGAGCGTCGCATCCAGAAGAATCAATCTCGTCTGTCCAATATGCGCGTTATCGAACAGAACAAGGCCAGCGGCAACAATGCACGCAGGGAGGGTGTATCCCGATTCCCACATGATATCAAACACGACCGGAACGGTGAGAGCGCCGAGAAGAGCCGGCATGGCGCGGAACGCAACGTAGGGGACTTTGTTGGTGATATACGAGTCCCCAATGTTCTCGAAGTGGAAGTGTCCATCATACCCCACGAACCATCCCATCAGCGCAAACAGCAGCTTCCCAAACGGCGGGTGGACATCGAAGAAGTACGTGCGCTCGAGGTAATACGACGCGAACTATCCATTCCAGCACTCGTCAGCTTACTTCTCCCCCACTCCTCACATCATCATCATTCCCCAGATCTAGAGTTTACTCACCTTCCCAAAATGCACCTCATCAAACACCACCTCATTCGGATGGCTAATCCCCCAAAACCTCGTAGCAAAAGCCAACACCGTGATAATCACAAGCGCAAGCTTATAATCCCACTCCGACGCAGGCGCTGCCTTGCCTTTATTCGCCTTGACCAGCCCCTTGTCGGCGGGGACGGCGAGCGTGGCCCCGGAGGGGGATTTCTCTTTCTTCGAGGCCGCAGCGGGACCGCGGTGCCGGACTGAACCTGCCGGCGAGGGAGACGCCATGATGGGTTGGAGCTATGGAGATGTCTGTGATGGTAATGGGTCAGCGCGTGTACTTCGCAGCGGTGGATGAGTTTGTTCGTCGATCCAAGGAGAGAAAAGACAGCCTCTCACTCAGCCTCGCTCGAAAACGGGGGTTGAGTGAGTGAGTAAGGGGCCGCCACGGGGTTCGCGCTTACTTACTCAAAGATAAATAAAAGTTAAACCCCAATACAAGTTGAGGCTCGAATCGTAAAAGAAAAGAAAATAGATAAAGGAGTGTCGTTGTCGTCGCAGCTCGTGAGGACAGATTCGTTGAATTGCCCCTTCGCTGCTTGCAGGTGGGTGATTCGTTCCGTCTCGTCTCAATGCGAGCGAGGCCCTTTGGAAGCCAAAGAAGTGGTCGAGGTGTTCTTTCGCTTATCAGCTTGGGTGGAGCTTATGTGGCCGGGCCGGGGTAAACGCGCGAGCGGCGAGGGGGGGATGTAGGGGCTATCGTTTCTTGGCATGAGCACATGGCATGTGGGATATAAATATATCTGACGGGTGTTTAACTTTTTGTAATAATTCGATTGTTAAACAATTCGATGTTCGGAGTGCACAGCGTTGCACAAAATTATCGGAGAAATAGATGTTTGTTTTGGTTTTGGTTACTTTGTCTTGGTTACTGTCCTCTATATTTCTCGTACTAATGTAACCCTCCTTTCAAGCCTCATCGCCATGGCTTCTCCACCGAACCTATATACGCTCAATGCTCTAATACCGAAACAATAAACACCCTCTCAAGAACTCCCCAAAAAATTCTCTTTCTGTTGCTCTTTCTTCATTCACTTACTCATCTCACTCAATCACATCACATCACATCCCACCCCACCAACCAACTCTACGACGTCGTAACACTAGCAGCCCTCTTATCATGATCCTCCAAACTCTCCATCAGCCTCGCCCCCAACGCATCCTCAAAATCCAACTGCGACACCTCCTGTCCTCCCGCCTGCTGCTGTCCCTGTGCACCAATCTGCCCCTGCCCTCTCGGCGACTGATTCACCTCCCCCTGCTGTCCAAGCTGTCCATGCTGCTGGTGCTGTCCATCAAACTGCTGCTGCTGCTCATCCCCCCTCTGTTGTTGTTGTTGCTGCTGCTGTTGCAACCCATCCATCTGCTGCTGCAAATGATGTCCCCCATGCATCTCCCCCTGCCCTCCCATCCCCAGCCCCCCCTCCTGCATCCCCCCCGCCAGCGCCATAATCCCATTAAACCGCGCCTGCTCCTCATCACTCGCCAGCCTCGCGCGTTCCTCCGCCTCCTTCCTCGCCGCCTGGCTCGGTGCGCGGGTCTTCAGCTCGCCAGTCACGCATTGGAGGTAGTATGGTACTTCGATATTACTCTTCAAGAAAAACAGCTTGAGGTTCCGCGCTTTGTCTTTGAGTTGTACTTGGTTCCTGTCTTTGAGGATCTCGCTGACTTGCCCTTTGGCGCCGTATAAGGCGAGGATCTGCGACCAGTGCGGGCCCTTGACTTGGTCGAGGCCGGCCATTAAGGCGTTTTCCTCTTCGGTCGACCACGGGCGCCGTTGGCTGGGGAGGCCGGGACGGCGACTGTGCGGGGATGCTTTGGCGACGGCGGCTTGGCGGGCTTGTTCGTATAGGACTTGTGTCGGTGCCGTCTGTGTGTGGTACGGTACTGCACCCGCGGGGTATTCCTGGGCATAGCTTGTCATTTGCTGGGCGTGTTGCTGGTGTTGTTGTTGGAGGTGTTGTTGCTGGGGTTGGGTTTGTTGCTGACGGTCGTATTGCGAGTATCCTATGCTCTGGAGAGCGTGTTGGGTTGCGGCGCGGGTGGCTTGCTCGATGTCGAGGTCGCCGAGGTCGAGTTCGGGTTCGGGGTGTTGTTGGGGCGGTTGTTGGGGGTCGTGGGGGGGTTTGGGTGAGGTTTGCTGCTCGGCGGTGGGGTTGGGGTGCTGGTGTTGCTGGGTGTGGAGGGATGGAGGGGGGGCGGTTAAGGCGTGTCGCCTCATGTAGGGAGCTATTAATGGCTCATATGCCTTCTTGAGATGGTCGCTGAGGTTCTTGAGGAAATCCTCCCAGGCGTATTGTTCCGAGAGGATAGCTATAAAATTAGAAAGTGCTTCGTGCGGTGGTGAGGGTTGACTTACATATAGAATCCGGATCACCAGAATCATTCTGTAGATACTCCCTCCTCGCATTCGCCTCCTTAACAAATTCAATCTCACTCTGCGTAAGATCTGACCCCGGATGCCTCGCCCTCAGCGTATCCCCAAGACTAACAGGAAACAGATCATCCAAGACCTCATCCTTCGTCCTCTCCTGCTCCTCCTGCGACACCGCAGAGAGATACATCTGCGTCTTAAGATTCAAATACAACAGTCCCGGCTCCGTCTGCAACTCCGCCCCATCCGCCACAAACGTCTCAATAAAATGATCATTCAACTCATAGAACCCCACATCCTGCCCCCCCACCACCGACGACACAAACGTCGCCAGATTCGTCGTCCGTATCGTCCCGCGGTGCTCCGGCTCGCGGATATTCAGCTCATCAGCCGAGAGGAACGGTTTCTGCTGCGAGTAAATCTTCTTGGTCTGGTCAAACAGCGATTTCAGCGTCGCGTACGCCTGTCCCAGCTCCGACTCGGGCTGCGTCACGATCTTGATCGTCTCCGAGTACGGGCCCTGCGCCAGCGTGGAGAGGATCTGCGTAGACAAGCTCTCCAGGATAGGTAAACTCAAGATTCGCATATACAGATGCGGATCCGCTGAAAACCCATTACTGATCTCCGCCGCCGCCTCCCTGCTTCCCCCAAACTCCTGCCCTGCCTGGTACCCTTCCACTGACGGCAACGGTTCCTGCGGCGCAAAACTATGTTGCTGGTGCTGCTGCATCTGGTGTTGCTGTTGCGGCGGCGCGGGCCCAGCCTCTTCCGAAGCCGTAGCAGCGGCAGCAGCGATCATAGCCGCGAAATCCATGTCATCCCCACCCAGCGCCGGGGGAGAAACCTCAATGCGCTGGCGCTTTTCATCTGAGGCTGGGGCGTGGGGTGTTGAGGGGGAGAAGCGGCGTTTGAGGGGGGAGTGCTGGTGTGGGTCGTACGGGGGAGGGTCGGCGCTGTAGGGGGATTCGTATTTGATCTGGGGTTCTGCGAGGGAAGGGGTGGTTAGTTACTGGTGGTTAGAAGATGGGCAAGGCGAGGGGGGTGGTGGTTGAAGGGGGTGGACGGGGGAGTCGCGTGGAGGCATGGTGGTGATGGATGGGAATGCGCGGGTGAGAACTCACGTTCGATAGGCATGGTGGCGGTGATTGATTCCATATCGGTGGTGGCCGGCCCTATGCTGTCTCGTGAGGGGGATCGGTAGACGTAGACGTTGGTGTTGAGAGCGAGATCGAGAGCGAGCAAAAGCGGGTGAGAAGTTCTTTTGGTAAGGAACTGCCGACTCCTCTCTCCTCACTTACTTCTTTCCCGCCGGCGCGCAAAACGCCGGCCCGTCCATTAGCTCATAGCCCCAATCAGCGAGACCTGTCGCTTTTGCCCGTGCCCTCGCATTGGAGATACACCAACGAACAATCAGGGAAGGGGAAAAAATAATATTTATTTGGAGAAAATTAATTGGTAAGTTTGTACAGTTGGACGTAGAATGTTTTATAAAATATATATGGAGGCTCTGAAATTTACTTGGGTGTTTACGGTCTCTATAGATCTCTTTGCCCAGTACAGTGCGATTATAACAGTTAGGCAGGTAGAGAGACCGTTGGAACCACGTGATTAGACTGATACAAGGCACGTGATAAACTTAATTAAAATTCACGTGATAATTATGACATAAATACACGTGATCAACTCGATCGAAATTCACGTGATAAAAGTGTAAACATACACGTGACCATTAATTGACTCTTGATATCGGACTCCCTCCTCCTCCTCTCTATCAAGTGCAAGTGCGACTCGCACGTGGCTGATACTAGTAGAGTGGGTTACAAAGCAAGTTCATGATGTATTGGAGTCTTGGAGTCGGAGCCCCATCGAGCCAGACCCATTGATATTGGATCCATCTGACCCGCACCTGTTCATGCAAACGTATGTATAGTAATCAGCGGTCTGTTAGGAGTGTGCGGTGTATACGGTGTGTAATACTAGACATGCTATAGTTTGGAAGGAGTGTATGTATAGTATACTCATGAAACTCGTAGGAGTATATATAGAACTTATAGAACCTATAGACCTATAGACCTATAGAACGGATATAAACAGAACATACTGTAGTAGAGAACGCCTATATCAACCGTCTTGGCTGTGTTTTCCTACTCCTAGCTCGGCCCTTGAGCGGACATATAGTTTTCCCATTTATCCCCAACTTGCCGTATTATCGTAGGTGTAATGCTGCAGTATACTCGAGATAGAAGTACAATACAAAGCACTACAATAATACAATAATACAATCCAGTGCGACTCGCACTTGTCTGTCTCTCTCTCTCGCCCTGGCCGACTCGTACCGAATCGTACCGCATCGCTCCTTCCCTCCGTGGACCCTTGCCGCGTTGGTTACCGCGTTGGTTGCAGCGATGACACTCAGATCCCGAATCGTTCGTTGTATGTACATACCATACAGTGACATGCAGTACTATCGAACTCATCGACCTTACTAGCTACTAGCTACTAGCTACTAAGCTTAGCCCGTAACACTCCATATACACTCCCATATACAACCCCATATAGACCCCATCTACACTCCATACCACCCCTCAATATTCATACGTACGTATGAATATACTCCGCATGGGAATTGTCGCCGCTGTATCCTGCTTACTGCTGCAGCTCGATCCCGAACCAATGAATGCCATCCATAAATGCCGAGGACCAACGGGGTCTGGGGTAAGTAGTTAGTAGTCAACCTTGTAAACTGCAGTAACCAGTAACCAGTAACCAGTAACTTCTTGTCTGTTTCACGGATGCGGAAAGAGGGGTCGCAGAGCATTTCTAATTGTACACCCGACCATAGCCCGCATCCGATAATAGACGCCGACCGATGAAACTTGTACCTGTAGGAGAACCTGTAGGAGTGTCAATGGAGACAATTTATTATTATCGTACGTCTAGGTGTACGCTCGTCGCAAATAACCCGAATTTATATGGAGATTCTATACTAGGAATTAGACGGAATCAAATATTCTCGCTCTTAGAGAGTTTAGTCTCCATCGTCTCTATAGAGGGGTTCATACCCGGCGACATTTATACCGGTAGACCGAATGCCTCTACAGCACCTGTAGTCTACAGATGTCATCGGTACTTTGTCGACCACCGGACTAAGGGGAAGCTCCTGCTCAGATGGCTCATATGACCCCGCCTTTAACGTACAATGCGGTACAAACCAAACCTCTAACCACCTCTAACCTCCTCCAACACACATACCCACCTATCCACCTATATCGCCCCCCCCCCCTTCTCTACCTCAACCCCTCCCCCTCTTCTAACCCATTGAGTGAAACCGTACTTCTCCCGAACGAAATCTACTACTACTCTCCTCTTCCTCCTCTCTCATCTTTCTTCCTTTATTAAACAACTAAATACCCCCAAAACAAAACTTCTTTTCCATTTCATACCAAGCTATCCTACGAACTTCACGATATCAACGACGTAATGGCTACCATCGAGCTTGAGACCCCGTCCAACGGCAAGTACCAACAGCCAACTGGACTGTACGTTTACTCCCCCCCCTCCGTCCCTCCCGAAACACCACAAACAGTCAACTAACTAACCCCCTCTTCACAGCTTCATCAACAATGAGTTCATCGAGGGCGTAGACAAGAAGTCCTTCGAGGTCATCAACCCCGCCACCGAGAAGGTCATCTGCTCCGTCGCCGAGGCCACCGAGAAGGATGTCGACGTCGCCGTTGCCGCCGCCAGGGCAGCATTCAATGGCGAGTGGAGCAAGGTCACACCCGAGGCCCGTGGCAAGCTGCTCGTCAAGCTGTCCGAGCTGATGGAGGCGAACCTCGACCAGCTGGCTGCCATCGAGTCGCTCGACAACGGAAAGGCCATCTCCATGGCCAAGGGTGATGTCGCCGCTGCGGTCGGCTGCTTGAGGTACTACGGCGGCTGGTCCGACAAGATCGAGGGCAAGACCATCGACACCAACACAGATACCTTCACATACACACGCCAGGAGGCTGTAAGTAGTCCCGAGCAACTCTGTTCCCTCTCCTCCAACATACTAACACCAACCAGATCGGTGTCTGTGGACAAATCATCCCATGGAACTTCCCAATCCTCATGTGGTCGTGGAAGATCGGCCCAGCCATCGCCACCGGTAACACCGTCGTCCTCAAGACCGCCGAGCAGACCCCTCTCTCCGCCCTGTTCGCCGCCAAGCTGATCAAGGAGGCTGGCTTCCCTCCCGGAGTCATCAACATCATCTCCGGTTTCGGCAAGACCGCCGGCGCCGCCCTCTCCTCGCACATGGACGTCGACAAGGTCGCCTTCACCGGCTCCACCATCGTCGGCCGCATGATCCTCAAGGCCGCCGCGGACTCCAACCTCAAGAAGGTCACCCTCGAGCTTGGAGGCAAGTCCCCCAACATCGTCTTCGACGACGCCGACATCGACAACGCCATCTCTTGGGTCAACTTTGGCATCTTCTTCAATCACGGCCAGTGCTGCTGCGCCGGATCCCGCATCTACGTCCAGGAGGGCATCTACGACAAGTTCATCGCTCGCTTCAAGGAGCGCGCAGAGGCGAACAAGGTCGGTGACCCATTCCACCCGGAGACCTTCCAGGGACCCCAGGTCTCGCAGCTCCAGTTCGACCGTATCATGGGATACATTGATGAGGGCAAGAAGGCTGGCGCTACCGTCACCACTGGTGGTGGTCGCCACGGCGATGTCGGATACTTCATCCAGCCTACCATCTTCTCGGATGTCACTGAGGACATGAAGATTGTCCAGGAGGAGATCTTTGGCCCTGTCTGCACTATCTCCAAGTTCAAGACTGAGGAGGAGGCTATTGCCAAGAGCAACGGCTCCAACTACGGTCTTGCGTCTGCGGTGCACACTACCAACCTCAACACTGCGCTGCGCGTGGCGAACTCTATCCGTGCGGGTACCGTGTGGGTCAACTCGTACAACATGATTCACCACCAGGCGCCGTTTGGAGGGTACAAGGAGTCGGGTATGGGACGTGAGCTTGGTGAGGCGGCGTTGGCGAACTACACCCAGACGAAGACGGTGTCGATTCGTCTTGGGGATGCGCTTTTCGGTTAAGTGTGTTTGGGAATGGGAAAAAGGAAATGGGATGGGGGAATAAGGGTTTACGTGGGATTAAATGAGTACGATAGCTTACTGGTAGTAGCAAAATTGAATCAATGATTTCTATGAGATAGAGGGGTTATGTGGGTGACTGAGTGACTGAGTGACTGAGTGACTGTTGTTATGATAAGTGTAAAGTTCTCACTCCCGCGATCCTTCAGCAGTGAGCGTCTCAACCTTATTGTCGCGCTAGCGGGTGCTTACCCGCGTGTGGGCGGTGCAACGCTAACTGTAGTGCGTGAGATGGGTGTTGGGACTTCATCACACCACCACGAGCTTTTTGGGAACTGAACATTGGTGGGAGGGGAGGTGAGTTACTGATGCGGTAGGGTAGGGAGTACAGGTCCTCAGGTTTTGATGGTTTGTTATGGGCTCTGAGGGTCTGGAATGGTGATGGTGGGGGTTGGGAGGCTGGATACTGGGAGGGAGGAGAGGGATGATAGGGACTGACAGGGAGTTGGCTGATGACAGGAACCAAGACATGATATGGAGAATACAGGTCCTCGTATCTGGATATTCAGTCCTGAACTCTATCCCGCCGATCTCGCATTTCAAACACTCAAAGCCAGTCGCCTGATCCCAGGCACCAAGAGGGGATGGGACGAGAATAAGCATCTCTCACTACCACTAACTAACATCACCGGCGTGGGGATAGCTTCACGCCATTTACGGTTTTTACCAAGGTATGTGATGGTCTAACATGGCCTCTTTATGGGGAGGTGTGTTACGATTATTAAGGTCTGGTCTGTTATTTTCATTGCGTCTAGGTGTTCCCCGTTTATGGTCTTCTTGTTGGCTTTCTCTTTCCTCCTTTTCTCTCAGTCACTTCTCATTATCATTTCTATCACCACTACAGACACTCGTTCAAAAGCACATACACTCGCTCAACTGCCACCATCATGGCATCCTACATAACCCACCTCCTCTGCATCCTCCTCCTCCTCCTCTCTACCACCCTCTCCCAGCACTCACCGCCACAATCCCAATTCCCCCCCAACCGGCCCCTCACAGCCTGGACCTCCCTAATCCTCGCCCACCACGGCGAGCGGCGCCCCCTCCTCACCCACCCCACCAACCCCTCCCTCAACCCCCTCGGCGCCCTACAAGCCCACTCCTCCGGCTCCCTAATGCGGCGTCGCTACCTCACTGGTCCTTCGGCGCACAATACCTCTTTTGTCCCTTTACACGGGTTTCACAGAAATTACATCGATAACCAACGCGTCCATGTCCTTTCTGCGCCAGAACAACCAGTCGTCGCGAGCGCGTGGGCGTTTCTGCAGGGCTTGTATCCCCCCGTCGACGCGCCGGCCGCAGTGGGCGGGAGTCCCAAAGCGGGGGGTGGAGGGTGGCTGGCGCCGTTGGGGGGGTATCAGTATGGCCGCGTCGAGACGGCGGGGGGTGGGGATTGGAATCACATCTGGGTTGCTGGGTCTGATCGGTGCGGTTTACACGCCCTCAGCACCGCAGCCCAAATCAACAGCAGCGAGTACATCAACACCACCCAGACCAGCGAGGGGTTTTTCAAGTCCTTGGTCCCGGGGGTGTTTGCGGGGGTGGTACCGGAGATGATGGTTAGTTACCATAATGCGCCGCAACTGTATGAGTATGCCGCGTATGCGACGCTGCATAATTCCTCTGTTGCTGCGACGTTGCCTGCGGCTGCGCTGGCGAGGTTGAGGGCGCTGGCGGGGATGAGGGGGTGGGGTGTTCATGGGGTTAGGAGGGGTAGTGGGGGGGATAGCGAGGAGGATGGGGTTTTGAAACCTATTGCTGGGCGGACGTTTGCGGAGCGCGTTCTTTATCTTTTGAGTCGCGCGACGACGTCGGAGAGGCCGGGGGAGCTGAATTTGTTGTTTAGTTCGTCCGCCCCGTTCGTGGGGTTCTCAGCTATCTCCGGGCTCGCAGACCACGATGCGCGCTTCAAAGGCGTCGTGGAGCCGGGGAGTATGATGGTCTTCGAAGTCTTCTCCCACACTGACCCTGAGGCTGGGAGACCGGGGAAGGAAGATCTGTGGGTTAGGTTTTTGTACCGCAATGGCACGGCGGAGGGGGCGAGGTTGGTGGGGTACCCGCTTTTTGGGAGGGGGAGGGGGAAGGGGGATATGCAGTTTGAGGAGTTTGAGAAGGAGATGCGGGAGGTGGGGAAGGGGGTCGGGGAGTGGTGTGAGGTTTGTGGGGGGGGCCAAGTCTTCTGTCCTACGTTTTTGGAGGGGTTGGAGAGGGGGAGGAAGGAGGAGGGGAAGGGGAAGAATGGGAAGAATGGGGGTGGAGATGGGGGAGGGGGGAAGAAGAAGAAGAAGGGAACGACGGCTTTGGAGCTGGGGCTTGGGCTGGGGGCGGCGGGGTTTGTGGTTTTGTTAGGGGTTGCGGTGATGGTTTTTTGTTCGAGGAGGCAGAGGAGGCAGAGGAGGAGGGAGGTGAAGGATAAGGTGGACGGGTGGGAGATGGGGGATAGGGGGGCGAAGGAGGAGGTGGGGGAGAGGAGTGAGGCGGATTATGGGGATGGTGGGGTGAGGGATGGGGATGAGGATGAGGAGGGGGTTGAACCGATGAGGGAGCCTGTGAGGGTTGAGGATCGGGTATAAATGATTAGTTACTAGTTAATAAATAGGGAATATATAAATATATCAAAATAATATAAATAATAACAGTAATCCCATAATTCGAGACGACCTAGAGTTGTTCAGCCCCTAATCACAACCCCCTGTCCTGGCCTGGCCTCGCCGCCCCCTCCCGTTCTCCATTGCCGCTCCCCCCTCCCCGGCGCCTTTCGCCAAGCAAAACGCACGGACCATGTAGCACTTCCGCTCATCCATTCCGAACCCACCCCTGCGACCGCCCACCCACGAATCACCGCGCCGGCATTACGTCACCTGACAGGGTCCAACAAGGCTGAAGCGCAGCCTGGTTCTCGTTTATCGTTCGGGTGAAGGGAGGGAGAGTGGATGGAGTGATTTTGGGACGCTTGTGATCCGAGTAGAAGGGTGTTTCTTGTCCGACTAAACGATATCTCCTGATTTGTTCTTTTTGCTGAAGGGTTTGACAAGAAGACATTGGACGACAGGAAATCAAGGACGAGACTGAGACACGACGAGACAAGTAAAGGGGGAGAGAAAATCCTGGACGCAGCTACAAGGTGCTACCACGATCACAAGTCAACTGCAGCTCAAGCAATAAAAGACGATCCAACTTCCACGAAAACACACCACGAAACAACTACACCCACACTCTCGAATAAAAATCCTACCTCACCCAGCATCATCACAACTTTTCAACCTCCAACAACCCTCCGCGCCCAGCGCACCACCACACAACCACAACGATGCCATCAGCAATCCCCCTCCCCCTCTCCCCCCCCTCTCCCCCCACCCTCCTCCAACCCCTCCTCACCGCCCTCCCCACCGGCTCCCTCCCCCACGCCCCCTCCCCTCTCCTCCCGCACCTCTCCCCCATCCTCCGGCAACGCGTCAAGCTCCTCGCCTCGCCCACCACCCCCTGGCTCCCCCTCCTCACTTACGCCAGCGACGACACGGGGGAGAAGTTGATTGCGCTCGCGCATGGGGAGAAGTTCGAGCCGCACCCTGTGAGCGGGGAGGTGGAGGTCGATGTTGATTGGGAGGATGGGAGGGAGGTGGGGGTTAGGTATAGGAGGGTGGATGCGGAGACGATGTGGGCGAGGATTGAGATTGGGGGGGTCGGGTTGTGGGTTAGGTGTGTGTATTGTGTTGGGGATAGTGAGGGGCCGGTGGATGGGTGGAGGATTGGGGAGGTGGGGGTGCTGAAAAATGAGGGGGAGAGTGAGGGTGAGTGGTTTGAAAGCCTAGAGGCGGCAGAACAGGCGTTTAAGGCAGGGAAGACGAATGGGGATGCGGCGGTGGTGATTCCTACGGTTGCGGAGCCGGTACAGGATGATGGCGATGAAGATGATGATGCGGCGTATTGGGCTCAATATGACGCTACGCCCGCTGCGACACCAGGGCCGGATAACAGATCTCCTGCGCCTGCGAGCGTGCGCCAGGCACCCGTGAGTGGGAATACCCAAGTTGACGGTGGAGCCGAGGACGCATACTTCGCACAGTACGCTGATGTGCAGCCCGCGCTGGACGCACATGATCCCGACGAGGCGGGCGCAAATGGGGAAGTGGAATCGAGTCTTGGTGCACAGCATGAGCGGGAGTTTGTGAGTCCTGCGGTGCATAGCAACGGGAACGGGAATGGTATTACGGAAGTAGAACGGGCAGGGAGAGAGAGAGACGCGCAGCTTGAGCAGCCGCGGCCGCGCTCGGCGGAATCGAGTACGAGTGGACGGTCTGCGGCGGTGGAGGTGTTAGAGGATAAGGTGGAGAGAGAGGGGAGACATGATACTGCTGTGAGGCAGCATATCGGGGCTAGTGTGAAGAGTTTGTATCGTCTGGCACGGGCGGCGGGGATGGGGAGGGCGGAGTTTAGGGCGTTGGTTGAGACGGAGTTGGCGGTTGTGGGGGTGGAGGAGGACGATGATGAGGAGTATGGGGGTGAGTAGCTGAAGGGAGGGGGATGGGTGTGAGGGTCTCTCGATGGGAGGGCGGTGATTAGTTACTGTGGCTGGAGGGGGAGGGTAGAGGAACTGAGAAGGGGGAAGGGGGGGATGGGAGCTTCATTTAGCATTTTTCGTAGGTTGGCTTCGAGCGTTGCATCTGGTATATATCAGGAGGTAGCATTGGGTTGGACTTGTTTGAGAATATATATTACTGTACTGTACAAAAGTAGTTATCTTTCTCTGTGAAATCGTTCTTGTTTGTGAATATTGTCCTCGCGTCGCCTGGGATTCTGACGAGGTATCTCTTTGGCTGAGGATCGATACTAGCGATTCGAGCTGATAGAGTTTATCTCTCTCGTTCTAATTATGAGTAACTGGATTTTTGATTACAGTTCCGAGTGCCTATAAATCCTTATTTTAACCATAGTCTCTGTGAACGTATGTGCTGTGCACAGTTCTTCTCCATACTTTTAGGCAGGACGAGTAGTGAAATGTTACCAAGGTAGGTGCTACTAACGAATTATAAGATGGGCTGATGTCAGTAACTAGCTTCGTTAGTGAGGGACGGAGATGATTAGCCTTTCACTATATAAAGCCTATTTTAGTTAACCAGACGAAGCATTTAGCTCCTAGCCAGAGAGGTAAGTGCCAAAAAGGTACGATTAGGTGGAATTATCATCCTACTGTCTCATGTCCCATGTATGCTCCCATATATGCTTCGGTCTTCCACACACCATTTTTATTATCTGCCATCTAAAACTACAACTAAGAGTCACTGAAATTAAGAAGACAGACGACAGGCAAGATGGTTGAATTATACGCAGCTTTTACGGTACTGTCTATGGACAATGGCACTAGAGACGCAGTTATTATCACTTTAGCAGGAATTCTTTCGCACCTCGTCTGGTATGTGGTGAAGCACAGCTGGAAGGCGTGCTTTGGGAATTCAGAAACTCAGAATCCGAATTCTGATGTTAGGAACTCGAAGACCGATAATGGTGAGCGAGAGTCTGAAGCGACAGCGTCGAAGCTTAAGCATAGTGAGCCTTCAAAGGCAGTTCCGAACACTAGCCCCCGAGAGAAACTCCACAGCGCACTGCGTGAGTTTATTAACGGGCGCCCTGAACTGGAACGGTCAGAGCTGCGTATTGTGGGACAAGAGAACAAGCGGCAATTAGAGGAGCTTCTCAAGGAAAGAGATGATGCTCTTAAGCAACGAGATCAGTATTCGAAGAATTGCGATGATGCTTGCAAGGACCGAGATGATGCTCGCAAGCAACGGGATGAGGATTATAGGGACCGGGACAGTGCTCTTCAGCAACTAGATGGGGCACATAAAATACAAGATGACCTCCGCGAGTCGAAACTTGAAGCTGCCGAGAATTATAAGGCAATGAGCGATAATCTCTGGGATAAAACCGAAAGGAAGATTTACCAAAGTAAACAACGATACGACGAGCGACTTCGAAAAGCCATGGACCAGACTGCAGCTATAAAGGCAGCCTCGTTAGAAGGGAAGTGCGCGAATTGCAGTGGTATCCGCATAGGAGATAGATCTATAACAACAGGAGGTAGTTACTTAACAGCTGCTCTCTACAAGGTGATGAATACAGCCGAGATTGGCCAGGATGAGGAAGTATATGAGAATTTACAGCAGCTTAGGGATAAAGCGAGGCAAGAAATAGGCGTTGTGGTTGACAGATCTTATGGGCTGTATAGCTTGATGTTAACGTTAGACGGTAATGTCGAACGAAATAACACTCTAGGGGTTAAAGGCTTTCAAGGCCTCACAGAGTTCACAGATTATATAGGTGCAGCACTTGATCATTTAGTAGAAAGGTAGGAGGATGAGCGACGGGCAGGCGAATAAAGAGGGCTTTTCGTGTATGTAAGGATGAACAACTTGTTACTAGCTATTTATATTATTTTAATTGCATTTACTCTTATTACTCTAATTATGTACAGTAACTATTAAGGCTTTAGGGCCGCACGAGTACTACGTTCTAGAATTAGCTTCTTAGCCGGGACGCTGAGCGGAAGGAAACCGTGGACAGGATGGAGGTGACTGGCCTTCCACTATGTCGAAGCCCATTTTAGTAATTTGCGGACGAACCAGTAGCTCCATGGCTAGAGATGTCCATCGTACGAGTAGGTTAGATTCTCATTAGTGCCGTTTCCTATATATTCATCCCCTCTCCCACCACTTCCCTTGCCCTGCATCTAAAACTACACAACCAGCCACAGCCTTTACAAAAATACAAGACACAATAATTATCACCTTAGTAGCAGTTTTTGCTTAATTACTCTGTTATAAACATGGCAAAACGCAACTGGAGAGCGTACTTTAGACGCCAAGAGGAGACAGCAGCGCTTCTAGAGCAACCTTATACAGATGACGAGCAACTACCCAGATACTCAGAAATCCAGAATCAAGAGAATGCCTATGGGACTATGGACCAGTCTCCTAGTAACGTAGAGAAGTCGAAGGCCGATCAAAGGACCGAGGCCGAGACGTGGGAGGTTGACGAAAGGACTGAGGCCGAAAAGTGGGAGGTTGACATAATTGAGAAGTGGAACTCCGAGACCGAAGCTGAGAAGAAAGAAAGCCGACGATTGTACAGAGGTGCCAAAAATCGACTTAGCTCCGCATCAAACGAGTCTCTAGAGAAACTTATGAAGTCAGACCTTATAGAGCTTCTTGACATAGTACGAGAAGAGGCTTTGGAGCCCCCGAGGCCAAGTCTCGCGGAGGAACTCGACATAGTACGGGGTAAATCCTTTACTACCCCGTCTGTTAAGGCACAGAATATGCCCTTTGAGAAACTTTCCAAACTGGGCCTTATGGAGTTGCTTCGCGTAGCACGAGCCACTCCTTTCTATAGGATCCCTAAATCAGTGTTTGTGAAGGTTCCCAACTCGGATCTCGTGGACCTACTTCGCGAGGCACGAAAGGAGGACTTGAAGAAGTATAAGGTAGCCGATTCTAGGGATCAAGTCTCACGTCATGTGGAAAGAGAGAAGGCTAATAACGTGCACGAGGCTAAACTACAAGAGGACGATCAAGTTTGCAAGCCTGAAGATACGTTTCATAAGCTGCCTTCTCAGACTTCTAAGACAGAACTCGAGTTAAAGGGACTCAAGGAGATGCCTGGCAAGATAGAACTCGAGTCTGATGATTGGCTTGATAAAGTTGAAGGGCAGGTGGAAACAACGACGACAAACTTCGTTGAGGGGGGAGCCAAAACTAAGAAGGGAACGATGGACCAGCATACTAAAACCGAGAAGTCTGGAATATACGATACGAAGGAGAGCTTCCTTGATACACGCGCCTTAAAGGACAAGGTACGTCTTAATATAAATCTCGTGTACCAAGCGAGGTGCGAGACAGACGAGAACCTCGAGAAACTTAAAAAGTCGGACCTCGTAGAAATTGTTGATATAGCACGAGACGATGTTTTCAAGCCCTACGAGCCACCCAACCTTGAGAAGTTGCTCGATATAGCACGGAGAGAATCTTTCATGAGGCTTCCTGTACCACCCATCGAACTTTCACAATGCGTACCTCTTAGTATGCCTATTGAAGAGCTTTCCCAATTAGACCAAACAGAGCTGCTTCGCATAGCACGGATCATGCCTTATCAAAAGATCCCTAAGTCGGAGTTTATGAGGCTTTCGAACATAGATCTTGTGTGCCTATTTCGCGAGGCACAAAAAGAGCACGATAAAAGGTATAGCCAACCAGACGGAGAGCAACCAACCCGATCTAAAGAACAAAAGATGCCTCACGAGGAGCCTGATGAAGCCAAATTACAAAAGGATGACCAGCTTTACAAGATGGGAAAATGCGTAGGCTGCGGGAATATCACCCCAGAAAGTGATAGTGACACATGCAGTTCTACAGACTCAGACTCAACTACGAAACGTAACACCCAAGTCGACAACAAAAATGAGCCTCTCAGAAAGGCTAGGATCAATGCAAGACGAAAGACAGAAACTGCGATTGAAAAAACCCGTGAGCTACACCATTTGTTAGTCCGGTTGGAAACGGAAATGGAGCAGCGGAATAAGACTTTCGAGATTAAGGACTTCGACGGTGTTAAGGTGAAGGCGGTAGAGGTAGGCCGAGATCTTGACGATTCAATTTTGAGGATGGAAGAGATGCTCGCGTTATTGTAGGGCCGATTGTTACTTGCTTTGTGGTGGAGCGCATGTTGTTAGTATTGACTTTGCGAGACAATGGGTAAGGGCAACATCAGTGCAATGCGGGCTCAGTCCTGTATGTACCACGTTAGTTTATTATGGGTACTTTTATTTTGTGAGAGGTTATCGTTAGGTTATTCGTTATAATGCTAGGTTGCAATTGACAGTTTATAGCTATCAACAGAGTCACATATGCGGCATGGTTTGTGACAGGTGCATATACCATGTGAGTTCACTAGGTGTTCGTATATTTCACGAGAATATATCATTCAAACTCGTCATAATAATGACTAGATCGCATTCAGGGCTAGTAGCAGAGCAATATAATCACGCCCCCCAACACCCAAGCCAGCAGACAACCCACCCAGTCATACATCATAGCCAACCCCCTTTCAGGGTCAAACAAGCAAATGGGTATCGCTATTCTCCGGTCCAAAAAAAACGCCTCTCAAATCTCTCTCCTCACTTCCTGATAATCTTCAGCAACGGCGCAATGCGATTCCTCTTACTCAGTCCAACCCTATACGGCACCTTCCCACTCTGCAGAGGACTATGCGGAGTGCATGGCTTGCTCGGTGTCTGCATCTCCTTCGTTGGTTTCGGCGGTGGAGTTGACTGGGGCGGCGCAAGAATAGTGGGTTTCGTGGGACGGTTGCGACTTGGTGCATGGTCCGTGTCGGCATCACCAGAATCTTCATCTTCTTCCTCATCGCTCCCTGCTATTTCCGTCGATTTAGATTTAGATTTCTGTGCTTTTTTACCCGCAGGCTTTTGAGTGGCTTCAATTTCCTTCGATTTAGATTGGGCTTTCTGTGCTGTCTTGCCCACAGGCTTTTGAGTGGCTTCAATCTCATCGTCGTCCATGTCTGAATCTTCGATTATTGGCGCCGATTTCTCCACAGGAGTCTTTGAATGTCGTCCCCGGCGCTTATGGGACACAACCTTTTCAACCTCAATAACTTCATCGGGTGACTCTGCTGCAGACTTGGGCGTATCGGGGAGGGCATGTGCTGCTTTGCTCCTCTTTTCTGGTCTTTCAGCTTCCTCCGCCTGGGTCTGTGCTGATTCGTCCGAAGGGCCGATCTCATCAGCCGAAGGCTCATCCACGATCTCCTTCGTCTTAGTAATTTTCCTCCTCTTTCTCTTCATAGGCAGCCCCTTGGCAAACTCTTCATTTGCAATAATGTCTGCTTTGGCGCTCAAGGTCTTCGATCTCCTGGCACTGAGACGCGGTTGGTACATTTCCGTTACCTGGCCAAAATCCTGCGAGCTTTGAAGATCTGCATCGTTCGCTTTCTGCTTTGAGGGCGGATTGACGGAGGTCGTAATGTCAACAGTTTTAATTTCCTGGTCATTCAGAGACTCAATCGACACGGTATGAGCGGCACGAATGGGCGAAATTTGGTGTCGCGGCTGCGAAAGCGCGAGTTCATCGACAGAAACTTCCCTATCGGAATAGCCCATAGACTTGTGACGAGATAGTTTCTGCTGATTCGGCTTACTTGCCGAGGATGAAAGCCCAGTCTTTGACCTCTTGACCTTTCGACCCGAATTGACGACAGGAGATGATGAAAGTGGAAAGGTTACTCCTGTTGAGTCTATAGCGGAAGAAACGGCCGAACGGTCTGGACGAGGAGTATCGTTTGGAACGGTGCTGGATGCATCTGTGAGTTTTAATGCTCTGGCTGGTTCCATCATATCCGGCAATGAGTAGATGTGATTGTTATCGCTTGAGGCCGCACCATAGTGCATGTACTCCTTATTTTGGCTGCTTGTTAACATATTTGCCATAACCATCGTGGTAAGTCCTCTATCAAATGAAGGTAACTCGGAAGACTCATGTCCAGGATTATTGTCTGGGATGATAAAGACATCCTGTGAAGTATCCCGAGGGCTGTTTGGAACAGTTTCTGTTGGCGTTTTGTGTGCCATGAGATCTGAACCCACCTTGTCGAAATTTGTTGCTTTCACGATTGAGACTTGCTCGGTGGAGCCTTCACTGATGCCGACTTCATTTGAAACATATTGTGATAAGGACGTTGGCAAGGCGCTAAGCCGTGGAAGCTGTGGCTCCTCAACTACGGCGACGCTCGCATTGTAGAGAGACTCGTCGTTGGCAGGCTGGGCTCGTTTATTCCGCTTAGGTTTTGGTAGCATGGGAAATAGTTCTCCTTCAACCCCTTGCCTAGTTTTCCTCTTTTTGTTTTCGATGACCGTTTCGCTGTCATCCTTTGTTCTTCGTCGTGGCTCCACGTATGGCGACGAACTCGGCACTTGGTCGCCCATTGTCTTCGTCCTCCTCGACTTTCCATAAGTTATTAACCCACTACCCCCGGACTCTGTGCCCATATCATTTATTTCCGAGGGCCTAGCGGAGGGAATGCTCCCCAGGAGCTCCAACTCGTCTGTTCTTTCAGCCATTGTTTTCTCAAGCCGCGTATTCCTCAGAATTGCAGCTGAAGTACCCGGAGCACTGCTGCCTGGGAAGTCCCACTCATCTCTTTCTCTTTCTTCTCCGCCTCTGTTCTCATGTCGAAGCTCTTTGGATTGGTCGGGGCTTGTAACCTGTGTCGTCCCTTCCCATGCCTTCATACTTTTCGAGCGCTTTGCCTTCTTATTGGAGGTAGTCGGCTCCGAAATAGAGGTAAACGATGAGCCATGCATCGTATTGCTCCGTTTGAGTTTTTTGACGCTTTCTTGGGATATTGAAGAAGACATTCTCTGGTTTATGATCCGTTCGTCCAGCCCTGGCGGACGTGGGGAGAGTTGTGGTGCCGACTCGTTTGTAGATGTGATGTCAAGAGCACCGCAATAATCACTGCGGATTCGTTCAAAGAGTACAGAATCTGTATAGATTGTCAGCGGCACTGCGTACTGGTACCACGGGGTATTGGAGGCAAACCTGTCGAGCCTGTTCCTAGCCGTAGCGCTGGCTCCAAAACTGATGGTGGGGTGGCTTCTGTTATAGTGCCATTGGGGATGGCGACTGGGGCGACTGGCCTGTCTTTTTGAGGGGAACTCTCGGCACTTATTGACGAGCAATCATCGTCTGAGTCGGCAATGACCCGACGCGATTCCATCGTATTTCATTAGAATGTATGTTTATGTGCACAATGAGTTATGCGACAGACGCGTCAATGCAAGGGCGGTACGCGTGGTCACATGATGTGAATATTAATTTGTGGAAGGACGGACGCACGGACTTATAAATTATACACCTACTCCCAAAAGTTAGATAGATGACGGACAAAGTATACCTTTAGATTTATATCAGCAATTTAAACTCATAGAAAATATCACTTTGATTCCACTTGTGAGTACTGAGTGATTGGACGCCTTTACTTCAACTATAGTTGCTATAGACACTACTCCTATGTATAGGCCCTCTTCAGGCCTTCGGCCTTGGAAGTTTCTCACAATTCTCGATATCACATCCTCTCACTGAATGAAAATTATTTTCAGTTCAGACTGCGGACAGGGCTTTATAGAGAGTAATTTCGGATTCCTGGGCTGTATGCGATGTACTGGTGGGCTGCTTCCTTCCCTTTCCCAACAATACTGTCCTTGGGAAGCTGTAATCTCATGGATACATCTTGCCCCTCTCCAACGTCATCTTATTGGGACTCCTGTAGATCCACTTGGCCGGCAACAGTTTGCTCCTCCCTTATTCGGCTGCACCGAGCCATCCTCCTCTTATCTTTTACTGACCCTGATTGCACAGCTCTCCCAACTCGGAGAACTGTAGGAACAGAAGTCCGATGTGGAGATATTTGAGAGCTGTTTTGCCCAAGGCAGTCGTCGAAATCTGTCTGCGTCGAAGCATCCTCTTGGTTATTATTCGATCGCCTTGGAGGAACCTCTGCTGAAACTGCAACACTAGGCGTTGGCAGACAGCCTGTGATTGCTGTTGAACCAAGTCTGACGCCCCAAGCAAGTGTCGATCTCGCTGGCCGAGATGCAGGATCCGTATCAAGTCCAGGAATGACTCCGGCACCCGAGACAGGATTTAACCAGTCATTATCGTTTTGTCTGTCCGTGGTATTCGCTTCCGTGGTTTCATCCGCTGGAAGATACAGACAGCAAATGACGCGGACAATATCTCTCACGCTGATTCTCATGTTTGAACTGGGTCAGTACGTTGAAGATGGAAGACTTTGGTCGAGTGCACTCAATGAGCTCAATGCCGAATAGCAAGCGAGTTGTTTCAGGCACTTCATTTTTCCGTCACCTCTTGCCTCCGACTCGGGGATGCCTGGCCATCAGTCTCCAAGCACGATACATTGATTGATACGCTTGCACTTGCAAACCTGAGTTAACAGGCGCTGTTCTGCCATGATAATCGCCAGTCCCCAGGCAGGATGCATTGCTGGACAGACGCTTCAATAACAACCAGTCTGCAGACAAGCAAACATTGTTGCTGTGTCTGCTGCTCTGGACTTCGTTTAACAGCGCTATCGTTTGAATATCGTTGGTGGAATCACATCTCGACAATGCTCCTTTGTCCGTCCAAACAAAGTAAACTGCGCCGCTAATCGCCAATCCCAATGACATAAAGGATAGTGTCTCTCACTGACACATCGGATCAATGGACCTATATGTTCTCTTTCAATGCGTCACAAAGCACTCAATGAGTGGCATTGGATCATTGGATCCATTGGAGTCACGAAGCGCTGCATATTCATTGTGCTAAATTGATAACAAGGTCCTGAAACAATGAATTCAAAACAGGTGGCGAGATGATGAGAGGTGAAAGAACGCGTTTGTAGATATAAGGTCGACCTTTCTCCCGAAAAAACAACCCCACAGGCATCAAGCCAGCCCTCACAGATATTAACAGAAAAGGGCAGAGAGAGAAGTGAAGAACTCCTTACTATTGTGTTTTGCTAACAGTTCCACAGACTTACCCAGATACCTCTGCGAGGAGAAGAACAGATCGGAGTGAGATATGACGTTGGCTTTAGCACTCGCCTGTGAGTTTCCACCCACTGTGACCCATATGCTGACGGAATACAGGGAGTACTACAAAGTGCACTTGCATCCAAATACAGACCCGGAGGGAACAGTCACCCATCTCTGAGTTGCCACCAAAAGCAAATTGGGATCTAAAATTACTCTATCCGGTCAGTGCCCCCCCCTCGCTTGAAAGCTAACACATGGCAGACATTGGCAATAATAAACCCTGCGGGACGCTAGGGGATCGGTGGATCTCTGTCGCCCCTCAAGCAGGGTCCAGCTAACTTCCCAATTGACGGATGCAAGGGCCATGTAAGTCTGTAATCCCCATCTGCAAACAGAACGTTGACGCAGCAATAGGTTTTTACTTACGGATTCTCACATGATTACATCCTGCCTGGACTTGCGGTTTTCCAGGCGGGTCATGAAGAGAAAGGGAAGCCTGCGCATTCTGCCAATTGGAGAATGATGAAGGGCAAAGGGGGCTGTTGCCGAGAGGCTTGGTTCTTGTGTGGTTTGGAGTTTGGTGCTCAGAGGCTATTTCTTTATTGACGGCAACTCTTGTTCTGGGCTTGGGCATGAGCGGCCTTTCTTTTTCTTGGGGAGGACAGTGCCCAGGTGCCCAAGGTGCCCAGAGCTATTTTCTTTAGTAAAGGCAGGAATGGTCTGGGGCTCGGACATGAGCAGCCTTTCTTTTCTCATTGACGAGATAGGTTGGTTCTCTTTCATCAGAAACCGGATACAAATAGAAATATACTCAATCTTCACAGGGAATAAAGGACAATCCGCATTTCAACTGTCTGTCTTTGAAAGAATCTCCCACTCGTGATTCGCTTGTTTTGACGCGTCGTTCCGTGCTAGAATATACCCCGGAAAATCTAAAACATTAGCACATGGCCCCTGGTGCCTGTAACACGTGTACTAACGCGAATTTTGGCTCGTTGCTAGGCGTTGCTAGGCGTTTTGACAATCCGTTGCTAGGCCACTTCGAGACGTGATAAGGGTTGCCAATTTTGGAATCGCAAAAAGAGACGAAACGATCCAGGCCAAGCTAGACTCTCCCCTTGAAACACTTTCTTCGAATTAGCCCCCTGTACATTGTAAACAATAAATACTGTTTGATCTCCTCCTTCTTTGCCCTCACTGCGGTGGATAAATATTATAGTTGATATATTAACCGCGGTTATAGCCACTAAGGAAGTCGCGTCCCAAAAGAATAACACGTCTCCCCCCCCATCCCACAAACAACCCACCACTGTTTCTCCCATTCCGTCAAAGAAGAAAGCGATCACCACTCTGTCTCTGCTCGACGCGACTCTTCCAATTACATCGCGTAACCAACGGGATACTCTTTCTCTTCTGAGGTCCTTTCCACACCGCGGACAAGATGGCGCTTCAAGCTGCCTACCAGCAGTACTTGGCGACGCCAAACTCCAGCTTTCTGGCTGAGAATGCCTCGCTCCACTACATTACGACGCTCACGACCTTCCATGGCCCAGCCGAGATCATCAAGCATTTGAACACTCAATCGAAAAAGATCAAGAAGAAGTCTGAGAAGATCATCGACGTTGTTGATGGATCAAGCTCTCTGGCTGTTGAGACCGAGTTGACGCTTGAATTCCTCACGGGAGGAGGAGGATACCTTCCCGGGATTGACGACAACTTCCTCGCCGATCGCGAGGTCACATTTCTAGTTGTATGTTGCTCAATTGGTTCCACTTGGGGTTGTATGTGCGCTAATGACTTGGCTGTTTAGATTCACATTGTCTCCTTCGATGCGAACGGCAAAATCACCCAAATCCGACTGAACTGGGACCAGGGCTCGCTCCTGAAGTTGATCGATGTGATTGGAAAGACTGGACGAAACTGGCCTATACGCGATGGAAAGGACCAGGTCAAGCTTATCCAATCCAGCGTCGTTGCAGCCGCGAAGCCTGCTGCGCCATCAGCTGCTCCATATCAGAAAGAGGGCGAAGTCCTCCGCAGGTCCCGCGAAAACTCAACGAACGTTACTCGCGACCCGCATTCTTCATTATCCCTATTCGCGCCCCGTGAGGCGGACGAGGAGCCAGAGCTATTGCCAACAGTGATTGCCCCACGCGCATCAGCGAAGCCCCCGCCACGCGACTACCATGATCTATTTGTTGGTCAAGACTCAGAGAATTCGAGTGCGCCAGCGAATGAGAATCGCTCAGAGTCTCCATTCAAGCACTCGGCTGTAGGCGCCATTGCGCCCAAAGCCGGGGCCGGAAAGAACTACATGCCATCAAGAATCTTCGACAATGGTGATGACGAGGAGGAGGATAACTCAGCTGCATCGAGGAATAGCCGCCCGGAATCCCACAGGCACTCTGCTATCGGCGCCATTGCCCCTAAGATTGGAGCGGGAAAGAACTACCACCCTTCGAGAATCTTTGAGACCGATGAGAATACTCCTATCAAGCAATCGACCGGACACAAGTCTACCATCAGCCTTACCAAACCGAACCCCACGAAATATAATCACTTTGACATTGGTTCGGGAATTGCATCTGGCGATACCACAACCGCAGCAAAACCAAATGAGACCCAACAGGCCAAGAGCAGGCACGGATCATCATGGGGTTTTGATGACTTCAATACACCTGCAAAGTCCGTGCCAACAAAGGGGCTCGCAATCCGGGCGCAAGATGCCGTGCAGTGGGGCAACGAAGACGATGAGGTTCCAGACTCCCCAATCCGCAAGCCAAAGCAGGATCAGCCACGCAAAGATGCGGAGACCCACTTCGAGTTCCAGGATGACGGAATCCCAGAGGGTCAGCCTAGACTGATCGGTCGTCCTCGTGGGGCAGGCTCCAACAACGGCCTAGGCCTGTATAAGAACAACTTGTTCACTGAGGATGGCGCATCGCCGGAAGTCACCAACCAGCGCGGAGTCGGAAACTTGGCCAACGTGAAGGATCGCAGCAAGGACTTCGACCCGCACTTCACCATGACTGACGAAAACACACCAATAAAGCCACAGGCCCAACGTCCTCTCGGTAACATTGCGAACGTTAAGGACCGCCACAAGGACTTCGATCCTCATTTCGCGATGACCGATGACTCTCCTGTCCCCAAGGTCTCTGCGGCTAACCAGAAGGAGAACATCCCCATCTCCAAGCCTAGCACGCTGAACGAGGAGATCACGCCTTTGGGCTCGCGCGGTGGTCAACAGAAGCAAAAGGGCATTGTCATCGGCGGTGACGGAATGGGCGGCAAGAAGGGCGCAGGCCGCAGCTGGGGTTTCGGTGATGACTCGGATGGCGAGCAGGAGGGAGGCATTAACGGCGCCGGCACCGCATTCAGCAAGGGCGTTGCGCCGAAGAAGGCCGGCTCGGCAGCACAGACTGGAGGCGGCGACTTCTGGGACTTTTAAGCAGCTGGGTGGTGATGCGGGTGTTTAGCGGTATATCAGGGGGCTGTAGGAAGGAGCACGAGACGGAGATTATGATATTTTATGAGCCTACGGCTGCTTTGTTTTTTCTTTTGTGGCTATGATATGGTTGGGTGGGTTGGCACGGTGTTCCCGATGCCACTGCGTTTAGTACGGTGGAGACGAAGTGAAGGGGGTTATGGGAATGCTGTGTATGAGACTCGCTTCAGATTGTTCTCTTCGTGTGTGTGCTCGTTGTTCGATTCGTTGTTTGGCCTCTCGGGGCATTGATGGGAACATTGTCTGAGGACGTTTGGCAAGGGGAGCCGATCTGTGTGTCGATAGAGTAGTAAAAAATTGAGATTATTGAGAATGAATCTTTTGAGAGTTTACGCCGCCCAAAAGATTGAAGAGTGACTATTCGCAATAGCACGTGCACAGCAACTATAAGAACATCAATCCTCTCAATCACTCAGACTATATTGTCCAAGTTGGTTACTCGGAATAATTTATATCGACTCGGGTTTGGCATGGCTTTTGGGCATCATCAGTATTGTACTACCATAAGCTGAGCCGCTGCTGATAGGCAGACAATGTGACCGCACGCACGGTGGCGCTATTGTGTTTTAATGGTATCACAGATGTGCAAAGAGTTCTCGGGTGCTTGGTTGTAGATTCTATTCTGTGTATTCTTTTCTCTTCTTACAAGCTCCTAGTGTACCATATCGTACAAAACGCTATCATACAGCGACCACCCAAACGCCATCAAAATTCCCATGTATACACCATCTATTTATTCTTACTCTGCTTATACGTAAACCGCTTCCTCGTCCTATAGCCACAGTTAGTCGAGATCTTCAGTTCACTCGGTCCTATCTCAGCGTCTTCGTCCAGCTGCTCATATCCAGCCCAACCATCTGCATGCGCCACTGCCATTCCACTGAAGTAAGAGAAAACTTACGTGCTGAATTCGCCCAGCTTATGTCCCACCATATCCTCCGTGATCGTGACATCGTGGTACACCTTTCCATTATGCACCTGGAACTTCAGCCCCACGAAGTTCGGCAGGATCGTCGCCGAGCGCTGCTGCGTCCTGATGGGGACGACCTTCTCTCCCTGTCCATAGCGCACGATTGGAAGCCTGGATTGTTAGTCTTGGTCTGCGTTGGAGATGCGTGGGATCGGTCGCTGTGAGAGGCTTACGGGACGATGTGTGGTCCTGCGAGCGAGCGAGTTAGTGAGGGTTCAATTGGGGTGGATGTATGGAATGACGAAGGGCATACCTTTCCAGACTGACCGCGCCAGTAGAACTCGTGTCGGGAGCATGGTTGCGAGTGGTGATTGACTCGTGAGTTGGATGTCGTCGTCGCAAAGGAGCTGTCTCGCGATAAATTTCGGAAGGGGTGGAAAGGTTGACAGGGATTATCTGCGCTAGTGTTCGGAGGTCGCGTTTCCCCAGATTTAGACGCTCCAGGCAGAGAGAGAGCCTGAGAATTTATATAGCTTTTATACATTTCGTCTCCGAATTCCTCCAACAAATAGTATTGAGAACTGTGCTGGTGTGGAATTTAAAGAGTTTTTTTGCCCATGGAGATTTGAAGCAAAATTTGCGCAGACGTGGGCATTGAGTGCCTGCGACTAGGCAGGCGGCAGGATGTCTGAACTTGGAGGTAATACTCCTCCTTTGCTCCGTAGATTCCAGTGAACAAACCTAACATCATGGCAGACGCCGATACTATACGAATCCTAGTTGCAACAGACAGCCATGTTGGCTACGAGGAAAGAGATCCGATCCGCAAGGACGACAGCTGGAAGAGCTTCCATGAAGTTCTGACCCTTGCGAAGACACAAGATGTTGGCACCACCTTCGGTCACAGAGAGTCATAAGCTGATAAGTGCAGGTCGACATGGTTCTCCTGGCGGGCGATCTTTTCCACGATAACAAGCCCTCCAGAAAGGCTATGTACCAAGTCATGCGCTCTCTTCGGATGACCTGCCTGGGCGATAAACCATGTGAGCTCGAGATGCTGAGCGATGCAAACGAAGTCTTTGATGGGGCATTTAACCACGTCAACTACGAAGATCCCGATATCAATGTCGCCATACCAGTCTTTTCTATACATGGAAACCACGATGATCCGTCCGGAGATGGACACTTTTGCTCGCTCGATCTTCTGCAAGTCTCAGGGCTTCTGAACTACTTTGGGAGGACGCCGGAGTCGGATAATATTGCTATAAAACCGGTTCTACTGCAAAAAGGACAAACAAAACTGGCATTATATGGCATGAGCAATGTCAGAGATGAGCGGCTGTTCAGAACTTTCAGGGACGGGAAAGTGACGTTCTTTAAGCCTGGAGTGCAACAGGATGATTGGTTTAACATCATGGCCGTCCACCAAAACCACCATGCTCACAGCGAGACGGGATATCTGCCGGAAAACTTCTTGCCCGAATTTATGGACCTGGTCGTTTGGGGACATGAGCACGAGTGCCTCATTGATCCAAAGTATAACCCTGAAACCTCATTCCATGTCATGCAGCCCGGTTCGTCAGTTGCTACGTCCCTGGTTCCAGGAGAAGCTGTACCAAAACATGTGGCAATCTTGAACGTAACTGGCCGAGAATTTACCGTCGAAAAGCACCGTATCAAAACAGTACGGCCGTTCATTACGAAAGAGATCGTTCTCGCTGATGACAGGCGTTTCAAAGGCCTGGACAAGAAGAAGGAAAATAAGCAGGAGCTCACGCGGCGACTGATGGAGGTTGTCGAAGACCTAATTGAAGAGGCAAAACGTGACTGGCTGGAAATCCAAGACGCGGACAGCGACGAGCCAATCGAGGTTCCCCTTCCTCTCGTGCGCCTCAAAGTCGAATACACGGCCCCCGAGGGCGGACGTTACGATTGCGAAAACCCACAGCGCTTTTCCAACCGTTTTGTTGGCAAGGTTGCCAACGTAAATGATGTTATCCAGTTCTGGCGGCGCAAGAGCAGAGGTGGCGCGAACAGCAAGAAGGATGGCGCGGCCGACATGCCTGAGGAGTCCGTCATAGCCAATCTGTCCATCGATAATGTCAAGGTCAGCAAGCTCGTTCGAGAGTTTCTCAACGCGCAGAGCCTCAAGATCCTTCCTCAGGCGCCTTTCGGCGATGCCGTCAGCCAGTTCGTGGACAAGGACGATAAGCATGCCATGCAAGTCTTTGTGGATCAGTCTCTCGAGGGGCAGGTGCAGACACTGCTCTCCCTCGAAGACGACGAAGAAGACCTTGACTCCGCTATGGCACGCTACGCTGCCCAGATTGACAAGCAGTTCCACGAAGGGACGCTTGCGCGTCGCGGCCGCTCATCCAGGAAACTCAAGCCGAGGCCGGTCAACTGGGATTCGGATATGGACGGCGAGTGGGAGGACCAGCCTGGCGCCTGGGAGAAGGATGATGAGGACGATACCCCTGCGCCTGCCCCAGCTGCAGCGGCGAGGCGGAGAGGAAGGGTCGCGAGCCCAATTGTGGAGGATGACGATGATCCATTTAATACCCCAGCCCCTGCGCCTGCTCCCGCAAAGCGAGCCCCAGCTAAGCGCGCCGCGCCTGCTGCTCGTAAACCTGCAGCGCCAAAGAAGACGCCTGCGCCGAAGAAGGCACCTGCGAAGTCGAAGGTCAACACAGGGATGTTCGTTGACGATGATGACGATGAAGATATAGTAATGCTCGACGAGGCGCCAGTTCCGAAAAGTCAACCAAAGAGGGCTGCTTCGACGAGAGCTAAACCCTCGACGCAGTCACAGCTGAATTTCAGCCAAATGGGAAGCCAGGTTGGTGGGAGGGGAAAGGGGAAGGCAAAGGCAGAGTTGAGTGATGATGAGATTAGCGATGATGATGATGCTTTCGAGCCGGTTGCTAGCACGCGGTCGTCAAGGCGGAGATAGAGACGACTTAACGAATTTATGGGGGGCGTTTTTTAGTGGGATCAGGGAAGCTGATAGGAAATCTGGCTACGTAGGCGTCGATAGGGCTCATTAGATCACATACCAATCAATACCCGAATTTTATTCGATGTCCTATATTTTTATGGCACTACTGAGTTACTCTGCTCTCTAGGTCTCATTATAACACCTAAAGACCGAACATTCATTGTCAGGGCCTAATCCGACGACTTCCTGCGATAGAACCTATCGGGCGCGGAGTCACTAATTGTTACCCCTAAGGCTTGTCTTCAAAGGAACCGGTTTTCCGTCCACATCACGAGGTTCAAAATCCAGCGCCATGTATCCAAACTCCGCAACGTCCTGACCGCACTTCTCAGTGACCCAGTGCGCAAACATATCCATCCCAGCAACTGCCCCGCCTGCCGTCCAGAATTTCCCGTCCACAACCCACTGCTTCGATGACCAGTTAACGTCCGGCTTCAGCTCCTTGGCCTTTGCCAGATACTGATGATTCATTGTCGCCGTTCGGCCATCGAGAATACCAACCGTGGCGGCAACCATTCCACCAGTGCATGTTGTGAACAGGCCCTGGAGTCCATCTACTCGTTCTCGAATGAAGTTTGCAAAGACGTCCGGTACGTTAAGGAAGAATTCGGGATGCGGTCCGCCAATGAGGAGGTAATCGAGCTTGGGACATGTCGCGCAGGTGGTGGTTGGCTTAATTGTACAATTTGCCGTTCCAGCTAGCCCATCCATAGTGTCCCCGATATAATGGAATTCAATATCAAGGCCACGGTCGGCGAATTCCAGTGTCTCCCCAATGGCCTCTCCGCTTCCCTTGAGGTAGGGGATTGAGGAAGATGAGAGAATATCGACTGGTCCAATGACGTCTAGAATCTGGAAAGGAATCAAAAGAATCCCGAATTGGATGGGCGCCATTTTGGATAAATCGGAATCGAAAGTGTTAATCGTAAGAATGGGGTTTCTTCGTCAACGAAGTGATTATAGAGTAGGATATGGCATGATAAATTGTGAGTTCTTATAGGAATGTGAGCGCGGGTCCCACGGAAGGTCTCTGATACTGCAAGTGATAAATCGCGGAACCCAGATCGCGGATCGCGGAGGAATCTCACTGCCAAATCGCGGGGTCGCGGGTTGTGGGTCGAGCGCCACAGCCGGCGCGGAAGAAACTCAACTTCTCTAGCTTATTGATAGGCTATAATACGAAAATTATAGCCCTGGGTGATCGAGAGCCTTCATTTTAGTCATAGTTACTATAATCGCTGGCGGTCATCACCGTCCCTGCTCCGACCTTCGGCACGTGGAGGTTTAATAGAAAGCATGTACACCAATGCCAACAAGATATCAAGTAGTCGTGATCCCCAAAACCATATATATATATTTAGGTTCTAACGGATACACTGAGATTATTAAGTTATGTGGCCCAGTGTAGTTATCTTTAGGCCCAATCTATGCCCGCCGTGGTGCGTCGGGCCTTAGCAGCGTCATAGAGATTCTGAATATCCGTCTTCCACTGCTTGACGTCTGTCCTAAGGATTCTACGATCATATGTCAAGAGCCCATTAACCTCGCCTTCAACATCAGTAGTCTGCGTCCATACTCCACCGTTGCATGAAAACATCTTGGTCTGATCCAGAAGCTCGCTGAGAAGGAGATGGCTACGGTAATTCCAAGCCTCAAGCGACTCGTTGATCTCGTAGGTTTGGTTGATGGCATTGATCGCATTTTGGTCATTCCAGAGACTAGAGAGGAGAGTACCGTTAGAAGCTGCAGGAATTACCTGATGGGTAAACTTACTGGTCGATTGTAGTGTTCAGTCCAACTCCTCCAAATTCTCCCTGGAAACCGATCCGGGTGGGGTCAAATGGGGTGGATGCAATGGAATAGAAAGGAGTGCCGCACTGGGGATTGGCGTAGTGGTGGTTGTCCTGATCGATCCCGTTAGTAACAAACAAATCCAATACGTTGCTATTCTACTCACGCTGAAGTCTCCAGCCCCATGGTCGTGCCATCCACTGGTGGCGTCAATCAGTCGTGTTGGGTCGAGCGACCTGACAAGATCGGTGAGGCCATATTCAGGATACCCATCGATCAACTGGCCCCAGCCTTCGTTATAAATAACCTAAGAATATCTCAGTAATGGTCGGGGAGAAGGATTGACTGGTGTTGTACTCACCCATGTTACAATACTTGGGTAGCTCTTGTGGTGATTGATCAAAATCTCAAGCTGACGAGTGAACTCTTCTTGCTGCTCTGCATTTGGTTGCCTCGTGCCGAGAGATGGCATGTCTTGAATGAGCATAATGCCCATTTGGTCACAGGCTTGATAGAACAAGTCAGATTCGACTTTGATCTTTCAGGGCGAATACAGTTAGCTTCTTGGCTCGTTATTTGGATAGTAATTGCTTACATGTTTTCGGAGCATGTTGAAACCGAGACTCTTCAGGGTTTCCAGATCAAATACCATCGCCTCTCTGTTTGGAGGGGTGTATAATCCATCGGGCCAATAACCTTGGTCTAAGGTTCCAAACATGAAAATAGATTCTCCGTTCAGAATGGGTCGAACGACTCCGTTAACTTCACCTTTGGCAATAGTCCTGAATCCAGTATAGCTAGTAATTTTATCCTTGCCCATTTTGACGGCGACGTTGTAAAGAGTCGGGGAGTCAGGGGACCACAGCTTGGGCGAGGAGACGGTAAACTGGAATGGAGAATCTGAGAAACCTTTGTAAGAGGCTACCTGTTTATTTGTCTTACTGTCAGAGACAGTAACTGTAACGGCCGTCCTCTTTCCACTGGAGCTGTGAACTGTGGCATTAACTATTTTAATATTGATGTTAGCTCATATAGCAGATATATTCACTGGCTATCTCACCTTGGCCGTGCATATTAGCATCAAGATCAAGCTGAGTAATGTAGTTTGCCGCGGCGGCAGGCTCAATCCAGACGCTTTGCCAGATTCCACTGCAGGGAGTGTAGAAGATGTGACTGGGACGGAGGGTCTGTTTTCCAATTGGAATCACAACACCGTCACTATCCGTCGGGTCGTGCACAAAAATGAGCCTATTGACATTTCAGATGCGTCAGCCACCAAATATTTTGTATAGAAATAGGTAATTACGTACAGCTCGTTCTCTCCATCTTGTGATACGAATTTCGTCACGTCCACGGTGAAGCGAGCGTAACCTCCGCGGTTGAAACCAGCTTTTTGGCCATTGACGAATACAGTTGCCTCATAGTCCACTGCGCCAAAGTTGAGTAGGAGCTGCTGTCCAGACCAATACGATGGAACTTTGAAAGAGGTAGAGAACCACGAAAATATCGTGTTAGTGCCTAGGATTCCAGAAAGGCCACTCTCGAGGCAAGAAGGGATTAAGACCTCTTGAGCCAACTCCTGACCAAAGGGAGGGGTATTGAGGGCATCTAAGCTGCCGGCATCTTGGTATTTCCAGATTCCATTCAGGTTTTGCCATTCAGCGCGCTGAAGCTGAGGCCGGGGATATTCGGGCCATGGGTTTGTGCCAACCTTGTAGGTCCAGTCCGTTGTCAACGGTGGTTCCTTCACAGCATACGAAACGGCTCGGTTGACATTGGGCTTCTGGTAATCCCCTACGAGACTGCGTGCTAGGACAGCATCTGCCAACAGCGGCAAAAGAAGGCTGGCTTTGAAATGCATCTTGCCCGTAGCAAGTATAAGAAAACGATAGCAACTTCAAAACAAAGGGCTGTGAATCTTGTCGGAGCGACGGAGGCGATAAGAAGTGAGAAAGAAAAAAAAATACTTAGGCGTCCAGGACCAACCTTTTAAGAAGGGTAGCTCTCACTTGAATCCGCAGGGAATGTCTCTGTCATCCTGCTCACAGCAAGCAGCCAAGGCTAGCCATCTCACTGACATGGCGAGTGACACCAGCTCACCAGGATGATAATGCAGATCACAAAATGAGAGAGGCAGGTCAGAGTGCTCGGAAGTATGGCGAGTTCCCGGACACACGCGGTGGCCCTCGTCCTTCGATTATATGTCTTAGGAAGACGCGGACTAAGACAGGGCTCCCCACTCTGCAGGCTCATCCAGAGACACTTTAACCCACCAACCCACGGCCAAAGCTTTGCATCGAAATACATGCAAAGTTGGTTTCTAGCTCGGTAGTGCCAGCTGACAAGGTGGAACCGGAGAGTCTAACGTTATACTGAATCTGCAGTCAAAGGGTAGATTCTCGGGGACCAAATTTCTACAATTTGGCCTCCGAGGAACTGCGTTTTGACCCCGCACCCTCTCTCATATTGCAGCTTCAATGCAGCTCCAACGGTTATGGCGCAACGTTGTACGACTATCCATGAACGAATCGCGGGGTCGCCAGCAGCGGTCATCCTCGAAGGATTCGGGATCAGCAACTATTCCCAGTGGCATCTGGGGTTGCCCCTCATTCCCCAGGTCTCCGGCTATGTCATTTCTGCAAGAGTTGTAAAAGAAGGAAGATCGCCGTGGCAGTTTGTATGCCTGTGCGGAGGTATATTCACAAATGCAGGTATTCCTTCCGGGTCGTCTACTGATAGTAGGAGCTATATGTTATTTAGACTCGTTGTGTTCGGCCCTATCATTAGATGCCAAGCCATATATCCGGCCTAGATTACCCCGAGCCTAATTAAGCCAGGACCAGGTCCTCAGCGCCTGATTTTTTAGAGCAGGCGCTGACGGCGAGAAATTAAGCGACAATTTCGAATGCCGCGTCGACCTCGGAGAGAGCCCAGAAGAGCCTCTCACATGGTCGTTTTACCTACAAAATGCAATAATTGATGAATTGTTCAATGCACAACCTTATTTCTTGGCTGGCACCATGGATAACTGCCCAAGTAAGCCCAGGAAGACCGAACGTGCGTGCAAGCCTTGTCGTGACCTGAAAGTTAGGTGCCTGCCTTCTTCAGACGGCGGGAATATCTGCCAGAAATGCCAGAGGTCAGGTGCATGCTGTGTATTTGAGGAGCTAAAGCAGCGGAAGAAGCGGAAGGCACCTGATGACCCCACTACTGTCGAAGCCTTGGAGGCAAAGCTATCAGAATTGGCTAGGCAGCTAGAGGCGAGCAACGCCCAGCTCCAGTCACTTCAGGGTTCGACTTGTGAGAATCTCAGTCCGGATAATCCGAGTTTAAGCAGCTATACTGCGCCAATCGCATCAAGTTCCTCGAGCACCCAGGTAGCGGACAGTGGTTCTGTTGATCAGGACGAGCACGTTATTGAGCAGCTCTTCGGGTGTGGTATTCTTACCACATGCACCGCCGGTGCGTACTTATTAAAGTACCGAGAAATGTGCCAATACTCCCCATTTGTTGTGGTACCAGAAGGGGCCACAATTGAGTCACTGAGGCAAGACCATCCGTTTCTCTTACACGCGGTGCTTGCTGCAGCATCCCGTGAGAACCCAGATTTGCAGAGTACGCTTGAGAGAAGCCTCCGGGAACGGCTGCTGAGAACAGTCATGATTGAAGGAGACAAAAGTATTGATCTGCTACAAGCCATTCTTATCTATCTCACCTGGGAACACTTTTTCCACTTCCCGAAGAAACGACTCTTCAATCAGCTTCTTCATGTTGCTATTAGCATCTGCATCGATATGGGACTTGATCTCGGGCCTTGTGAGGCCAGTGCTAGAAAGGCTGGCCTGCAGTTAGATCATCATTCCTCAGCTGGCGGGGCACCAGATGATATATTCTTTAGCAGAGCAGCCAGAAGAGCGTATATCGGGTGCTACTACCTCTCCTCGGCCTCGGCGTGGGTATGGCGAAAACCAAACAATATTCACTATACCGAATACATGATGCAATGCGCCCAATCTCTATCAAAAGACCCAGAATACGAGACAGATGCTCTTATACTGCCGCTTCTTCAAACCCAGCTTCTCGGCGACGAATTTCATGATCTACTCTTACCCACCAATATTGATTACTCATGCTCATCCAGCTCAGAACAAGTCCAAACACATCTGAAAACGTTCCGAGCAAAGCTAGACGAATTACTGCCCAACGAACCTTCAGATTGCTTGCCGACAACCCTTGCATCTTGTCTTGCGACCTTGCATGCCTATGAAATGGACATGCTAAGTAAAGGTATGGTAAACAAGGAGAGTCTAGGTGGCTTGAATGCGGCCCCCACGTCCAGTCAACTCGACGTGATAATGGCCTGCCTCGACTCCGCGCGATGCTACGTAGAGACATTCCTTTCATTCTCCCTCTCCGAGTATCCAAAGCTTGCCGTGCCTCAATGGTGGGGTTTGATAGGCAGTGTCTATATTCTCTACGTTTTATCAATAGGCACCCCGCAGCTCCCTCTCTGGGACGTGTGCGTTGCAAGAGATAAAGTCAAACTAGAAATCTACCTCGACCTGCTTTGCTACCGTATGCAAAGCATTACTGGTTCGACTGCAGAAGCTCCCGCTGGACGGGATCTGTTTTCGCTGATGGGGCCTATATTCGCGAATGTCAAGACGTCTTATGAACGGCTTAAGAAACTGCCTCAGAGTGCCAGCTCGGTTGATGGGGAACCTGTCCATGGGACGGCGTTTGAGAGCGAAGCTAAGCCTTGTAATAAACGGATAAAACCCGGTCGGTGTCCAGTATTTCCGTTCTGGTCAAGGACGCAAAGCGTCGCCAGCCCCCCTATCGAAGCACCAAACGATCTTTTCGCAGCGTTTGAATCGACAGATCCCAATACGGATTGCTTTCAGGATTGTTCATGGCTCGAAGACATGACCAGCGTGGACGCGAACCTGGGCTGTAACTCAAGTAACTGGAATTTCGACGGGTCATGATAGGACTTCTGCGTACGAGGTAGTTAACGTAGCTCCTCAGGCAGCGGAGTCAGAGCAAATATCAAGAAAACCAGTAAAAATCTGAACAAAAACTGTAAATGCTAAAAAACGCGTCGAGCTATCTACATTCAAACTCTCCCAGGCTCAGCACCTAGCCCTCAATATAAACATAACCCTCAATATAAACATAACCGTCTCCATCTACTTCAACTCCACCCCCGCCTTAACAGCCGCAACAATAGCATCACAGCTCGTCTTCGCATCCCCAAACAACATGCGATTATTCGGCTTATAAAACATCGGATTCGGCACATCCGCATACCCACTCCCCATCCCCCTCTTCATCACAATCGTATTCCGACTCTTCCACGCATGCAGCACCGGCATCCCCGCAATCGGACTATCCTTCTCCAGCGCGATCGGATTCACCGTGTCGTTCGCCCCAATCACGATAGTCAGATCCGTGTCGTTGAAATCGTCGTTGATCTCGTCCATCTCCAGCACCACGTCGTAGGGCACGCTCGCCTCGGCGAGAAGGACGTTGCATTGTCCCGGCATGCGGCCCGCGACGGGGTGGATAGCAAAGCGGACCTTAGCGCCGCGGGCGCGCAGCAGGGCCGTGAACTCCGCGATCGCGTATTGCGCTTTGGCGACCGCCATGCCGTAGCCTACGACGATGATGACGCTTTCGGCTTCGAGGAGCTTCGTGGCGACTTCGTCGACGGAGGTGGTGGTTAGCTCGCCCTCGAGTTTGTAGTCTGTGCGTGCGGGCGCGGAGGAGATGCCGCCGAAGAGGACATTGGTGAGGGAGCGGTTCATGGCTTTGCACATGATGTAGGAGAGGATGCTGCCGGAGACGCCGATGAGGGAGCCGACGCTGGTGAGGAGGGGGTTGCCGAGCATGAAACCTTCGGCTACGAGGGCGAAGCCGGAGTAGGCGTTGAGGACCGTGATGACGACGGGCATGTCGGCGCCGCCGATGGCGGCGGTGGTTGTGTATCCTTTGGCGAAAGAGAGGATGGCGCTGCCGGTGAGGCACATAGCGGCAACGGCTGGAGCGCCGGGGGCCATTGTGACGAAGGCACCCATTGTTGCGGCGTTCAGGGCGAGCATGCCGCCGTTGATGAGGTGTCTGCCGGGGAGGATTGTGGGCTTGGAAGACATGCGACCTGCGAGCTTGAGGAAAGCCACGATAGACCCGGTGAAGGTCACTCCACCGATCAGGACACCGAGGTACCCAGTCACCATGTGAAGCATCGAAATGTGATCACCACCCACACTAGCCATAACGGAGCCGATGGAGGTGAGGACAGCGGCAAGACCTACGACAGAGTGGAGTGCGGCTACTGTCTGGGGGAGCTCCGTCGCGGTGATGCGTCGTCCGATTACTCCTCCGATTCCGGAACCTAGACCAGCGACGGCGAGAACTTGGATTAGCTGTGGGGTGGTGAAACCGCAGGCTGCGAGAGAGGCGAGGATTCCGGACCCTACACCGAGTATACCAAGGAGGTTACCCGTGCGAGCAGTTGCTTGCGACGCAAGTCCAGAGAGGGATCCAATACAGAGCATAGAACTAACCAGGTACCCAGCCTGGACGAGCCCAGCCATACCAGTCGAAGCAGCAGCGATATAACCACCACCAAAGAGTATACCCGGGATGGCGTAAAGCCACGGGTATTCCTGGGGATCAGTCTTGCGACGGAACATATCGAGCATGCGCTTCGTAATGACGAAGCCACCGGTAACATTGACAAACGCAAGGAGCACAGAAGCCGCGCCGAGGAATTGCGGGATCGTTTCGGGTAGGTAGTTGCCGCCCATGATGAAGAAGCCACCGACACCGACCATTCCAGAGATGGCGTTGGTGACGCTCATGAGCGGGGAGTGCAGGGCGGGCGCGACGCCCCAGACGACGCGGTAGCCGATCAGACCAGCGAGAGAGAAGGTGAAGAGGTTACCCATGAAGAGGGGCCCCGTTAGCTTTCCAAGAGCGAGGACGGCGCCCATGCCGCCGGTGACAGTCATGACTTCCCGGGAAGCTTTCTGCCATGGGGTCACAGCCAGGACTTCTTCCTTGACCTCGGCTGCCTTTGGTGCGGGTGCGGGAGGCGGTGCGAGGGGAGGCAGAGCGGGGAGGAATTCGCCGTTGTAGGTGACGATGGAGCGTCGGACCACTTCGTCGTTTAAGTCGATACCGAAGTGCTTCTCCTTGGGTGACATAGATAAGAGAAATTTAGTGATGTTGTTGGAGTACAATGTGGACGACTGTGTCGGGAGACGTGATGGGAAGTCCGTATAACCTTTCATACGTTAGTGTCTATGCAGTGAATCAATATATGAGAGCGTACCAATCACAGTCACGCCTTTGTGAGTAACCAGTTCGCCTGGTACAGTGATTTCGCAGTTACCACCAGCCTCAGCAGCCAAATCAACAACGACAGAGCCAGGCTTCATTGCCGATACCATCTACAAATTGTCAGCTGTAAGCCACAAAAATCACAATGCAGGAATAACAAACCTCTTCAGTAATCAGGGTAGGAGCCAGTTTGCCAGGAATCAGTGCAGTCGTGATGACAATGTCAACCTCCTTGCACTGTTCGAGGAAGAGCTTCATCTCTGCCGCGATAAACTCCTTCGACATGACTTTGGCATAACCGCCACCTCCAGAGCCGTCTTCTTCCATATCGACCTCGATAAACTCTGCTCCGAGCGACTGGACCTGCTCGCGTGCAGCACTTCGTGTATCGAAACCACGGACGATAGCGCCCATGCGGCGAGCCTATATATGTCAGAATTGTCCCCTTATCGAACTGCAGCTAACTGCTTACCGTAACAATAGCACTGAGTCCAGCAACACCAGCTCCAATAACCAACACCTTACAAGGCGGGATCTTCCCCGCCGCAGTCGTCTGCCCAGTCATAAATCGGCCAAAGTGATTCGAAGCCTCCAAAACAGCCTTATATCCGGCGATATTCGCCATGGAGCTCAACGCATCGAATGTCTGCGCCCTCGAGATTCGTGGAATCATATCCATGGCAAACGAGGTCAACCCCTTCTTGGCCATCATATCCACGACCGGCCTATTGCGGTCCAAACTCGGCTGCAGCATCGATATAATAACCGAACCCGGCTTGAAACCGTCCACGAAGTTGTTCACATGGCTAGTAAACTGCGGTTCTTCATTCGCCCACGTCGGGTTCCCGGCCGTCAAGCGAGGGGGGCGCACTTTAAGCACGATATCGCTCTCGGTCCAGACGTTGCGGGAGTTGGCGATAGTGGCGCCAGCGGCCTCGTAATCGTGGATGGGGAACTGGGCCGCGAAGCCGGCGCCGTGCTCGACCATGACGCGCTTGAATCCCTTCTTGAGGAGGAGGGCGGCGTTGGCGGGGGTCATGGCGACGCGGCGCTCGCCGGGGAAGACTTCGGTGGGGACACCGATGGTGAGCTCGGAGTAGGGGATTGATTTGACGGGGGCTTCGGCTTCGGGCTCGGCCTCAGAGGGTTTCTTCTCTTCATAGAGGCGTGTTGTGGAGTGGTAGAGGCGGAGTTTGGAGCGGTTGAGGGTTGTTACTGTGGGCTGGGAGAGCCATGCTGTGTGGTTGGCCAAGGCCCCACAGAGCCTTGTGGATTGGGTTATCATGGTTAAAACAGAGGATGTGAGCTTCTATATTCAAGCTGTAAGAGAAAATTTGGTCGTAGTCCTTGGTGGAAGGCGGATAGTCTATGGGCGGGGTGCCTGTGTATTCTTGGTCATGTAGAAAACGACTTATTGGGCTGAGTGGAGATTTGAGAGTTTCTGAGCGTATCTACTACTGCTGAAAGTTAGAACAAGCCCAGTCGCAATTTCTCCATATGCTTACCTTCTTATCTGAGCTGTGTTAGAGTGGAGAGTCGTGTATCCGGCGGCGTGGCCAACAGGGTATCAAGCTCTCTCTCAGCAGCTCACTCGCATGGCAGTCTAGCTAAACCGGCGTCTCAGAGCAACAATCCCGCGGCAGCACTCAGGTATATCAAACTCTCCTCTTCGCAATCGGAGCTATCATCTCAGATTTCGCAGCTCAGTCTCGTCGTTATCCTCGTTGTCGTCGTCGCCAACACGTCGCTCGTGTGGGGGAGAAGGAGCAAATAGCCTCGCGGGCCGATAGCTACCGTATTTAACCAGGTGGGCGCGTAAAGTCCGTTATGCACAGCTGCACGAGAGGATCAATGTCTTGCCTCTTGCTGCTTATGGAAATGTCTCTTATGTCTCTTATGTATGTACAGTTACAGAACAGAAAGTGTTTGATACCGGGAAAAAGAAAGCAGGTACTTAGTGTCGCGTGTGGTGGTTGGTAGCCGGTGAGGTACCGCTCCGAGTACCGCGCCGAGTACCCCGCATAGTCCCGAGGTGAGGGACCCTGAAATGCTGGAAACTGGCTGCGCGACGGAGACACCTGGGCCGAGGCTGTGTGGGATGTTGATTGGACGGAGGAGGGACAGAAGGATCCGCTATACGACAACAAAGAGCAACCAAGGCGGCCTGGTGTTGGTCCGTTCACTTGGATGTAGTGTGGGGATGCGGGGAGAAGCTGGGAGCCTGTAAGACTGTAACATCACATACCAACATCAGGACCTGTACAGTAACATTACGAAGAAACATCAGAGCATGAGAACCGTAACATAACATAGCAACATCAGGACACTCGGTCAGCTAACTAACTCATGGTATCAAATTCTCGGCATAGCTACTACACTACATAAACTCGGGGTCCGTATACGAGACTACAAGTCTTGAGGCCTGATGATCTTCTGTCCCTTGAACATCAACCAACCCATGAACCCCCCACCGCATGGCTTCTCAACCTTCGTGCTGGTGCTGCTCTTGCCTCCGCTCTTACTTCCCTTACTGCTCTTAACACTCTCACCCTTATACTCCTGAATCAACACATCCGGCTTCACAACCGACGACTCCACCAACTTCTCCCCCTCCGCCCCCAGCGCCACAACCTGCACACTCCTAATCCCCGTCCTTTCAACCGTCAACACAGTCTCAAAGCTCTCCCTCTTCGCCGTCCCCAGCAACTCACGCTTGCCATTCGCATAAATCTCGTAAAAGCGCCAGTGCTTCGTCTCCGTGTCGCCGTTCCAAGAAACATAGATGCTGGTCTCTCCCTCGTCGTCATCGTTGAGCGCTACAACTGCTGGTGCCTCGTGCGGGATGCCGGTCCAGTTGTATCGGAAGCCGCGGTAGTTCTCGACGCCCTCGCCTAGGCTGCCGGAGTCCATGTAGAAGTGGAAGATTGGCTCGCCATTTGGTTTGTACTCTGTGATGGCACCCTCAGAGCCCCAGTTCACCAACACGTTACCGTTGGGCAGGACCTGCGTCGAGCCTTGCGATTTGGACAGCAGGTCATCAGGTGGGTAGAAACCCTGCACCAGCGTAGCGGTCCAGTTCTCGGTATCGACCTCGATGATCTTCCCCGCCGACGTAGCGTTGAAATGCACCTCTCCACCACGTCCATTCTCAGTCCCATGAGCCGAGTTATCATAAATAGAAATAACCTCCTTCTTCCCATCCTCCGATCGACTCAAATACCTCGCATGATGCTGGAACGCGAACTCCACGCCCTCCCCAAGCTCAAAGTCAGTCGACTTCCCGCTAAGCTGCCAGAGGATCTCGCTAGTTCGGCCATCAATCTTGTAGGCTGCGTTGGCGTCGCGGGCCGAGATGAGGTAGTTCCCTTGGTCGTCCTTGTCGACGCTGTTGATGTGGAAGTAGTCCCAGGCGTCGGAGGAGTTGTAGCCGCTGCCGGCTTGGCCGGGGTTGAGGGGGAGGAAGGCTTCGGAGGGGGAGACGTGCTCGAGACTGCTCCATTCGAAGAGGACTTCGCCGGATTCAATGTCGAGTTCTGGGGTTGTTAGTTTAAGTTCTTGATACATGTGACTGGAGTGGGGTCTTACCTTGGAATCTTGCGTCGACGATCCACTGTTGCTCTGGGGATCCGCCGTATGGTGAAAGATCATACGGAACAGGGTGGTAGATCTGGATCAGAGCGGTCTTCTCGTTGATGATGATGAACTCGTGCTTATCAGTCAACCTGTGGTTACCCGCGCGTAGCTCGCGGATGGTGTTGTAATTCTGGTCCAAGAAAGTAGTGTGACCATGTCCATGTCCGTACGCCGCATTATGACTTCCCTCGAAACTGAACAGGACATCCTTTCCCTTGTACCGTCCGGCTTGGAAGTTGGTGGCCCAGATGGAGAAATATGTAAAGCCAGACCAGACGAGGTCGCCGGTGTCTGTGAAGATGTAAGGGGCGGCTTGGAGCGGTCCGTGGCGCGTGCCTTCTGGGAAACCGGCGAATGGTGCAATGAAGATGTAGCCGCTCTCAACATCTGCGGTGGCGGGGATGGTGATGTTGAGCTTTGGCGGGGCAAGATCTGGACGGGATTTGAATTGCCAGTCTGCAGCGACGAGTGGAACGGCTGCTAAGCCTAGAGCAAGCTTCATGAGGCTTCCGAGCCCTGTCTTCGTGGGACTCATGCTGTAGGTTCTTGATCAGCTGCTGAACTTTTGGGGGCGGGGTAAAGCTTATAGATACTAACATTGATATTGAGAAGGATTTATGGGGGGAATGGGAGCTTCGATTTTTTTAAATCAATGACAAGAACAGTCACGAAAGTACGCTCACCTTGAAGATATTTGAGAGCATCAGCGAATAGCTAAATACCTTCATTTGCCAACATACTACCCCTCCAAAAAAAACCCCACTAACCCACATCTCTGAAGCTCATCGATCACCACATCGCTGACTTGTCAAAATGAGCTGCTTTGACGTGATAGCTTCAAGGACTTCGCCTCCGCAAACCGGGACGCGGGGTTCATCGCCGGGTCCTGCATGATTGGCCTCACCAAACGGACTTGGACTCCGTGCCTCACAACACATGCATATCCAATATAATTCAAAAAAGTCAACATGCCAATTATACCATCTTAAGCATTCTGACGCAATTCATGGGGGTGGAGTTCGACTCCGTTAGCACGATCTGTGATCAAGACGATATCGGCGCTTGTGGACTTCGTGTCCGCTTCTCTCCACTTTCGCCTCGTGCGTCTGTCCGCGACACGATCAGAGCACGAGGGCTAATGCATGCAACACGTTTTACACGCTGGCATGGCAGGATTAATTACCGGGGTGGTTGATTGACGTAGGTTTGTTTCTTATCTTTCTCGGATTTTTGTAAAATCTATTTTTCTACTTGTCGCGTTTAATACTCGTTGTGTTGGCGACTCTCCCCTCGGCGTTCTCCAAACAACTTTTTCGGATCTATATTTCGTTTCTTTGGCTTCTATTCAAATAATCAGGACGGGGATATGTTGAGAGGCTGGACCGCAGGAACAAATGGACCGCCGTCATGATACCTACGAAACTTTAAATGGGGAGCAAGAACCGCTGCTCAGCAATGTTGCAATCGCCAGCCCTACAAAGTCAACCTGGAAACCCCCAGCAGGGTTCATCTGGATCGAAATCGGTATTACTTAACACAGACCTTCAGATGCCACTCGCCAGAGGCTAACTATTTACAGCAATATTTTCAAACGTCTTCCTCTCCGGCTTCGATGGAACGATCACGGCATCAACCTACGCAGTAATCGGCTCGGAATTCAACGCCGCCAACACGATCTCATGGCTCACCACCTCCTACCTAGTCACCTCTACTGCCTTCCAACCCCTCTACGGGCGATTCAGCGATATCCTAGGACGCCGAGTATGTTTCTTCACCGCCACACTGACCTTTCTCGTTGGCTGCCTCGGCTGCGCCCTCGCGCCTGACCTCGTGTCTTTGAATCTGATGCGCGCCTTGACCGGGCTCGGCGGCGGCGGGCTCATGACAATGGCTACGATCATTAACTCGGATATGATCCCATTTCGGGAGCGAGGAATGTACCAGGCTTGCCAGAACGTGCTACACGGCTTCGGGTCTATATGCGGTGCCAGTCTTGGGGGGGTCATCGCAGATACTATCGGATGGAGGTGGTGTTTTATGTGTCAAGTGCCTGTCTCAGCTTTTGCGTGTGTGGTTGGGTATTTCGTCGTCAAGGACCTTCACTCGAGTACATTTGTGGAGAATGATCAGGAGGGGCTGGTTAAGCCGAAGACTTCGACATGGAAACAGATCGATTTGAGCGGTGCTTTCTTGCTGGTCTTGGGGCTGTCGGCGCAGCTTGCGGCATTGAGTATGGGTGGTAATAATTATCCATGGTCAGATATTAGAGTCATTGCTTCTCTAGCTATCAGTGTGGTGCTTCTTGCAGCCTTTGTCGTTGTCGAGTCGCGCACGGAAGCAATTCCGGTAATGCCAATGAGTATGCTCCGGGGAACACTTGCCATCTCGAATCAGATCAGCAATGTGTGCGTTGGGATGGCCGCGTATGCTGTAAGTAACAAGTCTCGCTCGGAAACCTCATCACTGACGCCTTCTTAGTTTCTTTTCATACTACCGCTATTTTTCCAAGTTGTACTCCTCGACACCCCCTCCGAAGCTGGGATGCGCCTCGTTATCCCATCCCTAGGCACCCCAGTTGGAGGTGTAGTTGCTGGCTACATCATGTCGCGTTATGGACGACTGAGTGAATTAGTGAGAACTGGCTGCTTCTTCATGATACTTGGGAATGCTTTAGTTGCATCTTTCGAATTCCATGATTCGAAGTGGAAGTATCTGGTATATCTATTCCCAGCCAATTTTGGCCAAGGGATTGCATATCCCAGCATATTATTCACGTTTCTAGCTGCATTTGAGCACAAAGATCAAGCTGTAGCGACATCAATGGTGTATCTCTTCCGCTCCGTGGGCACAGTCTGGGGAGTTGCCGCCTCGTCGACTCTGATTCAGAATATTCTGTCGACACGGCTGCCAATAGCGCTAGAAGGGATACCCAACAAAGACAAGGTATGTGTCTGGAACTGAAGGCGAAGCTCTAAATGTCCCAATGGCTGACAACTGTATCCTAGATACTGGACGAGATCCGACACAGCGTCACAGTGATCAAAGATCTGCCTCCTGACGTCCAAGCAATCGCCAGACAAGTGTATTATGAAGCACTGAAATACACTTTTATTGCGACCACTGTGGTGACGGTGATTGCTCTTATCTCGGCATTCTTCGCACGGGGAAGGAGTCTCAATCGTTCTTGATAAGATCTTATAGGGGGATGCTTGTTTGGACTATGATTCGCAATAGAGGCTGTTCTATGAGTACATATTATGGGAGCATACGACCGCTATGAATGAAAATATTTTAGAATTTAAATAATTTTCTAAAATATATCGCATTGGAATAAAAGAGGGGCCTAGTTATAAAAGAGTCCGAGTGAATAGTCCCTTGATATTACTACAGTAATTACAAGAATTGTAATGGAAAAATACTTTTAATTACTAGAGGATATAATTATTCTATCAATTACTCAAAAATAGAGTGTGAGAGAGAAATACTATTAGCTCAAAGTTATTATACCTGGACTCTGGCCGAGTGATGTTGGGGTTAACATGTGAACTCGTGGGGTTTTCATGGCCGGACGCCGGCACACGAAGCACTGAGCCCTACATGATGATCTCAAAAACGTGCTCAACAAACACTGTGGAGAAACCTCTAGGGTTCACTTACTGACAAGGTTTCCGCCAAGTCCAATTAACTCGATAACTCGGGGTTTAACATGGGGGGAGTTTTAAACTTTCCACGCTAATGGACTTCAACTCCGCGCCTAAGATAGGAGTCCAAGTCCGCCAACGCGGGACCAAGCACTTGGATGATCCACACTGGCGTGATAGCCAAATTTTCCAACAACTCTTACATTGATAACCCGATTTATCGAAACACGAGACAGTGAAGGTCGCAGCGGATTGCGAATATGGGAGGGTTGATTGCGACTTGATGTCCCATTGATGCTGGCGTCAGTGGTGAGTGCGCGTTCAGCGCTGTGAAGATAAGCATGGCGCTTCAAGGGGCGTTGGGGTTGACGGGGGGTTGGATACGACGGCGTGTATAAACATTTGAAGTCCATGTATTTGATATAATAATATTGTTGAGATTACGATCCTCTGGTCATTAAGTGATAGAAGCCAAACCAACGCGGCAATTAAACATGGCAGTGAATAGTTACCCAGACGAGAAATCTACTAAGCCAACTCATACTGAGGTTGATAACTCGAACCCGAGCTCGATATCTGCTTCCATTACCGACGACGAGATTGACAGCGGCGCTAAGGAGCATAAGAATGCAAACTACGGCTCGACAGAGCAGCACATCTTCTCGGATTCTGGAAACTTAGGCTATTGGACCGGTGTCTATGAGGCTGCAAAGTATGAAGGGCGTCATAGATTCGATGCCTTGCTTCAATGGGACTCGACTGAGGAGAAGAGGCTAGTCCGCAAAGTATGTTCTCCTTATATTGTTGAAAACATGTTATTGATATTTTGTAGCTTGATCTTCGAATCATGCTCTGGGTCTGGATAGTGTTTTCAAGTCTTGATCTAAATAGAAGAAACATCAATCGTGCTCTTTCTGATAATCTGGTTTGTCCCCACAATTGAGCTATCTGGTTAAGCTTTCTCTAACAGCTCTATGCAGCTCGGTGATCTTGGCATGAACACTAATGACTTCAACAATGGCCAAACAATCTACTTCTTCACTTTCCTAGCCGCAGAGCTACCCGGAGGGTTACTATCAAAGAAAATCGGTCCGGATATAATGACTCCATTTGCTGTCATTACCTGGGGAACCATCAGTGCCTGCCAGTGCCTCATCAAGAACCGAACAGGGTATTATATCACACGCGCCGTCCTCGGCTTCTCACAAGGCGGCTTCATTCCCGAGATGATTCTATACCTATCCTATTTCTACAAATCCAATGAGCTCCCTGTTCGCATCTCATTCTTCTACACAGCTATCCCGTTGACACAGATTATCGGATCGTTATTGGCCGGCGGATTTCTGGCCATGAGAGGTATTGCGGGGTTGGCAGGCTGGCGCTGGCTCTTCCTTATCGAAGGTCTTATGAGTATTGTTGTGGGGCTTATAACATTCATTGTTATGCCTGCCAGTATTACGGAGACGAGCAATATATTACGCGGAAAGGCGTCCTTTCTGAACGGGAAGAATGGCTGGTTCACTCCCCGTGAGGAAGGCATTCTGGTGAATCGAATTCTGCGAGACGATCCAACAAAGGGGGATATGAACAACAGGCAGCATGTCGACCTCAAGGGTCTGTGGAAGGCGCTGAAGGATGTTGACCTTTGGCCTATTTATACTGTTAGTATTGCCTGTTGCTGACTGTTGTAGTGTGATATGGTGTGCTAACAGTTCCTAGCTCGGCGTTCTTGCATTCTTGCCTTACCAGCCCACTGCGAGCTATCTATCTCTAACTTTGAAGAATCTGGGATACTCAGTTTTCGAAGCCAACGTCCTTGCGATTCCTGGATTTATTCTCTTCTTTATCAATGTAAGTATCTCGCGTCAATGTTCCAGGAGAGATTTCTGACCCCTTCATTCAGGTCTTGGTGGTTGTTTGGGTCAGTGAGAAATTTAATGAGAGGATGTTGATCAGTGCTTGGAGTAACATCTGGATGTTCCCATTCTTCGTCGGTCTTGTTACTATTCCGGTGTCTGCAAGCCCTTGGGTACGATACGCTCTGTTGACAGGAGTCAATGGAATACCATATAGTAAGTCCCTCAGAACAACATTAACATTAGTGTCACCTCTGACTTTAATAGCCCATGCAATCTTAGTTGGCATGATTTCTCGAAATGCAAACAGCGTCGCAACTCGAGCCGTCTCGACTGCACTTTACAACATGAGCTACCAATTCGGCTCCATCGCTGCCGCAAACATTTACCGCGACAATGATAAACCATACTGTGCGTACCCGGCTTTTCCTTCTATGGTTATTACATAGTGCTAATTCCTGCCCAGATTACACCGGAAACAAGGTGCTCCTTGGCCTCTGTTCCGCCAACATTGCAATCTTTGTTCTTGCGAAGTTATACTACGTCAAACGTAACCAGGCGAAAGAGAGGAGCTGGAATAAGTTGAGTGACTCGGAAAAGTCGACGTATATGGAGACTACAACGGATACTGGTTCTCGACGACTCAATGTCCGATTTGTTCATTAGATATCTCGTTTGGAACTTTGGGAACCAAGAATATATTCTCAGGCGTAGTGTTATTATTATTCAGCCGGTGTTACTTGGATTATACGTTAGATTTTAGCGATAATTTTTATCACAGTTTCTGGGCCTCAAATATGGCAGTTTGAGCAACTCGCCTTGATATGATAAAATCATTTCCTGGTATCATCAAAGGAATAATGTGAGATTATTGGTGATAACCTGGCCAAAAATCAACGCTGTATAGTTGCGATGAAAAATGCTTGCAATTAATAAAAATGCCATGATAGAAACAGTCCAACACGAACCAGTATCCTTACCATACTTGGAAGTATTTGAACTGTTTATTGACTGATTATTTTCAAAATTCTGGTTGGCTGGCTGTGCTTTATGTAGCTTACTAAGTTGATTGATGGCTCCTTGTTATCTGTCTGTTATCAGTGAGGGGTGTGCACTGATATAGATTGCGTGCTGGGCAATTGATATGGCGATTGGATCAGCTTTGCCAAGCCTGTTTTGGGGCAGCCACCGCCGTGGATACTTTACTTCTCCTTCATACTTTCCTTTGGCCATTTTTCGTTGTACATGCAAGGCGTTATATCTGAAGTATAACAGATAACAATGAATAAACAACAGGTTGACCAAAGGCGGCGAGTCTCGTAAGTTTACAAATTATCTCTGGTAGTAGTCGAAGTATCTATCACTCACTGACTCTGGAATTCCAGGTGCAAGCGGTGTCAAGATCGTAAAGTGAGTCTCACCATCCACAAACTTCCCTACATGCGCCCATACCTCTACCTATGTGATATTTTTCTAAGATTTTGCAGATAAAATGCTCAAGAACTTCTCCATGTCAACGCTGTACCGCGGCAGGAGTGCGGTGTGAGTTTCGAGGCGATGGAATGAAGCGTGCCCCAATCTCGCGCGAGTATGTGAATGCTTTGGAGGATAGAGTTGGCGCATTAGAGAGTCTCTTGCATGAGATAAACCCAGCTGGGAACTCCGATCATGGTGCCACCAATGATTCCGTCAATTTCGGATTTGAATCTCCAAACCCAGTGTATCAGGATGCAGGCTCTGTTGCTTCGCCAAGTTCTGACGGCAGTCACTGGGGTGGGGTAGTTGCTCCCAGTCAAGACAGTAAGGCAAACACCCATTCTCGACCGGTTGATTCGGAACTATCTAACGATTTAACTTGCAGGACAAACAAACTACCCTGGACCCAGTAGCCTTCGAAACTCGAAAGTTCTGAAATCAGCTGCCGAACATCCGTCCATACATTTCTCTACACCGTATAAACCAGCCCATGTCGATGTCCAAACTGAAGTTGGTGGTCATGTTATCGCCGAGTGTGTGGCGCTTTTCTTCCGATGGCACTACCCGCAGTGTATGTTTGTTGATCGCGACAAGTTCTTGCTGGGCTTCTTGAACCATTCGTATACCAGCAAGAATTCCTCTAGAAGTCTAGAATTCAGTATCTGTGCACTTGGGGCTTTGCTATCTCCGGAAAAGACGATTAGAGACCTTGCTGGATGCTTCTACGATGCCGCTGTCCGAAGCCTCGAGTCAGGAGGATTACTAGAACCTCAAGAGTCTTCTATTCAGACTCTCACCCTATGCTCCTTCTACCAAATCGGCCAAGGCAACTTCACGCAGGCGTGGATGCTCTCTGGTATGACAGCCCAGGTTCTGATTTAACAACTTGCAAAGCTGACGAGTTCAAGGTATCGCATTTAGGATGTGTGAAGAACTAAACGATAGTAGTCACGGAAACCCGAGTACCCCGCGAGATATTGACTCTCGACGGCGTACGTTTGCAAACTGTTATAAATCCGATAAGTTGCCCCTGTTTGCGCATTTTGCAGTCGTGCAAGACTAACCATCCACCAGAATGATAAGTCAAGTGTTAGGCAGGTTGCCTGTAATTGCCAAGCAGGCCCAATCGACGGGGTGTAAAGAGGTTGAAAGGTAAAATTTCTTGGTTTCGAGAAATAATGATAACCCACTAACTCAATATACAGAACACACTCTATATGGTACCATTGGCTGGAACAAAACGGCTTGTCGGACCTAGAAGAACCCGAAACACTCACAGATCCAACTTCGCCAGCAGAAAAACAAATGGAGCTGTTTAAAATAATACATGACATTCTACTTCCGAGAGATTTCTCATCTAAAGGATCGGCCCAGCAACCAACGACTCGTCGCTGGACAGAAGTGGCTATCAGCGAGTTGAACACTAGACTTTGGGGTTGGCACAGCACTCTTCCTGGGGAACTCCGTTGGAATCGCTGGGGTTCATGCTCTGACGCCGTAATTCCAAGTATTGCTGCTCTACAGTAAGTTTATCGCTTTATATCGCTGTATAGGCCAAGACTAACGCAAATAATAGCATGGTCTATCACATCTCCCAAATTTCTCTGAATCTTCCTTTTCTCCTTAATCCCCAACCGCTGTGGGAACAGTCACAACCAAACCAACCAAAGCTAGTCTCAGATGCCGTTGATATCTGTGGGGCATCGGTTGATATAGTTCTCTCTATATTGCGACGTTTCCGGTCACAGTACACCCTCACCAAAGTCCCCCTCAACTTGGTTCACGGTGGTATCACTGCAGCCGACGCGATTCTCGCCATGATGGACTTTTGTGACGGGGAGAGACGAGGATCGCTAGTAAAAGATCTGTACGTCTTGGATGATGCACTCCTGGAGATGTCATATTCGTGGAATATTGCAACCACAGCGAGGACCGGCCTTAAAAATCTACTTGTTGAGAAGACATCAAGCCAAACGGTAACCGGAGGCCTCTCTGTACCGCTGAAGCAGTCGACATTTGATCTCGAAGCTTTTGCATATCAACCTTTCACTCCATTATCACTCGATAGTGAGGACGGAATACAGCTCTCGGGGTTAGCTTTTCCGGATATGTTCTCGGCTGCCGTCAGCGATACTTCCAGCTCTGACATGTGGGATTTGAATTACCCGGAAAGAGGCTACTCATTTGACGATTTAACTTCCCTGCGATATTGATTTATGCTCGTATATGGAACTGGGCGGGCCAAAATGCTTTTTATGTAGAGGTAGATGCGACAGTAAGTTCAATAAAATCTGACTTAGGCTAAATACTTGCCTCGGGTTCATGAAGTAACTAGCGACCATTTGCCGCATGCCATTGTGAACCCACAAAAGCTTAAATTACTACTATGGCGATTGCCTTTCTAACTAATCAATGGAAGCCCTGTGAATGGGCGGAAAGATGGAGGATCTAGGCTTGTGATAATTTACCGTGAAGACGGGCAATTTGGAGTGTGAATATGAGACCGCGTTCCAGCTTATTACCCAGCAATTCCACGCCTTATTTACTAATCTAAACCCTGCAATTGCAATAGAAGAGTGTGGTCGGATATTATAACTCCGCAAGATTTAAGCGGCCAACTACATATGCCCCTGGGCTTAAACCTTGGATATAGCAAATGATGCTTGCTTGTTGTTGGGGAACCAGTGCGGGGTTTGGCGCGGTGACGGCGGACCGACGTTAGCTCCGGTGGGGTGTGTTCTTGCCGCTGGATGGAACGTTGACACCCGCATGATCATTTGTTTTTATATTGCAACCACGAATAATGATACTTGTTTTGTCTTGCATGCTGTTTAGACCATTTTGATCCGAAGGAAGCGGATAGTGCAGACTAGATACGTTGATGTGATGTGCTACTCGGCCCTTTTTTCGTAGCTACACTGCACTGCATTCAGGGATTTGTGAAGGAAGCGTAAGCTTTAGCTTCAATGCCCCGCATTTGTGCTGATCATTCCGCATTGAGATTTCACCGAATGTGGTTCGGAGTGCACCCCGAACCTCTGCTAAATTGCTCGTTCAAGGGTTCCCAAGATGCAGTGTAATCCCTGGGAGTCCGGTTCCTGGAGTCTAGCTGGAATATCTCCTACCGAGCTTGAGTTATATTCCTTGTTTCCCCTCTTCAGTTTGTTTTTCTTTCCAACTCCGCGTCCTGCTGTTTTCGAATCTTCTCAATTTGCATTGAAGATGCTGTCTAAAAATCTACTCTTTCTTGCCTCTCTGCTGGCTCCAGCTGCTGCAACAGGGCTTGGGCCAGACTCGGATGGAAAATACACGATTTCCTCAAAGGGTCTCCGAGCTCAATTTGTAGCCTACGGAGCTAGTATCTCGAACTTATTCGTCAAAGATGCAGATGGCCGTGAGCGTGATGTTGTCCTAGGCTTCGACAATGCCACTTACTACGCGGAAGACCCCATACATGCGCATTGGGGTTCCGTGCCTGGCCGATATGCCAATCGTATCAAGAACTCTACTTTTGATATCGACGGTGTTACCTACAACATCCTGCCAAATGAACACCCTACCCCTGAGCACCCAGATGGAGTTAATACTCTTCACGGAGGACCAAACGGCTGGGATCACCGTGTATTCAATGTTACTGCACAGACGAGCAACTCTATTACCTTCACCATCACTGATGAGGATGGAAACCAAGGCTTTCCTGGAGAAGTTATCAGCTATATTACTTACACGCTAAATGATCTGACTTGGGATATCACCATGGTTGCCCACGCCACCACGAAGAAGACCCCGATCATGCTGAGTAGCCACACTTACTGGAACCTTGACGGTTTCCAGAACCCCGGGACAGGAACAATCCTGAACCATTCGCTGTGGCTGCCACACTCTGGCCAGCGAGTTGGTGTTGATTCTATCCTGATTCCAGACGGAACGATACTCCCAAACCAACCGGGGTCAGTGAACGATTTCTGGTCCGCACCAAAGCAGCTCGGTGCCAATCTCACGGCCCCTGATCTCGTTGGTAACTGTGGCGAAGGCTGCACCGGATATGGTGAGTAGGTGCCTTATAGTCGCTGACACGTTAATAACCCTTGATAGATACCTGCTACCTCGTGAACCGAGAACAGGATGGTCCATACGACTGGCACTCTAAGCCAGTGGCCGTGCTCAGCAGCCCATGGAGCGGCATCCAAATTGACATTTTCAGCGAGCAGGAGGCATTCCAGATCTACACCTGCAACAACTACGATAGTATGAGGCCCCTGAACAGTGACTGTTTACGAAACTCAAGCTAATATAATCTATCTAGGCACTCTACCCGTAAAGTCGACTCAGGGTACCGATGTCAGACGCACTGTACCAGCGTACGGATGCATCGTCATGGAGGTCGAGGACTGGGTTGATGCCATCAACCAGCCGGAGTGGCAGCGAAGCAAGAAGCAGATTTACGGGCCTTCGGATGATCCATATGTTCTGCGCGCGCAATACGTCTTCTCGGCGAATAAGAAGCAGCAGCACCATTAGTTATGCGAGTAGAGGTTAATATTCGAGAGATAAATTTTAACTTTCACAAGATTAAAGTGAGCCGCCCCGAGCTGGCATAATCACTAATTTACCAAATATAAATTCATCACAAACATCATGCGTCATTGTTGAAGTAGTAGCGGTGAGATGGCGACGACCTTTTGGCAACTAGCTGATAAGAAAGCTCTGTTACTGAGTTATTAAGATCCCCTATTTTATTTACAGTTGCTATGAACAATTAAAGCTATAACAAGGTTTATAAGACGCTATAAGCCTCTAGGTTGCTGTCATGCGTGGCTTCTCGTTCATACTTTTAGGCGGCAGGAGTGCTTATGAGAAACTAACTTATTAATTGTCGGTTTGGGCGATCGTACTTCTTCATTTCAATCATAGTTCCAGTAACCATTATTTTTGTGCACAGTCACCCTCCTGACTGTTAGGTGGCACGAGTACTGTTCGTTAGAATCTTACTGCGAATCACCATGCATGCGCTGCAGATCCGACGCTTGCCGCATTTGCTGACAGCATCCATGACACATCGCAAACACGAACAAATATAATTACATCCAACAACCATCCCTTGATTCCCGGTCACAGATCTCTAGCCAATTCGATGAAATCCGTGTGTATCATCGGTGCTGGACCTGGCGGGCTCGTCGCAGCCAAGACATTCCTCCAAAATGGGTTCAGAGTCACAGTTTACGAGAAAGATGACAAGGTCGGAGGAATATGGGCCTTTCCCAAGCAGTCAGAGTCTGATGGATATCTAAGCCCTCGCACACCAACAAACCTCAGCAAGTTCACGGTTGGCTTCTCAGACTTGTCATGGCAATCTTTGGGGACTGGGGACCACGTGCCGATGTTCCCCGCTGCTGCGCAAGTCGGACAATACCTCGAGCTCTATAGGGATAGATACGTGCCGAGTAGCACGTTTAAATTCAGACACCGCGTTATCAGCGCCGATCGCGTAGAACAGGATGGTGGTCATCAGTGGAAGGTTGTGGCAGAAACCAAGGTCGGCGGTCCAGAGCCAGGAGATTCGGCTGGAGCAAACACGAAGCAGGAGACGGCATACTTCGACTACGTGATCAACGCTGCTGGATTTTTCTCTAAGCCTAGCATCCCAAGCCGTTTGATCCCGCCATCGAAAACGGTGAAAGAGGTGCATACGTCCCAGTTTCGAGAACTAGATGACCTCTTCACCGATCAAAGCTTTCATACCGGCAAGCACATCTTGGTTTACGGCGGGGGGAACTCAGCCGGCGAGGTTGCTAGCAATATAGCTTTCCAGCTCTCCTCGTCGCAGTACAGCCCAAATCCATCTACCCACAGAAATAGGTTCGAAGGCATGAAAGTATACCACGTAACACCACGACCCCTCTACGCCATCCCTCCCTACATCCCCGGCGGCATCCTCAACACTTTCAAGCCACTCGATCTCAGTTTCTACGACCTAAAGTGGCGTCAACCAGGCCCAATAGTATCCAGCTCCGGGCCTCTAGACCCAGAAGCCACAGCAACGCGGTATTATGCCGTCTACGGCATGGTTGGAGAGCAGAAGGATCTCGGTGCGGAGGCGCTGGTTACCAAAGAGAAGACGACCCCATATGCGACGCTGAGCGAGAGCTACGCTGAGTTCGTGCGCTCTGGTCTTATTATCCCCGTCGCTGGGCGAGTTAGTGGGTATAAAGAGCAGGATGCAAGCACAGTGTCTGCAATTGTAGCTACCAACGACGGAGCTGAAGCACTCATTCCCAAAATCGGCGCCTCCGTCATCGCCAACGGCTACACTCCCACAGCAGCCCTCTCTTTCCTCAGCCCAGAAATCAAGGAAGCCCTTGAGTACGACGAAACCTCCGCCCGCCTCCCCATCCTCCTACAGAACTATCAGACGCTCAACCCCGCCGTTCCCGATCTGGGTTTCATAGGTTTCTACGAAGGCCCGTACTGGGGCGTAATGGAGATGCAAGCGCGTCTCCTCGCCGCCCGATGGTCCGAGAGAGTAGAAATCCCAATCCACCCCGATGAATCGCTCGAACGGCTCCGCTCACTACGCCAGGCGATGAGGGATCGTAGACCTGACATCCCACAATACTGGTTCAGCGATTACATCGGCTATCTCTCCGAAATCTCCTCCTCGCTCGGACTCACACGCAACGACTCCCCCTTTCCCGACGCAGGGACAGGGCCTATAAGTCCAGCACGCTACCTAGCCAGCACAGACGCCCACGAAGAAGCCATAGCGACGATGCAAGACCTAAAGACAACCATCGACGCCTGCGTGAATGGCAAATTCAGAGCCCGTGCCGCATTCCGCGCTTTACAGGGGCTGTGGGACATCGAGCGCAGGGTGCATAGTAGTCTTACGCCTCCTACGCTATCCGGCTCCTTCGAAGGGACTGCGACTTTCCACCCTCGCGCGCCGACGATGGAGGGCGTGGATCTGGAGTACCTGTATATCGAGGACGGCGACTTGACCTCCGCCGCCGACGGCCAAGTGTCACCAGAGTCGCGGCGCTCGGTGTATCGCTACGTCGAGAAGACGGATAGGATAAGTGTGTGGGCTGTCAATCCTAGTGACGGGGTGGCGCTGTTTCGCGCCCATGAGATCGAGTTCTCTCCAGTAGGGTGTGAAGAGGAACCTTGCACGGCGCGGGCGACGGGGTTGCGTGTTGAGGACGATTATAGGACGGGGTATTGGTTTGAGTTTGGTGCGGTGGGGCTGAGGGAGGTGGATGTTGCGCACGAGGTGCGGGGGGCGGAGGAGTTTTACGAAGTGACGACGTTTACGAGGCCTAGGGAAGGTATATAGATAGATGCTCTAGATTGATTGATTGATTGATTCTAGCGATTTGAAGTAATAGATTCGATCGTATTACTCGGTAATCGGTATAACAGAAGCCCAGGTGGCAGGTCATATTGTTGTGTTCCATTCACTAACTACAGACAATACAGCATTCCGTAAAGTGTCTATGTGGGACTGTACTGTCTGTGGACTTCTATAAACTAATCCAGAACACTTTAATCACTTATTTACAGATGTAAAACAAAGGTAATTGCTCGTAGGCGCAATATGTAGTATTCTTCTCTGATACACAAAAATATAGAACCATGGCGCTCCCCATCCTCCCCCCCCCCCTCACCCACCTCCCATTACCCATCCCACCCCTTTTCTCGACCTCCTCCCCCCCCATCCTTTCTGGAAGTCCACCTAAGAACCACCGCGAAATTGTCGACGTAAGTCCTTATCACGCCCTCGAGGCTGTAGCGGAAGCGGGTCGTGACGCGGAAGGAAGAGGAGGCATCACGGCAACGGGCAATGATTACCTCTAATCTATAGCCTAGACTGAAGTTAGGGTGCACGATGGGAGACACACGCGCGTTGCAGGGCGGGATACTCGTCTTTGCCAAGGGAGGATTGTCCTAGCGCCGCAGGATGATCCAACCTTCATAATACTCACCACCATAGCGAAGAAGCCGTGGTAATGGCTTCTTCAGCCAACAATGACAAGACCTTACGTCTTGGGCAGCACGAGTCTCATCGACAGCTTGCACATCACACCCCTCCCCACACAATCACTCACATCCAAAAGGCACAGGCACAAGCACAGTTAACGATCAAGAAACGAAGATTCTTCATTCATCCTATCTCCCCCCACTCTCTCCACCCCCAAAAAAACTAAGAAACCATAAATGTAACAAAAAAAAAAAAACTAAAGATCCCCCACCCCCTGCTCCGAAGCCAGATAGATATATTTCGCATCGCGCATCGACCAACAGAGCGTGAAATAGATAAAAGACGATCCACAATTTCGCAGATGAAAAAACAAAAGGTGTATACATAAACGCGTACATCCATACAACCCCCCCCACTCCCATCCCCGGGTCATTAGAAGAAACAGAAAAAGGGGGGGTATCAGAAGGAAGTCAGAAGATCGACATGAAAGGGAGGGAAGAGGGAAGTCAGAAGGAAAGAAAGAAGAAGACTAGAAGCAATTCAAGCTCCCCTTCTTCTTCTTACTCGCCACCTTCCCCATCCTCTCCTCCAACTGCTTCGTCACCCGTTCCGCCTCGCCCCTCTTCCTCCTCTCCGCCTCCCCTCTCTGAATACTCCACCTCGCCTCCCCCCCGCCCGCATCGCTCTTCACCCTCTCCAACTCCCTAACCTTCGCCTCAGCAACCTGCTCCTCCAACTTCCGACTCTGCTCCTCCAGTCTCCTCTTCGCCTCCTCCCCCCCGCGTTTCGCAGCCTCAGCCTCCATAGCGCGCCTCCTCCACGCCTCCGCCTCAGCCTTAACCTTATTACTCTGCCTCTCCAGATCCGTGAGCGCCTCCTCCAGCGTAGCCGTAAGCTGCTTCTCAGCGCTAAGATGCTTCTCAATACTCCTAATCTTCGCCTCCTGATCCTCCTGCATCTGCGCCAGCGCGAGCGTCGCGTCCTTCGGGCTCAGCGGCGCTGACAGAGACAGGGAGTTCGGCGGGATCGAAATATGCGGGATCGGCGGCAAGGGCCCAGCGGGAGGCGGCGACGGGATGAGCGATTGCACGCTCGACGTCTTGCGGATGGTCGAGCTGCTGCTGTTGGATGTGCGCGCCCCGGCCGTGTTGTCAGAGAGGGCGATCTCATCCAGCTTCGCCTGTGAGACGGCATCAGCGCCCGTCCAGCTTCCGGCGCCCTGCGCGCGAGAGCTGCGGGGACTACTCACCTGGAGTGCTGTGTACTCCTCCCTGACGGCGTTGAGCTCCTGCTCGACGCGCGCTCTGGCGGCATTCGCCTCGTCGAGCTGGGAATTGCGCTCGCTTTGGAGGGTGCTGAGGCGGTTGTGGGCGGCTTGGTGCTGGTCGAAGTTCGCGGCGAGTTGGTCCTCGAGTTCTTCTACCAGGCGGGAGTTTTTCTTGTTCTTGGTCTCGAGGGCCGACATCTCGGCGCGGAGGACTTCGAGTTGCTCCTTGACGGTTGTGTGAGCGGCGGTGGGGACGGCGGCGAAGGCGGTGGTGGTGGAGAGGAGGGTGGCGAGCTCGGACTTGACGGTCTCGAGCTCCTTCATTACCTTGTCGTTTATGGATGACAAGTCGAGGACGTGGCTTTCCATCTCTGCTGCGCGGGTCTTCTCGCCGGCTAACGCAGCATGGGCGGTCGCCAACTCGGCGATGCGGTCTTCCAGCGCGTCGACGCTAGCTTCAACCCCAAGAGCAGCAGCGACCTTCTCAGCAGCGCTGATGAGCCCCTCACGGGCATCCATGAGCTCCTTATTCATAGCCTCAAGACTCACCTGATGCTCCGCCGCCAGATTCGACAGCACAACCTCCTGCTCCGCCTTCCCGCTCTCCCTAACCTCCTCCACCTCCCTCGCATGGCTAGCGTGCAGTTCAGCCAACCCATCCTGGTGAGCCTTCACCACACCCTCATGCGCGGAAATCTGCTCCGAAAGCCTTGACACGAGGGACTTGTGCTCCTCTGCCTCGGCGGCAGTGAGATCACGCGCCTTCGCCGTATCAGCGAGCTGCGACTTTGTCAGCGCGTGCGCCTCTTCCAGCTGGGCGATCTGAGATGCGCTCGCTTGGACAGCAGAGCGGTGCTCGTCGATCTCCTTCTGCAGGCTCGACACGCGCTCTTCGTGCTGTGCTTGTTGGGCCTCGAATTCCTCGACGGGGATACCGCGTTCAACTTCCTTCTCTGGCTCGGGCTCGCGGGTTGAGACGACGACGGCTGCTCCGGCTGCTGCAACGGCTGTAGCTGCTGCGGCGGCCGCGGCGGCGGTGGCAATCTCGTTGTCGCGCTGGACGGCCTTGATTTGGTTCTCGAGCTTGGTGATGGTGTCTTGTAGCTGCCTCTCGCTTCCTTGCATCGACTGGAGGGCCTCCTGGTGTCTGCCCTCCCAGTTCTTCAGCTCGTCTTCTAGCTCTGCAATCCTGCTCTCGCGCTCAGCGTTGGCTCCATCTTGCTCCGCCTTAGCACTCTCCTGCTCCTCCGTCGGCACCGAGCGCTCAGTCGACTCAGCCTCGACATCCTTCGCCGCAACACTCGCAGCAGCAGCAGAAACAGCAGCAGCAGGCGCAGGCTTAACACCCGCCTCCTTAATCGCCCTCCTCAATCCCTCCACCTCCTCACCCAACTCCGCCTCCCTCTTAGCATGCACCTCCTGCTGCACCCTCAACTCATTCTCACTCCTCATTATCTGTTCCTGCATGCGACTAAGCGCCGACATATCAATCGGGGCCTGACTAATACTACTCCTCTCCCTCGTCAACCCCGAGATAATCGACATCTTACTCTCCATCTCCTTCTTCACTCCCAACATATCCGCCTCGAGCTCCTGCACCCGCTCCGAGCGCGTATGCAGCTCATGCATCGCAGCGTTGAGGTTAAGTTCGAAATTCTGCATCACATCCGGCTGCGCCTCGAAGTGCTCGGAGGCGATGTTGCGGAGGGACGCGAAGGAGCGGTGCGCGCGGTCGATGATCATCATGCCCTGGCTCGACTTGCGGCGGATGACGGGGCTGACGGTTTTGGGTGACTTGGGGACCATGTCCATCTTCGCCTTGTGCACCTCCGTCTTGAGTTCCTCGACCACATCCAGCGTCTCTGCATGCTGTTCCTCAAGCTGCGCGTATTTCTCCGCCAGCTCGAGCTGTGCGGCTTCCCGCTCAGCGGCGAGGGCGCGAAGACTCTCGACTTCAGCAGCAATAGCTTCATCTTGTACACTGACGCTCCTCAGCTGCTGCTGCTGCTCCTCCTCAACCGCACGCTCCTCCTCAGCGTGGGGAACAGGAACAACCGCACCCTCCCCGCCCTCAGACGCATGCGCAATCAACGAGGGCGACTCCCCAACCAAGAACAACTCCGACGAGAGCGATCTCGACTGCGCCTCTCCCGCGGAATCTCCAACGGCTAAAAAAGAAGTCGGGCGCGTCTGCGCCGGCGTCGCGGCAGATAACATGCTATCCCTCTTCGCGTTCCCGTATGGCTGGCGACCCTCCTCGACGACGTCTTGGAGCTCGGCGAGCGCGCGGAGCGCTTCTTCGTATTTAGCTGCTAGGTTCTCGTATTCGCTCACTGTGGACTCGTGAGTCATGCGGAGGTCGAGAAGCTCGGCTGTCACGACGTCGATGGTGGGTTTGCGGCTTAAAGTGGGGGTGCGCGCGCGTGTGTCGGAGGGGGTGGATGCCTCGTCCGCGTCGAGGGGCTCGCCGTTGTCGACGGGGCCGTCGGTTTCAGAGTGCGTGCTGCCATCTGGGCTGAGTGCTGGGACGTCATTGGGGGTGCGGCGTCCCTCCTCCTCCTCCTCCTCTTCATCGTCGAGAGAGCGGGGTTCAGAGCCTTCAATCTCGTCGCGCTCGTGGATGACCTCGGATTGGCCGTGTCTGCTAGCGTAGCTCATGTTGCGGGAATGCGGGATCTTGCCGTTGGTGGTGGCGGGGGCGGGTGTCTCGGCGGTGGCCTCACCTTGACGCACGCTATCGAGTTCGTACAGGAGTTTGTCGAGTTTGCCTAAGCTGCGTTGGCGCTCGACGACGTGCTCGAGACGCTCGATCTCGCGGCGCATGACCTCGGCATCGGAGTCGGACTCAGCGAGACGCTCTTCGAGAGTAGAGATGTAATCCTCGCAGCTGGCCTCATTCTCCCTAACCCTCGCGATCTCCTTCCTCAGCTCAGCCACGATGGCCGAGTTCTTCTCCTCTCCGCTCGTGTGGCCATCAAGCTTAATCTCGAGATCATGGAGGTAATTCTCCGTGCTCGCCTCGCGGTCCATAAGCTTTTGTAGGCGGGCTTGGAGCTGCGAGTTCACCGTCTCGATGTACGCGCACTTAGTCTCGCGCTCGAGAAGAGTAGTCTCCGTATTCGACAGCGACGCGCGCGTGCTAGACAGCGATTGCTCAAGGCTACGGATCGTCTCCTCGTACTCCAGCACAACCTGCTCAACAGCCTCCGCAAACGCATTCGAGCGCTGCAGCCTCTCCGTCGCGCGATCGCCAAGGTTCTCCTCCTTCGTCGCATTCTCCGCTATCTCCGTATCGCGCGCCTTGGTCATCTCAGAGATGAGCTTGGCGTGGCGCGAGCTAAGCGCATTGTAGCTCTCCTGGCTATCCAAGAGCTGGTTCTGGAGATCAATCTCCGCGTCATTACGGCGATCAGAGCGTGCGCTTGTAGTTCCTCCATGTGATGCAGGGTTGTCGTTACGGTCTGAGCTGCGGATTTGCTCGCGCAGGAAGGCGACCTCAGCCTTGAGGCGGTCGATGAGGGCTTGCTTGTCTGTCTCGTCTGAGACCTGCTGGATGCGGGGTTTGCTCTGGATAGCGCGGGCGCGCTGGGCGTACTGGACTGTGTTGAGGGTCTCGCTGAGATGGAACTCGGCTGGCGTAACGCAGGCAACCATGTAGGTGATTGCGTTGCCTCCCAGCGAGTCCTGGAGCATGCGCGTGAGCTTCGAATCACGATATGAGACGTGCGATCCTGCTTGGCGGGAGGAGAGTTGCGAGATGACTTTGCCTAAACTGGCGAGTCCGGCGTTGATGGAGATTCCCTCCTTAGCTCGCTCGCCCTGCGCACCAGTATTCTTGAGACGTTCGCTACCAGCCAGATCGACGAAGTGGAACTTGCTATCAATTGTAACCCAGCTCTCCGATCCAGTCATAGCCTCAAGCGGGACCGAGAATCGCTTCTCAGACTTCGGCGTCGGGCCACCAGTGCTACTCTTGCGCTGCACGAGATTCAAACTGAAAACCGCATGCGAGCGAGACGACTTAGCGTTTATGGCCGTAGAATCCGTCTGCCTAATCATGGACCCGAAATTCAACGCATTAAGCAGATCCTCCACCGAATTAACATCCACGGCATGCAGTCCCGTCAGCAAAATATGCCCCTTCGTATCCTCGCGAATCGAGACCTGTCCCCGCTCCGCCATGGGCACATGCTCCGGCACCAGCAGATCGCGCAGCTGCTCATTATAAATCTCGACATACGTCGCCTTCAGCGTCCAGTTCTTCTCGGCGGGCTTCCCGGCATACGCGCCGGGTTGCGCGGAATACCTCTTCGGCGCGCGCAGGGCGGACATGGAGTCGCGGTTGCTCGCTGGTTTCGGGCCTTCGAGTTTCTCAAACAGCGCAGCGGCAGCGCGTGGGATCACACCTAGGGTACGTGTCAGCATGTAAGGCCAGCGGGGTCGACTTGCGCCATGAAAATAGGGTGTGAGAGAATAGCACCTGTCGACTCACCCATGACATCCATGTCGCCCTGGTCGTCGGGGCCGGATGTTCCCATGGTGTATGATTTCCCAGCTCCTGACTGGCCGTAGGCGAGCATGGAGACGTTGTAGCCCTGGACGAAGGCGTTGACGCTCTCGGTGAGGTATTCCCAGACGCCTTCTTGGTTGACGTCCTCGCCGAAGACGCGGTCGAAGACGAAGAGCTTGCGGCCTTGGGGGGAGTCGATTGTAACGCTTGTTGGGGAGGTGACTTGCACCATTGATCGCTGGAATCGTTGCGGCACAAGTTCGTATCCTGGGTCCTCTGGTCGGAGCGGCGGCCTGACGCGGATAGCTGGAATCTGTTAGCATACGTAGACTCCCAATTCCCGTTCCAAACAATAATAATAATCCCACACGACAGTCCCACTGCAATTATAAAATCCCCTGGGATGTAGGCGACTCACCAACTCTCACACTCGTCTTCCCATCCTCATCCGACGCTCTACTCCCTCCTGCCCCTTGTCCCCCAAGCTTCCCCGTCATGCTCAACCGGCTCGTACTCCTCGTCGACGGGCGCACCAACACGCTCATCGGCCGTTGCGCAGGCACATCCGGCGACCCCGGCGGAGAGGTAGCCATCGCGGCGAACAAAACGCGCGGTGGTGTATGTGGTATTATTTTTGGTAATCTGGTTGCTCGTCTCCGAGAGGTCGTGGTCGTTAGGTCGACGGCATAGGGTGCGCGGATTCGCTTGGGTATGGTATGAGGGTTTTGATGTCGTGAGAGAAATTCGGGGTTCGGGGGTATTATTATCTGGGGTGGTGGTGTCGGAAGAAGGGGGTGGTTGTCGTCGACGCGTTCGCTAAATTAAAATAAAAGGGACGTGTGTACTGCGCGTGTGTTTATCTGTTCTGTTTTCCCCTGAGGTTTCTATAATGGATCTTTTGTTTCGTTTGCAGTCGTGGCGATATGGAATCGATGTGTTTGTTTTTGCTTGTATGATTGCAAGACTTTTGTGTGTGTGTGTGTGTGTGTGTAAAGTGAAAATGTTCTGGATATGGGTGTTTGGGGATAGGTAAAATTGGCTCTCAGACAATGTCAGTCACGAAAAAGAAGGGGAGGGCAGGATAAGAAAGATGGGTGTGACACGGGCGGGAAGGGGTGTGAAGGGTGTGGATGTGGAGTGCAGTGGGAAGGGGGATGGCAGGGGTGGAAGGGGTGACAGGGGGGTGGGTGTAGGGGGGCAGGGGGTTGGATGTGTGGTGGGAGTGGGAGTGGGCGAAGGAGGGATGGATATGGATTGGATATGAATGGAGCTAAGATTATTATTCAGATTGTGTTATTTATTGCCCTGTGCTTGTGATTGTGCCTGTGCCTGTCCTGGGAATTAATTAGTATAGTAGCTAGGAATTAGTAGTAGTGCTAGCCAGTAGTATAGTAGTAGTAGGAGTATAGTAGCTGGTAGTAGTATAGTAGTAGCTAGTAGTGTAGTAGTAGAAAATGGGAGGAAGTAAGAAAATGGGAGGAAGCAACCCTGTAGGTTAGAGTGGGAGAAGTACCAGTACATGCATAAGTGTGCATTAAGGGAATTGACTGTAGATGGAGACAGACAAAACCTCTAATTCCCTACTAATTGCCTACAACTCCCTACAAATCTAACTCTACTCTCTCTAGTAAACACACCCCTCTGACAACCGAGATGTACCTCTACCTGTCCCTCTATACCGTCCCAACTGTGACATACACCCAGCCGATGCGATATGTATGCTGTCCATCTGTCTCCATATCACAAAAAACCAACCCGGGTACACACATGTACCCCTAATCACTCCTCCCCCCATCCATCCACACAAATCACTCTAAAGATACATACGTACCCAGCCTCTACTCCCCACTAGACCACCGTTTAGTAGCAACCAAGCAACCAAGCAACCAAGAAACCAAGCAAAAAGCACAACAGACACCCTGCTGTCCCTCCCTATCCCTCTCTGTCGTCCCAGCACCAGGTGTGCTTTGCGCGGAGCATGTCATCATCCGGCGGGTATCCACATGTATTCTTAGTCAGGATTCGCTCCTTTCGCCTACCAGAGTTTTGCTAAATGTACATACCGTCTACCTAGATGGTATAACAGACACTGTTGTCCCCCTTCTGCTCTGTCCCAGCAGGAAGCAGTAAGCACCACCAGGTGGGCTTTTTTGTTTATGCTACAGGAGCAGACGGACGGGTAGACGCATGTATTCGTAATCACTAGTTGAGCGTATTTAGCTATTGATTTTCTCTAAAGATACCGTGGTCTACATACGCCCTTTACCTACCTACCACCAACAACTAAACTAAATACTACATATAACAAACTCGTAACATCACCAACCCGCCCTTTAATGACAGAAGTTACACCCCCGTTACAGCCGCCCATCCATTCCATCCATTCCAGCACGCACGCACCGTCATAGTATCACCAATCCAGTCCAGTCCACGTAACCTATCCCCCATATCACATAACCCCCATCATACCGCATAACCCCCCTCCCCCCCATCCCTCCTCCGCGGACTCCAACCCCCCATACCCGCCAATCCATCACTTCTCACCTTCTTCTCTTCTCTCTCCTCCCGCAAAAAAAAGCAACACTAAAATAGTGCATCCACACGGGAGGAGTTATGCATCTCCCCCCCTGGCGCTAACGAGTCCATAGCGCGGCGGGCGTATGCAACAACTACTTATCCGCGGTCCCGATCTGGTTGTCTGGCTGGGTGGGTGTGGGTGGTGGGTGGCTTCTTGCATGCATTCGTGGGTTGGGAGGACGGTTGGTTGGTGGTACGTGGTGGTCGTCTGGTGTAAGCGATGCGGGAACGGGATCCGTGGGGAAGGAAGGAAGGGTCTCTGTGCGTTGTTGGTAATGGTAGCAAGCAGCATCAGTGGTGTTGGTATGGTAATACAGTGTTAGTAGGCGTCAGTAGCATCAACACCGGCAGCTACGGAAGCACAACAGCGCCGCGCCAGAAGTACAACCCCATTCTACGCCTCTCAGGGATACAGCAGTAGCACCAGCACCAGCAGCGAGCGGACCCCCCCAATCCACCGCATCCACCACCACCACCGCCGCCGCCGCGGATGGGATCGACCACCTATCCCGCCATCACCCCCAATCCAGCCCATCGTGCCGCCCTTTCGTAGTCTAACACCATATCGAGCGACGCACGTATGCCTAGAGAGGTTATAGGGGCGGGATACACGCTTCTTCTTGGTCTACGCCGAGGCTTCGTCTCTCCTTGAAGGTCTTGGTCCTCTTCCCGAAGCGGACGGGGCGGGTGGTAGTGTATGTAGGTGGGTGGAAGTGTGTATGTATGGATGTATGGAAGTAGGTATGTATGGAAGTGAGGCGTACTTTGGCGAGTAAGGGCGGTCTGAGACATGGCTAAGATCAGATGAGGTTGGTGAGACAGGTGTCATGACATTGTGGCGAGGGAGGTGAGGGGGTGTGAGATAGGTCGTTTTTTTGGTACTGTGCGTAAGATGGAGGGGTGAGTTGGGTGAGTGCGCGAGTTCGGTGAGTGCGCGAGTTGGGTGAGTGGGTGAGGGGAGGAGGGAAAGGGAGAGTGGGAGAAGGCGAGGAGAGGGAGAGGAGGGAGAGGAGGGAGAGGAGGGAGAGGAAGGGGGAGAATAAGAAAATAGGGGGGTGGCAAGTGAGTGGGCGATACGCTGAGCTGACGAAAGATATCTTTCACCACCACATCATCCTCACAGCTGGGTAGGGAATTCTAGCCGCCGCCACCAGATGTCGGAAATCGACACCTCATCCCATCCATCCCCCCTCGCATCGCCATTCCAGGCTTTCTTACCAATCCCTTACCACACACACACACGACCAACTAAAAACATGTCTAATCTGTCTAATTTCCCAATCCAGCACCCCCCCCAAAGGGGCTCCTCACGTGACCCCCCATCTTCCCGATCCCAAATGTTTCGAAACACCGAATCGGGAGATTAGATTGTTGGGAGGAAGGAAGAAACGAAGGGAAAGTGGGGTCACATGCTGGGCTGGGCGTTTTCCACGTGGGTTGCCTTGCCCGCCCGCCGTTGAGCTAGTAGGGGACTAATCTTAGTGGGTTATAGCTATATCGGAGGGGAGGGAGGAGTTTTTTTTACGAGGGATGAGGGACGGAAGAGGAAGAGGAAAGTGTAGGTTGTAATCTCCGCTGTGGGCTATGGAAGGTTAGAAGTCGCGGAAGTTGTTCGAGATGGGAAGGGGCGGGAGGTGGCAGTTGGTAGATGGGTGGGGTGTGTGGGTTTGTAAAGGTTGTTGGGTTTGTTTGATGGACATACTGCACGCACGGCGTTGTCGTTTTCTTACAGAGTTATACAGATGGCATAGTTGTCATCTTCTTAGAGAATTATACAGACGACATACTTATACACACATCGCACACGCAATCCAGTTATACAATCCAATGCAGCAGTGAGATGAAGGAAGGCGGGCGCTTCACAAAGCCACGCCGTTGGATATCACTCATCACACATCCCAATCCATAACCCATCCCCCCAACCCTTCCCCATCCGTACCCCCAGCACCAAACCAAGTGAGCCCAGGAAGTAAGCCCATCCATCCATCCACCCGCCGCCGTTGTCCCCGCTAAATAAAAAGCGCCGATATGGACAGGCATCGCGATGAGCGGTGGTCCACAGACACAACTCTAGACACCCATCTATCAACCCAGGCACCCAGACACCCAGCCAGACACACGGCAGCAGTCAACTTACCCAGCCGCCCAACTTTGGGTGATGACCAGACAGACAGCCAGGCACACAGTAGCCCACCCACCCGCTCGCGCCCGGCTCTCGGACATCAGTCCGGGGTTGAGGCCTGGAGATGCATGTGATATGGGGATCTCTTATACCCCCCGTCCCTCCTCTCGGTCACATATATGGTGTGTGTTCGTCCGAGAGTCTGGATGGGAGGTAGGGGGATGGGATGGGATGGGGAGGGATGGGGTGCAGAGAGGTAGGGACAGGGTAGGAAGGGCTGCTGGTTTTTTGGAGGGGGTTCCGATGTTTGTCCGGGGGAACTGGGTACTGGGGAGAAACGGCTGGCTGACTTGATGACCGACCGCGAGCTGGGGATGGGGATGGGGACGTTGAAGCTTTGGTGGAATGGTGGTGAGTGGTGAGTGGTGTGGCCGGTGGTGGGTGTCGGAGACGGAGACGGAGTGGGTATCCCCGGCAACCCCTCCTCTCCTCTATCTCTTACCACTACTACTATCACTACTATCACTCTCAAGCCCTCCCTCCTGCTCTTCGTACTAACAAACAACAAGCACCACCGCCGCCACCACCACATCCCCATGTATCCGTCCGTTTATTACCCCATACTATCACAAGCCAAATGCGCCATATAGCTGGTATCACAGTCGCTAGGCACGCCAGCACCGAAAAGTATACCCGAGTCTGGGGGGGTAGCCGGCGAACGGACCTACAGTACAGTACCCCCACTATGCAGGTTGACGAGGGGTCTGAGGTTAGTGATGTGATGGGTAGAGCGTAAGGCTCGCTGGGTGAAAATTTTGCTGGGTTATTTGTTTGCGAGGAGGAATTGGGTTTTGTTTCTTGGATCAGAATCTGCCTTATTCCCTCAATCGTGTTCCTATACACTCACTCCAGGAAGGGCCTCTGGTCACCAACCCCCACCACACCCTCTCCCTCCCACCCAGTCCTCCATCCTCGGCCGTTTCCCCATTCCCCCTCTCATCTCCCCTCTCTGCCTCACTACACCCCCTCACTCACCTTCTTCCCGTCCTCTCTATCCCTAATCTCCCTCATCTCCCTCATCTCCTTCCTAAATCCCATCAGTCCCATCCCATCCACCAGTACCCCAGATCTGCACAACCCCTCCTCATCTCCCACTTCCCCATAACCTCCCACACCACACAACACCCCCCAAGGATCAAGACCCAAGGTCCAAACGGCCCGCCCCCCGCTCTCTCGCGCACGCACCCCGCGTTTTCCCCCGCGTTAAGGCCCGTTATCTATCATCTCACCTACCCACACACGCTTCATCGCATCGTATCGCGCGGTAGTGGGTGGGCGTCCACGTGGTGTGGTGTGTAGCGAGGGGGAGATCGGGGCTATGGGTTGGCTAGGGGCGGAGGGGGGGCTGGGCGATGGAGTGGTGTGATGGGGAGGAGGGGTGGGAGGTGTCAATGCCGAGGGGGAGATCTTGTGCTGACGACTGGAATGGTGTGGAGGGGTTGGATGGCGGGAGTGTTTATGGTTGAGGTGAAGGAGTTCATTTAGGGGTTCAATTGATAAATGAGCTGCTTAGAGATCGGGTTAAAGAGATATATTCTAAGAGTATAAGTATTATAAGAGCTTAAATCTCTAGTATTAATTCCCAATGATACACAATCACTTTCACTAGCCATTCGTATACGATATATCGTAGAGCAGGGCAACGAGGATTATCATTAGAAATAGCACACCATAACACCATAACACCACCTCAATCCCATCCAATACCCCCTAATACCCGCACAAATCCGTCCTTCATTTCACCGGCATATCCCATCCTATACCCCCTCTACCGCCCTCCATCCCCATCCAATACCCACCCCCTCCTCCCTCCTTCCTCCTTCTATCTACCAGCAGCGCACGCTCCCCGCCACCTCACCGCCCCTCCGCGCATCACTACGAACGCTACTAACACTACTAAGCTGAATCGACATCCATCTCCGTCCCGACCCGCCGCGATGCGGTGAGGACTACAATGCATGAATGACAGATGCACTGATGACGTGCACTGGTGCGCCTTGCCACGCGACAGGCGAAAAAGGAGGAGAGGCGTGATCAATTGCCTATCATTCGAGCTTGGGCCTCCTGTTCTTGGGGGCTGGGAAACTGGATTGGGCTAGGGGTGATAGAGAGGAGAGGAGGGTAGCAGGGGGGAGAAGAAAGATCGGATGAAAAAAGCGGGTGGAACAGGGCTGGGCTGGGCTGCGATTTCTTAGCTGATGTGCTAGGGAAGGGTGGCGATGCTAGTAGCTCTGGTGTTGGCGAGGAAAGATATGGAGGGGTGAGAGTGGGTGTGGTCGCGTGGGGAGGGGCAGGGAAGGGGATTAGTGGCGGGGAAGGGGGGAGGGGAGGCTCGTGGCGAGGTGTGTAGGTGATGGGTGGTGATGGGGGAGGAGCGGGTATGCGGTTTTGGATTGAGTGCGAAGTGGGACGGGAGGGGGGGACTTGGGTCCTTGGGTTTCTGGGGAGGTTGGGACTCTGAGGGTGATTGTGACGGGGAGGCCACGAGGGGTGTCATGGGGGCCGAAGAAGGGGGTTGCAGAGGAAAGGCACCCCGAGGAGTGACGTGGCGACGGCGATGTTGATGGTGATGCAGATCAACATAGGTCTAGGCATAGGTCTGAGTGCCGAGAATGGATGAGGTTGGGAAGTAGATGGATAGTTGTTCTTCGGTACTGGGTCGGTAGTTGAGGTGAAGAGTTGTCGAGAGGAGGGGGGCGTTTTTATTGCTCGTCATCTGATGTCTTTCTATATGCCTATCAGCTTTATAGTCCAAGTCTAGTGGTAGTAGTAGGAAAAGGGGCTCTTTCTTGCCACTCGTCTGGTATGGGCAACGCCCCTTTGTGATTCTCTGTCAACAGCCCCTGAATGTTGATTACTAAGGTCGAGTTGAGCTTTTGCTGACTTTCGTGGTAGTCGATGGCCCCTTTATGTTCATAAATATGATAACTACTCAGAATTGTACTATATCCGATGACAATGACAAAGTCTAATTCAAATATGGTAGAGTCCTACATTGTTAAAGCCTTGATAGTGTGGGCTATATTACGGTGGCTTCGTCATTTTATTACGTATAATTTATTGAGTCTTGAGTAACTGAACGCATTTACTTGAACTACAGTTGCTGCAAAGCGTGATTGTTGTAGCCTCGAGTGATTAACCATACCTACTTGAACTACAGTTGCTGTAAACGGCGCTTGTAACCTCAGGTAATTTAGAAAACCTATCTGAATTACAGCTACTATAGACAGTGCTGTTATTCACATTCCCTCTCTAGACTTTTAGAGAGGACGAGTCCAATTAATAGAATAGCATAGGCATCATACTCGACCACTGATTGAGTCATACGATCAGGTTGCCAATCGCACCAGTTGGGCTAACCTCCCATCCAAAATTATCATCATAATCTGAGTATTCTATGCCATCGAAAGCGATTGCCATAATTCCTATTCGTAGTGACAAAAAAGCGAGGTTACGAGGTTGTGAGACGACTTCTGACGATTCACCCTTTCTTAGTCCCCCCTAGTCTAGTCAATCTCCGCCATTTTCACTTGGTGGCTCAGCCTCCTTCTCTTACACTCTCCATTACATAGGCTTCGCAGCCATTAAGTATCGTGCCATCTAGGATATATACAAAGCCACTCCCCTACTCAACTCTTCTAGATACTATATGACTTATGTCCCCACCCAACAACCCCCAACGCATCTCCGAACCCGCCCCCGTTGGACCAACCCACACATCAAAAACGAGATGATTAATCCCAGGTCCAAATCCCTTCACCATCGCCACACTCCTAACCTCAACATTTATCCCCCCCTTTTCTTCTCCTCCTTCTTTCCCTTCCTCTTCCTCTCTTTCCGCCTCCCCCCTTCCACCACCGCCAACAACCCCCTCAACAACCTCCACAATCTCTTCTCCCCTCACCATCTCCTTTCGACCCGTTTCTTTAACATTCTCATGCACATGCATCCAACCCCCCTGACCCCCTCCCAAAAACATTCCTCCAACCTCCCACCCCAGCCTCGACGACGGCAATAAGCCTAGATTAACATGTCTCACCCTCCACCTCCCCTCCACCCCTCCCGCCATCCCCTCTTTTCCCAGCTCCTGCAACCCCTCCTGAAACCTCGTCCACGCAAACTGATTATCCTCTGCAAAAACAACCACACCCCTCTTCTCCACCGTCTCCCTAACCGCCTCCCAATCCACTGCCCCTTTCACCACAAGCACTTCAAACCCATTACCCACCGCACCGCGCCGTAGTCCTTCAATCGAAAACGGATTAATCTCCCACGCCAACACCGCGTACCCCCGCGAGAGGTAAGACAGTGTGAAATACCCGATCCCGGCGTATAAATCCACCGCTATTTGCACATCATCTTCCCCATCTCGCCCATCACTGCCACCAGAGGCATTGCCACCACCAGCACTAATAGCCTTCGACCACCACGACGCATCGCCGAAGCGGAGGACCCTCGCCTTCTCGGTCACATTCCCACGACTAAACATCGTCCAGCGCGGGGCCCAGGACTGGAAAATCCCGTTCTGTCTCGTCCGCACCCAGAACGCGTTTTCAAAATCTTCTTCCCCAATCGGCTCTCCCTCCCCAGCCCCTGCCGTTAACCCAGGACCAAGCGCCCATCTCTCGGCGGAAATGGCGGGGCCGAAGTCGCCGAAGAGAGTGTGTAGGTGCGAGGGGGCGCGGATGATATTCTCATCTTCGTCAGAACCGGGGATGGGGTGGTTGATAGCTAGATGCGTCACTTTCTCTCCCCCAAGTCGCATGATGGCGGCCAAGACGCCGGTCCATAGCTCATCTACCACTGCAGGAGGAGCTTTATCCAGCACGGCCTTCCAGGCGTCTGAGGATAGGCTGCCGGTGGGTAGGAGGGCCAATGGGGTGTAGACGGTGTATCGTTTAGGGAGGTTAGAGAGGAGAGACTCTTGAGTTTGTGAGTCAACTAGTGAGCTGACAGCGGGGTGAGAGAGAAAAGTGAGAAAGGGTTCGGAGAGGTGGTGTGAAGCTTTTGATACTGTTCCCGGTTCTCCTAGCGCGTTGCTCGCAGGCGAAACAGCCAGTAGCACAACAGAAATCCTTTCCATGAGGCCTGGTTCTGGGGGTGGTGAGGGAAGAACCGCGCGCGCCTCAGCTGGGGATGAAGATAGGGGGAGTAAGATGGTAGTCGGTATGCGTAGGTGTGGCGCGGAAACGGAAGAGGAGGGTGTTGAAGGGGTGTGAAAGATTTTCTCGAAGCGGTGGAAGTGGGAGGTGGATTCGAGCCATGATTTCACGTCCTTTGCGGATTGAGAAGGACAGTCTAGGTATAACCTCGCAATCTCCTCTCCCATGCCTGTTTCATCCGTGCCCGCTTCATCGAGCTGCTGTTTTATTTCTTCTACTCCTTGCGGCGGCGCATTGGTTGTTTCCATCGCCCACCTGGCTGTCCGTCCCGTGACGTTGAAGAAAGTCACGTACGGCAGTACAATCTCTATAGTACAGCTAGCGAGAGGTATTTTGTGGTATAAGGGCGGCGTTATGCTTGCGTATCGTGTGATGGCGGGGTATATAGTGGGGTATTGATACTGATGCCAAAAAAATATATAAGCGCGACCCTGGCGCGATTGGTGGTGCGGATACTCCCGTCCGTCACCGCGCCAAGCAATGGCATCCTTCCGCGGGGCTCATCGCAAGACGCCAGCCTTGGGCTGAAATGGGAGAACATACTCCCCACCGGACGAGGCCGTTCACGACAGAGGTTCCCAGTTACTGAAGTTGCTTTGCTGCCCTGTTACTTTGATAGCCGTTAGAGAAACCCTGAATTCGAACACCCAATATGGATCCACTCAGTATCACCGCAAGCATTATTGCTGTCGTACAGCTCACCAGCGTTATTATCGGATGTCTAAACGATTTGAAAGACACATCTAAGGATCGTGCGCAATGTGCAATTGAAATATCAAACGTCTCTAATCTACTCGTGACGCTAATGTACCGCCTCGATGAAGTGTCATCTAATGACGGCTGGTATGGGGAGGTGCAAGCTCTTGCTGCTGCCAACGGACCTATTGATCAGTATAGGTCTGCCCTTGAGCAACTGAAGTCAAAATTTACGTCGTCCGCTTCTAGTAGAACAAATATTGGCGGTGTGCTCAGCTGGAAATTTAGCAAAGAAGAGGTTGCCAACATACTAATGAGAATTGAACGGCTTAAATCGCTCACCCAAATCGCACTGGAGATGGATCATTTGTAAGGATATTTGCCCTAGATAGAAACTGAATGACTGACTAGAACAGCAAATTATCTCAAGCATTGAAGATCGATACCACTGTTATCACAAATACAGTCAGGTCACTACAGGAGAGTCAGGTCAGCGAACAATATCGCGTTATTACGGACTGGCTATCATCAACCGATTTCCCGGCTCAACAATCCGACTTTATTGGCAGAAGACAGGAAGGGACAGGCCAATGGTTCGTTGTATCTCCTGAGTTCACCAACTGGCTTCAAGGAACGAAGGAGGACCTATTCTGCCCTGGCATTCCTGGAGCTGGGAAGACAATGATCGCAGCGATCGCCGTTGATCATATATGGAAAGCCTTTCAAGGTGACAACGTCGGTGTTGCCTACGTATACTGCAATTACAAAAGACGAGAAACGCAGACCACTACAGATCTACTGGCTGCTATTCTCAAACAGTTGGTGCAGGAGCGTCCATTATATGGAAAACCAGTTACAGCTCTTCATATGCTTCATACTGGCCGGAGGACACGTCCATCGCTTGATGAGATCTGCACTGCACTCGACTCTGTTCTTAGCAATTACTCTAAAGCGTATATCGTTATCGATGCTTTAGATGAGTGCTCGGACAGCGACGGTACTCGCAGCGAACTTCTTGCTATACTCCGCGGACTACAGGCCAAGACCGACACAAGGTTAATGGTAACATCTCGTTTTGTCTCTAGGATTGAGCAATTATTTGAAGGATCCCCAATGTTGGAGATTCGAGCTAGTGAGGCAGATGTGAAGCGATTCGTTGCCGGCCAGTTGCATCGATTGCCAATGTGCGTCCAGCGCGATCCTGAATTACAGGCAGAAACACAAGACGGGATCGTTCTAGCAGTAGATGGCATGTGAGTATTTCGACCTATTCCAAATACGGTAGCTTACTATAATAAGGTTTCTTCTTGCTCGCCTCCACGTAGATTCTCTACGGGGTAAAACGACGAAAAAGGCAGTTAGAGCAACTCTCAAAAAGCTGCCTAGAGGCTCGACAGCACTGAACGAAGCATACGATGAAGCGATTGAGAGGATCGAAAGTCAACTACCTGAGGAATCTGAGCTAGCAAAAACCGTGCTTTCTTGGATTACCTACGCAATGAGACAACTTACAACCAAGGAGCTTGCTCATGCCCTTGCTGTCGAGGCAGGCGAGTCAGAACTCGACGAAGACAATATTCCAGATATTGAAGACGTAATCTCCGTTTGTGCAGGCCTAGTTACAGTTGACGAGGAAAGCGACGTCATTCGATTAGTCCATTACACTACTCAGGAGTACTTTGAGCGGGTGCGAGAAGTTTGGAATCCTAAAGCCCAGGAAGAAATCGCATCAACATGTTTAACCTACCTATCCTTCCAGACTTTCAGCACTGGCCGTTGCACTAACGACGAAGACTTTGCGAGCAGGATTAGGCAGAACCCCTTCGTAGACTACGCCGCTCGATACTGGGGAACCCACGCCCTTACCGTCCAGCAAACAATTAAAGAGCAAGCCCTACCATTTCTCTCCAACATGAATCAACTTGCATGCTCAGTCCAGTTTATGTTTCTTCCAAAGAATAGGTATAAGGACTATAGTCAAGACATGGCAATATATCTCACAGGTGTACACGTTGCTGCAGTCTTTGGAATGACATACTTGTTAAAAGAGCTAGTGCATGGCGATGGAGATAAAAAATGCGGGTGTGTAGATGCACCAGACTCGCGTCGTCGGACGCCGCTATGGCGGGCAGCAGAGAGTGGACAGGATGCAGTCGTGGCGCTACTCGTTAAGAGGGGCGACGTCGTGACCGACTCAAGGGATGTTCTGGGCCAGACACCGTTATCAGCGGCAGCAGGGGCAGGGCAAGCAGCAATTGTGGAGCTGCTTGCCGGACGAGATGATGTTGTAGCTGACTCAAGGGACATTAACGGTTGGACGCCGCTGACGTGGGCAGCGGAACGTGGGCACGAGGCGGCCGTGAAGGTGCTTATCGAGCGGGACGACGTTGTGGCTGACATATGTGGCAACGGCAATATGACGCCGCTATTGTGGGCAGCAGACCGAGGGCATGAGGCAGTTGTGAAACTGCTCGTTGAAAGGCATGACGTCGTAGCTGACTCTAAAGACAGAGACGGCCGGACACCGCTAATAATGGCAGTGCGAGGCAATCACGAGGCGGTTGTGAAGGTACTACTCGAGCGGGACGACGTTGCAGCTAACATGAAGGATAACTTTGGCCAGACGCCGCTATCTTGGGCAGCGGCGTACGGGTACGAGACAATCATAGAGCTGCTCTTAAAGAAGGGTGACGTTGTAGTTGACTCGAAGGATGATGAAGGTCGGACGCCGCTATTAAGGGCGGCGTGGAGAGGGCGTGAGGCAACTGTAAAGCTACTCCTTATGAGACACGATATTGTAGCGGACTCAAAGGATGATGAAGGTCGGACGCCGCTGTCAATGGCAGCAAGTAGTGGGCACGAGGCAGTTGTGAAGCTGCTCCTCGAGCGGGACGATGTCGCAGTTAACTCAAAGGACAGCTACGGTGAGACGCCGCTATTAAAGGCAGCGGCGATGGGGCACGAGGCAGTCGTACAGCTACTTATAGATCAGGACAATATTGTAGCCGACCTAAAGGACCTTAGGGGCCAGACGCCACTATCATGGGCAGCAGAAAATGGGCACGAGGCAGTTGTAAAGCTGCTCGTTGAACGGGACGACGTTGACCCCAACTCGAGGGATAATAACGGCTACACGCCACTATGGTTAGCAGCTAGGAATGTTGTGCCATCAGTTGCGAACAACCACGAAGCAGTTGTAAAGCTGCTCCTTACGAGGAAAGACATTGACCCTAACTCAAAGGATAACGACGGCCGAACGCCACTATCAATAGCAGTAGAAAAAGGACACAGGGAGGTTGTACAGTTGTTCCTTGAGAGGAACGACGTTGACCCCAACTCGGAGGATGAAGACGGCCATGCGCCATTATGGTGGGCGGGAACAGCGGTGGCAGTGAGGGGAACGTGGGAAAAGAAAGAGAGAGATAGGCTCGACGCAGTCGTGGAGCTACTCCTTAAAAGGGACGATGTTATAGTCGATTCGAAAAACAACGAGGGTCGAACGCTATTATCAATAGCAGCAGAGCAAGGGTTCGAGGCAGGAGTAAAGCTGCTCCTTGAGAGGGACAACGTCGACCCAAACTCGGAGGATAACGACGGCCACACGCCGTTATGGTGGGCAGGGAAGGAGAACGACGATGACAAATTGTTGCGAACGGCGGAGGAGAATCGCGAAACTGTCGCAAATCGCGAAGCAATCGTAAAGCTGCTCAGCGACCGAATAGCGGATGATAGGAAGAAGGCACGAACGGAGGATCACATCGAGATTACTTCCTAGACAAGGACAAATCACCAATATATAGTCCAGCCAAGCTAGCTCTAGGAGCAATAAATATGACTGAAACTACGTATGGCAGTCAACCGCTACTAACAAACAGAGATAGCCCTAATATCTTTATAAACTTCCTCCTTCATGAAGGCTTCTTTTTACACTCCTCATCCCCCCCCCCCCNNAGGTAGATCACTGCATCCCCCCCCTCCCCCCCCCCCCATCCCCCGCCCCAGCCCCCCCTTCCCCCCTTCCCCCCTCCACACCTCCCCCCCCCCCGCCCCCCCCCCGCCCCCGCCCCCACCCCCCCCCCCCCGCCCACTTTTTCTAATATCAAGTCAGCGAGAATGGACCCCCTCGTTAACCTGTCTCTCTCTGTCACCACCCCCCCCCCCACCCCTAATCTCCAAAATAAAATAAACCAGCCGAATCTCACCCCGCTTTGTTTTGTCGCGTGTAGCAGCCCATTTTGAGCAGGTTATCAGACCAGATTTCCCCGTCAGGAGGTCGGTGTGTGTACCAGTAGCTAGGGGAGAACATGGGATGAGAGTATCTAGGGATGTATGATAATGATTATAGATGTTATAGGGAAAAGATATCAAACAACATTGCTGAGGAATAAAATGAGGTGTTACATTAAGACTACTCCCTAGACAAGTCAAATTACCAATCCCTAACGTTTGCCTCCTACCACCTATTAAAACCACCACGATACTAAATCTCACAACAAGTCACTCACTCCCAAGAAACGAAAGAAGAACAAACCTCAAAACCTCGACAAAAAAAATCATACCCTCTAAACCCAAAACTTAAAAGATTATTCTACGCCCCACTCCCTACCGCCTATCAAAACTCCCATCACAATACTCTTAATGGCAAAACAACAGTCACTCTGCAGCAGTCACCACCACCAAGACGCGGGCAATATTAGTGATCTTTCGTCCGGGGAGAACGCAATGCTGGCGGTTATGGTTACCGATTGCTTATTGTTGGTATGGGGGCTTATTGTTGGTATGGGGGGTAGTGATGGCGGGGTTGTTTAGAGCGAAGTAGAGGAGGGATCATGAGAGGAAAAGAGGAGTAGAATAAAACGTAAGAAAGCAATCATCATTAGTTCAAACATCTGCCATGACCCTAGGATGCAACACCGTACTGCAATAGAGGGGTACAGTACTACTTCTGGCCGAGGCGGCTGTATTGATACAGCGAGCATTTGATGGACCCAGCATCTTGTCTTTTGAAAGTGAGTTGCCGCTCTGCAGCACAATTTATGTTCGAAAAACCTGGCTAATCTTAGGATCGACATAACATGTGCACTTGTTAACAGTTAATGAACAGTGGAATGGCGAATTGAGTCTGTAGAGGAGAAGACTATACTAAGGGGAATCCCAGAGTTGTTAAAAATCGAATCTGCTGGAAGCTTATCACAAAGCTTGGCTAAAGTCCTTATCTATAATGTCAACTATACTGCCTCAGCGCAGTCCCAACCTTTGCTTTCGATTATAGTAGGAGCCCACTTGACTGCAAAGTCGAAGCAACACTGTTCTAACAGACATTGGGTCGTTCCTAGAATAAGATGCTGTACGTTGTATAGAATGGACGCAGGACGCAGTAAAGGCACTTTTGATTCCACTTGTACAGGAGTTTTGAGCATTATTAAGTTAAGTAGCGTCTGCTTAGGCACTGTAGGCAATTAGTACAGGTAGATAATTTCAGCAGTAATAACATACACTCTTCTACACCCGTATCTCTGTTATACCCATTTATTCTGCCTCCTAATACTAGCTCTTCTAGAGCCTCTGCTTTAGAACGTGCTGCCTTATTTTCGAATGTAGCCTACTGCACACTTTAGGATAGAGTAGTTTAAAAGAGCTCTAGGAACGCAATCTTTTCTTAAATATCTGATTCGAAAGTACAAATTTCTAGGAGTCCCTTAAGTATATCTACGGTCTTGCAAGATCCAAAATCCTTAATGAGTGCTTTAAACAAACTTAAATGTTTTTTTACTAGCTTCTAGATCTTCTTAGCCTACTGAAGATTGGCATTATCGCCTGAAAACAAGCTGTAATATGCAAGAAAGACACAATGCTTTTTAGCAGTAGAGTGCGATATTATCACAGTTTCGATTACAGCTAAGAACATACATAGTAGTTCTCTTTACTAAAGTATTACTTATATACCTTAAGTATATAAGTAATACTATACAAAATAGCCTCTGCAGATTCGAAGAACAGGTTTTATCCAACTATTAAACTATTGATTTTGTATTAAAGTTAGGTGAAACATTAGTTAAAAAAGTGTAAAGAGTATACAGCTATGCATGTTTAATAGACAGCGAATCTCATTTGCGAAGATGATCTTCGACAATATCGAGGTATGACAGTTTACTATGTATGATGATTTCTAATAACTGTACATGGTCGTCGTTACTGAGAAGATTTGCTATTACATGCAGGTGTCATTTCAGCTCAAAGTCTCCCCATCGATGTTCCGGGAAATGTAATACAAGACCAATAGTAGAGTGAAAGCACTTGTGTAAAGCATGCATACTGATTCACAATCAAGAGCCAAATACTACCCCGACTAAACAGAATTCCTTCACCGGTCGAGTTACCCGTCAGACAAATGCCGCAATAGTGAGACCAAGCAGAAGAAGATATGTCTGTGAACCACAAATACCATTCGTATACGTAATACTCAAAGACGTGATACAAGTCAGTAGGTTGAATTCTACCCCACTAAAGGAGAATCCATTCACCGGCTGAGCTGCTGCTCGAACAAATATCGCAATAGTGAGGCCTAACAGCCGGATTTCTCGGCCCTAAACGTAATTGCATCTATATGCAAGCATGCCAATGAATTGCTCAATGTTGGATACTCTTCAAAAGGTTGCCTTACTCCACAATGGAATAGACCTCGTAATCTTTATTAATATATTTTGACTTAGCAATAACCGCAGCAATGAGCACTCTGAAATCGTAGAAGCTCTAAAGATGACGCTGCATAAGAACATCACGTGCCACGGATTGCTTCTTGTGGCAGAAGGAACCACTCTACATTACTCTCACTTCTAAAGCCATAATGTAAGTTTGGAATATAGGGTCTCAGTTAGCGGGAAACACTACATGCTAGCACGAGCAGCTGTTACAGCTACTGCTGCTGCTATAATAATGGTAAAACGACGGCTGCTGCTACTACTTCTGCGTCTCCTCCTGCTTTCCTAGTAGAGCCGGAACATTATCCAAGTCCTGAGAGATATTACCACTTAATTCCGTATTCCCAAGCTCCTCTGATAAGCTGGCAGCAGATTTAGCAAGTTTCTCGGCTTCCTCAGAATCGCTATCCCTCATCACGGAGAGTAGGCTAACGTGCATAGTCGTAAGGGGATGCTGAGGACCAAGGAGCTGAGTGAAGTCTTCTACAAGTTCCTGCACTAGCGGCACCACATCTCGGAAACGACCGCTCGCCTTGTAGATTTCAATGAGTGCCATGATAGGTTGAATGGTGGACAGGTCAGGTCGTTTGCGGAAGCGGACACTTAGCTCAAGCCCTTCGGTCTTCATTCGTAGACCCAACAAAACGCAACTGAGGGATGCCACGCGTGGTTTGAAAACTTCCCAGTTATCGGATATCTGACTTGGTTGTGATTTTAAGATCCTCGTGCAGGCATCTGGAACGTTTTTCGGGTCTATAATAACGCCAAAGGAGCTGGCGAGGGTAACTAGAGCATCAAGTACGGGTCTCATGTTGAGGTCCGAGAGCTGTGTGAGCGCCTGCAGCGTTTCCCACAGCATATCCTGCTGTTCTGTGATCCTTCCCGCAAGGCCGAGAGCCGTGGCTAGGTTCGCCGTTAGATTGTAGGTTGTTAGATCCCGCGTTGGTAGAAGTTTGTCTCGAACGGAAAGGCTTGCTCTGTACAACTTTATTGCTTCGTCGTATCTTTCTTGTTGTAGAAGTGTTCCAGCTAGCTCAGCCTCAAGGTTGGCCATCAACAGAGTTGGTTCTGATGAGAATCCCGCGCCACAACGCTGTGCATCACGGAGGACGTCCTCCGCGTCTGAAAATTGCATTTTCTTGCACAGAATGCCCGCCAGAATCTTCGCTGATCTCATCCTCTCCGGATGACCTTCTGGAAGTACGTTCCCTTCCATATCGATTAGGTTCCTGATCTCGACTTCTGCTTCCTTAAAGTCTTCTCGTAATACTAGGATACTTGCTAGGCCCCTCCGGCTTTCGAAGGTAAACGTGTTTCCTGGACCGAGACCCGCTGTCTGCTTTGCCACAACGTCACGGCTAACTGCTTCTGCCTCTTCCAGCTGACCAGCTGTTGCGAGGCTTTGCGCAACTGCGTTCATACTAATCCAGAGGTCTCTATTCTCAGTGCCTGGCTTCACCCTCCTCTCTTTCAGCACGTATTCGTCGATAGAATAAGCTTCGGCATACTTTCCCTGGCGATGAAGCGACCGGGCTAAATTCGCATGAACTAGCACAGAGAGACTGTGCAATCCGTCATCCTGGGCATCTGGAAGTGTATTCGAAAGAGTTCGTAGGATTTCGCGCTCAATGGCCTCAGCTTCGGCTGGTTTGCCTTGCTCCGAGAGGGTCTGTGCCACATTGCTATAGTGCATAAGTGTGTCTTTATGTTCGGGACCACAGAACTTTGCCATGATTTCGTAGGCACGACGATGCTGGCACAGGGCGTCTTCGAAAAGGCCCTGTGTGTCCAAATAATTTCCTACATAATTGAGGAGCCTCGTTGTATGGAACACCGCTTTTGTCTTCATGTCGATATCACTCTCTTCAATTTTCGTAGTCAAAATATTTGACAGTAAAAGTGCGTGGGTATGAGGAAGATATTGGGAACATTCGAGCCAATTGGTGGGGGTGAAAAAAGCATCCTTAGGAAAGGCTTCATATAGGATTTCAATTCCTTTGCAGATCCATTTCGTTGTTTCCGAACGGTCATCCAGCCATGCACGTAAAGAGAGCTGCACGAGATGATGCATCTCGAACGTCTTATTTCCCTTTTCGGCTTTAATGAGGCAAAAAGCCAGGAGTCGTGACAGTGCTTCCCTGGTCTTTGCAGAATTGTCGTCGAGGCTGAGAAGGGACTTTGGAATGCCTTGGCGATCCAGAACACCTATGAGAGAAAGTATATCAGCGGCTAATGGATCTTCTCTTTTGATCTGTTCAAACGAGATTTGCCATGTCGTGACAACTGAACTTGGTAGCTCGGTGTCTCGTCGCGCGTCGCTTCTATCCGTCTTCAGAAGATATAGCTGGGTACTCTTCGTCTCAAGAAAAAGTGCTTCATATTCTGCAATTGTCATGGGCGTCGACTCATCGAATGCCGAGTGCTCGAGGTACGCGCATGCTTGGGTGATTGCTAGTGGTATGTGCCCCAACATTTCAATGAATGTAGTTAGGTTGGCCCCGTCCATTTGTTCTGCAGAAAGCCTTTTCTTGACTAGACTTTGTGCTGTTTCCTCGTCCATAGGCTCTATCATTGTGATGTTTCTGCTTCGATTAAAAACCATCTCCATTGCCGTCAATCTATCCCGTGAAGTCACAAGAATACAGCCATGTCGACTCTGAGGCAAATACGCCGACAAGGCTTCGGATGGCTCCATTCCCTCCCGTTCTTGAGGACTGCACTCGGTCTTCGGAAAATAAAGGTGTTCATTGTCGGCATTGTCAAGAATCATTACCCATTTACCATTCTTTTCGTTCCTAAGCCACTGGACAACAAGTTCGACTACGTTGACTTGTGGGTTGTCGCGCCCTGGCAATTCCAAGCTATTGGCGATCTCTCGATAGGACTGTTTGAATCGTCTGGAGTTCGCTCCATGTACCCAGAAGATCCATGTCGACGGCTGGAGCCTGTTGAGTTGAACTGCGTACTCGATTGCAATGCTGGACTTTCTATGCGATATGGTAAGCATGACATGTGTTGATAATAAGGAATAGTGAAGCGTACCCAACGCCCCCTAGGCCGTACAAAGCATGGCGGCTATGAATATTTGACAGAGACACCTTCTGATGTAGCTCCCGAAGCACAGGTTCGCGGCCAACGAATTCGGGATCAGGTGAAAAGGGAATCTGGAGACGTGGAAGGCGGTCCTGTGAGGCTGATAGCCCCCAAACCATTAGATATTGTTACAACCACGACATCGACGTGTCATGTACTCACATACCATCACGTGAAGTAGCTAGAAGTTCAATAGCATTCCTAACCTTCCGGTACTCGAGGCTATCTCCACCCGTGAATTTGCAGACAAGATGGTGGTCTGCGTCCATAATACTAAAGACGATTTCTCGGTCTCCGAGATTCAACCTGGCGGAAGGTTGAGGCACAATCTACTTTCATCAGCTGGGCCCATCGAACGGCATCCTTAACTTGCCATGATTTGAGTCCTCATGTACGGTATCCGCGTGGTATTCGATTCGACGATAGTCACAATCTTCAGGCGTTGTGCAAGGAACCCAAACGACCTCGCAATTTCGGTAAGAGGTTCCGAATCACGCCGTAAAAGCTCCAGATTGACTGTATTGATACTTGTCACGGAATTTGCTATGTTAGCTATAGTCAGAGCTAGTTTGGCGGCATCTGCTCCGTCATGAGGTGTTCCCATGAACATAACACCTCGTGTTGATTCAACGATATTTTTGTACCGCTGTTCCTCACTAGCCATTACTAGAGCCTGATATGCATCAACTAGAAGGTCTCACACCTATAGGAAGACTCATACCTTCTTTACAACAATCCCACCCATGCTATGGCCAACGAAGACAATCGCGCGGCTGCGATTCTGTGAAGGGATCAGTATGTGCAAATTGGTTTGCTTGCGCAGGGTCGTTTACTTGGTCAGTCTTCCGGGTATTTAAAATTGAAAACAAAAGGTTTTCTGCATTGTCGAGGATGCGCAAGGTGCCTTTATTCTTATACACTTCAGCATCATATCCATACGTCATAATGCGACTATTCGTCATTGTCAAAGGAAGGAGATCGCGAAGCCACATATTCTTTGTTTTTGGATGCGTCCAAGTGTCGAAAGGCCTCCCTCCAAGTCCATGAATTGCAATGATGCTATAAACCGTCTAGGTTAGCAATGTGCAATATCTTGCCTGAGAGGAAACTAAGACGAGTTGTGATAGAGAACAGCTTGAAAGAAAATCAAATAGACATACTCAACTTCCTCATAGCATATATCAGTATCTGGGCTAAGGTGACTTGGCAGAGGTTGTTCGTTTGCTTTTGTAGAATCATACAATATGTGCAAGCCAAATCCATTCTTGTCTGCAGCAGATCCGGAATCAACAGATCCAGAGGCAACGCATTCAGAAGCAACAGGTCTGGAGGCTTTATAGTGTTTTGAAGATTCTCTTGACTTTGTCGTAAAGCGGGGCTTTATCCAACCGAAAGGCATCTTGACCAAGATAAGGGCTCTAAGATTGGTGAGACACGCAGGATCTCAAGATTGTATGTTTATGTGACGTTGAAGAGCTACTTAGTTGAATTTCTCTAAGTAAAGGATATAGTACCGAGAATGGCGACAACAACTAAAGAATAGCGTCGGACAAGATGTTGGTGATCACAAAGGTGCTCGGTGCGGCTGAAATGTGGTGGCTGAAATGGTGCGGCTGAAATGGTCACGCGGTTTGTGTTATAAATCAGACTTGGTGAGATGTTAAGGCTATATAGAGTGATGCTACGCTCGACTAGAGAAACAGACGCCGAAGAGCAGCAAGAACATCTAGAATAACCAGAAAAGCTAGAATAGTTGAAAGGGCAATTCGTTCGACTTGCTCGACGAATCTAACAGTAATAACTTAATTACAGTTCAAACTACAAGCACCTAGGGCCGCCCTCTAAAGTGCATCTAGCCCTTTAAACCTAATTTACCACCCTATACAAAGTAGGCCAACTCTATAAAGGCTACAACATCTTAGACAGTACTAACGCTAGTATATATTAACTAGTAGACATAAGTTAAAAGCCTCCTTATATATATTAAGTCTGCTTATCTCTACTACTATAAGCAGCCTTAAGTCTATCAGCCTTGGTAAGGATGATTCGTATAAGTAATTGAAGCCTCTTTTGATCCCTATCTGACAAACAATCTATAAAGGTCAGATGCGAATAATGTGCCAGACCTTGTTAGGCGGTTCCAGGTCAGCAACCTCCAGGAAGTAGGATGCGGTTACCTGGTCGACAGCAGGGAGGCTGTTGCCAATCTCGTCGACTCTCTGCTTGATCTTCCGGCAAGCCCTCTGTCTATCTATATCGATATTAAAGGGGTAAATCTATACAGATTTGGCTCTATCTCAATTCTGCAAATTCTCGTCCTACTGCCTAACAAGACTTATCTAGTCAACTTCCACGTACTCAAAGGTAATGCCTTTACTATAGCAGGGGAGGCAGGACAGACACTAAAGGATGTTTTAGAATCCGTGACTATCCCCAAGGTCTTCTTTAATGTACAGAATGATTCAGATGCGCTGTTCAGCCACTTCGGCATCAAATTGCGTTGTTCAGGATATTCAGCTCATGGAACTTGCAACTCAGATGTACAACAGAAAATATGTTAAAGGGCTATCGAAGTACATTGAGAACGACCTAACTATAACGGCATCTGAGAAGCGTACCGCTAACAGCACCGAAACCATTGCTGTACTGTAAGAAGTTTGGTACTGTAGAAGTTACGCCACCGAGTCCCACTCACCCTGCTCACCCCCTAGCTCACCCTGCTCACCTTGCTCACCCCTCGCCTCACCCTTCAGGCGGCAAGGGGCCGCGATTCCACGCTATGCCTATTGGCACGATTGAGACTATTATCCAGAGGATACGCAAGCTTGTGTATGGCAGAGCGGACGGGATGCCCAATTCTCTTGAATCTATGGTCGTATGTGGGAGATGAAGGGGGTATGTATGCTTTTGAGGTGCGGTGGGTGGGTGAGATAAGGGGGGTGGGGGGGATGGATGGGTTTACTTTCTACACACCCTTGCCACATCACAGGCCCGCCTAGCTTCTGACACACCGAAAGGCAGCGATTTACTTCTACTTTGAGGGGTTGTTGTCTTTTTGATATATATATATATGTGTGTGTGGGTGGAAATCTCTCTTCATGCACAGCAGAGCATAGCACACACAGCAGACAGGAGACATATGGTTCACTTAAGAAAGTCTAACAAAAAGGCATCAGCAAGCGGTAGAAGCAGGCAAATGTCACGTAAGATGGTAAAGACCGTAGGGTAAGTTGGTAAAAACTAATAAACATTGCCTAAGAATTTCGAAATGGGGATATAAAGAAGCACTACAACTAAAAAACTAGCCAGCTAAAATAAGATGTGAGATATCAAAACAAACACAACAATACAGTATCGAAAAAACGACAACAGCAACAGGAACAAGGAGATCAGAAATACAGCAGACATGCCACCACCACCCCCTTCTCTCTCGGCGCTAAAAGAACTGAAATAAACAGCTCGCACGACACAACCCGTAGGCATCTCTCGAGCAGAAGAAAAACAAAGAAATACAAAAGTTGCGTAGACGCCGCGGACGCCCATTTTCTCCCCCTCTCCCTCTCCCTCTCCCCTCAACACTCAGAAACTCAGACAAGGAAAACAGTACACTCTCAAAGGATCGACACCCCCATCACATACAGAGGCAGAAAGATCTACATCTTCTTCAACTCCTCCATAGCATCCCTCCACCTCCTCGCCCTCACCTCATGCGTCCCCAGACTCAACGGCCTCAACCCGCCCTTCTTCTCGATGTGATTCTTACTCGAGTTCGGCACGGGCGGCGGACTCGACGCCGTCTCCGTACCACTACTACTCTCCCCCTCCTTAACACTCACCACGCTCTCGCGTCTAGAAGAGCGGCGCGAGGAAACACTAACCCCGCTCTCTCGCCGAGACGGCGCGGAGGAGGAAATGCTCAAGTTGCTCTGCCGGCGTTCACGGCGCTCTCTCGCAGACTCGCGCATTTCCCTCACCGACTCCCGACGAAACGTAGCAAGCGTCGGACTATCCCCCCACACCTCCCTCTCACCCCCCTCTCTAACCCCAATCTCCCTCACAACAACACCCGCACCACCAACCACCTCCGCCACCCTAGCATGTTCAAACCGCCCCCCACCACTAACACCCACCTCACCCCCTCCACCAGCCCTACCAAAAATAGGGCTATCAGGCCGTCCCCCCCCGCTCCCCGGCCTCTGCGGTTTAAACCCAACGAGTCAATGTCCACCCAGCGCACTGATCCTCGCTCCACTCGGGCGGTGGAGTAAGGACTCGTGCAGACGCCCCTTGGTGGGCATCTCCTCCACCTGCTGCGGTGTGGAGGTGGAACTCTCCTCCCCCTCGTCGGAGTCCTCCACGATCTTGGTGGGGAGGTCGGAGTACTGCGCTGATCCGCGCTCAGGGGTGGTAGTCACCGAAGCAATGGACATCGCTGTGCTGGAACGATTGTGGATAAGATCCGGTGTAGGCGGGATACTCGACGCGCGCCCCGGGTGCAGCAGGGACGACTCATCCACCTCGCTCCCCGCCTCGCCATCCTCACTCTGCCCACTCACACTGGCCACACTGGCCACTGACGCCGTAGAATGCCTACTCTGCGCGGCTAGCCTACGCTGCTGTCTCGCGATCGCCTCCGCCTCCGCATCGGCGTCATGAGCAAGCTGCAGCCCCTCGACGGCCGCGGCGCACTGCTCGCTGATGTTGCGGATGATATGCGCGATGGCGTCGGTCTTGTCGCGGAGATGGCGGTCCGCCACATCGATGATGGACATGTTGCTCAGGCGCTTGGAGTTGCGCGCGCTGGCGGAGGGGGAGTTGTAGAGGCGGGTCTCCATTTCGGGGCTGACGTCGGCGCCGCGGGAGAGGGCGCGCGAGGAGGCGCGGGAGTCGGGTTCGGCGGGGGCGGAGGATTCGCCGGCAGCGGCGTCACGGGGAGCAGCGCCCTCTTCGGCGATGTCCTCGAGGTCCTCGTCGTCGTAGCCGTTCTCGATGTACTCGGCTAGCTCGTCCTTGCCGAGAGTGCGGACGATATGCTCCATGTGGTGAGTTTGGCCGCTGATGAGCGAGCGGAGGTGAAGAACCACACGCTGTGCCTCGTCACGTTGGCGGAGGATAGTGGTGTTAGTGTGCTGCAGCTGAGACAGTTCCTTCTTGTTACGCTTGCGCTCGCGCTCGAGCTCCTCGGCGATCTCCTGCTGCAAGACCAGCGCCTCGAGAGCGTCGTCACGCTGCTTCTCCGTGCCGGAGAGGCGGACGGTGATGCGCGCGCTGTCGTCCTTGTGCTGCTCGATGAGGGAGGTGAGGCGGCGAGCTTCGCGCTTGTGAGATTCGATCTTGGCTTTGAGGTCTGTGGTCTCCTTGGTGAGCTGTTCGGCGAAGGCCTGGAACTTGAGGAACTGCTGTTTCCAGCTCTCGAGCTCCTCGACGAGGAAGTTGTTGCGCTTGGTGACCTTGCCGAGCTCGGTGTCCATTCTGCCCTTGAGGTTGATGAAATCTTGCCATGCCTCCAGCGCGTCGCGGGAGTACTGGTTGCGCTCCCTGACGATCTCGTTGAGGTGGCGCATCGACACCTTGGTCATGAGGGGCTTCTTGACGGCGCCGCCGAAGACGGCCTTGATGCCGGTGTTCCTGCCCATCTTCTCGCAGACGTGGTCCATGACCGCCATGATGGAATCCTGGTTCCACCACTCGGGGTCCTGGATCGACTCGACCTCACCGCGCATGACGATGATCTGGCCAGCTGGGACGAGCTTGCCGCCTCCGTATGCGGATCTGAGGTGCTGGGGAACACCAGACGGGGTGATATCGCCGTTAAGAGCCTGAGTCATGCGGTTAACCATCTTGGTGCGCTGGCCGGCATTGAGGGCGGTAGGTGGGCTGGAAGTAAGGACAAAGTTGCGGTCCAAGTCGACAACAAGCGCGTCGGTGGGCGCAGTGAAGAGAGTCCTGCACTCAGCGGTGATACCGAGGATATATGGGCCCGGCTCCTGGACGAGCTCAGTGGCATGTCTAGCATGCACAACCGGGACGTAGAGACCGCTCCACTCGTAGACGCGAACGCAGTAGCGGATCGTCTCAGCAGCCACAGTCAGCATAGCAGCGTAGTGACTAACGAAGATGATGCGGCGGGTTGGCGACAAGGCGGCCTCTATGACACCCACAATGTTTGGGATGGAGAGACAGGAGAAGAGGGGCCACATGGCGAAGTTCTGGAAGCCGGTGGGGGAGGAGGGGAACTGGTAGCAGAGCGCGTAATCCTTCATGTCGATGCGGACGAGGTCGTTGAGGCGCGGGGCGGGGAAGCTGAGGATGCGCGAGACCTCCTCGGCGTGGAAGAGGTTGGTGGCCTTGTTCCAGTGGATCCACATGCCGCGCAGGTAGTCGCCGAGCAGGTCGTAGAGGGGGTATCTCGAGAGGAAGGAGAGACAGTATGGGATCCAGTATGTCTCGTCGGCGGAGTCGTAAAAGTCGGATTCCGTCCTCTTGCGGAGGTCTCTGATGGTCTCGGCGCGCTTCTCGTCAGCCCTCGACCAGACGCGGAGGGCAATACCGTAGAGGGTGTGGGAGGAGTCCTGCTGGAGGACGAAAGAGTGGTGCACGCAATGCGGCTGGCTTCTACCAGTGCAAATCTCGACATCATGAGGGAAGCAAGCCTGTAATCACAACATTAGCATTCCATCTCCAATTCCCACCCAACGATACAAAAACATACCCTCATAGCCGAATGCAACGCCCTAGCATTCTCATTATCCTGCTCCAACCTTGGACTACTCCCCAGAATCTCCGGCAGCCAAAACTGCCCCACAGCCCCCTTCATATGTCCAATCTTGCCCTGCGCCGGCGCGGGCGCCTTCACCCACTGTGCCGGCTCGCGCCCAACACCACACACCATGTAGGCATGCGTGAGCGTCTTGGGAGCGCGCTGCTGCGGCTTCACGTTCAGGGTCGAGGGGATGGGCTGGGTGATGCGCGAGTGCAGCGAGGAGGTCCGGCTGGGGATCACGAGGGATTGGTCGTTTTGGTCGCGGGTGCCGGGGCGGCCGTCGCGGTCGCCGGTGCGCGGGCGCACGAAGGAGGTGTGTGTGCTGAGGGAGGGAGCCATTGTGAGGGTTTGCGTGTGGATTTGGGAGGTGCTGGTGAGGGTGAGAGACGCTGGGTCGGATCTCTGGTTCGCGAGCTTGGTCGGAACGGTGGTGGGGGATTGATTGAAGTCGATGGCTGTAGATAGCTTCAAAGCTGAAATTGTTGATGAGGGCGACGAACAGGATCAACTGCGCTGGATGGAAGGCGAAAGAAGTCTACTCTTTTTAAACTCGTCGAAGAAGGTGCCGGCGAGTAGGCAAAGACAATCGGGGGTAGCAAACGCAGTTCACTCTTTCTCGTACACAACACACTACTACACACACCAAGTCGGCGGATTGAATTCCTGCTCTCACTGGGTGAGTGAGTGAGGATTCGTTTGCTTCTCTCTCTTGCGGCGGTGAGGAGGGAGGGATGGGGGAGAGGAGGAGAGGAGATGAGGCTTTCTGTAACGGGTTTCTTCTTGCTTTGCCCAGGTACGGGCGTGTGCACAGGAGAGAGGGAGGGAGGGACCGGGGGGGGGGGGGGGTGGAGATGGATGTGGATGTGGGTTGGAGAGATTATTAGAGTGCATGTACCTGAATGTACCGGGGTATGTGGCTCGTATGGGAAAGGTACGGTGGGTGGGAGGGGGTGGGATAGGTGTGGGAGATGGATTGGGGGGGTGTGATTGGCTGTGGGGGGTTGGGTGGGTTAGAGGGAGGGAAGCTTGGAGCTGGTGGCTGTTGGTGGGTTGGGTGTACAAGAGAGGAGGGAGGATAGCTTGTCACACAGGAGTGAATGGATAGAGATTTAGCTAGGGAGTTAGGTATGTTAATAGGTGGCTGTATAAGAGAGGAGAGAGGGAGAGAGTTAGATAGGAGCAGCTAGATGGATGGATGTATGTATTTACTTAGAGGGTTAGGTATGTTAGTAGGTGGGTGTACAAGAGAGGAGGGAGCAAGATAGTAAAATAGCTCGTCACACACAACAATGAGCCATCTAGAGACAGCTAGAGTAGAGAGACACATGTATCCTACCTACTCCCCTAAGTACCCCTCCGTACCTCCCTCTAGCCTAGTCAACCATTGCGTGAAGCGGACATGGGTGGATTACGCGTGGTAGGCGTGGATATGCGGTGGCTGGGAGCAGTGGGTACGTGGAGATACTTGGATAGTTAGAGAAAGTACTATATGTTTAGGAGAGGATGGATTGGATTGTAGGGGAGTAGAGGATTGTAGGGGAGTAGAGGGCTGTAGGGGAGTAGAGGATTGTAGGGGAGGTGGTCTAGTGGTTGACTGACAACCCCGTGTTGTGTGGTGGTACAGCTAATACTTGTCCTGTTAGTACGGCTGTAAGGTACACGACAGGTTTAGCAGAGCAGCAGTGGGCTAGAAATGTGTACCTGTAGTGCTACTACACGGACATTTTGTACTGTATGCTGTATGCCCCCTTTGCTTGTTTGTTGTTGCTGCTGTGGTGCCATTGTTATGAGGAGTTATTTATTGTATACGCATTCTATTTACTCTACTCAACTATTCTACTATCTATCTACTATGTTCCATACTATCCCACAATAAACAATCCCGCCGTCCCTCTCCCGCAGCATCTCAGACATCATCGCCATCACCGACTCCCGTTTGCCACTCCGTTTGTCTCTCCCAGTGCCTCCACCCAAAAAATTGCTTTTCCCCCAGCACTGCTCCCCTACAACCACCCCCTACAAACCCATCAACCGTCTCCCAACTAAAAGAAACGGGCGTCGCAGCACACCCACCCCACCACACCAAACACCCTCCCATCCATCCGCTCCCCCCGCGCCCCATCCCCAATCCCGCCTAGCCCCGCTGCAACCCACCCCACCTGCTGCCCGTTCCTGAGCCGGCCGTGGTGGGATCCCTGTTACATCCCTGTTGCATCCCCTAAGATTGCAGTGGGGCTAGGCTGGATTAGGTATAGGATGAGGGGGGAGGAAGTAAACGGGGACTTGGGAACGACTTTCCACTACAGTACGACGCTGGTTTATAATACGGGTAAAAAGAGGAGGAGGAGGAGGAGGGCGGGTCACGTGTTTTTGTAATGCTTTTTGCGAGGATGGGTATATGCCGCTGTAGAGCATAAACCAGTGCACAGTGCACAGTTCGCATAGCAGCACAATTCAATCCCCGTGTTCCTCTCCTTATCGTCTCAGCTCCCCCCAGCTCCCCTCAAAAATCCTTCGCCCATCCCTCATCCTTCCCCTCGGGCTCCTACCGAGCACCACCACGACCAGTCGGTCTCTTCCCATCACACCCATCGCACCCATCACACCCTATCCCCATCCCCATCACACCCCATCACCCGTCCCCCATCCCCTATCACACCACTCATCACACCCCATCTCACCACACTCACTCACATCCCCCTACCCTCTCAATCACCGTTCCTATCACCATCATCGCACTGTTCCCTCCACACGTGCACCCCCATCCCCATCCATCCACTCACTCCCAGCGCAACTCACCACGTTTGATCGTCCACCCAGCAGCACGCACTACCCTGCCGATCCGTCTACTCGTGTACTCACCACAAAAATGGCGAAATCTCAGGGTCTACGGGGACCGAGGAAACCGAGATTACTGTCTATCACGGCACTTACCACCGCCGACGCTCGCTACGCTGGGAGGGGGAGGTGATTGACATACAGCGCCACTCGCGCACGGTCGACGCGGTGGGTGGGGGAGGGTGAAACGGATGAACAGTTATGGATGGGGCGAGACTACAGGACGTACCGGTTGGTATCGCGGTATCGTGGTATTCTGGGTATCGCAGTAAAGTATCGTAGCAGCGTGGTATTGTGCAGTGTGCTAATGTAATGCGATATAGAAACGACTGCAGGTGTTGTTGATGCTGGTGGTGCTGAAGAACTGCATATGCTATGCTATGCCGGTATACGCACTCACTCGCTCACTCAGTTGTAGGAAATAAACTTGGATATGCAGGTGATGGATGTCGGGGTCCTGACTCTGACGGACGGGAGAGAGGGTGATAACTGACGACCACCACCACCGCCATCACCTTCAGTATCTCCCCGGATACTACAGCGGGGAGGAAGTGCAGATACCCCAAGGGTCCCGTCAGACCAGCCAAAGACAGCGGATATCAGACAAGACATCTCGGAGCATCAGTCAGTCATTATGACAGAACCTTCCCCCTCACCACGCCATGGGAGATATCCAAAACAGCACACACATTCCCATATCATAACTCACTGTATTATACATGACCACCGCCACGAATTCAGTTCCCCAGCCCATCTGTTGGTGTCCTAGACACTGTGCAAGACACCAACAAGGCCCGTCTGTCTCGTCTCTACCACGTCCCTGGGATCGACGACCGGCTTGACGAGTCGGGTGGGAGATGCGAGGTGAGCTGAGGATTCTTCATCAACCAGCCCGGCAGTCGTAGCCTAGGGCCTAAGGTAGGCCGCTAACTTCCAGTCTCCAGTAATTGGTAAGTGCTTGCATCCACCCCAAATCCGCCTCATCCTCCAGCTCCCTCCACCTCCAGCTGCGTACTAGCAAAGAAAACACCCCTTCGCCGCGCCGATCCCCAATCCATCATTTTCCAGCCATGATTTCCCACTCTTCCTCCCACTTCCTCCCCCGTACGCCCCGTAGCCCATAAACCAACCTCCCCCCGATTGGCCAATCGCCTCCACCCGAGACAACGACCAACGAACGGACGGGGCAGCCCGTCCGCCGTCGTCGCAGTATCCGAGACGCGTGTGGGCGCGCTTTGTGTGCTGGTTCTCGTTCGGGGGTGGATCCACCAGCGTGGACGGCGGCCGGGAGTTGATGGATGGCCGCCAGACAGGAAAAGTTGAGGGAAGGTACGTACCGAAGGGTGGTTGTTTGCGGTGTTTGAGAGGTTGTGTCACGTGATGAGTGGATTAGGGCGATAAGAAATTAGACTGGAAGGTTGTTTTCTTATCGGGGACTTTTTTTGGAGAGGCGCAGGATTAGAGATCCACGACGACGTAGATACAACGAGACGAGTGCTTTGTTCAAGAGGGATATTTTGTGAATTGGAGGCGCAAGAGGAAGAGCACGTTATTTGGGGTTTATATTCTACATTCCGAGAAAGAAGGTTTCTTGAAGAAAGTTCTGCGAATACCATCATCATCGTTTTGGCAGTTGCGACGACACAACAACACAGCTAGACAGACGACGACGGCAAAAGATACCCATTGAGCGATCTGTACAGCTCAAGACCCTCTCATCGAACAGCGACAGTCTTCATCTCACGCGAGGCAGAGAACGAATATAATTGAGGAAAGAGCCATTGAGCTAGAGCTACACGCGCGATCCTACAAAGCTACGAGTCGAAGCACCGACAGACACGACGATACAGTTTATACACACAACCAGCACACACAATACCCCCACACAAACACCACCTAAACAATACCCAGACGTACGCCCACCACCTCACAACCCCCAAACACACGCACGCCCACACAACGGCACGCTCATACACAATGGACGACCCCCCCCTCCACACCCTCTGCCAAACCTGCCACCTCCTCCCCCCCCTCTACACCTGCCCCCGCTGCTCCCTCCGCTCCTGCAGCCTAACCTGCGTGCAAACCCACAAGCGCCGCGCAGACTGTTCCGGTCTCCGGGATCCAACAGTTTACAAGCCTATGCGCGACCTCGCTACGCCGGCCGGGATAGACCATGATTTCAACTTCTTGAGTAAAATTGAGAGGGGTGTGGAGAGGAGTGATAAGGTGGCTGTTGAGGGGGGGTTGGTTGGTAGTGGGGATGTTAGGGGGGGTCCGGGGTTTGGGAGGGAGGAGAGGAGAGGGGGGGGGAGGGGGGGAAGGGGAGGAGGAGGAGGAGGGGGGAGGGGGGGATATGGGGGGGAGGGAGGGGAGGCGGAGAGGAAGGTTGGGAGGGAGATAAGCCAGAAGGGGGTTAGGTGGGAGAGGTTGCCGATGGGGATGGGGAGGAGGAAGGCGAATGGGACGAGTTGGAGTAAGAAACGGGGATGTCTGGTGTGGCAGGTTGAGTGGGTGGCTCCCGCCGACGCCTCCAGCACGTCTAACACTTCTACCGTACCCACTGCAACCACACCGACTGTACCGGGGATGCTAGGCCCCCTAAGCAAAATCCTCGCCACCACCCCGCTCGACGAGGCATACACCGCTTTCCTGGAGGAAACACGTCGCGCAGCCTTGACGCCGGAGGAGAAGGCGGGGGAGAAGAAGAGGAGGGCTGTTGAAGTTGCTGAGAGAGGGTTAAGACGTCACCTTCGGCTTCGCCTGGTGTTGAGGCGGCTCCACGGGCGGAGGCAGGAACGGGTACGGATGAGGCGTCGACGGTGGAGGGAGAGGTGCAGGCGGATATTACCACCGCCGATGCTGGAGTGGAATCTCAAAATCCCACACCTGCACCCGCACCCACACAACCACAAACCCAACCCCAAAGCCCCTACACATTCTACCTCCACCGACCCCTAACCCTCTCCTCCGGCCCCACGGTCCTCATACCCCTCCGTAGCGACGAAGGGTTAGACACACAATTAGGGGGGAGAGTGATATTGGAGTTCCCGAGGGTCTATGTTTTTCCTGCTGGTGCCTCTTTACCTGGGTGTTTCGAGATCGAAGGAGGGAACGGGGTGGAGGATAGGGAGGGGGAGGAGGGAGGGGAGGAGGAGGAGGGAGAGGAGGTGGTGGTGAGTGATACTAGTTCTAGTGGGAGTAGTTCTGAGGATGAGGAGAGTGAGGAGGAGGAGAGTGGGAGCGAGGGTGAGGATGAGGAGAGTGGAGATGGGGGAGAAGGATTTGGTCCAGAAGTGGGAGAGGGAGCGGGGAGTGGTGAGGCGGTGGTGGGTGAAGGGGTAGTGGGTGAGGATGGTATTGAGTCTAGTTGAGGTTGTATAAGGTTGTATAAGGCTGTTGTATGAAGTTCTATGGGAGGATAGTGTGTAAATATTGTACTATTTGTACTTAATAATGATCCTCAAACACACCTCCCAATCCCCCAAAAAAATCCAATCCCAAACACACAACCATACAAAAAAAATATAAACCCCCCCAAACCGCCGATCTAATCCTCAAGCCTCCTATCTGGGACAATGCTCCATAACAGATGGAAGAACAAGGGTGCGGACAGAGCTGTGTCTCTTCCGTGTCAGAGCGCCAGAGCGCCAGAGCACTTCAGTTGACCTTTTCCACGCCGAGGTTATGGGATGGGCGGCGAGGCGGGAGGGGTGTGGTGGTGACGCGGGTGGGTGGTGGTGGGATTGGATGGTGACAAGAGTTTTTAGCGGTGAGAATTAGGATGGAATTGTAGATTGACACTGTGCGGGCGGATACGTCGTCCACCGAGAATTCGGGCGTCGTGGAAATGGGCTTCATCCTCCTCACTTTTCTTGAGGCTTTCTTTATGGCAGCCGTCAGGGTATCTGTTCTCTCAATGCCTGCCGCTTCGGTATCAGTTGCATTACTGCCACTCTGTTGAAGTTTCTTCGATTTCGTATATATAACACCCCTCCTTACGTAGCAAGAGCGACAACCCAACCATGAGCTTCCTATCAATCAAGAGACGTGCTACCCGAGCGATAAATCATTAGTTCCGCAGGATTGAGAGGTGTGGAGGGTGAGGAGAGAATCCTCTCTGGGTTCGCGGATTACTCCCTATTCTACGTGAGTCAAGCAAAACAGGCATTTGGGACAAATCTCGTGATTATGGAGGCGAAGAAGACGGGATGCCGTGAGTTGGGCGTGAGGTGGTGGGTTTGCGGTGACGGGGGTGTAGCGGTGGTGGGGGGGTGAGGAGGTGAGATGGTGGGTGGTGACAGGATCATATCGACAAGTGTTTCGCATACAACACCACACACCTCTCAATATCAATGCTGGTGGTCGAAAGAAGCGCACTCGTATCTCTCAAGGCGATCCCGCTGTGGGTGGTCTGTTAGGGTTTTTTTGTCATATCTTGATAGGGGAAAGAAGCCAGGATGTATGTGGTTTAAATAGATATATATTTTTTAATTTATCAAATCGAATATAGTTGAGAACAATGAATGGGTGTTGGCATTTTTTCCCCCTCAAGAATAATAAATCCACCTAAATCACACCCCGAGCGACAAGAGAAGACAAGATAACACAGGGATGACAAAGATACACCTTCCAAACACACTCGCAGGAGGTCTTGTAGATATCGGATTCTCAGGTGACAGCGCAGCAAGGATCATTTGGCATTTCAACCACAGCCGTCTCTAGTGCTAACTTTATGACTCTAAATTCCAACCTACGCTATTGCAGCTGTGACATATAAAGTACATACTGTACTTGGAAACATCCGAGCGAACATCAGAGCACACGACCGACACCTTTGATATGGCTTAAATACACATCAGAAATGGAGTCCGTGATATCCGCAAGAAAACGCCGAACAGCAACTGGTTTGATGGCACGTTTTATACAGACACGCATTCGCACCCTACGCCACGGGATCCTACGTCCTCTATACCACGACGCCATGCCTAACGTCTGTGCCTCATATCTTACGGTTGGGTGCAGTGACAGGATTATACCAGTGGGTGCGAGAAGTGGTGACAGGAACGTAGAGTAGCGGTTGCATACCCGTAACAACAGCATTCTCAGGTAGCGGTAAAATAAAAGGAGGTGTTCTCCTCCGACGATGATGGACTCGCTGGATCGAGCTCATCGAGGCGGGTGGTGTGGCTTCTCTTGCTGGAAGCTTGAAATATTGTTTTTTCTTGGTTGGTTTAAGTGAAGTTAATGTTGAGGGGGTGGATATATATAGACTCCGAGGTTTGTAAAGGGGGTGAGGGAGGGATGATCGGTTGTGGGATTTGTAGTTAGTACTGGGACTTTTCGCTGCGTTTCTCTAGATCTCGTATAATTCCGACTTTGTCACCATATCTAAAGTTCTCTCTTCTCGATTTCCCCCCTTTTTCTCCATGTTCTCGTCATACTCCCGCATTCCTGTCTCCCTTCCCACCAGCTCTACCGCCACCGATTCCCATACCCATATATAACCTAAAAAAAGATGCCCCTGTTATGTCGAAGGTCCAACATTACCAAACTACAGATGAATGTGCTCTCTCAAGTGCTTCTAAATGAAGTTCACACTACGAGAGAACCATCGTTGATTCTGCAGGCTCTCGAGCCACTTTTCCGTCTGAATCATCCACGTCCAATGTATGCCCAGAAGATGTCGCCAATTGACCAACACACTCAGACACGCGATATTCCTGATCAGCGGTTGCTTATTTAGTTTTTGATTTCGGGTATACACCTTTTCTCCGCCCTGTTTATTCTACTTTATCTCCGCCTCGTTATAGTTTCTCTTCTCCCTTCCCCTCTTTCCCCCATCTCTTATTTTTGTCTTCACCCCCTTCTCTTCCCATCTCGCCTACCCATTGTCCCCTGATTCCTACAACATATAGCGGTGGAGAAGGACTACCCTGGTAACGGCGCGATGGAGCTGCTGTTAGAGGCACTACGGACCCAGCGGCATGTGGTGGTGCTGTATAAGGCGAAGCTGTTCAAAGGGCTAAAGGGTCGGTATGAGCCTAGAGAGTAACTATGAGAAATGCATTCGAGCCACTCTTATGGAAGATGATTGAGTGCACAAAGGTTGATAACGAGAGAATCGATGCATTTGATGTTCGTATCTCAATTCCAAGTTTAATGAAGGGAAAGAGTTAGAGAATAAGACCTGTGTCGCAGACTTCTGCGTATCTAAGGCAGTCCAGACAATCGTGATTGTGGGTAGTAGCCGGCCATTACCCTGAAATGTCTTGTGAGGGTAGGCACGCTACGGGGCTGGCTCGGTGCGGGGCTGGCTCGCGGTGACAAGATCCCACTGGTGGGTATGGGGTGGTGAGAGACCAGTGCACAGTGACAAGATTACAGTGACGGTATGCCATCATTACCCGTAACAAGTGGAAGGGCTGTAGGACCGAGATATGTCCCTTATACGTGATGCAAGTTAAACACCATGCCTCCAGAATCGCCGCCACTCCCAAAGGGTTGGCCACCAAATACAGGATTTACCTGGGTCTCTTGTGACTGCATCCCATACCGAGGAGGCTTCGTAGGTCATATAAATAAACGTATGAGTCACGTACGTATATCATCACCACCCCCCATGGCTACAGACGTCAAGAAATGAGCGTAGGTATATAAAATAATAGATTTTATCTTTCCCGCAACACTCGCAAAAAAGGAAATAGATATAAGGCTCCCCCCGCACTCTCTCGCAACAAATCTAACCACTCGCCGTGCAAACCTGATCCTCAACAATCACCGGATCGCTCGTCGCGCTCCCCCAATTCGCCGCATCCAGCGCCTTCCCGGCCGCCGTCTCGATATCCGACTGGATGAAGTCACGCTTCTCGACGAACTTCCACCAGTCCTGGCCACGGAAAGCGTTCTCAGTAGACTGAGAGATGGCATCGTTCCACCCCGTGTTGCGGTCGTGGTAGTGCGCATGCTTCGACCACGAGACGTACGCCTTGGGGTGGTCCAGGCCACGCAGGCCGTTGGGCTCGGGACCCTTGCCAGCCTCGGCGTCTGCAGTGCTGTGAGGTGTTAGTGGGATTGGCTGATAGGGGGAGGGGGAGAGTTTACGTCAAGGTGTTCTGGATGTCGTTCCAGTTGTGGGAGCTGTATCCGCTGTGGGCGGAGTACAGAGCACGGGTGGGCATCCAGGTAGAGCTGGCATCACGGGTGTGGATGACGATAACGCGCTCCCAGTCATGCTCGTGTCCAGTGTCGACGAATAGGACCTTTGCGCCGTCCTTCTGGTAGTACAGATTGTACACGACGCGAACCTCGGTGTCACTGCATTTCTTCGTGGTGAAGTAAACCGGGAAGCGTGGACCCTGGTTGCCAATCGGCACGCCCGGGTTGCGGCTGTTGCACCCAACGTTCGGGTACTGGCATTGCGGCGCTGGGATGGTCTGGTGCGCGAGGTCGTAGATGTCGGGCGTGTCGGGCGAGCCGCGGAAGGCCCAGGTGGGGTACGTGGGGACCTGCTTTTGGGATTGGGAGAAGAAGAAGACACTGTGGGGCGTGAGATGCGGTAGGAGGGGCAGAGGAGGAACCCTTACGGTGCGTAAGCGTAGGCCAGGTCAGTGCCTCCCGAGCTGAGATAGGCATTCATCTGCGCGTCGGTGAAGGTGGTGACGGCTTGGGCCCCGGTAAGGAGGGCGGCAACGCCGAGGCATCTCGCGGTAAACGAGTTGGCGACCATCTTGGCTCTGGTATTTTTCAGAGTCTTCCAGCTTATCTTGACAATTCGGTTTCCCTGCCGCTGGGTTCCTTCGTCAGATATATACTGCCCAGTCGTCTCCACGTGTAACGTTAACAGGCCCGAGGGACGCTGTCAACGTTCCCTTATAGTATATAATAGCCCGCCATTATCAATACCACGTGGATAGGTAACAGGGCCGAAAGGACAGTCGCGAGGCTATATTAGCTCTAAGATCCTCTCACGACATCGCAGGGCAGTCTCACAACGGCTCAAGATGGCAGGAGGGGAAGTCACATGTGAAGCGTATTGTGCTATCTCGTAGCACCGTGCACACCCTAATCCATGAAAGATGCGTCGGCGACATCCATTCCTGGGGCATGATCACCGATGTTTAACCCCACGTGGTGGGGATGGCGACGTCCGGAGGCATTCTCGGACCGTATTTGACAGGCACGAATGGGCAAGATAACGAGAGGATTCGAGATGTGGCGATCGTTCTTTGCAGCGCGGAATCGTGGGATCTGTTGGATCTCCATAATCTTAAACTTTCTTTCGTAGAAGCCGTAAGGAATGTCTTTTCACTTCGGATGAAAGGGGGTCTTCAACTGCCGATGCCGCTGTCAATGTCTCGTTTATCTCCCCCCCCAATACCCACATCCGGGCCGTGTCAAGCCTTGGTACTGACAGCCAACATATTTTAAGACATCGCCCACATCCGTCGAAATGCACGACAACTCTGTTGCTCAAGCTTAAGTCTGTGGTTACAACGGCTGAGAGGGCGTGAGTACCATATTAAAAGTCAGAGTGGCCCAGTGAACCACATTAAGGTCCATGGGTCCTGTGTGGACCAAGACTATTTTGAAGCTTCGAAATATATATTAAAAGCATCGAAACATCCAATCCGATGAAACGCTGTGCGTAAGCAAAATCGATGACGGGAAGATAAACCCTGGTTGCAATTTTTACCGTCAAATTTGTTTCCCCTCGCGCTTTCAAAGCCTAGATATCCATCTGTTAGGAGAGAACAACATTAGTTTCCGCTCCAAACTCGGGGAAATGCCTGGTTACCATGCAGATAGTCACGACAGATGCAAAATCTCCCGAAATCTAGATCTAAAATACTGGGAGGTACAGTATAATAGCACGGCGTCGCTGATGTGGTGCTCAGTGGCTTGACGCCCCCCGTGCCACCATCACATGTAGAATGCATGCGTTCCTCGCTTCACACAGCTTAGAACCATGCGACTATAGGGTTGTGACCAATTCTATAGTTTGACAAGGTATTGTTAAAATGAGCAAAGATGAGGATGGGATATAGACGGTAGAGCTGATGGTTTTCTATCATGCAGAGTTAGTAACAGAGTGTTGTTGTAATCAGGGTACTGTACTCGTATGTATGACCTGTGCTATGTATCACATAAGACCCTTATCGTGTAAGCTGCAGATAAATACACGAGTTGAAGCGCGCGATTACTGGCAAATAGCAAGCCATAAATGGTGTAAGCCTTTCAAGGAGGACAAATAGCACACGGGGTTGGGTGCTGGGCTTCGTGTGGGTTGTAATAGCGAGGGGATGTAATTGCAAAGAACCAGAATGATGGCACCACCCATCCATCACATATCACGCCTAAAATTGTCGGGTCCTAGTCCGTCCCTGGGACTTGATCAAAACAACAGAAAAATGTTGCGTGCCGTTCCTTCCGTGAGACCATATTATTATACTGGATTTGTTTACACGTACAGCTGCGATCTGCGGGTTATATTTAGGGTCAATATGTGTCTAGGAAGGAGCAGTGGTCGTTCCCAATTAACATGGTCGCTTCGCCAGCTACGTCAGCAAAAATACACCGTCTCACAGAGTACAACTGTGCCTGGATACAATATGGAAAATAAACTGTTGGTCTCTATCTTGTTCGGACCATTTCCGCTGTCGACGCACGCACTCTATAGTACCCTATGCACAATGATATCTCGGCGCTGCCAAAAGCGCGGGGAACCAAGCGGATAACTGCACTTCTCACACAAGAGTTGCCACCCGAGCCTTGGAAGCGTGGCATTCTTTACAATTGACTCCACCCCGAGGAAGACGGAAAGAAATATTAAGATTGCAGTCTTGGAGCCTCTTAAGTCCATAAAGATTGTCCATATCAACTACCACGGAGTCGAGAATCCGTGGCCCCGCCCCCGCTTTTGGCAATGACGGAGGAAATCTTCGGCTGTGGGAGACAGTGGCGTATGGGGTAAGCATGGCCCGACCACAACCAAATCCAGGCACCGGATCTCGTATTTCGCTTCTAGAAACCGCCCAGCTGTTGGATTTCTACTTCAAGTTGGAAAATGGCTGGTTAGGATCGAATACCTTACTTAATACCAAGCCGCCAGCAGTGTTGATGTGATGTGGGCGTCGGAATAATATCTGGACCACTAATTTCGCTCCAATCAGACGCCCGGTGGGGAACGACGGAGGGTGAACAAAGCTTCGTAGCCTCAACCACGGCAGTCATATTTACGCCGGCCTAGGCAAAATCTTACTTACCCCAAGGCGGAGATTGGCATAAACTGTGGAGTACTCTAGGAGGTTCACCGTGGCGTCTGCTTAGACTACCTCAATACAGTGCAGTGCCCAGACGACATACTTGGTAAGTGGTAGTTTCTCGATTGATATTACGACGGCTTGTGACTCCCAGCAAGGCGCGTTTCCAGTTGAGTACTTTCTACTGCGTTCTTTCACTCGCGTCTCTCTCCAATTTGTTTATCACTGGCGGTATGCACGCGTTTGCATCAAGCCATCTGCTTTTGTCATCCCCGGCGTGCTCCTGGCTTCCGTGTGGTCCTTCCCCGCATGCCAATAACGAGCCGCAGGGGTAAGGTTAGACATGGCGATCTTATCTCGCTTTTACCCCAACTCCCCAACTTCTCGCGGCATGGCAATATAGGCGGCATATCCACCGATAGGTGGACATTCTCATCATTCCATCTCCGATATGGCTTGGCTGGGAAGAACCGAATTACTGCTCTCTTCATTACCCATCTTGGCAGGTCCTTATAGCCTCGCCATGCGTCACTTTTTGCTATTTCAGCCTCGCAGTCCACTGAGCCAGCTTTCCTCCTCATCGGCATCATGTTTTTCAAACTTCCCGCCCTAGGCCTTGTTGCCTCTCTCCTTGCCATCACCGAGGCAGCCCATATGGATGCGAGCTATCTCGGCCCTCGCACCGTAGACGAATACCGCCGCTTCTACCCGTACACCCACCCGGGCCCAGATAAGCGCAAGAAGGTCTACATCCCAGAGTCCCACAGCGACACTGATGACAGGTCTTGCGAGTTCCTCCAGGGACTGAAGGAAGCCAACCACGGTGGAACTCTTGTTCTCCCCGCGGGCAAGAAGTTCGTCATTGGCAGGAAGCTCGATTTGACCTTCTTGGATGACGTCCAGGTGCAGCTTGATGGAGAGATCAAGTTCACAGACGACATTGAGTACTGGCAAAACAACTACTTTGCTCATCCATTCCAGAAGAGTATCTCTTTCTGGCAATGGGGAGGCAAGGACATCAGAATCTTCGGCACCGGAACTCTCAATGGTAACGGACAGAAGTGGTACGATGGATTTGCTGGACTCGAAGTCCTTGTAAGTTATTGCAGAAAGTCTTAATTCCTGAATGATAACTAATAAAAAGCAGGACCCCGATAACACCTACCTCAGACCCATCCTCTTCTATGCACAGAACGCCACCAACCTCTTCATTGAGGGTATCAAATTCACCGGCTCTCCTATCTGGACTAACTTCGTCGTGACCTCCAAGAATGTTGTTTACGACAACGTCATCATTGAGAACTTGTCCACCAACGAGAACCTGCCCAAGAACACCGACGGCTGGGATTCCTACAATGTGGACGGCCTGACCGTTCGCAATGCCTGGGTTAACATTGGTGACGACTGCTTCTCCCCCAAGCCCAACACCTCCAACATCTTCGTCTCCAACATCTACTGCAACGGCACCCACGGTATCTCTATGGGCAGCATTGGCCAGTATGAAGGCGTCAAGGATTACATAGAGAACGCTTACATCGAGAACGTGATCATGTTGAACGCTGAGGTTTGTCACCAGCCCAAAATCCACCAAGTGCAAATAACTGACAATCTTCTAGAACGGTGCCCGCCTTAAGGCATGGGCTGGCCCAACCGCCGGCTATGGATACATCAAGAATGTCACCTTCAAGAACTTCTACGTTGACAACACCGACTGGCCCATCGTTCTCGATGCTTGCTACTTCAACGTCAAGCCGGAGATCTGCTCCCAGTACCCATCCAGGGTCGACATCCACGACATCGTCTTCAAGAACTTCACCGGCATGTCGAGCGGCAAGAATGGACGCCAGGTCGCCAAGCTTACTTGTAGCCCTAACGCTGTCTGTGACAACATCAACCTGAGCGAGATCGACCTTCACAGCCCGAAGGGCGAGGCTGAGATCATTTGCGATGGTATCTCCGACGTCGGAGTTCCCTGCGTGCCCTTGACTGAGGCCAGGAAGAGAGGCCTCGTGTTGTAATTGCAGAAGACTGGTCATTAATCATGGCATGAAAGATGTATATTGCGCAAGTAAAGAAAACGGACTACAAGTTTCGCAGTCTATAATAATATAGTAACAACAGAATTTTGCCCTTCCGTACTCTGATCCCTATCATGCAGGCAAAGTCATAACAAAACTTGTGACTGAAAATGCATGCAGTTGGCGACTCATCTGGCCTAGAACCAGTTCCGTTCCTTTCCAGCTTGCCGTGTGATCTAGAGGTGCTAGCTGCGAAAGACAAAAAACAAAAACAAAATAAATTAACAAGCAGATGCATCTAAATTATCAGTTTCAAACGATGCCGTCAACACCGATCCACTTCCATGTGATTTTACTGATCGATGATCCACTAGGGGGTATATTGAGGCGAACCCCTTTGACGCCCCGTTTTCTATTCTTATTGGCCCATTTTTCTTCGTCGGCCGCAACCTCAGCCACTTCCAGCATCTCCTCTTCTTCCTTATCCCTCGCCATCTCAATGGCCTCATTGGCTAGCTGTTCCTCCCACTCCTTGTCATCTTGAACAATTTTATCCCTGCGATTTTGTTCCCACTGCTTCTCCATCTCGAGCAGCTCCGCCTGGCGATCCTCTTTGTCCCTCTGGCGCTGAGCCTTGCGCTCTGCTCTCTCTCTCGCCCCATCCTCCTTCAACTCCATAAGCCGGTCCTGTCTCCACTCCTCAAACTGAATCTTCATATCCTTCTTGCGCTGCGCCTTTCGAGCATCCCAAGCAGCCTTGCGATGTTTCCCACGCAGCATCTCTTTGCGTTCCTTCTGCTTCTCATCTAGCTTGTCTTGCTTCTTCCTCTCCTTCTGCTCCTTCTCCCATTGCTTCAACCTCTCTTTCTGAAGCTGCTTCTCTAACTTCCTCTCCATCTTTCCCTCCTCCTTTTGGATTTTGCGCTCCTTGTCAACAGCTTCCCATCTAGTCTTCTCAATATCCGCCTTAGCCCTCTCCCTCTCCTTCCTCAACCTCCCATTCCTCCGTTTCTCCTCCTTCTGCTCCTCCGTCTCTAGGTATTTGCACCCTTCCCAGACCATGAAGCTGTCGAAGCCTCCTTCACGGGCGGGGTTCCAAAAGCCATCCTCGATATCAGTACACGCCCAGTTCTTGCCCTTCCGAATCGACGCCTCTTTCCCGACGCCCCTGCAGTCAGTCGTCTCATACAAGCGCGCATATGGGCGGTCAGGCCTCTCGCCGATGATGATAGGACCTGCAAGACTGAGCTCGATGCTCTGTCCGCGGACGCCCCCGGGGAGGTTCATGCAGCGCGCAGAGCAGTATTCGATCGTCAGAAGCCCCGGTGGTGTATCGGTGTCGTTTCCTGGAACGTAGAGCTGCTGGGCACCGAGGCGACGGGGACAGTTTGGTTCGGTATATATGACGGCGATCTGGCCGGGGCCGTTGATGCGGTAGTGAATATAGCCGGAGGAAGCAGGGAGGTCGTCGCCTGTGGTAATATTACCGGATTCAGAGTTGCCTACGTCTTCGGCTGCTGGGTAGGGTTGCGCGATGGCGTCGTGGGCGGCTTTGGTCGCTGAGGCAAGTGCGAGGGCGAGGAGAGGCACGCTACGGCAGAGAGTTGAGACTCGCATTTTTGCTGGTGTTTATGAGACCTTTGATATGAGAAAATCGGTTTCCGTTTGACAGCCAAACGATATAATACGAAAAATGTGCGGTAATAAGAAGAACATAGGAAGAAGAAAATAAAGGTGAGAAATATGATAGTATCTACTCTTAATAAGTGCCATCTTGACATAAGGCCGGCGCCTGTGGGCGTGGAGGCTAACATCGACTAAATGTGATAAGTGAGGTTTCGGCGACGAACTAGAGTTTAGCCCCTGACTAAAGGCTCACTACTTTCGATATATGCTTCACGCGCTCGGCTCATTGCGGGGATATGACTCAAAGAATTGCAATAAAATAGAATCGGAAGATAATAAGAGTGGTACGAATGGTGAACCTACTATAATAGTCGTGTATTAGTCTCGCTAGATTTTCTCATTCATGAAGCTCGACAGAATTGAAAGGTGAGCGCTGTGGACCTTGGTATTAATGATTTATTAACACACCTTTGCCAATTTCTGGTTCTGACAAGCCAAATCGTATCAGTACCGTTACTCTAAGTCGTATCCATATCATCCGCCCCAGCCTCTGCCCTCTCGATCCTTTCTATTTTCTCTAATATCCCGTCTTTCCAGATCTGATATTCTTCTCTCTTCCTGGTGCTCAGGTAATCCACGCGTTCCTGCATCATAGTTCCTAGCCCCATAATCGAATCCTCTTCTCCATTATCGTCTCCATCGGCGTCCTCGTCTTCCGCATCATCCATCGGCTCATCACGTGCTTCTGGTCCTTCGATGCCAGAGCCGCTCTCGATATTCTCAAACCAGTCCAATCCCACCCACCCCTTCGAGCTTAACTGCATAAGCCAAGCATCCACATCCTTCCCCACAATATCTGTCCACCCCTCCCATCCTTTCTCGCCCGGTTCTTCCTTCTCAACCTTCCCCACCACCTCTTCATCTGCCCTCAAAGCCTTCAACGTAGCAAGAATACCTCGCCGTAGAGCCACATACTCCTTCCCATTAACCTCTTTCCCAGTCAACCTAGTATGCACCAAGACATATACCGCCGCCACCAGTGCCGGAACCTTCTCCTTCTCCTTCGCTTCCCCTTTTTCTGGCTTCGGCGTCGGCAGCGTCAACACACTCCCCACACCCGCAAGCACATGCGCAATCGCGCCCCTCGCTTCCATCTTCGCGCACAACCCCCTCACCACAGGCCGTATCCACGCCGCTATCTCGCGACCACGCCCTCCATGTGACAGCTCCGACTTGCGACTCTTGTTCTGCGGGCGAAACGCGGCTAGCGAGCGCTCTTTTGAGGGCGTTGGGCGGCTGGGCAGCGGGAGGCCTGCCGGGGTCGTCGAGGTGGGGTTGGACTTCCGTCGCGTGGGTGTTTTGGTATTGGAGGGTGGTAGTTGCGCATCTTCGAGGCGCTGGACTTTCTTGGGTGTTCGCTGGGGGCGCGCCACGAGGGCGGAGGAGAGGTAGGTGTAGAGCTTTGTGTAGACGCGTGGGGGGACGGGAGGGCGTGGCTCGATTAGAGGAAGGTTGAGAGTGGATTTGAGGCGCTCGCAGGCAATGTGAGCGCAGACGTAGGCGCGGCCTATTTCTTCATCTTGCTTGAGGTTGCTGGCTACACTTCGGGATTGCGCGACGAGGGAGGAGGCAAGGTTGATAAGGTCTGAGGGGAGGTCGGTTGTGAGGCGGGGGAGGAGAGATGTGAGGGATTGTTCGATGGAGCGGTTCATTTCAGATTGGTATTTGTGATCTAGTGGGCGAAGGATAGAGTATTATGGGTAATAATTAACTAAATATCAAAGGAATTGCTGTGGAAATGGTGAGGCTGGTGGTGATACCAAACCGCGATCCACGTCGATCCCGCAAGGCTAGCCTAGTCTACATTAGGGGTTCAACGGCGGGCCGAGACCGATCCAGGAACAACCTGAAAGGACAGCGCGATTCTAGAATAAGCCGTATTTTGTTATTGATATGAAGATGCTCTGTTGAGGTGTACATAAGACCCGTTGATCAACAAAGAATAACGAATATACGAACTAGAGTCAATCAATTGCATCAGTTGCTTCATCGCACTGCTTTCAAAGGACACCGTTTCGTCATAACGACACTTCTCAGATTCGCCTCAGGGTTTCTAGGCCATGGCTCCAGGACGCTTTCTCCTCTCCCTGTTGGGGCCTTTACTTCTTCTCTCACAAAGTGCCTACGCACATGGCGCGCACGATGAGCAGCAGGCCGATTGGGCGACGCAGCATTTGGCTGGTAAGTTCCCTTGCGCCCGGACTCCCCCCACTACAGCCTCCCGCCCCCAGCACCCATTCTACAGCCCATACTTACACCTCTTCCAGATGAGCATCATATCTCCAACTTCGACGGCGGCGCCTTCTTCCAACTACACGATTTCGACGACAACGGGTACTGGGACTTCGACGAGATATACACGACGTATGGGCTCAAGCACGAGAGCACCAACCACATCGAGAAAGACCGCAAGGACGGCGTGATCCGCCAGGTGTTAAGCCTTCTGGACCGAAACCAGGACGGGCAAGTGACGAAAGAGGAGTGGATGGCGTTTGTCGCAGGTGGGGGGAAGCTTCCCGATTTTGGGATGGGGCCGGGACACCATGGGGATGATGAGTACGAGTATGAGATACATCATTGGGAGAAGTAAGTTTATACCATTTTTGGGAGCGACGCAGCTAGATGGTGGGAAAAGAGACTGACGAGTACAGATATCATGACGAGAATACTAGGGAAGAAGACCTGACGCATCCGGAGGATATTGCGCATTTCAAGAAGCATGACGAGATGGATGCAGAGGCTGATCGGATAGCGAAGTTGGATAGCCAATCCATTGTGCTGGAGAATATACCACAGAAATTCAGGATAGCTAACTGATGCTGGCCTGGGAGATGGAAGGAACTGTATAATTTATGCGACGTACTTGTAATTATGATGTCTAATGTCCAAAGAGAATCCTACATGTTTCAATGACAATGAAGTGAGAACAAATGGACAGCAACCGATTATTCTACAATTTGGTAGCCATCCAATGAATGGCTAATCTACATTTAAATTTCACGTTAGAGAGAGTTATAACCTGGATTGGCCATCTTGGATTAAAAAACGTAAAAAACTATATTCCTTTATGATCATATATGCATACATTTCATATCCGTTTCCAGCATGAACCTTATTGGGTTCTCTTCTCGATATGTCTGAAAAGTCTGGAACACTAACGCCATTTATACTCATACAGGGTATTTCTCAACCACATGCCATATGCCAAGCCCAAACGCCAGTATGCAGGGACAAACTCCAAAAACTAAGGGTTTGATCGTCGACCAGAACGCTCCTGGTGACGTAAATAACAGTTGTAGTTTAGAGGAAGTATTCGCCAGCGCCGCGGCGACCTGCAGGGACAGCTCGTTGGTCCTCAGGGACGGCCGAGAAGATGGAAAACTTGGGATCGAGGTCCTCTCCCACATTCATGATGGAGGCGACATTACCGCAGCGGTAGCAGTAATTTGGAGCAGACCAGACGGTAACAACAGACTTCTGCGGGAAATGGTACTGCACGCCGTTAGAATTTCGTTCACGTTCCTGTTAAAGACTGTCTTATCATACCTTATAGCCCTCGTTTACAAGCTGATGGGCACGGGCAATGAGCTTAAGTCCATTGACCTGGTTGAACTCGGTTGCGACCTTGTCTCCAAATAGCCATCCAGCTCCACGGGGAGAAATGGCCCAGGTTTCCACATCTTCTGGATCACTCCATACTAGGTCACAGAACGCACCCTCGTGAGGGATTTCCTGGGCACGGGCGACGACGCGGATTTGATCGAGAGTGCGGATTTCTGGACTTAGACCTCCGTGAACACACAGAACGGCTCCGTCGACGATAGCCGCAAGGATAAGGAAGTCAAAAACTTGACAGCAAGCCTTCCAGACGGACGCATTGCCATACTTTTGTTGGCACTCCTCATAGAAACCGTAGACTTGTGTAATTTGACGAGACTCGTGGTTGCCGCGGACAAGGGTAATGCGGTCGGGGTATCTGTGATAATCAGCATTGCGTCAGTTCAGGGCTCCCGCGAAGTACTTACTTGGCTTTCAAGCACATAAGGAGAGTAAGGGTCTCCAAAGAGAAATAACCACGGTCAACAAAGTCGCCAAGGAACACAAAGTTCTGCTTTCCTGTGCCGGTAACTTCGTTGGTGTTGGCCGAATGAGCAGCTGAACTTGCTCCAGAACGAGTGCTTCCGGCGGTACGGGGTCGACCCCTTGGCTGCTCCTCAACATCATCCTCTGCACCACTTCCAACGCTGCTCCCAATACCGCTGTCACTGCCAATTTTATCGCCGCCGATAGTGGTCGGAGGTTCAATATCGTCAGAGGTGATAATAGTTGTGGGGGCTTGTACATTTGTCTCCCCTGGCATACCACCAGCGACTCGGAAGAGCTCGAGAAGGTCGTAAAACTGTCCGTGGATATCGCCACAGATTGTGACAGGCGTACGAACGGGTTGGATGTTAGATTCTGCGTGAAATTGTCAGCGACCAAATAGCCATATATCTGAATCAAACATACCCTCCATAAGGCACTCCTTCACCATCTCACAGAGCTGCTTCATGGCACCCTCTGGGAGGTATCGACATAGCTTGGCTTGCTCCAGCCACTCATCCAGTCCAGCACGGGGGCCAAGTTTGGCCGGGCCTGGCTTTGGAACTCCAGGCGCCATGTTGAGAGTAATTGTAAGTGTGTCAGGGATTTGCTGAGCGTGAACTCGTGGAGTGATATCAACAAGCTCACAGAGGTGCTGTTGATGTGGATCTGCACGCGCGCAATCCGAGAGCGCTACTCGCGCTTCGTCGCTTACAATTCCTTGGTCGATGTACCACAATCACCACCCCACCACAGCGAAACGGAGTGGAGTTACTGATTGTGGTGCTGCACAGACCACCGGCGATAACACACGCCTTTGGACGAAATCCGAATCCGCAACACTGAACAATCACAATAAGTGTACGCACTCAAACAACTTCGAGATGGCTTCTTCTCGGGCTCAGACAAACGGCGTACTGCCCATACCAGCTTCACAGACAGCACCAAAAATGTCGAAAGCCTCACAGAACAGGGCAGGCCCGTCGTTGAAAGTAGTTGTGAGACGACTTGCGCCTGCCCTCACCGAGGCAGAGTTCATAAAGATAATTGGCGATGAGTGGAAGGTTGGAGCAGGGAGAGTGGATTGGTTCTCTTACAAGCCTGGGAAGGTTTCAACAGAGTATGCGCCCTACTATTGAGGCTGATATGTAATGAAATCCCCATACTAACGACCACAGCCCTTCCAAAGCATCTCGTCCGTCCCGCGCCTACCTGCATCTCGTCAACGAGCCATACCTGACTCAACTGTCGAACCATGTTCGCCAGCTCACCTTCGAAGACGCGGCAAAAACTTTCACGAACCCATGCCTCCTTGGCCCCGCCTCCCTCGAATATACACCCTACGCCCGCATCCCAAGTGGAAAACGCCGCACCGATGCACGTCAAGGCACGATTGACCTCGATCCAGAATTCATGGACTTTCTCGAGAGCCTGGCCAACCCAACATCCACCAAGGAAGAGGATACCGAGCCATCTACGAAGGGAGAGAAAGTAACCACAACCCCCCTGGTACAATACCTCAAAGATAAGAAGGCGAATAAGAGCAAAGAAGCAGCCGCCGCCAAAGCCGCAAAGCAGAGCCGTCTGGAATCCCAGGCTGCCTCTGCGTCCGGCAAATCAAAATCAAAAGAAGGTGCTGCCGATGAACCTCACAAGAAGACCCCCAAAGATGGGAAGAGAGAGAGACTCGTTGAGAAGGCCGCCCGAGAGGCAGTCAGGGTCCTCAACAGGGAAGCATCAAAGACTACAGGGGTGCAAGCTCAACCAGCCAACGCAGCACCAACCGAGGCGCTAAAGAACCCCCGCGCAGCGACTCGCGAAAGAGGAAGCATCGCCGCAGCAGCACGCATATTACAGCGTGACCTCGGTCTAAGCCCAGTGAACGCACATCGCCGCGCCAAGGTCGAAGCCGGGGCAGCCGCAAAGAGCGAAGCAGCAGCCGCATCCGCGCCACAAGGACCAAAGGCCGGACCATCAAATGCCGGCGGAGGCGGCAAGGGTAAAGGACGCGCGGAGAATAACAAGGCGAAGGAGGCACCTCCAGCGATCACACTCTTGAAGAAGCCAGTCGAGCCCGTAGCCGCAGCACCAGCACCTTCAGCTTCACCAAAACCGACAGCTGGTACATCGGCACCCGCATCAACATCTCGCCAACCCGCCTCAGCATCACAAGCTAAACCCCCCAGCGCCCCCTCAGGCCGCAAACCAGCGCCCTCCCCCGTCCCGACCGCAGGCGCCACCCGCGCCTTCGTCAAGCACGCCAACCCCTCGCAAGGGGTCACAGAGCCGCTCCTCCGCGAAGCCATGACCGTTTTCGGGGCAGTGACGAACGTCGAGATCGATAAGCGGAAGGGGTTTGCGTATGTGGATTTTGCGGATACGGAGGGGTTGCGGAAGGCGGTCGCGGCGAACCCGACCAAGATTGCGCAGGGGACGGTGGTGGTGCTCGAGAGGAAGGATACGAAACCTGCGAGGGAGGCGCCGGCGGCGGGGGCGAGGGGTGGGTTTGGTGGTGGTGGTGGTGGAGGTGGGAGGGGTGGAGGTGCGGGTGGCGGGAGGAGTGTGAGGAGAGGACGGGGAGGGAGGGGGGGTGGTGGTGGTGGTGGAGGAGGAGGGGGTGGGGGTGGGTCAGCGGCGGAGGGTTCGGCGGCGGCGAGTGCCTCTGCTGCTCCTGCGGCTCCTACGGGACCTGCGGCGGCGAAGTGATATACAGGGCATTCAGGGCTGGATGCGTTGGGTTGAGGTGACAGGACTTCGGGACTCATCGTAGCTACTGATATCTCTCCAAGGCTTGTTTAATAATGATAGAACTATAATAGCCCTTCCTCATTGAAGCACAGTATAACCAGAATAGAACAGCTATCGGCAGTTTAAGTTCTTCAGAGCCATGGGACCCAATCAACCAGCTACACTTTCCACCCAGGGTGGCTCCGATATAAACCTCTAATACTCTTACTGATTTCCAGCTTCCGATTATATCCCTATATAAGCGTCTACTACCACCCCAACCAGTTCCCAACTCCATCCACCAAACTTTTTCTACTCCGTAGACACGGTCCTGGACCAACGTATAGTGAGGGCCTGAAGAGGCGGGGGGGTGGGGTGTTGGGTTGGGGGTTAGCTCGCATTACAAGGAGTTCGGTCACTGTCGGTTTACATTCTCACGACTGTGGACTTCTCGTCACCGCATCGTTCTTGCTGTCGCTTGTTCCTGCTACCGCTCGCTGCTGCTGCCGTTCAACCAATGAATAGTAGTATCGCAACTTATCGGCATCAATTTTCCGTCTCCGAGGGTGGAAATATTGGACCAATATAGTCCATGCCTACAAAGAAAGGGGATCATCCCAAAGATGGGATTGATGCCTGTGGATAATGGGCACCACCACCAGCGCCGAGGAAGCTTATAATGGCTGTAATAAGCGGATCTGTGGTCCATGACACGTTATCGTAGTAAGACCCTTGTTTGACATCGTAAGTCTGTTTTATATAGTAGAAAATGCACTCGTTAGCAGATGCAAACACCATTCACCAGAAGAAACCCCAGCCAGGAAGGAGTCTATCAACATAGGTTGAGCCAACAACCGCACCCCTGACAGATACACATCATAAACCATCGCATACAGAGTCAAATCATATCTATTCATTCTTCATCTGACAACCCTCAACCTAGCTAACTCCCTCTCCGATCGTTCTCATCATAACGCATCCACATTCACATCTCTCATCCCACCTCTCATCCCCTCCCCTTCCCTTTCTCTCTCAACTTTTCACCCCCCAACTTCCCCCTCACCCGCCTATCTACTCAGACAAGCCACCCCCCACCCCCCACCCACCAAGCACCACCAAAAAACCACGCGCAAGAAAACCGCACAGCGCAAACAAACCCCCCCAATCCTCAACGAAAAAAACCACCAAAGCCACGCCCCCTCAAAAAAACAAATACAAAAAAAACGCCATAATGCAACAAGACACAAAAAAAAAAGAAATCACCAAACCAAGCCCGGGCCTTTGCGCGCCAAAATACAAATTGTAAGGGAGTGAGAAGGAGTGAGAGGGAGAGAAATGACCGACGCGATGTCTAATTCCATTGAGAGACGCCGGTCCGGGTGATAAAATCGAATGATGCCAAATGACGCGAGAAAGGAGTGAATGTAGGGGGTGCTGGTGCCCTGGGTGGTGGTGGTGAGGGGGCAGGCATTGGAAATGTGCTCCTGTGTCATCCGGAAGGGCTCCCAGGGCGTGCGGCAACCCCCAGAAGGTCGGTGGATAATCGTAGTAGTAGTAGCAGGGTCCAAGGGCCCTACAACTGCAATCTAGTCGAAGCAGACAAAAGATGCGAGTTTCTAGTCCCTCCCATCATATCTCCCGTTATTCAAATCTACATGCTGCCCAACCTCCTCATCATGATGCAGCGTAACGCTATTAAACTCCTCAAACGGATCCACGACATCCTTGCCCGGCGTCGACAGTCCGGAATCAAGGGGCACGCCCTTCGGCAGCCCATTCGCGCCCAGCGCATCCTGATTGCGTCCTGTGATATCGACGCTCTCGGATTCCTTGACGTTGCGGAAGTTGACGGTGTCGATCGCGCGCCCTTGGTGCGGGATCATGGGGGGCTTCATGTGACGGATAAGAGCCCATTGCGTGGTGCGGAAGAAGGGGTGGGTTTTGACGTCTGAGGCGCCGGCGCGGGCGCCGAGACGGCGGTTCTCGTCTTTGATGAGGAGCTTGCGGATGAGGGATTTGCAGAGGCTGGGGTGGGGGGTTAGTTGGATTGTTGTAGAAGGTAGGAAGGGGTGGATTAGGGACTTACTTGGAAATTTGGGGGTTTCCGGACCCTTCAGGGAAGGGGACGTCGTCGCGCAGGATGTTGGCGAAGGTTGCGTTGCGGTTCTTGCCCTTGAAGGGCGTGGTGCCGTATAACATCTCGTAAACGAGGATGCCGAGGGTCCACCAGTCGACGGCGCTGGTGTGGCCGCATCCCTTGATGACTTCGGGGGCTATGTACTCTTCGGTGCCGACAAAGGAGTTAGTTCGGAAATTCGCGATGCAGGATTTCGTGTCGATGGTCGGTAGGGAGTTCGTGTTGGTTCCGTTACGGCCAATAATCATAGTCGGTTTTCCTCCTGGGTCCGACTGTTTTGATAGATCGAAATCTGACAACATAATGTGGCCTGACTGATGCAGCAAGATGTCTGTAATTGGTTAATATAGCTCTCGCGTTTAACTGTAGATGAAATGCTTACTTTCTGGCTTCAGATCTCTGTAGATGAAGCCCATCAGATGTAGGTACTCCAACGCAGCTGTAACTTCTGCAGCATAAAACCTGGCATCATCTTCTGGTATACACTTTCCAGGGCGGGTCTGTAATGCTCTAAAGAACTCTCCACCACTGCAATATTCCATGCACAAGTATAAGTGATCCTCGGACTGGAAAGAATGGTATAGCGTGACGATAAACGGATGGTTGCTCGTTGCAAGAATCTCTTGCTCGGCAAGAGCTCTCTTGATCTTATTCCTCTTGATCATTTCCTTCTTGCTCAAGACTGCCAGGTGTTAGAAGTGTATCAGATCGATCATATAGAGGCACATACCCTTCATCGCATAGAGTCTCGAGCTCTTCTTCTCCCTCACCAGGTAAACCTTCCCCACATCTCCTTTCCCAATCAATTTGATTTTATCGAAACTGCTCGGTGAAACCTCCACATCCCGCACCTTGATCGAGTTGGAACTATACGTCCTCCTGAAAGCAGCCGGAGCCCTTGGTGGCTGCAACTCCCCCAGCTCATCGGCACCCGGTACGGCAAGATTGACAGCCGATTTACCCTCAATTCCCAGTCCGTGAATCGGCTCCTTGCCCAACTCCGCTGTATTCGGCCTCTCTGCACTCCCCTTGCCTTTTGAGAACAGTCCCTGCGCATTCGGCGCACTGGCAACCCTCCTCAATTTCCTCGCCAACTCCTCTTTCCCCGCAGCTGTGGCCTGATCGTTCGCTCCCGATGCAGCACTTATGTGTAACGCAGGCGTGCCAGTCGGACTACTCGGTACGGATCCCTCATTGTGATGTCTGAAGTTTGGCATGCCCTGGTGTTGAAAGTAAGGGTTCGCATGGGCTGTGGGGCTGACGCCATCGTCCAGCGGGTGGCCCTCGCTCGCAACGGTCGCTGATCGATTGCGTCCGCTGAAGAACTTGGACTGGCGGAAACTCTTGCCTTCCTGCTTCGGGGCATCTTTGACGCCTTCGGTCTTGTCAGACCCCAGCGAATTGATGCGAAAGAAGTTCTTGAGTTTAGTCGGAAAGTGGCTGTTGCCGTTGACGTTCTTGTCGGCCGTCTTGTCGCTCTTGCTTGAGGACATGGGGAGGCCAGAGAAGGTCCGCTTCTCGTTCGGTGGAGACCCCGGTGTCGACGTGTTGAAGTGTAGGAGGGCGGTCATCACCAAAGAGTATCTGCAGCTGAGTTGAATGCTGCGTTACTCTATGGTGGTGGTGAGGTTGGAGAGGGGATTTTCGGTGGGTTGGTCGTCGTTCGTTATGTTTCAATGGGGAGGATGGTTGGTTGATAATCAGGCCCCGGCTTCTTGGTCCCGGCGCTGGGGAAGGCGGGTGGGGCGGATATGTATTCCAAGGTGGCGCAGAGGAGATGGATTGGGGGGGAGAAATACGGAGGACAGCGCTGACATTTCCCAGCCAGTTAACTGTGTCGCTATTTTGAGATTATGGTACAATATGTATCATTACGAGTCCAGTGGCAATGGGTAATACAGGTACGATAGGTCGGAGTTTGGAGTTTGGAGTTTTGGTGATAAATTTGTACGGAGTATGGGGTCTCTGCAGAGATACATACATAGACATACGTACAATACGTACGAATAGGGTGAATTCGATAGTGTGGAGTAGGAAGAATCTAGGAATCTACGTACCAGCCACGCCATCCTACGGCTCTATAACGGTATATCTCTACAAACACTACAAACACTCTACAAACAATAAATGGAACCTGTTCAATACGATATTTGGGTATGCTGAGTAATCGCGGCTGACCGTCAACTAACATCCAACGATATTCAGCCAGTATCTGCTAAATGAATCAGGTAGTTTCCATCACCGAATAAGCACAACTTAGATGACTCTCTACTCGCTGATCTCTATGAGTAGTTGTGATGAGAACGCAAAAAGAACAGTAACTAAGCGTCTATGTCATATGAATAGTCCCTAAACCCATAAACCCAGCCAAAATGTCAACGAGGGTCCTCCATTGGCTAGACCACCTCCTCGTGTCTCAACCGCACGCATCAAGTGATAGATAGTGGCAGAACAAAGCACAACCTTAAAAACAAATCCCTAACGACGCTTTAAAACCGAACCTCCGATGAAAACACCCTCAAAAACTAAAGTATCACTGTCCATCCGTCCGTCTCACAAAACCCAATCCAGCAGGTCCTTTCGGTCCCTCATCAACGACGCAGCAGCACTAGTCGACGCCCCAATCGCCCCATCCAAGCTCCCCGTCGCGAACTCAGTCTCAATGTTCTGACCAAAGGCATCGCTGTTATTATGCACTACCAGTAACCCGTCTTCCAGTTCCTCTCCAGGTTCATACCGGCCCTTTGGACCCCTAAACAGCTTCGCCTTCGGTAACACAATAACGTGGCGCTGAGTCCGTAGTGCCTCTTTCAGCAGCTCAATCGCACCGTTATCAGAGTAGTCGTTGAACGCAAAGCACTTCATATTGACAAACTTCTCATACTTGCTCGTAGATGCCAGATGCTTGAGAGCGGCGAACTGGAGTCTATTAACGATCTTTGCCCCTCCGAGGGCCTGGACGAAGATAGATGGCGGGTCAGAGGTGTAAATATAGCCTTGAGGGCAGGCGACTTCTAGGGCGGATAACTCATTTCGGAGCTGGTGCACAGCCGTATTGTAGAGAAACTCCAGCGAAACGACAGTCTTCTTCGGAGACCCAACCACTGCAAACACATTGTGGAAATCCACTGGCGACGAATACCCATCTCGAATATGGCGCTCGAGGAACTCAATCGTTGCCGCATCGCTGAGAGCCTTATCCTTAACCACCTTATAAGGGGGTAGCTTCTTCGAAGTCACCAGGTTAGCCACCAAGTGGCTCTTAAGCCCATCCTCGTACTTCTCCAACCCCCTCCTCTCCCACTTATCCTGATCTCCCAAAATCCTCCAGTCAGGCCCCAACTCCCGCCCTACGACCTCCCCAACCTCCACCCGACAGGCCTCCATCATCACACTATTAAACTCAAAATCCATCTGCACCGCCGCACTAACCACCACCCTCCTCGCCGACTGTCTTCCATCCACCAACGGGAACTCCTCCACATAGTGACCGCCCAGGTAGCGATAATCCCCATGCATCAACGCCACCACAAGCGGCGTGACGAAAGTGTGCAGCACCCCCTCCATATTGGTGATTACGCCCTTCCGGCCGGGGGCGAACTTGATAGCGAGTGCGCTATCGTTCTTGCGACGCATGAGGTGGGCGATTAGAGAGTGCGGAACGAAGGGTGAGGCGCTGATGATGGGCGCGGGGCTGGTGAGAGGCGTGTTGAGATAGTACGCTCGGGGGTCGCTGCCGAGGAGGGGGAGGACGCGGGTGAGGTGGAGGGGGTAGGAAGAGCCTGTGAAGCGCAGGAAGGCGAGGGGGGGCTGTTTGAGATTTGAGGGCGTGAGGGATGGGGGTGGGTGTTTGGAACTCATGTTGGCTTTGGGAGTGACTGGGTTGGATGGGACGAGTGTGAGCGACTGGGCTGGATGTGATGAATGTGAGTAACTGGGTTAGGTGTGATGGTTATAAGTGACTGGGCTAGATGCAATGATTGTGAGTGACTAATGATCGTGAGTGACTGCGTCAGAAACCTTCATCAGCCTCACTCATGAGGGATGTCAGAGTAGGAGCCTAGCCCCGCTGTAAGACCGCATGGGAATGCTGCACATAAGTAACGGCCACAGGATTCAACAAAGGGTATGCCACAAACTAGTTATTGAATGCTTCATTTGTCCTGTATGTTATTTAGAAATCGAAAATAATCAAACGACTTACCGTATTCAATAGATGGGCGAGAGTTGCTGATATCCGAACATCGCGTTCTGAGCAATTACAATCCTACTATATTACCCCGCACAAACACCATGTCAACGACAACACGAACACCACAAGCTTGCAACATCCAAACGAGCTCTGGATTGGCAGAAAGCTTGTCCGAAGAACATCCGATGACCTCCGTGCAATTAAACGCTCGGAATAAATGACAAAAAAAAATATAAAAAATACGACACCTGAGTGATTCGAACACTCGCTCCCGAAGGAAATGCCTGACTTCCACGTGATGTAGATAGCAGGGCATCGCGTTAACCACTCCGCCAAAGTGCCTATTTTGATTATTGGAGAACTAGACCGGTATATATACATATAACAAGATCCATACATGTCATACTTGCGGGCTTAACCTCATATTCTGAAGGACGAGACGAACAGTGAGACACTATTAACATTACCTTTTACATTCGAAAACTCAGTATATTTTTTGGTTTAATACTTGCTATGTCTGCTCCCTTCCAGTTCTACATCGTTATCCAATCGCTATCGCCAATAGGGACATAACAGCCAGGGCGTTGTGGGAGTTAAAATGTGAATATCGAGCATGACCCATGTCTTCGACAGTTACCAAACCAGCCATAGGAAGCCTTAGAGTCGAGAAAAGCCATCTTGCTTTGGCACACCCAGTTGAGCCCTCCCGTGGTTTGTACATACGAGACCCAAGGCTTCATTTTCATCTACTATAAATATAAACACTCTGCTGAAAAAAGACTGGAATGTCAACAATCATAAATAACTGACGCGACCGCCTAGTTTCTGTGGCACAAAGTGATAAAGATCGCTAGCTTGCATGGTCTCTCCCAACGGCAGATAACTAAGTAGCAAAACCACTGGGCTGGGTTGCTCGGCGACAATATCAGTTGTTGACAGGACCAGTCGACGACAGGATCACTCAACAGTAACAACACTGAACGGCGATGACAGCGGCATTCGGCCGTCCTAGAAGCTTTGCCAGAGGCTCCTTGTTCATTTTTGTATGCAGAATCAAATGCAACAGGCCGATGAGGAGGGATTGTTTGGTCTTCCCAAACCCTACTTTGTCGGCTGGAATGCATCCATGAAGTTTGAGGTCCTTAAGTAGAACATCTAAGCCCGTTTCACAGCATATCTAAGGTTGTCAGAATATCCCAGCATTTTTTCCCATACTCAAAGAGCAATGTCTAGTCTATCATATCCTATACAAATCTACATGTTGACTGCACAGCAACAGTAAAGGCATCACGCCTGCCAGCGACAACCTATGAAGATACCACACCATACCAAACCATCCCCATAACTCCTCCTAAGATAATAGCCACTGGAGGCGACACATTAAACCACCTACCCCCCACAAAAGACGTCGCCGTCACAACCACCCACCACGGATCCAACCCCAGCGACGACCCCGACGTAAACTTCTCGCTCAAAAACCCCTGCTCCCACAACCTATAAACCGCCGTATAGACGAGTCCCACCGCCACGGCATTCACGCCCCTCAGCCCCGACGTGAACCATCGATAGCCACGGAGCACCTTCCATAATCCCATGGTGCCCGTATGCAACACGATTCCCGGGGTAAATATCGCCACGTACCCGAGGACGGCGCCCGCAGCGGGGTTCATATGCGCCGCCACGGCGAGCGCACCGAGATAGACGGCGAAGTTGAAGTTTGGCCCCGGGAAGGCCTGGCAGATGGCAAGGCCAAGGAGGAAGTCGCGGGGGGAAACCCAGCCCTCGGCGACAACGTATTCGCGTAGGAGAGGAATGACGACGGGTCCGCCGCCGAAGATGATGGTGCCGGCGAGGTAGAGGTTGGAGAAGAGGCTGAAACCGATGGGAGGAGAAGTGAGGGTGCCGCGGAGGACCATGATGGCGATGAAAGTGGTGAAGAAGAGGGCGGTGATGAGTGCACCGAGTTTCCAGGAGAAGACGCGAAATTCTAGGTTTGCGGGGACGGTGCGCGCGGTATCGTCTTCTGTGGGTTGGTCTTGTATGTTCTCTGGAGAGGATTCCGCCAGTGACGTTCTTCCTGGCGCTCTGCGCAATGTCGAGGAGTCCTTGATTGAATCATGGCGGGACTGCGAAATGTCCTGTAGCTCCACCTGGTCGCTAACTTGCTGTTCCTCGTTGTCAACATTTGACTGATCCCGTGGTCCAAAGACACCTGCTTTGACAGCCTTGACAGCTGTGTGTCCCCATCTATAATCCCAGAAAATAGTCGCGCATCCCCCCAGAATCATCAAGACGGGGAAGTACCAGAGCGCATTATATAGCATTCCCGCGCTGCCGCCCAGGAATACCAATATCCTCGTTAACTTGTCAGTGATGGCTTTCTGGGAGAGCTGCACAGCTGCGAGAGCGATAATCCCAACAGTGGCAGCGTTCAAACCGGAGAGGAGGGCGTATACTGGCGCTGGCAGTGTATCATTAATCTTGCTCACACCTATTGCGAGACCGTATGCAGCAATGGCACCGGGAAGACTGGAGCTTGTCAGCCTTGCTCTTTGGCAACCGCATTCAATATGTATCCATACCTCCAGACGAAGAATGAGAGAATGCCGGCTATAAACCCACCATGTATGAGATTTATGGCATAGATCATCTTCGTGCTCCCCGGTCCTGGCAGAGCCTGACACAACGAAAACATCTCCTTATACTATGAGAGCGTTAGGTCAGCTGATAAATAGGGGCGTTTGCGACGAGACTCCTCACCATCTGATCATCGATCCATTGATACTTGTCCACGAATAAATCCCGAAACTACACTCGCATCAGCTCGGCTCATATGAATTACAGATTGACAGTAGAATTCTCACGATTTGAAAATGAACTGCCGGTCCTCCAAAACACGTGAACCCCAGGTACCAGTTCCGGTAAAGCATCTCTCGCACCGGGCCTGCCATCTTGGATGGGTCAACACCGAGATGCTGACCGGCCTTCCGCAGCGTCAGCAATATGGAGGACGACATATTGAGACAATCGCTGTAGGCAAAGAATTTTGCCTAACAAAGCGTTGAGAGACTGAGTTTTACCAGTCACATAGCCAGTCGTTATCGTTCCGTTCCTTCGTCTTGGCTTGGCTCCTGGTGGAGATTAGCCACAGCACCCCACCCCACGTGCCTCTATCACGACATCTGTGAGGCGGTTGCGGTAACGGAAACTAACAATCAATTTTTTATGATGTTTATGAAGCTTCTAGATATGCTTATCGAAATAACATATAGCTAGCTTTAGTTCTCAACCTGATTATATACTTTTCTGGCCTTGCCTTGTAAATTTCGGTGGGGGTTAGAGTAGCAAGGTATCAACTACCAAAGGGCCGTTCAACCCTTCGAAGACATCATATCACACTAACAACACAACAGTTCACAAAAAAACGCCTCAAATTAGCAACTAATCACACTACGCTACTATACTCCCCCATTCCTACCAAAATAAATCCCATCATCCACCAGCAAAGAAAAGCCCCAACTGTAAACACCCCCCAGAAGAAGTCTTCTTTGCCGTGAGGCAGTCCCCTGTAACGATATATAAATTCCCCCATTTCCCTTCGCCTCCTATCCAATCCCAATGACTCTGACTCTGCCTTGCCTCGTCCTTGAACTTGTGCGTGCTTTTGTCCATCGATTTCACTCCTGTCGCTCAAAAAAAAAAAGGTACAATCACCAACCCACCCGCTCTATAAACTCTCCATCTCCAAGAAGGTATATGTCATAAATGTCGTTCGTCACCCCTGTGCTCAAAGGCTGGGGTGAGTGAAGAAAAAAGGTATCAAAAATAACCCGTCGCTCGCTGAGAAGAAGTATGTACGAATGATCCGATCGATCGAGCTATGCGGCGCGGATAAAATTGAGGGACTGGTTGGCGGACCGACGGAGATTCGGTCGATGCGTGGCGGCTCATTTGTGCCTTGCACCTAAATCATTCCCCCCTCCATCATACTCGACGCCACCTCCCTCGGGTGCCTCTCCACCCGCCTCTCCCCCTGTATCCCACCATCGCTCATCTTCCTCTCTCCACCCGGCGTGCCCAAACCCATCATCCTCTCTCCTCCCTGCGCACCCAAACTCATCTTTCTCCCCTGTCCACCTCCCGGCCCCTCCCACGCCTGGGGCGCCAAGCTCTCATACGGACTCACCTCCATCGGTGGACTCATTGTCCTCCCATTCTTTTCATTCTGCCCATTCCTGCCACGGGACGCGCTGCGCATGCGCTCGGTGGCACTGCGGATGCGGCCACTGAGGGAGTTATCATTTCCCGATCTACCGCGGTTGTGGCCCCGCGCAGGTCCATCGAGGGACTGAGCTACGGAGTGGCGCATCATGGACACCGGTGGGCCCCCTGGCTGGGGCACTTGCTGCATCGCTGCCGCCGGTGCTGGAGGAGCAGGAGGTGGCGGTGGTGGAGGCGGGTGCTGGTGGGAGTGAGGGATATGCTTCGGCGAGTGCTTCGGAGAGTGCTTCGGCGAGTGCTCTGGTGAGGCATCCTCATCGTCCATCACGATCTCAATAACTCCGCTCCCCGAACTCGTTAGGCTTACCCCCGAAACGAGGGAATTCGTGTCCGCCGCTGCGCCGTAGCGGTAAAGTGGCGCTGGCGGTGGAGGAGGGGGTTGCGCAAGATGCATCAACTCCCTGAGGATCGGTGGCGCGGGAGGTGGTGGAGGCGGAGGGGGGATCATGTTGTTAGACCCCGGGCCAGAGTGCAATGCGGCGTCGATCCCGCCCATACCGTAAGTGCCGTACCCGAGAGTCCCTGGGGTGGCGTCGGTGCTAGGGTTTACCTTGCGGGCTGCCGGGGCATTGGAAGCGCGATAGTCTTGTAAGGGGTTGTTGAGGCGGCGTGCGGAGGGGGGTAGGGCGGCGTGGAAAGCCGGGTGAGTAGGGAGTGCGGAGGGGAGAGCGCGCGGGGAGATTGGTTCCTCGGGGATGGGGGCGGACATGCTGCGCGGGGGGATGTGGCGGGGGCCAGCTTGGTAGGTAGTTTTTGGGAGAGGGGCAAATGTAGTTTGTGGGAGTGGCGCATAGTCCTCAACCGGAGCGTAGGCCATGGCGTTGAGACTGCCCATTGAGAGTTGTGGGATGGGCGAGTAGCTCTCTGGAATCTGTGGGACGTCCGGAACGTCCTTGCCTTCTGGGTCGAATTTCGGGTGCTGCATCGCCTTTGGCGTGGCTGGTAGCCCAATCGCGACGGATGTCGGCGACTGGTGCACAGTAGACTGCGAGCGGTTGTGGCCATACATGTACGGAGACCCACGGGGTGACCCGCGCTGCATCTCGGGATCGACTGTTTGACTGCGCGGTGGCAGGTCACGGGGTGACGGGTACGTCGAGCTGCGCAGGAACTCGGAGCGCGAGTTTGGTCGCGGCAAAGGCGGGGATAGCTGCTCTGGGTGAAGGATGGGTGGTGCGGAGGGCCGGCGAGCTAGGGAGCGGCGTCGCTCTTCAAGTTCTCGCGCTGCGGCCTCCTTCTTGAGCTGGCGCTCCGTCTTAATTTGCGACAAGTCACCGACCTTCAAATCCGACGAGGCGCGTGCGTGCGATACGCTGCGGAGTCTACGACGCTGTTGGTCCTCCGGCTTCGTGCTGCTACGCCCATTCGTATGGCGGCTCGTCGATCTATCCCTACGTTCCCTTCTTGGCGATGGTTGACGACTCGACGCCCGCTCACGTTGGCGCGAAGCACTACGCTGGCGAGAGCGTTGGCGCTCTCTATTCGAGAACGCTGACCTGGTATCATCCATATCGTCTTCATCGCGGCGGTATTTCGCAGCCTCCGACGACATCGGCAGCGGCGACGATGGAGACCTCATCAGAGACCCATCGCGGGCCTTGCTCCTTCCCCGACCATCCCGCCCATTCAGGCTGGCGTCGGGGCTCGCGCGGCGGCTTGCCTGTCTGTTTGCAAGTCTGCTTCCCGGGCGACTGTCAGTGAACTTGAGGGGTTCGGGAGACATTCTACGGATGCGGCTTGAGGATTTTGATCCTGGGCGTGCGGTGGCTTGGCTCCCATCGCGGCCTTTCTGCCTGCTGGACGTTACGGAGTACGAGTCTGGCTCATCACCGAAACCGATAGCGCCTAGATCGCGCAAATCCTCAGGTGACATGGGAACTGGCGAGGTCGGCGAGCGCTTGGCGGGCTTGATGTAACGCACTCCACTCCTTCCGCGCTCGAGCGAAGCATCGCGCCCCTTGCCCGTGGCACTGCTGCTACGACCGCGAGACTTCTTGTCACGGCTCGCCTGGCGCTCCTGCTTGGCCTTCTGCTTGGCGTAGTGAGTGGCGGAATCTAAGCTGCTGATATAAGGGTCCAAACTGCGTCCTGTCATAGGGCTCGCATCCCCAGCCCTGCCATGGCTCTTATAGCTGCGTGCCGATGCTCCCGCCGAGCTCACCGACCCTGTAACCGACCTCGCTGAGGGCGTCGCGCGTCTACTTGGCCCCGACAACTCAGGCGTCGTCATATAATCCCCTGTGATAATCGACTCCATCGGTGGCCACTGAATCTGCAATCCATCGGGTTTGCGTCCCCTCGACCCGTTCCGCGCGCGGCTCTCTTTCTTGATCTCCGTGAAGTTGTCCGGGGAGGGCGATGGCAGCGGATTCGCGGTGCGTACCATGCGCTGCATCATGGGGCTCGCGGTGGCAGCGCGCGAGGTAGGCTGGTACGTCGTGGCACTGAGCTGGATGGTCTCGGGTTGGGAAGACTTGCGTGCGTGCGCGTAGGCGATGGCGTCGTTGGCGGTTTGGTCGCGGGGTGTGGGCATGGTGACCGTTGGCATCTTGATGATGGGCGTTACGTCGGTAGGCATCTCACCGATGGAGGGCAATCGGTTTCTCTGGTATCCACCGGGTGTAGCTGTTCGTGCTGACGCCGGGGTGTTCAGGGTGCTCTGCTGTCTAGGACGGAGAAATGCAGTTGATGCGTCGCCGCTGGGCGATAGTGCTGACTCTGCGATCGGAGTCCCAACATTACCCATTGGCGTCCTCTCGTCCTCCCCGCCAAAGAACTTGGACTTGGTTGAACCTTTCTCCCCGAATGTTGTTACGAGCTTCAGCGCCGCAGTCTTGGCCATATTGCGCTGCGGGCCGCGCGGAACTACACCTGGTGGTGATAGTGGTGGGCTCAGCATCTCAGGAATACTCGAGTTGAGCGGTGAGAATGTGAGGGATTGCGCGTTGGGCGACCCATACGACGACTCAGCCGGCGACTCTTCCGTACACGAGAAACACCTGATGGCGAGCTGCTGCTGGCTATGCTGGACGGCCCACTCTCCCCATTTACGGAGTAACTGAGTCTGGCGACCCCAATCAGCCGGGTACACCATGCACGTAAGAATGAGCGCCTCCATATAGCACTTGTGCGAGACGTAGATCTCGATGGCATCGTTCTGGTCGCCCATTCCAATCATGATCGTTGCTGCCGTGTGCACATCACCCTTTTCTAGTAGCCGCTGAACGTATGCTCGCGCTACCTTCTGCTGCGACGTTTGCCCACCAATCCCACTGAGCGCAAGCAACATCCAATCACTGGCAGTCATAGACTCCGAGCTCGTGGCCATGATATCCGTATCAATGTCGCCCAGCCACTTTGTCAGCAGCAGCCGATTCGGGGAGCCCATCGGATGGCGACTCAGCTCATCGCGAACGAGATCATCCGCCTCACCATTCCACCCAAAGATCGTATTGAGCATCTGGCGGCGCAGCTCGTGGTGAGACATTCCCTTGTTCTGGGGCACCTGTGGGTGTGCGTAGGGGATGTCGCTGAGACGGCTCTTGGTGAACTTGAAAAGGTCGACGACGATCTTGTCTTCGGGGCTACGGAGGACCTCCTGGCGTAGGCGAGAGGCGCGAGGGCGAGACCGGCCGGACATCTGCGAGGAGCTCACGCTGCTGACAGAGTAGCTGTCGCGGCTGGAGAGGATGGAGGGCTCGCGGGAGTGGAGGGAGGACCCTGGCGACATGAGGGTGTGGTCGCTATAGCCCTTGGATAAGACGGAGCCGCCGTGTCGACGGGCTGGTCGAGACCCTGCCGAGGACCGTGACGTCGACGATGCGGCGCTCGACGCGGGGCTCAGGGTTCCACTCCGGTCAGGGCCGTACTGCTGTCGCTCCTCCAGCTTGTCCATCTCCCTCGCTATCCTTGCCAGCGGAGACATGTGATCCTCGTCGCTCTCTGAGACATCAACATTGATTGGAATCTCCGACAGGGAGCTTGAGCTCGCCACTATGCCCTTCTGCTGCTCCTCGATGGAGACAGGCGGAGAGGGGGGTAAGAGATTTGCCGGGTGCTGGACATTGGCTACTAGCACAGGGGGCGACTTGAGATCGAACTGCTGCGCCGTGTTACTCCGTCCAAGGGTGAAAAGGGTAGCCCCTGGTCCGTAGATAGCGATACCTTTCACATGTTCCAGAGTAGGTACAGTCTCATATGTGACATTCTTCGTCCGAACATCCCATGATGATGTCTCTCTATTGTTTCATAAGTCAGCAAACTTGTTTTTTAGCGCGCGCATACAGGTGCGTGATTAAAAAAAAAGGGTTTCTTACCCCTCGGAATACTGGATAATGCGACCGTTTTTCGACCAGGCGAGCCAGTTCGGACCCGGTATAGAATTCTCACTCCTCCTGAGAACTCGTACGACCTTGGCCGCGTCATTACTCGAAGGCGACTTCGCGATGCTCCAGACGCGCAGGTCACCATCGTGGGTCTGAGTTGCCAGCATGTCCGATTTTTGCCGCGAGGAGGATGCGTGCCACGCAAGGGTGACAATTGGAGACGGTGCTCTTGAGGTAGTTAAGTTATGTAGTATGGTAAATCGCGGTTGTAGTGAAGCAATCAATAAGCTTCCATTTTGATAACTGTGAAAAAGTTAGCCATTGCCCTCCGAACCGATCCGGGTTACAAACCCAATGGCATATGTCCGACAATCCGCCGATGGTGCAAGCGCAGTAATTGGAACCTGGTCTATCGTCCTCGCCGAGATATGTTCTGACGTCGACGGTTCGAATAGTATCACATTTCCTTGCGCATTTCCTGCCCTAGAATTAGCACAATCTTCCCAAAGACAAAAGACAGATAAAACCCACCAAACGCCACATTCCCATTCCTCATCCACGCAGCCACAGATAGCGAATTGTACGACGCAAATCTCGCCACCTCATCGCCCGTCATCAAATCCCACACAATGGCCGTCTGCCCAGCATCATAGCTCAGAACCAGCCTCCCTGCTCCCCTCTCAGACACATTATCCACGGCCAATATCAGAACCTCCTCTTTATGCCTCGAGAAGCGGCGCTCAATAGTCAGCGTATCGTGGTGAGCGCAAACCACCGTGTTCCCTTGCGCATACAGGAACATGGAGGCGGTGGCGTCGCTGGGCTCAAAATCGCGCGCCAGCTTGGAGTCCGGCATGCTGAAGTCGGCCATGGAGGCCGCGCGACCGCCTTTGGAGGAGCGCCCCGATCCGAGCGACAGCGCGCGGTTGCGCGCGAGCTGCCCGCCGGAGGACATGGCGACGGTGGAAGCGTGCGGGCGGGTCTGCGACGGCGGGTTAGCCGGTGCGGGGTGGTGAGGGCCGACACTGGGAGGTTTGCAGAGGTCGCTGTCGCTGGGGATGGCGAGGGAGCGGCGAGGAGGAGGAGGGAACTCACGGTGGTGCCCGGTCTTCTGGCCGCCTCGCTTGTTGTGCGACTTGTCCTGCAGTGACAGGGCTTTGGATGTGGTCGCCCGCCTCTGTCAGTCGTCACATGGAGTTATTGCCAGGCGTCGAACTCATGCGCTGGCTGCAGATAGAGGTAGTTGGTAAATTAAAGCGTTGCAGAGAGTCGTCTGCGTTGTAAAGGTGGTGTTTGGAGGGTGGTGAGAAGTTGTTGCTTCTGTGCTGGTGAGTCTTGCGAGAATCGCAGAACGTTGAAGAGCCCGAGGATGAGAAAGCCGTCGCCGCAGTAGCCACTAAGAGCCAACGGCGGACCACGACCAGTGTGCGGCCGGGATGGGCCTTCCACTTCGGTGGCTGGTTAGATTGCAGTCGCCCAAAGCAGGGCGCTTCTCGCGAGTCGGAGCAAAGCGTAGATCTCGTATGGTACGGTACTGGCTGGAGCACTGTACGTTATGCCTTGCTGGGGGATATTGGGACGCCGGTCGCTGACGACGGAGCGAGTGGCTCGTCGCAACGGGTGCTCTCGACATCGCGGTCTGAGCAGAGCGGCTACAGCAGTGTGCTCTGTGTTGTTAGTGGCAAGCTCTTCGATGCGATTGACAGGCATACAGGGAGCACGCACCCGTAGCGGGCTGCTACTCGTCGATAGAGATGAGCCGGACCGCATCCGCATAGGTGACAAGGGTGGGGGGAGCATGGGGGCGATGTGTGGGCGTGTACCTCCAAGTACCTAACCCCCTCCCCTCAATATTTCTCCCAGTATGGCCAGCTATGCCCTGGACTGTGCATATTATGGCATATTGAGGCGTCAATACTTGTGTGATGATGGAGCCAGACCAGGGCAAGAAGAAGAATCTGCTCAGGCCCTCAATCCGCAATCTTTTGGAGTTGCACGAGAGGAATAAGGGGGGCGTTGTGTTCCTGGACGTGAGTGACGCTCCGCACAGCACCTCAGACACTGTGTACGGCCAGTCCCTGTGGACGATGACCAGTGTATTCCTGCCACCCCACGGACTATTCCTCACATAGATTACCACCTGTGCTTGTACGACCCAGTGAAGAGTCGAGTAAGCATTATACTCGACCACAGTATAGAGTGCACAGATACCTACAGTAGCCACAGTTGGTATTGTCCCCGTCTCACGCACGGTAAATAGAGCCGGAGCTTGCCACTTGAGGCAACGCAGGCAATATGACCTCGCAGCGTGATGCTCTAAATAAAGATCAGAGGGCATATGGCGATCACCACTGGCTGTGGTGGCCAGCATCGGTAATTCGACATTCTCATGGGGGCTTCGCACTGTTGGGACGGCCTCCTGTGGTGGCTTTGGCTGGTTCAGAAAGTTTGGTAGGTTTGGTCTGGTCTAGGTGGTCTGGCTGGTCTGAGTACACTTGGACTACTTCGTTGGGTAGCCAGTGAGGGTGAATATCAGGGTTCAGACGAAGCAAGGTGAGGCTGGGTGTGAATTGGCCTATAGGCACCCTGATTGGGTATAAGATGAAAGGTGACGTTCATCTCGACTCTACAACCAGCCATTCCCAGCCATATCAAGCCATAACGTCTTTAGCGCATCTCTATGCACAGGTCCTTCAGCGTCTTCATTCGCCAACAACCTCTTAACCAGGCGTTTCTTGGTTGTCTTGGCGCACACACGACAGGCTCACACCCCAGCAACGCCTGCAGGGGACGGAGAGCGCAGCGGGGGTGCAGCGGGGGGCGGGAACTGCAGCTCCCGCCCCGCTCTGAGGTTCCCATCGCTAAAGCACCTCTGTAGAGAAATAGCACACTTGTCAGCCAATAAGATAATTCCTTTTTAGCATTTTTGCATTTTCCGTTGTGATTTAAGCAGAGGACCCTATAGGGATGGGCAGCGATAGCAAGGGGGGGCTGGTAAGGCGCCAACAGCTGTGCGCTGGTTGGTGATGGGTGCGGGGAGTGGGGTACGGGAGGGGACGAGGGAGGGGATGCGACGGGGATGGAGGGAGATGTACTTCGATGTACGCCGGTGCATGGCGTGGAACTGGTGTACTTTCTCCATCTCATCCCTTCCCTTCACATCCCATCACACTCGACCGAGTCCTCTCATCACATACCGTCACACTTTGTCGTCACGCAGCACAATGAGGCGCATCACATCGCCGTCACCGCCAACTCAGGCGATGCTACTCGAGTATTGATGAGGAACTGATGTGGAGACAACTGTCACAGACTGAGACGGTGACGGTGACGGGGTGATTTGAGGCGGTGACCGAGGCGCTATCATCGTAGAGAGCTCGTTATCATTTGTCGCTCGCCCTTGCCACGAGGAAACAACGACGTTTCTCCTCCTCCCTCCTTCCATATCGCTTCCTTGCTTATTCCATTCCTCGCGTGGAGTGCGGTTCCTTGCCGTGCCGTCCTCCTCGGAGGCCGCGGGGGTGTTTGGGGGTTTCTCAAGGGCGCTCTGCACTTCCACTGTGATAGCGGACTGTGCTCGAAGATCAACGCAGGGTGAGCCCCGGCGAAGGATCGCAGTCCCGGTCGGTAACTCATTGTGCTGGTGCGGTGCTTTGTTGTCAATGACACCACACCCTCCCAATTTTCCCGCTTTCACGTCCACTTGGAAATGCTGTGAATGTGGTGTGCTCCGACGGTCTGTCATCTATCCTCGTACTTTCCTCGTACAGCACATCCAAGGCACAAGTAGAGTTGCCGCTTATATTAGTTGTACTCAACTGCCCTGAGCACAAAGTAGGGTCTGCCTCTTCCCATCTCCGATATGCCGTGCTCGGCCATTGTCTCCCTGGCCCCATCTATACATCCCGCGGCCCACCACATCGCTGCTGTACCGCTCCCGCTCCTGTACCGGATCACGTACATTTACCTACCCATGCCGCCCGAGCGTCCGAGAAGAAAATGCCCGTGCATAATAGGCGGTATAACACTCAGTCCCCGGAAGCAAGGTATGGCCTGGAAGCAAACACCGTCGCTTGTTTGGGGGTTAACAGCCGGCGGCTATAAATAAATAAAATGATAGTTTGCAAGCAGGGGAACTGGAAGATGCAGTGATCATATGAGAGAGAAATCTTTGACAAAACAGCAAGATGAAGAACTTTCCCCGGCTCCCAGTCATGAGAGAGGGACTTTTCACAAGACGGCTAGGTGAAGACCTCCCCCCCCCCCCGGCTGTCACAGCCATTGCGCATCAAAATCAGCAAGATGAGAGACAAAACATCCCGTGACTCCCTTCCAGGAGTACCCCCATTCCTCCACCCATCCTCCAATTTTTCCCACCCCCCATCCATTTCATCCCTCCTCCAACCGCCCTCCCAACCGCGCGCCCACATCCATGTTAGCCCGACCACCCATCACCCATCAATCACCCGCTGCTCACGGCGCCAATCTCCTGCCGATGCGTATCACTCCTTCGCTCCAACGGCATGCACCGCGCCGCTCAACATAAGGATCTGCAACATTGTGGGCTAATAGTATGGTTTGCGCGTCATTCCCCGCGTTGAGTGATGGATGCCCCGTCGATGATGCGAGGTGATATGTGAGACGGACGGGTGGGATGACATAGTGTTCGAAGCGATAGGCCACTGACGATGAGATGCGACACGAGCCGCCCGCGCACCCGCGCGATCGCAGATAGTGCACGGGCGGGCTGGCGCGTGGGGTGTGTGTATCTGTCGATCTAGGGGATTAGATCTTAGGGGGGTTGAGATCGGGCTCCGGGAACTGGATCCCGGGGTCGTATCGGGCGGCTGGAGGAACGGCGAGATCGGGGGGCGATAAGATGGCGCGAGGTGTACCGCGGGATCGTGGATAATGATAAGATGTGGTATCGGGGTTATTTTTGGATCGCTCTTGCTCGAGGTGTTGGGGGTTGGTTTGGATAGGATGTTGGGCTCGGTGTTGTGCCTCGATTGGGACGTCGCGGCAAGAAGGTGCGGTTGGGTTGATGCATCGTCTTACCATGGTACTCTCACAGCCCATGCCGAATCCCCTTTCTCCTCCGTCGACTACCGAACACTGCCTTGGCTGAGAATTGATATCAACGATTTACGCTAGTAGAATTTATCTCTTGGGCTCTATTTATGGGTAACAATCATGTTAGTTGCAGCTCTTAGTGACTGAGCACCTTCATTTCAATCATTGCCCCTGCAAACACAGGCGGCTGTTGTGACAGTATTTCTTCGGTCTTTTGGGCAGCACAAGTACCACAGCACCCTTCACACTTCCTTTTATTCCCTGTACTTCACCCCCTACACTCCCTGTCCTTTCTCCTTTTTCAATCCCTACCCTTTCCCCTTTTTCTCCCATCCCGCATTCTTCATCCCATTCCCCTATCTATCCCTCCCTCCTCTCCTCCTTTGATGGACGCCTTTAGCCTTCGCTACTCCCACAGAACTCCATCTCCCCTCCGGCTCCCGTTCCACCAACACCATTCTACACCCATCATGCATGCTTCGGCCCCTTGCGTCGCAGCGGCAGCCGCTCCCTTGCCGCTTTGTTGGATGGGGAGACAAACACATAGCGCAGGCGCCACCCACGCACAAATTCGCAATACTTACCATATGTGCTGCACATTCCCTGATCGGTGCTGGGTTGTGAGGACACCCTCAGCTTGCTGGCGGGTTGGGTGCATTCCTATTGAATACCACCTGTCATAGAGCCGGTTTGCTGTACTATAAGTAGGATTGTGGCGGCTAGTGACCGTGTCCTAGGGATGGTGATGTGTAATACAGGTGCAGACGCACAGCTTTGGGGTTGGTTTTAGTGTAGGTGAGTGGGAGTACTCGACTCCCAGATCCTGCGCTCCCTAGCTGGCTGGAGATAGGATATCGGTCAACACCCGCATGCTCGGAGGCGGAGGCAGAGATGCAGTTGGAGACATGGCCTCGGAGTAAATCCCAAATCCCAGCTGTAAACTCGCATTCTCATATTCTGCTCTTCGGTCCGGAAATATATCATCTAGCTACTAGTGTCTGCATGATCGGGCCCAAGATATACTCACACTCATGCACATAGCCTCTTGCTAAATCCTAAGTCTATACTTGTACCCGCCAGCTTGCCCTAGATCAGACACCGAATTTCGGATACCGAATATTCAACACTCACACATCAGCCGAGTATGAAGCAGTCAAACCTACCCCTTTTTCCTTTCAGCTTCCCTTGGATCGAGCAGCGAGTTCCGGATGCCGAAAATCCAAAACTCACATATCAGCCTGGTATGAAGACATGCAATCCCAACTACCCCTTTCAGATCGGTGGATTTAAGTAGTTGGGTGGGTGACTACCAGCGAATACCCAGTGTTGTGTGTTTTTTTATTTTGCCATTTTGCCATTTTTGCTTTTGACTGCTGCAAGTTACAGCGTTTCCGTCCTGAGAATAAAACACGTGCGACAGACATATATGCCTTGCATCGCTGATTAACTTCATCTCGTCTCTAAGGGTGCGAAGACGAGCAGATTACCAGTCTTTATAGTTAGAACAAAATATGCCGTTTGTAGAAAGCTCTTAGCACATATTTGAATGAGAAACAGTATGGAATGAGAGTCTGCTTAAACGTACAGGGTGTAACGTCCCTTCCGTTGTAGCGAGAATCCTGAGTGGCCATGGGACACAGCTGATGTAGAATATAACAGATATCGATGCGTGCACAGGTTTTGATATGCTTAACGCCAAAGTACGGATTGGCTAATGAGGGTGCCAAGTCCGTTGCTTTCCGCCCTGATTGCAAGAGATGGGTCTAGCTAGCCGCTATTCAAATAACTACAAACAATGAGCATTACTTCGTTGTGATCTAAATTGCCAATAATGTCTACAGATTTAGAATAGCCTTGCTGCATACAGCTCACACCCCCTCTCAAAGTCATGCCACGCCTTTAATTGACTCGGCTAGACAGGTATCAACCTCTTCCACACTTGGCGTGAAAGATCTACGCCTCAAAAAGATTGGTCTAACTTGGTGGTTGGGGCCAGAGGCCAATTCTGCATATCCTAGAGGCAGGTGGTCTCGTCTGGAAGAAGATTTTGTTGTCAATCGTTGCCATACGTTGCGAAATTTTCTCCGCTTTCCATCAACTCTCGTCCTTTCTTCCTTGAACTGATCTTTGTTGGCCCATATGACGATGCACATTGCTGCTCTAGAATCAGTCAGCGGGATTTTAACTATGCAGGGCTCTTCTTACCTTTCGTTCTTCTAGGCTATATTCCGCAGTTTTGTTTGTTTTGTTCAGTTTTGACGGTACTTTTCGTTTGTGATGTCTCTGGAAGAATAATGTATTTGATTCATCCGTTGACATATTTTTAGATCTGTTCTGTTCGATCCTTGAAGATATTACATCTAGCACAAAATGCTATTTCAATTCTGCTAGAAGAAGTCTTAGATCTCTGTAACCTTGAAGTAAGTCAATTAATAGTTTAATCGAACGCACAAATGACGTTTTGTAGGTAATTTTAATATATTCTCTAGTCTCTCAACATCACGTTGAATAAACTAAAGTACCTTCCTCTCTTCTTGTACCTAATGAACAATCTCACTAGCATCTATACGCACGACAATCCTTTCGCTCATACCTCGCTCCAAGTTTAGCAACACGAAAGGCCGCACACTAGGATAATAGTACTTAAGAAAGAGTAACTAAGCAGCTGCAAGATATTATTGACCGTCAATTCTTAACTAATGGCAATAAAAATAAAATCCTCTAACGACATAGACGACAGTACTGACTATATGTACGCCTATACATCCACGAGGTTATTGTAATTAGTACATGGCTTTATACCTCAGATGTTTGTCTGCGCTATGATGAACGAGTCTATGACCTTACTCAACTATAATGCCATCTTACGCCCTCCTTCTACACTTAACTCTACTCTAGCTATGTAATTAGCTTCGCATTTCCTATTAAGAGACTTAAAAAGAGCACACGGAACTACGAGCACTCCTAGAATCTAGATCTGCTATGATGCAAGCTTATATATTGCACTAATAGCCGTCTGTAGTTAGCTAGGAAATTAGTTATATCCTATTAACTTTAGTAGTAAGTCTACCTAGCTCTCCTATTTAGATGCATTTGTTTTAAAGGGGTAATATATCATATAGATAATAATAGCTTAAGGTTTGTTCTTCTTAATAAGCCTAGAAACATACGATTTAACTTTAGATTTAAACATCCTTATAAAATAGTTAAGATATTACACTATGCTACCCTCTAATTAAAGGATTAGGCTTGTGTTAGTTGTGGCATTGTGAACTATTGATGGTTTGACGCGTTTTGGTGTTTTAGTAGGCGACACGCCCCTGAACTACGTTATGCATAACGATTCATTAGTTTCTAAGGCAAATGTAAAAGGAAGATATTAAGAGGTGATTTAATAAATGTTCAAATTAGAAATTTGCATTTGCATTAGGCTACACTTTGACGTGAGCCTTTGAACTCATGACAGAGAAGAAAGTTGTCCTTGTCTATTGTAAGTCAAATGTTTTTATATTCTTGTACAAAGTCAACTGTCGCATTACGTTATGCTGTCTCAATATACCGTTTTAGTTCCCTAGATGATAATGTCAGTGTCACCATCACAATATGTCGTGAAAGAAACATTTAACTTACCAGTCCGTTATCGCTTCTCTCCAGAGCCTCAGTTCATGCTCGCTCGATGCTGCGTAAAATTCCACGAATGTATCACCAAAAATCTCTCTTGCCACGCTCCCCGGAGCCTTGAATCGCCTTGTCGCTTCGTCAAGCGTGTTAGGTAACAGAGCCGCCTCCTCATTGCTCCTCGCCGATGCGGGAGGCACCGAAATGTCCAGCTTCTTCTCTACACCGCGCATTCCCGCCTTAAGCAAGGCAGACAGGGCATAGTGCGGGTGCAGGTCGGCGCCGGGGATTCGAATCTCCATGCGCGTAGCCGCTGCCTTGCACACGGGGGGCGCAATGAGACGCACAGATACAAGGCGGTCCTCGAGGCCCCAGTTCAACCTAACTGGGACCCAACAGTTCTCGACGAAGCGTTTGTACGAGTTTATGTTGGGTGCGAGGAGGGGCATGATATCTGGGAGAGCATCGAGGATACCAGCCAGGAAGTGACGTCCCATATCGGAGAAGCTGGCGATATCTCTCCAGCGCGCCGAGTCATCACGCGTCTCCCTGGCAAATAGGTTTTTACCGTCTGCATCGGTAAGCGACATGTGGATATGCCCCGAGCTTCCGGGCCATCCATATAAGGGCTTAGCCATGAAGCAGGGCGTGATGTTGTGGTCCATGGCAATTGATTTGGTTGTAAGCCTTTTTCAATTAGCCAGGTTCTCTCTGAGCTGGAAGACGGCCACTTACTTAAACAAACTGACACGATCAGCCATTTCTGAGACTTCCTTCACAGCTAAAGCCTATGGTCGTTGTCAGCCCCAGCCTCACGAGTATTAAAGGCTGGGGGAGGGAGGGAGAAGGGGGGGGTCACAAACCGCCTCATAGACGCCGGGCCCACTCTCCGTGTGCTGAATCTCTAGATCGCAGCCAACCGACACGCATGTGTTGAAGATGTCATAAAAGTACTTCTTGGACGCAGTTGGACGGGTCATGCTGTAACCGAACATGCCTTGGGTGATTGGCCGTAGAGCTCCTGGAGCATTCTTTGCTAGGAATCCCGCAACATCCGGCCTGCTACCGCCTACACCGTATCCATCCTCGGTTGGGGTCTGAAAGTTGAAGAATTCCAGTTCCACTGTATGGCTGTCAGCACTTACTCTTACAAGTAGTCCTTCCATGCCCTATAATTAGTCATGCGGAATCGGGAATCATACCGCCTGCTAGCGCTTTAATATTATTCTGCGCGAGCTTCTGCGTGATGCCCGCAAGCATACTTCGCGGACAGGCAACCACCGGCTTATCGTTGACAGTGAAGCGCAACAAAAAGAACGGGATGTTTTCCTCCCAGGGCAACCTTCGAAATGACGACAAGTCTGCAACAGCAATAAAATCGGAATAACCTCCATTCTCCGATGCCATGGCCGAGCTTGCGGGATCGGCGTATAGGGCGTCGTGCATGTCCCAGCCAAAGACGGCAGAGCTGAACCCAAAGCCGGATTCGACGGTTGAGAGGAATTTGTCTTTTGACATTACTTTGCCACGGAGGATACCTGACGAGTCGACGCCGGCGACTTTGACTTTGAGGTCATTTTTCAAGGAGTCGGCGATGTTGTCCAGCGTTAGGAGTGTCATGGTGGATAACCTGTATTTTGGCGCTGGGAGACGCAGTATGGCCAGAGACAAAAAAAGAGATATGTAGCTATCTTTTAAGAGAAAGGTGGAAGATTAGAAACAGTTGCGGATACAGTCATTATATTTCAACCCGGAATCTGCATTATAAACTACGTTGTGCTTATTGGAATCCTCTTACATGGAGCCGTTTCGACCTAGCTGAAGGCCCACCCGGAGCTGCGCCAGAACTGGGACCCATCGAGACGCGGTCCGCGCGGTCTTACGATCATGGAGCCGCCCTCCACTTACAGCGGCTAATTTTTTTATAATTTTACCAATCAGGGTGTTTGCCGCCAAATCATCTGCTGCTTGCCCTTTGAATGAGCGACACTGGAACATTATTGGGAATGAATGGTGGATAGGAGGGTGGGCGGTTAATTGAATACTAAAACGCTCTACAGATATGACTGCCCTGGTCAAGAAATGAAAACTTTTAATAAATCTATTGAACGTCAAAATCAATCATCAAAATGGGCGTATACCACATTGCTGTTCTGGAGTGCGACACCCCAGTCGACACAGTCGTTACCTCTCGCGGCACGTATGGCGACATCTTCAAGGAGCTGCTCACCAAGGGACTGGAAAGAGGTGGCCCAGCGGCCGGCGACATCCAGCTCCGTGTCTCAAAGTGGGATGTCGTTGGGTCCAGCTCGTTTCCAGATATTCGTGAAGTAGACGCGATATTGCTGTCGGGAAGCAGTGAGTACTTAGTGAACAGTCGAAGGAGGAAATGACGTTCGACATGGCTCTGACCACATGGCGGAACAGAGCACACAGCTTTCGAGGACGACGCGTGGATCGTCCGGCTAGTTGACCGCGTCAAAGACATTCTCACCACGCACCAGAAGCCACTCGTCGGCATCTGTTTTGGGCACCAGATAATCGGACGTGCGATGGGCGCCGCGGTCGGCGTGAGCCACGGAGGATGGGAGGTATCGGTAAACACGATTGATCTGAACAGCCATGGCCGCCAGCTCTTCGGAACTTCAAGCCTGGTACTGAAGTGTTACCTTTGGAACATGTTTGAAAAATGCTAATTTTAAAATTAGTCACTGCATCAAATGCACAAGGACGCCGTTCTAGAGGTACCAAAGGGGTTGGTTAATCTCGGGAGCAGCCCGAGCTGTCCGATTCAAGGACTTTACAAAAAGGGAAGCATTCTGTCGCTCCAGGCGCACCCAGAGTTTGATGAATTTACTATGAGACAAATAATTCAGACGAGACATGTGCAGAACGTTTTTGATGATGCCATGTTCAACGACGGCATGGCGAAGGTTGGAAAGCCACATGGGGGGGACTTGGTGGCGTCTGCTATTTGGCAGTTTCTACTTGATGGATGAATATTTATAACTAAAGGGAATGGATTATTTAGGATGAAAACTATGGATCTTGATATGTATCACCATTGTGAAAGCCAGTATATTCCGCTTCGTAATCTGCAGACCCAAACCTCGTAACCGAAAATATAGTTTGACAAGTGAACCGCCAGTACGGTCTATTGGATAACCTGGACAAATCGGGAAAGAGGCAGACAGTCTCGAAAGGAGTGCATAAACTACATGATATTTGAGAGATCCACGTGTCACATCGAGCCGCGCAACTGAGCCTGGATGCCGACGTCAAGTATAAGTACCTCCCACACCTCTCCACCACCCTTTCATAGTGCGCCGTAAACGAACTCATAACAACACTATAACACCTCTCTCTTATAATCTACAAATTCAAGTTTCACGGCAACGTGATATTCCGCAAATCATGTCAGACAAGATCCGGACTGTATCGCCCTCGACCGGCCACCTCATCTTCGAACACGATGGCACCACCGTTGAGCAAGCCCGGTTAGTGGCCGGCCGTGCCCGGGCGGCTTTCAAGACTTACCAGAAAACTTCCCTTGATCAGCGCAAATCCATAGTCGTCAAGGCGTTGGACTATGTTGCCACCCAGCAAGAAAGGCTCTCCCAAGAGCTATCCCAACAGATGGGCAGACCGATCACTTTTGCCAACGTCGAAATTGACACAATGCGCAAGCGTGCTGAGTATCTTCTCGATATCGCATCTGAAGCGCTAGAGGACTTGCCTGGCCGTCAAGAAGATGGATTCCAGAGGTGGATTAGTAAAGAGGCCGTTGGACCTGTCCTAATCGTTTCGGCGTGGAATGTAAGTACCCCAGACCAAAGTCTAAGCATAGAATTCACCAACATCATCTCGCAGTATCCCTGGATCATCACAGTAAACACACTAATCCCTGCCCTGCTGGCTGGCAACTCAGTGATTCTAAAGCCCTCTCCACAAACACCGCTCGTGGCAGACGCCTTCCAAGAGGCCTTCAATACAGCTGGTCTCCCACCTGACGTTCTCCAAGTTCTTCACTCTGGTAGCCTTGAGACGCTGAAACAGGTTGTTCGACTACCGGAAATCAAGCAGATTTCCTTCACGGGCTCTACGGTCGGTGGACTGGAGCTCCGGCAAGCAACGGCAAATCGTATCGTCCCCCTGAACCTTGAACTCGGCGGAAACGATCCCGCCTATGTGCGCGCCGACTCCGACTTGAAGTGGACAGCATCAAATATCGTGGACGCCGCGGTGTTTAACTCTGGACAGAGCTGCTGCGCTGTGGAGAGGGTGTATGTGCATGCTGATGTCCACGACGAGTTTGTGCGAGAGCTCCAACGTGAACTTAAGGGGTATGTTTATCTTCCTACTGTGCAATATACCTACCTCATGCTGACTGAAGTAACACAGCTACATACTTGGTGACCCCGCAGACAAGTCCACGACCGTGGGTCCCGTCATTTCTCACGCAGCCGTCAAGGCCATCCTGGCCCAAGTTGAGGATGCTCTCCTAAAAGGAGCTGTCGATGCTACTCCAACCAACACCTCATTCATGTCCCTGCCTCAGACGGGCAGCTACGTCGCACCCAAAATCCTGGTCAACGTCACTCACGACATGGAAGTCATGAAGAAGGAGACATTCGGTCCAATTATCCCAGTGATGAAGGTCCAGAGTGATGAAGAGGCTGTAGACCTCATGAACGACAGTAACTACGGACTTACGGCGAGCGTCTGGACTCAAGACGTTGCACGCGGAAGGGAGCTTGGGAATGAAGTGGAAGCTGGAACAGTTTTCGTTAACCGTGCCGACTGTCCTAACCCGGTAAGCAGCCAGCCCGCTCTGTGTCGTACCAGTGTATCGATCGCTTAACATGCTTCTTCTAAATACTGACACGAGTGCTACTAGGACCTTACTTGGATTGGTTGGAAGGACTCGGGTCTCGGCAGCACGCTAGGACCGCGCGCATTTGATGCCTTTGTCAATATGAAGAGTCATCACATCAGAAACATCCAATGCTAGATAGAATATTGTAGGAACAAAATGTATATTGGCTTCATACTTGGTACTTTGATCTGTAAAGACTCTCCATGCAGCGGCTGGACGCGTTGACCGTGACTTCTTGGAAACAAGATAGCGTGTAAGCTGCTACGACAGTGGCGTCGACTAGAAAACCCAGAATGTGAGGAGCCCCGCATCAACTACTTGTGGCGCTCACGCCTAAGTCCATCGCGCACCGCGGGGAGTTGCCATGATCTAACTAGAGTTGAATTGGAACCGCGCTACACGACGCCATCACAGCAACGCGGCAACCGTTCCAGCCGCAGTGTGTGGTTCTAATTTCACTGTAGTTGGAGCATAGTATGTGGATCGCTTTGCGCAACGGACCTCAGCTGTGCGCGCTACATGGAGTTGTAGCACCGCGGTCTACATCTCCTGGAGCCCTAAGTACTTAGGCAACATCCAAACTAATAACACCCAAAGCGCAGATAACCACGATGTCGATCAACTAGAAACCTCAGAAGTGAGGAGGTCCGCTACAAGTCCATGTGGCGCATATTTGATGCCCATCGCGCACCGCGGGCGAGTTGCCACGCCCCAACTGGAATCGAACTGAAACCGCGCTACACGACGCTATCGCGGCAACCTTTCTAAGCCGCAGTGTGTAAGTGCATAGGCGTCTAGATTACCTCATCGTCCTACAGTTACAGTGATTCAATAGAGTCGTGGGCAAGACAGCGTGGAGGAATGGGACGTTGTTTTGTCAAAAGCGCGCCCTGATGCCGCGCTCACTACATATAAAGCCAGGACGTGGATGGACTTGTTCCCTTGCAATAACTGCATCAGTCCTACTACTACTCTGCATATTTCTTCTCTATCATTCTCCCTCACTTTCTAGTGATCCTGTACCTTATCAAACATGACAGTTACACTTGACAGAGATATCGCAACCACGGCTGGTAGGCTTGCTGGGAAAAACGCCATTGTAACCGGCGCCGCCGGGTATGTCCCATTTCAACAGTCCACGTCAACAAAAAAATTAACTAGTCGCATGGTCTTCTAACGGTCTTGTTCCAGTGGCATTGGACTCGAGACAGCCATCCAGATGAGCAAAGAGGGAGCTTCCGTCCTCTTAACCGACGTCGCCCAACCGGCACTGGAAAGGGCCCTGCTGAAAGTCAAGGAGATCGTCCCCGACCGCTCCGGTAAGCTTGAAGCCCGAGTGGTCGACGTGTCCAAGGAGAGTGAAGTCGAAGCTGCCGTAGCGCACCTTGACTCCTGGGGCGGACTGGACGTCATATTCAACAATGCCGGCATCATGCACCCCAAGGATGGAGATGCCGACGAGTGCTCCGATGCTATATGGGACTTGACCCAGAACATCAACGTCAAGGGTGTCTGGTACGGGTCCAAACATGCTGTCCGCTCGCTGCGGAAACACGGCAAGAAAAAGGGCAGCATTATCAACACGGCTAGCATGGTGGCTCTCGTGGGAGCGGCGACACCTCAACTTGCGTATACAGCTAGCAAGGGAGCTGTTTTAGCCTTGACACGCGAGCTGGCCATTGTGCATGCTAGGGAGGGTAAGTATCACAATCCGCTCGCTCCTCTCCTGTCCTTTCTAATCTGATAACTCGTTCGCAGGGTATCGCTTCAACTCGCTCTGTCCTGCACCCCTCAAGTAAGCACCGCTGCCTTTTACCTCTTTCATCTGACGCATCGAGCTGACATTACGGCAGCACACCTCTGTTGCAGGATTGGCTTGGAGACGATCAAGCCAAGAGGCTTCGACGGGAAGTTCATTTCCCGAGTGGTCGATTTGGCGAGGCGATTGAGCAGGCCTATGCCGTAGTCTTCCTAGCCAGCGACGAGAGCAGCTTCGTCAATGCTACCGACTTTGTGGTAGACGGAGGCTTGACAAAGGCATACGTAACCCCGGAAGGACCAGCAACGCAGGGGCCCAAGAACTTAGGTAGTGCTTAGGGTTTGACTAGAAGGTCTTCAGAGTTAAGCTAGCACATGGCGTTTTGTTTCTTTGCCAGTGGTTTGGGAGGGTAGCTGTTCTAGTATGTTACGCGAATGATATCAAAATCTGATGCTCCTGCATCGTTTTGCAAAGTGCCCAAGGGTTCCTGTCCTCTAGTGGCTGTGCCCAAACATGCTCTAGTACTGAAAGTGTTTCTCGCATATTGCCAAGAGCAATAGTGTCGAGCATTATTTGTAGGCGACATCGTAAAACCTGTTGTGCATCCGGGTCCGAAAGGCAGCAACCAATGACTACGAGCGGCCAGCAGAGACTGGTATTGATACGGCTTGAATCTCGGATTTGACCAAGGAGACACAAGGCTTCCGCGACAGCGCTCTGAATAAGGTTATACAGCATGGCGTTGTTGTCACTTTTATGGTGAGGGCTGGCTAAGATGGTCCATAGATACAAGAGGACGGCCTGTTTAAATACTAAGCCTGCAAGTGTCGTATCTAGGTTTGCAGATGGATGCGGGGAAAAGGCGAGTATCTGTGACTGGAGAAAGCCATAGTTGGTGATGTCATCTGGTGAAAGACAGTAAGGCTGGCCATCCGACTTGGATGCCATCTTCTTCTGCCCAAGGATAAATATCTTGGGGATCAACACAAGCAACTCCAACCAGCAACCGCAGAGCTGGCCGATGTAGTGTTTTTCAATAAGACCAGTAGCCAGGCGCTCCATGTCGGGGTCGGGAAGGGGCTGTGCGGTGTGGTGGGCGCCCATGGAGATCATACTCAGTGACGACATATGCGTATAGTATTCAACGAGGAATCCCCTAAGATCGTCGCTCAGATCCCGTCTAGGCGAAGTAAGAAGCCTAGGAAGTAGAGATTTTGCGGCGCTAATATGGTCGAACGTGCTTCCATGACTGTCTCCTCTGGCCACCTGGGTAGTGATTGTCAAAGACGTAAATTGGGGCATGTGGATGGATTCAGACAACGTACCTCTGTGAGCGAAAGAATGAGGCTGCCGACAGTAAGGACAAGTGCATTTTCCTCCCTCCCGGAGACATATCCGTCAACTACGGTTCTGAAATAGCGAAGCGAGTCACTGTAGGACCTTATAGCCACCTCGTCACTAGGGTGTCGGTCCTTGGACATTTGTCTGTGGACGGCGCTCTGGGCCATTATCAGCTGCAGAAGCAGTGAGTGTGAAAAGGCGAGAGGGATGAGTTTGGTGATGAAGGGGTTGGAGTCGGTCGAGCCGTTACCCATGCAGTTAGCAGTACGGTCGAGATAGAAGCCGAGGAGGTCTGGGGAATGTTCGCCATGATTCGGAAATAAAGACAAGGGTTTAGTCAAACAGAGTTGCAAGTCCTGTAGCGAGTGTGTATGATCGGGGCTGGGATCAAAAGGACTGTCGTCGAGATTTGTGATGGCGCTGACTCCGCTTCCGACGACACCGTTGGGTGGAATGACGACGGTTGGTGGTGGTGAGGATGACGAGGATGGCGAGGATGACGAACCCTGGGACGTCGAGGATGGAGACAGCTCTGAATAATATTTCGAGGGCGCTGGGGATGATGGGGCAACCTCTTGGGTATCCGTGGCGGTCGAAAAGCGCGAGTAGCTTTCGGCGCCATTTGCTTCGACTATTATGGTATCCAATATCGGCATAGGATCGGCAATATCAAAGAAGTGATCTGTCGGGCGCAGAGCCGAGAATGAATAACCACGCTGTGTATAAGGGGTAGCTGGAGCTGCCTCTCCTGTTGCTACTGCTGCTATCCCGTTCTCTTTAGGGGAGGGCACGAAGTGGCTAAAGCTCGCCGGCCGTGGGCGAAGAATGACAGCTCCAGACGCAGAGGCGGTAAGCGTCTTGGAAGGCCCAGGCTGGAAGGCGGCGGTAGTCGGTTTAATGTGGCCCTCCTTGGGACGCTTCGCAGAAGACAGTGGTGCAGGCCAGCGACATTCAAGATCATTGCGCCGACAGCCGCTGCAGATGGGCCTCGCCTCATTGCATTTCTTTTTACGGCTGCGGCAGGTGAAACAGCCGGTTCTGCTTCGGCGGATGAGGGCCATGTTGTGCTGATGGGTAGAGTCGAATGCTCGCAGACCTCTTTCACAAGGTATGCTGGAACTAGAGTATCGTCCGGTGAGTCTAGGTCATAATCCTTGCGACAAACCACGGCATCTAAAGTCAGACAAAGAGACAAAAATGCAGTTGGGCCATCGGCAACCGCCGAAGGAGACGGGGGCCGAAGAACAAGAGATCCAAGCGTGTGGTGGATTCGAATGCGGGGGAGGTAGGCTTGTTGGAGAGTGATGGTGTGGAGTTGACTGACTCAAGGGCATGGATGGCGATAGCGTCTGTCCGATGGTCAGAGAATCTTACATAATCCCAAGCGCTTGCGATACAGCATGGGCAAGCGGGGTTACTGATTTATGAGATCTACAGTATGGAGGCTTCTCTATCAAAGGTGGACACCCACGCCCTCGATACCACGCTCGTTCCCGTTTTACGAGGGGCTAAGGGGCCCCATTAGTGGCTGGCTTGAGCCAATTGCAACTCTTGCCGCGCTCGACACCAGACCATATGCAGAATAGCAGCGAGCGCGCACCGCAATCCCTGTCATATTATAATCCCAAACAGTGGCACCTGCTGGTTTCGTAGTAGTGGATTGATTGGCAACCGGTGCGTTGGGACTCTGGGGGGTTTCGACGGTGCTACATAACACCACCTATTACTTTGTAACGAGTACTTTGTACTTTGTACTTCTTACCCCGCACCCCGGACCCCGCATCCCGTACCCCATACTCTACACCCCTATACCCCTTACCTCGTACGGCGTACACCAAGATACAGTACGGGCGACAAAAGTATGTGTACGGGCCTGTGCTCAGACGAAGTAAATGAATGCTGCTTTAGTTGTCGCGGCCGTATCGTTTGTTTTGTGAACACCTTCAACAATGCCTAGGGGTCTTGAATTAAGTGTTGAAACACGAGCTCGAATACTTGAGCGGAGCGAACAGTTGGTTCCGACGATTACAAGGAGATCCATTATGTCGAATTATAAACGCATGGCTACATGAGCATAGAATTGATGTTATTAATTGGCTACCTTATAGTCTTGATTTAAATCCAATTGAAAGCTTATAGGCGCATTTAAAAGTTGAAGTATATAAGCAACACCTTAACTTAATTAACGCTCCTAATACTAACTATACCCCCCGTTAGCTAGAATGGTATATAGTTACATGGGAGATTACTTGATAGCTAAAAGCGACGCTGTAATTGGAGCAAATGTGTAGTACAAAGTATTAGATAAGATAAAGCAGCATCGTGGATCGAGCACGGGCCGATACACATACTCCTATCGCCAGCAACTGACGTAGATACATGCAATTACTCCACTATAAGTATAAGTATCCGTTCCCAATCCGTTCCCATTTCCAGTTCCATTTCTATTTCCATTTCCATTCCCATTCCCTCCTTGTTGGCTTACGAGATGCAAGGCCGTGACTATTCGTTTCTCGGTCTCTCATCCATCAACAACTTGCTACCACCTCCTAAACTACCCCAACATAGTTCTTGAATCAGCTCCAAACCCATCGACGCAACGGCACACGACAACACCATGGAGACGACGCGCGATGGCAAAAACTCTCTCAGCCAGATGGGCTACAAGTCCGAGCTCCCTCGCAGCCTCAGCATGTTGAGCATTCTCGGCCTGTCCTTTGCCATCATGGCTGTTCCCTTTGGTCTGTCTACTACAATGTACATCACCTTGACTAATGGCCAGTTTGTTGCCGTTCTCTGGGGCTGGGTCGTCGTCTCCCTTATTTCCCTCTGCATTGCTGCGTCGCTTGCTGAGATATGTGCCGTCTACCCAACTGCGGGCGGTACCTACTATTGGTCTGCCATGCTCAGCACTCCTCACTGGGCACCTGTTGTGAGCTTCATTGCTGGCTGGCTCACCCTTGTTGGCAACTGGACTGTTACACTCTCTATCAACTTCTCTGGTGCGCAATTGATATTGAGCGCGATATCAATTTGGGATGAGGAGTTTACGCCTAATCAGTGGCAGACAGTGCTTTGCTTCTGGGCTGTCATGCTTATCTGCACGCTTGTCAATGCCTTTGGGTCGCGCTATCTTGACCAGATCAACAAAGTATGCATCTACTGGACGGGCATTAGCATCCTCATTTTATTGGTTACACTGCTTTCCATGTGTGATCATAAGAGGTCCGCGAAAACGGTCTTTACCCACTACGATCCATCTGCTAGTGGCTGGCCAGCGGGCTGGTCCTTTTTTGTTGGGCTTTTGCAAGGTACGGGATGCTCCTCTTATATCGTACAACTGCCATTATGGATAGTGACGCTAACGAACTGCAGGCGCCTACGTCCTAACAGGATATGGCATGGTTGCCTCCATGTGTGAAGAAGTCCAGAACCCAGAGCGCGAAGTTCCGAAAGCCATCATCCTCTCAGTTGCTGCAGCCGGCCTTACTGGCGTTGTATATCTGATTCCCATCCTCTTCGTACTACCAGACGTGAAACTGCTCCTCGATGTGGCCAATGGGCAGCCTATCGGTCTTATTTTAACAAGGGCCACAGGTTCAAAGACTGCTGGCTTCTGCTTGCTACTGCTGATTCTGGGGATCCTCTTCTTTGCCGGAGTTGGCGCCTTGACTGCTTCCTCTCGATGCACATACGCTTTTGCTAGAGACGGCGCAATTCCTGGATACAAGCTGTGGAAAAAGGTCAACAAGACACTCAACGTCCCGCTATCAGCCTTGCTTCTTTCCGCGTTTGTTGACTGCGCCCTTGGTTGTCTGTATTTTGGCTCCTCTGCAGCATTCAACTCGTTTACTGGAGTGGCCACCATCTGCCTGAACGCCTCCTACTGCACCCCTATCCTTGTCAACCTTCTTCGTGGCCGGGAAGCTGTCAAACACTCGCTCTTCCCTCTCAAACGCGCGGGTTACATTGTGAACGGCATTAGCGTGGCATGGATCTTCTTCTCAGTGATCATCTTCAGCATGCCCGTCTCCATCCCCGTTACCGCATCATCCATGAACTACGCTAGCGTCGTGTTTGCCGGGTTCGCCGCTATCAGCGGAGCCTGGTATCTCGTCCATGCACGCAAGAATTTCAAAGGGCCGGTTGCTGCGCAATGGCAAGGCTCGGACTGGGATGACAATAGAGTCGTTACAGATAAGTCTCTTGGCCGACCAGAGACCGAGCCAACGAAAATTGACACCAGTTCGGAAGGTGGTGAGAAGGAAACAGTTAATCAAGAAGAAGATATATCCGAGAGGGTTAGATATATTAACTAAGTTCTTATTATAAGGTAGCAGGTAACTGGGGTTCTCTCGCCTAATGCAGGGCTTAGCTCGAATAATGAGCTATCAAAGCTGCCACTACATTGTGAAACACATGGGTCAACCAGATGGATGCACTCGTAGGAAATGCGGGTCTTAGAGGCTAGGCCTACGAAGAACGAGCAAGATAAGGTTGTAGGCTGCGAGGCCTCTGCTCGATGAGCGAGAACTGGGGGCAGTTGTTCGAGAGCAGTTAGGGTAAGTTGAGGTGGAAACAGCATTAGATTTATATTCGACGTCACCTTAGCATGGGCGGGTACTATTCGTTCGAACAGCGAGGGCGCTATAGCGGCGCTTTCCCTATCACAGACCCCCTAATTTCCCAATGCAGAATCGCCGACATGTATATAGCTACTCTAAGAGGGTTAAGTAAGGCGTATTCTAAGTAGAACATCTCCTAGAGTTTAGATAGAAATATATATTATTAGGGTAATCTTACTAGCACGCTTATCCTTTCCCTACGCTTATTTATTACTCACGGTGGCTTCTTTAACATCTACGGTAGAAATGGAGAAAGAGTGTCGGGACTGCTCTAGTAGCTGCGTGACATTTGCATCCATGAGTCTGTGGAGCCAGTTCTTATCTCTAAGTGCATTATACTAAGGACTACTACGATCGAATCCTCGTCTTCTAGGACGGATCGGGAAGCACTGCCCTAAGAGTAGTATTGAGCGATTTTCTAACTCCTCTTTCCCTTCCGTGGCTTCTTATGAGGGAGTTAATTAGTAGGCTTCGAGGGGATAGCGCCGTAGACTATTACTAGACAGTCTGTTCCTCTATTAGCAAGACACGACGCCGTAATGTGGTATCACTTACCTCTAGGGTCAATCATATTTCAATCCTTCTTCACCTGAAAACGTGCACTGTCGCTATGTTTTACTAAGTAAGAATTAGTAGCTAACATTGTCAAGAAGGTCCTAGAAATAGGATGTTGTTATTAAGGGAAGTTAGAAGTGAGGTAGGCTGAAGAGTAGAAGCGATGTTCTTATAACAACGAGCGGGTGGTGGCGTAGCTGGAAAAGCCCTCCCAAGACTAGCGGCTTGAAATTACTTTAGCTGTCATTAGATGCTTCCTAGCCCCTTTTATGTTTAGTTGGAAAGGAGTTTGTACTGCCGTTATTCTCGATCTTAGCGCTGTCGAAGTGTATGAGGTAGAGACTCCACACCCTTGAACCGCTCGTATCTCATTAAAAATGGTAAAGCTAGATTTCTTAAGATAATAATTAAGTACTCTTACTAGATGACAAGGCTAAGATAGCTCCGCATATCATCGGCCCTGTAGATATGGCTAGGTCGGAGCACTGCCACAAGACGGCTGGCGTAGATTATGTAACTGGAAACGCAAGTTATGATGTATGGAGGAGCATATAAGAAGGCGGTCTCCTACTTATAAAGAGCAATATCCCTCCAACTTCTGTATCAGTCTAGAAATTGCTCCTTCACCCATCGTTTAGATCTGTTACTCAATTAACATGGCCCCGTCAACACCAACATTAGAGGATAGGCAAAGCCGAATCATTGCAGAAGATTGATCTACAGACAGCACCGATTCCGACTTTGACGGGCTATTTTCGCAAAACACCATGCACATAGCAGCATCGGGGACCAGCCACTGGCGTGCTGCGGACTGGCAAAGTTTTGGCGATCTCTAACTAACATAACTTAGGCTTAATTACTTAGTTAGGATCTGCGTTAAGAGTAGGAATTTGACCTAAGGGTAGGTGATAATTTATAGGGGGACCACCGGATGCACAGTTTATGTTTAGGATGCGGATGACAGTAGGGGGCCAAATAATGCAGCCAAGTTGTAGAACAAAGCTAAGCATGGGGCAGGTGGCCATTATTTAGTAGTTCCGCGATTATGTAAGTAAAGGAGACAACGTGAGAGCGCTTAAGCCCTTCGATAGCGGCTACCACAACGGCAGTCGGGCTTCGTTATTTTTGCAACTGCGTTGATATCCTTATAGGCCCATGCCGCCTGCTCTAGATCTCCGCTATAGCGTGATACGTCAGGTACAAATGCCAAGTTTGGTCTGCTTCCCTCGTCATTCAGTTTTATAGATCTGCTTTAGCTTCCTCTCCAGCCCACGCCCTTCGAATAAGTTCTCGGACTGAATGTCTCTCAACTGGTCGTGGATTGTAATAAGGGTGGCTAACCGCAATATCTGCAGCCTTGTCAATATCTTCCTCCTTAAATCCGAAGTCTTTCAGTCCCCGTTTGACCTCGAGCTTTGTTAGGAGAACGTTGAGACCATGGACGGCATCGCCGTTGCTCTCGGGGAACACGTCGGCTAGCTTTTTCATTACGTCGGGGATCATTGGGGAATTATATGCTAGAACGTGAGGCAGCATGATCGTGTGGGTTTCCGCATGGGGCATATTAAATGATCCTCCAATGGTGTGGCAGATTTTATGGTGGAGGGCCATTCCAACTGATCCGAGACACATGCCACAGAGCCAAGCTCCATATTGGGCTGTTGTGCGGGCAGCAACATCCGAGGGCAACTTTGCGATAATGGGGAGGGACTCCGCGAGAGCCTTAATGCCCTCAAGGGCAAGAAGGTTGATAATGGGGTTGGTATTCTGAGCATAAAGCGCTTCCACTAAAATCTGTTAGCAAGACTATACATGGACAGGCACTACAGGAGCTTACCTGAGTGCGCAATTGCATTCACACCACTCGTGGCACTCAGTGCTACCGGCAGAGTCATGGTGAAGTCGACATCGTAGATGACAGTGCCTGGGAGAATTTTAGGATCGTTCCTAGTCTTCTTCTGTCCATCTGCCGTCTCGCCCAAAATCGGAGTCATTTCTGACCCAGCATACGTTGTCGGTATACAGATATGAGGCAAACCAGTACGAATACTGATAGCCTTTCCAAGTCCGATTGTACTTCCACCTCCGATCGACACAACAGCGTCTGCCTTTACGGACTTTGCAAATTCAACCGCCTTGTCGGTGACGTTTGTCGGCGTGTGCATCGTCGCCTCAGTGAAGATGCCGGCGATCTTGCCATCAAGATTTGTCTTCAAGGTTTCTGCTTCATTGACTTGTCCTGGAGTCGAGACAAGCAGAGGTGCAGTCAGCTTCTGACGGGAGATTTCCGCAGAGAGCTGCTTGACAGTACCGCTACCAAAGACAACCCGGACAGGGGAGGCATTGTAGGTGAAGTTTTGCATGACACTCATGATGCCGAGGAGACTATTCTCATTTCAAAATAAGGATAAAGGAAAAGAAGAAAAGAAGAAAAGAAAAGAAGAAACTAGAAGAAGATAAAAGAAGATAAATCGTGCTTCTAACAAATGAAGACTGGTTAGTCTTGTGATCTTCTACCAGAGTTTACAGAGTAACCCTATGCATTGGCCGGGAAGATTTCCAAGATGCCGGGACCGGCCCCTTCCGGCCGGAAGGCAGCTACTCCAACACTGAACCCCGCCCGGAAGGCATTCGCTACCACTCCGCAGCAATGGCAATTCCACCCAGACCTTCCGAAACAAAGTGATCCGTCATTCCGGCATCACAACGTCATCGGCAACAATTGGATAGTCACAAAGCCACCGCTGCACCGAGACGGCCTATATCTATAATAACTTATTGTTATGCATTCGTATGACTTTGCTAAACCTACACACACATAGGGCGCTACCAACAAACTTGTTGCCATGCTTGCGATTCTATTGTATCGCATGATACTACTACATTTATCGAACTTCTTTCATCAAAGGATGACAATGAGGGGCCGCTATCCGGTTCCCACTCAAGTACCTATAAGTAGTGAACTTTGCGCAAAGACGGATTCGCCTCTGAAAATGAGAAACCGCTGCGTGATGGGTGAGTTCTTGAGCAATAAAATCAGACGATTGTAGTCGCAGTGCCTCGTAACAGTTGGAGTTGTGGGAGTCGAGGGGAGCACGCTGGTTGTTTCGATTGCTGGTGAGGAAGGTCAGAGACGATATATAACTGCTAGGGACTCGTTGATAATATTATCAGGCAGGGTGGGTGCGTACCAAAGGGGAATGCCTCCGTGTGAACTCGGAAATTTGATTCAATTTTCCAAAGCTAGGTTTCCAGTAGATCATAAATCAGACTACTTATTTGTGTCACTTGGCCGACAGCGAACGGGAAAGGAACGACTAGTACTCTCTGCCTTGCTCCAATTGCCTATTGCATCACATCACATCGCCCCAAACCAAGAGTTATCATACACCATCCCCTCAATCGGTTCGTCGCCGACTACAAAGCCCTCCAGAGCTATGGGATCCATCATGCTCGCCCATATCCCGCTCATCGAAGGATTCATCGCCCAAGTAGCACCATCCATATTCGATTGCGCGGGACTTAAGAACCCCTGATTCGCCTCTACACTTCTGTCCATCTCAAATCTAGGCACAGGATCCTGCATGGAAAGCGGATATTGCGCATGACGGGTATCCTGGCGCTCAAGCCGCTGGCGCTGCCGAACGTGGCTCTGTGTAAATTCCAGCAGTTCCTGGATGAGGTCGAAGCAGCGGCGTGCAACGCGTGCCTCGTCCATAGAGGCTAGGATGTCGAGGGATTTCTGGACGTCAGCGAGCAGGTCTTCAGTGGAGACGACACTGTAGTCGAGCAGGATCAGGTATAGGATGATTGTGGCGGCGTAGATCGTGTAGGTGGTGTTGTAGCGCCACGAACGGAAGTAGTGGCGGTGGAGGTAGGACTCATAGAGAAGGCTGATTGTGCGACGGGCGGCGGTGAGGCAGGCTTCGACGTTGGCGCCGAAGCCAAGGGACTGTTGAACGTCAGATGCAGCTACGAATGGCCGATGCAGCAGTATTTTGGCATTTTGATATCCTGCGAGATACGTTAATTTACTACCATTTACTGTGCATAGATGAGGGGCTTACGGAGTTCTAAGACAAGCTTTTGTTTGCCAACCCATTCAGGCTCTTTTAGAGCATTCGAACCAGGACCGAGCCATGAAGGAAGGTTGTTTCTCCATTCTGTAAAGCATGAATCCAGGTCAAACGCAATCTTCGATTTTTCTAGCATGGATAGATGCTTTGCCTCATGATATATCTCTTTCGATGCTCTTAACAGAAGCGCTGCAAATTTAACCATTTCTGGAATGATGGCGACGTGGTTTGCTTCAGTGTCGGTTTTAGCGGAGTTTGATGTGCCCTTAAACTCGCCCACATGGTCAGTTTATGCGATATTCAGATAGAGCTGAATTGGAATAGCATACACTGATCTCAGGGAAGGAAATATCATAGCTTGATGGATCCAACAGACTGCTCATTCGTCCAGAGGAACAACACATATCACTTTGAACATACTTGTCAGCTGTGAAAAAAAAACCCCCCATTACACACACGGCATAACCTTACACTTCTTGAGAATAGATTGCCCTACACGAGAGGTAAACTTGTCAGTACTGCTTGACGCAGGGAGGTTTGGCATTCGGACAATGTTGTTAGGATCATAATTAACTCACCACCAAGTTTTTCTCGCGGAGTTTCGCCATTCAACCGATTGAGGCATCGATGCATCCGGTAATCCTATGGCAAGAGCCGTACGTACAGCCATCCCACTATACATATAACAAGCATGAGGCTTCAAGGCATTCTGCCAATACAGTGACTGCCACAGCGAAACTCGAATCAGTAACTTCTCGTTCGAGATAGCTGAGCTCTAAGTGATGACTTACCATTAACATCAGTGTTTGGGCGCTTTCTAAAGAGCAGACTTCAAAGCAATCCCCAAGTAACCTTTTTGATCTATCCAGAAAGATCCTCGAAAGCTGGATAGACGAGGTAGCGGTTGACATATCACTATGACTAGCACCGAGATCATGATCTAGCTGCTTCCTATGGCCCATAAATGTGTCCTGACTTCCTATGAGTGAACCAACAGCCAGAATAACGTTGTAGAGTGCGACGAAATGTAAGTCGCCTCGGGCTATTTCCGTCAAAGGCCATCGTGACCAGATCGTTGTTTCGCAACGTGCCTCAAACTGCGTTTGAGAAAGAAAAGGATGAATATAATACAAATTGGTGAAGAAGATTCTCAAGTATTCCTTCTCTATTGCCAACTCGGTACGACTTCGTCCGTAATTATCGCTTGCTTGATTAGTTGGGAAAGTCCCTCTCCTGTAAGGGTGAACAGGGGCGACTCGTTCTGTCTTGTTTGCCAACCTGGCAGTGTGAAAATCATCCGTAGTTGCGAATTCATTTGAATCTGTATCTCTATTTTGGGGGTGACTGTGTACATAAGCAGCAGTGTCTGGTCGAACGTTTGCTTTATGCGTAGCAACGAGGAGCTTTGAATTTGGTTCACTGACAGATGTTTCATCATCGTAGAGTAGGTTGACGATAGACAACCTATCAGCTCCCAGTGGACTTTTGTTGGTCGTCTGACTCTCTCCTGCCGGACGATGGGGATCGAGTCCAGAGTTACGGATAGGTCCTTCTGAGGTAGCCGCAGTTGCTAACAATTCTGACTGTTGACACGGCACGGAATTCCTACTGGCAGACAACTTTGAGCGCGCATGGGCAAACAGTTGTCCGAGAAGGGCGAAGTTTGACGAGCGCCCATAGTATTCTCTACCCGTCGTGTGCTGATTGACATCGCGTAAAGGCTCGCTCTCTTGCGAATTTTCGCCGGAGACAGTTTCAAGATCTTCTACACTAGAGTTAGATTCGTCACGACATCCCCCACCACAGCGCAGACTAACCCCCTAAACTTGAGAGTGCCTTACCGTCTCGCTCTTTTTCTCTGTCTCGGAGTGAGGTATACGATACAGGTGGCGTGTTGTCTTCATAGAATATACTTTCTCCCGATTCTGCAGTGCTGAAGGTTGCTGATTTAGATAAAAGACTCTGGGCTCTTGGAGCTCCTGATACTTCTTGTAAAACTGCTAGATCTGGAGTTTCTGAGTCCGTTGCAAGCGCGGCCTTCTGACCCTGGCTTCGCTTCGTACCATGCGCTGATAGACTGCCTCGATTCTTCTTCTCGTAGATACAAGTCCAGCCATGGGCTACGCATCTCTTAGCACAACACTTGAAATCTTAACAAAAGAGAATTTCGAATGCGAATACACGACCCGACGACCTTACCGTGGTCGCTGAGCCGGCGTAGAAGCTGTAAAGAACTCTCTGCATACATTCACAGTTTTTACAGGGTACAGTCTGACCACACTATACGTAATGAGCTGATCAGCCCACAATCTTGATTCATGAAGGGATTCGCATCATATAGACCGGTTGAGCGTGCCTTTGTTTTTTTTATTTTGCACATTTGGCATGCTTGCGGCACACGTGCCTGGGACCTACGATTCTGCGGAGGAGCTATTTAACCCGTCAGCCTGATGAACTGCTGAGAAATGGCAAAGAAACGAGTGATTATTACAGGCAGAGGTGGTCTCCATTGTGCTCAGGAGCCAGATGCAGGGCAGTGTCGTAGATTCTGATAGGGTGGCACGTCACATGAAGTCGTTTCGCTGGTGAGTGATAGGCATCGATAGCAAAAGGATAGCTAAAGTATGATTAGTAGGTTAATGAACAGGCGAGTTTTAACCCTTGATGAAACGATTAATGAGGAAATTGTCATGCTTGAACGGGTGGGACTGAACTGTGGAGGTAGCAGGTCACAGCGAAACGCCAATTGTAAGCACTGACAGAGCACGCAAAATTTCAGTCGCCCCGCTGAGGTCACGTGAGCATATGACCAGTGTACTCCTGTGACTAGTAATTCACACTTCGGCAGTCGGATCGGCGGCTCTACAACGGTCACGGTATATAGCACCGTAGAGTATATAAAACGAATCAATTAGATTACTATACGATCTAATGGGCCTACGTATTATTTCAGGAGTTCTAGGGGCCTACCCAAAACCCCTGGGAATTTCGTCAGTCTAGCTGGCGGACCGCCAGCTGGTGGGATACCATTGAATTCCCTACACAATTTGTGTTGGAAACCGCTGCGGAGCCAGGCTGTTAATACAAACCGACAGCTTTCACGTCAATGCTGAGTTAATCGAAAAATATGTATTATTCGCCTATCCAATCGCAATGCTAACTAATCAGTGATACAGTCATGCGCTTTGTTCCCTTATGCACTCGCATTTGTCTTTTCCACGCGCACAAGACAGTCATCCAGGTAACTCGTAAGCCCCTCACCATCCTCGATTGCGCATATAGTTCCCACATAGCCATCTGGCCTAACCACAACTACGGCTCCCCTTGTCGTGTCTACGCCGTACTTGTTATACACCTCCTCATTGGCACCAAAAGTTCTCATTTCTGCATCTCGTTTCACGCACTTGGGAAGGTCAACCCATTCGAATCGATTCTCGCGCGGAGGATACAGGATGAGAAGCTCTAATACTCCTGCAGGGTATTGATGCATGATGGAGTCGCATAATTGAACGAGGCAATCTGCTGATGAGCTTCCAGTACATGCGAGGTCTCGCGCTGTGAAGACAAGGATGCGGTATCGTCCGATCGATGAAAGTTCTAGCGTTTCGTTAGTTGCTATGAAAGGAAACATAATGGAATTGATATATTTGCACTCACCATCTTGGAGATGCCGGGGATTTGCATCCGCAAATCTCGTCACTATGCTGTCGTTGACTCGTCTTCCAGCCTTCAATGTGCCTCCTAGGAAATCTGTGCCTGCTATCAAAGTTTTCCCCGCCTCAGTCATGCAGGGGCTCCTCACCAGTCGGCTTTCTTGGTACTCAATACCGCAGCCACTTGTGAAGCCACTTCCATCCAGGAATATCTTAAGAAAGTCATCGTGTGTCAGGCCTCCAGCCACTGTAGCCTCCCCCACTTCAGAAATCTGGCCAGAGAACATAGAGGAAAACTTGGTGTCAAAATCAATGAGATGTCTGGCTGTAGTCAAGCGTTCTTCGCCAAATGTGGAGAGAACTGGATCGGACTGATTCACCGTCTTTGGTGAGAGCCCGTTGATGCTGTGTACGAGCTTCCATGACAGATTGTAGGAGTCCATCATAGAGACATTCATGCCTTGGCCAGCTTTTGGACTGTGTGTGTGGCAAGCTTGCAAATTATTAGCCGAATGGGTATGATGTAGATTTATGGCAACTGCAGCTTACCATCACCGACAATGAATACCCGCTCAATACCCTCGGCATCTTTCATGGTAAATTCTGGTGTCATTCGCTGACCAATTTGGTACGCAGCAAACCAATCTGGTTCAGTACCAGCCTTCACGCCAATCTTGTATGGGTACATGACTTTCTCGGCCTGCGACAGAATAGACTGATAGGTTATAGCAGAACGACGTTGTTTCGCGCTGGCCCTGTGAGCTTCTTCGGCTTCCACATTCTCATTGACGTCTGTCGGTATCTGTTCCTTGATTTGTACATAAAGCCGAGTGAGATACTCGCCAGTGGCTATTCTTTCCCGCGGGATGATCATAATGGATCCTGCATCAGAATGGATCGCGCAACGTTTTCGAACGTCGGGGAAGTCTGTGTCGCAGACGAAGTCTAATACTCCCCAAATATGGTCTGTTGTCTCCCCTTCAAGTTTCAAGCCCATGCATTTACGGACGCGCGAATGTGCACCATCTGCTCCCACCAGATACTTGGATCGGACAGTCCGGCCCGCTGCGTTGGAACCTTTATTTGCTCCATCTATCGGGGAACTAAGCGTGATCTTGACGGGGTACTCTGGATCAGAAGCTGCGTCAATTTCAAAATGCTCGAAGTCGGTAGAGCGAATAATTCCCCGTTTCGAGTATCGGTGAAGGTTCTCATCCAATATCCGCTCAATGCGCCCTTGGTGAATGGTTATTTCATGCTTGAATCTTGCATCAACCACAACGTCTGGTACAAACGAGGTCCGCTCAATGCCTCTACTGCCAGATTCGGTTGCTTTGGCACCGTTGGATCCATTTGTCGGAGCGTCGGCTGAATTGCTTTTGGGGTTCCAGAAAGCTACCTCTGTCATATGACAGCTCTCTGTTAATATTTCGGTTGCGAGATTGAGACTTTGAAAGACCTCGAGTGTGCGCGGTTGGAGACCATCAGCTTGACCAGCTTTCAAGGTTCCAGGTTTGGAATCGAAGCAGATCATAGACTCGTCAGACAGTCCATAACGGGCGAGTAAAGTAGTGAGAAATAGGCCTGCTGGTCCTGCCTAGGGGTTGGTTGCGTCAGTCCAGCTGCCACGACACATCGTCAGCTTTTGACTTACTCCGATCACAACAACTTCGTATCTTTCTGCTTCCTCGACTACATTTCTTACTAACGGCGGGGTCAGCCGAGGAAGGGGAGGTGCAAAGGATGGCAAAATGCGAAGATCGCGCCATGAGCTTGATGTCTCAGTGAAGACTGGCATTGTAGGATTTTGCAGAGTTTAATAGAAGGGTTACAATATGAGAACAGCAAGGCCAGCAAAAGGAAGGTTGATTCGTCAAAAAATAAATAAGATTAGTTGTTGGCGAGATCTTTAACAGCTCCTATGCGCGACGCGCTTTGTCATGGCTGACCTGTGAATTTGAGACCCCCACAGTTCCCCGGAAAGTTGCAAAGCAGACATCCGGGAAACTGAGGGGTCGATGACCCATGGCCCGTCGTGTATATGCTCTTTCCGGATGTGCAGGTAGATGTTGCGGTCAGGCCTTCCTTCTCGACGCTGTCTCCTCCGTCAATCGGCAGTTTACACCGTTGCGATCCCGGCCCAGCCATCAGTCCTTCTAGTCAAGCCTTTCCTATGCATTCGTACTCCGTGGTTACCTCTTCGGCGTCTCCATCTTTCGCATTTTGTGGCTCATTTGTCCGGTTGGCTAGTGGCTGCGAGTTTTGACGATTTTGGAGACGGGGCTTCAATCGGCCGGCAGGGGTGTCTAGCGCTGCCGGTAGTGATCCCCGCAACAGTTAGACAATGGATGCCTTCCGGACAGACAGGCACAACTCTAGGTAATGATGTAAGTACCCAGATCAAACAGATGACTAATAAACTCTATACGGGCACGCTCTCGAACCATGCTATGCAAGCAACTTCGACACACAGCGGCACAATTGATTTAGAATTCATTCTACTTTGGTATACGTACAAACTTACTTTACACGACAGGTGACCTAAATGCAAGGAAAGGAGGCGTTGGAGCAAAGAGATACATCGAATCCGTTAACGGACCTTCCTACAATACTCTTACACGGATCGATTATTATTAACCCACTAACTTACATGTAATTCTCATTTGATAAACTATGATATAGCCTGCAGCGTCAATTAGTGCGCACTTCTCCTCCACACTTGCGGGGTAACCATGTGCTTCGAGACAAGCTACGTAAATATCTCAAGCTAGCCGGGTCCCCCGCATTAACTATCAGAAGTGTAGTGTGGGGCCCCATGCCTTCCGGATCTCTAAAATATGAGATCCATTCCTCCTCGCTCTTCGACTCATTCTTCCAAACGCATCTGAGGAAACCCCAGAAAGTCATCAACATTCTTCCCCTTTTCCCTTTAAGCATCTGTGCTTTAATCTTGTCCAATTTCCCCCCTCGTCCTTCATCGACGCAGCGCATCCAATTTCTAGAAACGAGAGACGATCCCATATCACCGCTATGTCCTACAACGGAAAGGACTTTGGTCATAGTGTAGATGAGAAATTGACCAACCATGTTGAAACTGTCGTCGACCTAGATAAGCTCGGTGAGCTTGAGGGCTACGTTCTCAACCCTGAGCTCGGCCACGTTGACACCGGGCATCTCAAAACCAGCTCTGATGGCCGTACAACCCTCGTCCCCCAACCTAGCGATGACCCCAATGATCCATTAAACTGGAGTCAGACAAAGAAGAACGTTATTCTCTTTGTGATATCTTGTACTGGTATGACCAGTATTCGCTAGTGAGGTTTTAGTTCACGGTACTGACTTTGTGTAGCTTTCCTGCCAGATTTTGGATCTGCCGTTGGTGCTGTCACTCTCTTGCCGCAAGCTGCGTAAGCAATTGCCATCCTGTTTTGACAGTTACTTGTCCACATGCTGATCCTAACGGTATGCTCAGAGCCTGGGGTATGACTCCAGACGAGATCAACCACTCTCAAGTAGGCAACGTGTTCATGCTCGGCGCTGGTGGCGTGGTAGCAGTTGCTCTCTCTGCATACTTTGGAAGATATCCGGTTCTCTTCTACTTTATCGCCTTGGCTGTAGGAACTGCAGCCTGGTGTGCAGCAGCAACGACCTTTCCTTCCTTCATGGCCGCTCGTATCCTCAATGGCTTCTTCTCAACAGTAGCGCAAGGTGGTGGGCTCATGTTCATTAAGGACATGTACTTCTTCCATGAGCACGCCCGAAAAATCAACATCTGGTCCGCATTCATCATTCTCTCGCCTTACTTCGGACCCATGTTCACAGCGTTCATAATTGATACCGTCAAATGGCAATGGGCATTCGGTCTTTATACTATAATGACTGGCCTCTGCCTCATTTTGATCATGATATTCGCGGACGAAACATACTACGATCGCCGAATTCCTATAGACGCGCAACCGGCGCGCGGCTCTCACGTCAGCCGCATGCTCGGCATCGCTCAATGGAAGGGTCGTAGGCATCGCAACACCATCACCCAAGCTCTCCTACGACCTTTCATTGCCATCAGCAAGCTGCCGGTATTTTTGACCGTCGTTTACTACATGCTTACATTTGCCTGGGTTGTCGGAATTAACACCACGCTCTCAATCTTCTTGACTCCATTGTACAGCTTTGGACCTAAGCAGATTGGTAAGCGCAGTCTTGGGTTCCTTCCGTCTGCATTGCTGATCACCACAGGTTTTTTTTACTTCACTCCCGTTGTCGCCGCTCTTCTCGGGGAATTGGCCGGGCATTGGCTTCATGATTTCGTCGCTCGCCTGTCGATGAAACGCAACCATGGTATTTTTGAGCCCGAGGCTCGCCTCAATGTTATCTGGGTTAGCACGCCATTCATTATTGCGGGTTTGGTCCTTCTCGGATTTTGCTTGGAAGAGAAATATCACTATATGGTGACCTCTGTTGGATGGGGACTGTATGTTTTTGGCGTTATGATCGCCACTGTCGGTGTCAATGCTTACAACCTAGACTCGTATCCCGAGGTGAGACGGCAAACCATTCCTACAATTCCTTTTCAGGCGCTAACATCTCTTTCCAGGCCTCGGGAGAAGTCGCATCATGGGTCAACTTTGCACGTACTGCGGGTGGCTTTATTATTTCATACTTCCAGGTACGTATGACGCGAATTCTCGCTTTCAGTTCCAAAAACTAATTGTAAAAAAGGTCACCTGGGCCAACGAACAAGGCACCAGGAAATCTTTCGGCACTCAAGCCGGTATCTGCGCTGCGGGATTCATCATCATATTAATCCTGCAACGATATGGAAAGGAGCTGCGGGCTTGGGCTGGGCAACCACACTTTAAGACGAGTTAGAGGAATATTTGAGTGTATTATTGATGAGGCTACTTAGGTTGTTGAATTTACATCTTTTCCCGAGACTTGACATATAGTGTGAGCGGATTTAATGGTGGATAATAGCCACCAAACAGAAAGTGTCTTTATTTGTTAGAGATTCAGAGCATGTGTATAATTGGAAATTTTATTAATCATCTCAACAAAATGACAGAGATTTATAATCAGACTTATAATCCGGAATTTATGGGCTGAAGGGAGACATTCGCTCGCTGTTACATTCCCTTATCCCTCACTCTCCTCTAGGGTGTGAGTACTTGCGATGCCGCCACCTATCACAAGTACCATGGTTGATTTGAGTAAGAAATACGCGATACAAATAATGTATAGGCTATAGTGCAATTATTGTCGTCGTGTCGTACAAGTCCGTTAAAAGAAAGGAGGCTCTGATAAAAAAGGCTTGCATCCCGCGGTAACAGCGATGGTGTCTCTAAACATATTCAACAGTGGTACATCGCCCATACTTCTCCGCCACAGAGCCATGCGGCGATTAGCGACGAGGCGCAGATAGCAAGCCGTAGGCAAGCAGCAGAGCACTCTTGCTCCATGGCGTAACTCCCAGACTCGTACACCATAGCCGTATCATTACACAGTGAACTTCCTCCGGTACTAGCATGCCCGCCCTCCCCACAACTAGACGGCGTTTTTTTGCTTAGTCCTAGCATATAGCATCCATCAGCCATCCCCGCACTCATTGCGGAGTGGAATTAACGACCTATCGCATCAGCCATGCCAGCGCCGGGATTGAGCTCCAAAGTCGGAGTCCGGACATATGGCACGGTCCTGTCAGGAGCACGTCCGGCGTCAATAAATGCTGGGATGCTGCCTGAATGCTTCCGGGCACCCCGCGAAACCGGGTGGCTGAACGCGCCGTGGCTGAACGCCCACGGGCAGAGAAGCGGGGTTGCTAGCACGCGCTATGGGATGGGTGTGAGGGAGATGTCAAGAGGGGGGTAGTATGGCCGTTGAGGAAATGTCTTGCGTGGATGTGTTTGTGGATGGGGGGTGGCGAGGTGAGTGTTCATGATTTACGTAGATTTGGATGACAACGCGCTCGATCTACGGATGATATATGGGCAGTTATCACATTGATTATGGACAGTTGCTTAGAGTTATCTTGATAGGATGTTTATGAGCGTAACGCCGACAAAGATGATACGGCTCAATCGAGATCAGGCACAGGTAAATGATCAAGCAACTTGATCTTCTTACCTGGAAACAAATCCGCCATCGCCGCTAGTGCATTGCTATCCCTCAACCGCTGCGTCTCGTCGTCCGACACCAGTACGAAATCACGCGATATCAGCGCCGTGCCTTCTCGAACTCCGTACGCCTTTGCCTGCTCCGCGGAGACACTTCCAAGACTTTCGATCAGGGAGTCCTTCACCCCGAAGACGGCGTCCGATGTGAGATAGGGGTCTGGGTGGATATATAATGCCCTACATATATAGAAGATCAGCCCACGCTATAATTGAGAATTCTCGCGTCCGTCTCTCAGCGACAACGTGAAGGAGTGATAGAAAGCGGACCAGACTCACGTAATCAAATGATCCCAACCCTCCTTTTCGAACATAAAATGCATGTGCGCCGGCCTCCACGGATGTCTTTTCAGGAGCTTGAGCAACTTTCCTACTGGCCCATCATGCGGAATCGGATAGCTGACCGGCACGATCGCGTTGAACCAGAATCTGCCTTCCTCATCGCTCGTCATGACACAGCGCCCATCGGGGCGATCGTGCTCCGCATACTGTACATCGTAGTGCCCGCTGCTGTCCGTCTCCCAGATGTCGATTTTGACGCCCTCGATCGGCGCCCCGGACGGGTCTTTGATGGTGCAGAGCACAAGGCAGGGCCTGCCTTTGGGGTCAGACGAGATGTCGCTGCCGGAGGGGACGACCTCGGCTTTATGGCTGTGGAATGGCCCGAGGACGGAACCTTCAGTGCTGGAGGGGGGCTTAGGGTGGTCGATTGCGTCAACGAGGAGAGAGAGGCCGAGGATGTCGGAGAGAAGGATGAATTCCTGAGTTGCTGTGTTAGGTTGCATTCTGCCAAAGAAAACGAAGATTGGGAAAAGGATTTACATGTCGGTCATCGCTGCTGATCTGCCCGACGGTAACGAGGAAGTCGAGGGCGGCTTTCCATTCTTGTGTACTAAGCCTAGTCTCGCGGGCAAAGTCGTGGAGATGCGTGACGAGGCGCTCGAAGAGATATTTGACTCGCTCGCTTTCGCATTGGGAGTTTATGAGGATGGTGTTTTGGGTGATGTTATCGATATTCATGTCCTTGACATCTGGGACGTTTACCTCTGTAGGATCCATAATTGATTGCTAAGGAGGGGTTTTTTTCGTGTTGATTACTGTTGCTTAGTATAACTACTTATGTTAATAAAAAATTTAATTGAAAGACCCAAAGACATAGTTTGGATTAACTGGGCCTATGAGATTTCTTATTAATGATTTTTGAGAAATGACTTTTGGTTCGGGTGGTACCAGGTACGGTGCCTCCACGTCTGCGTTTCTGGATACCTCAGCGCCGGAAGGCAACGACGTTCCGGCGGCTGTGTAGGGTACTTACAGTACGGCGCCATAAGTATACGTACGGGTCTGTGCTTTTTCCCATACAAAAAGACACTCGTTTACTGAAATTTGAGCACAGACCCATACGAACTACTTTTGGCCCTGACTCCGTTGTACTGTAGGTTCAGTCATCACCGTTTGGCATTATGTAAGGTGGGGCAGACGGAAAGAGGCTGACTGATGATGTGCAATCCACGATATATAATCTTGTAATCACTTACAAAGGACCTAACGCACAACTCATTATACGATACTGGAGCGGCAAGCACCTCAGTGGGTTGAACTTAGGTATACTCGTTTTTGTTGTTTTTGTTGTCGTGCCCCACATTATCCCATGGAGGGGGAATTAGTATATAATGCCGTCGCATCCCACCTTCCTATGCATATCCTCCACTATACCATCATCCCGCCTAGTCAACAATAAATAAAAACACACAACGATCCCCATCTCCACCACAACCGATATCAAAATGGCGCCTAAAGTAGCAATTGTCTTCGTACGTTCCCACCGCCGCCTCCCAGTTCTGATATGACGACATGAATTGACATCTTCCTCGTTTCTAGTACTCTATGTATGGGCACGTCCACACGCTGGCGGTTGCCGAGCAGGAAGGTCTCAAGAAAGCTGGCATTGTTGCCGATTTATATCAGTAAGGACAAAGTCATATCCCTGGTACAGTACCACATGCTTACCGCATCTTCCCCATAGAGTTCCAGAGACCCTGCCACAAGAGGTGCTTACGAAGATGTACGCTCCTGCTAAACCAAATGTCCCAATTATCACCCCCGAAATTCTCGCGACTTATGATGCGTTCTTGATTGGTATCCCAACTCGTTACGGAAACTTCCCGGGGCAGTGGAAGAGCTTCTGGGATGCCACCGGCGGACTATGGGCATCCGGAGCTCTGTGGGGCAAGTATGCGGGTGTCTTCGTCTCTACTGCCGGACCTGGCGGTGGGCAGGAGAGCACTGTGATTTCCGCCATGTCTACGCTTGCACACCACGGCATCGTCTACGTCCCTCTCGGATACAAGACTGCCTTTGAGCAGATCTCGAGACTGACCGAGGTTCACGGAGGCTCTCCTTGGGGAGCTGGAACTTTCGCGGTAAGGAACTATGCTATCTGCGCCATGATGAGGATTAAACTGACATGTGTGGCGCTTACCAGGCATCCGATGGATCCAGACAGCCAACGCCCCTGGAATTAGAAATCGCAACTATCCAGGGGGAGAGCTTTGGAAACACGCTCAACAAGGTTAACTTCGCGTGACTAGCTGCACCACCGAGTAGAACTGTTGCCACTGGAGACAGCTCGAACGCGGTGGAATCGAACAACAGAGGTCAGAATGTGAGGGCAGCAGGCGATGACGCCCACAAAAGAGCTACGGTCCAACGGAAAGGTGAAGAGACTACAGATGGCCCCTGTGGCCTGCCGATGAAATGTTCCATTCAGTGAAGGTAGCGGGATTGTAATTTTACTCGTTACTAGAAAGTACTTGTTATATAGATATATACAAAACAAATATCGAAGACACCTCAGTGAAACAAGAATATAATTGAAGACAGAAAATGTCCCTTGTAGTACGCTTGTACGTCATCCAGCGCATCCTAAGCACCCTATTGCCGCAGCCAATACTGCTGGCACATCATTAAGTTGCTAGTAACCGCCAGCGTTAAGTGATTTTATTTTTTAAGGAACGCCTCGTCTGCTACTTGAGTGTACGTGCTGTCGTCATCATTACTCTTCATCTCCTTTTTCTTCCACTACACAATATGGTTCTGTGCCGACTCCTGCAGCTTATTATTTCGCAGCAGGATCCGCAATCAACAGCCTTGATGTGAATCTAAAGCGGCAATTTACAGAATTGGCAAGGGCCAAGGTCGAAATTCGCTGGGCCTCACCGGTCTAGGTGTGACTTTGGATCCGGACCAGCGGCCACGGGCCACCCCGGTTCCACTATAGTGACCATCTGATTCCTTAACTCAACGACATTTCTCCAATGTGATAACTTAACTTAATCTTGCCCCATTACCTGATACAAATACAAAAGTACTTACATGTTTCCTCCGTGTTAACTATCATTGATCGTCTGCATCGTTCGGCAATTTCCTGTCTATATAACATCTGAGTCTCGAGTTCAATTTACGGCTGCCAGCATTCGAAATTTCCCAGTCTTGCTGGACTGTCTTAAATAATTACGTTGTTTTAGCCGATTACGGGCTATTATGGGATGGTGTAGGTTTGAATTAGTCTAGGGGGGGGTTAGGTGTGTCTAGGGGATTTGTTAGTCTAAGAGTCGGGCGGGTAGATTTGGTTTCTTAGAGCCGATCTTGAGGTGTCGATCTCATAGTCTCGAAGCCCCTCACTTGATCTTGAGGCGTCCCTAGCTTTCGTGTCTACGTACTAGGGATAATAACCATGATAATAAGCCGATATATACAGTATGTTCCTCCATGTCGTCTCCGATAGCTCCAGATATTATGGAAGCACAGTACCGTAGTCCTGTATATAAGGGTTTACAATGCAGACCCGAAGGCTTTTCTTACAACGAGGCTCTACTGCATTACCAAGACCTGTTGTCAACACCAGTCCCGTTGAATAGCAACTTCGGCGGAACACTACATCGTTTTGTTGCTATTCCACGTATTAAACTCGGCGTACTGAATATAACTCACTCACATCCGCCGCGAAGTATGCGAAACCCCGCCCCATATCTATGTTTCTGTTATATATCTCTCACTTTTGCCTCATCTTTTCGCCATCTTCTGCGGCGGGTCTCCTTTCCACTGTGACAAGCTCTTTCATACTTAAGAGGCTACGCCATGAATACCAGTAATGTAAGAGCGCAGCCAAGTCGCAGTGTTTACTACATAAGTTCAACGTCTCCAGCTGAGGGATATCTCATAATGCAAAGCCATAACATCGAAATAATGCGAATGATGCGCCCTATCCATGGTGTGTATTTGTCTGGGCACTCTTGGTGTTATTTTGGGGTAGAAGTGACTAAGCGTTGAACAATGAGCGTGGTAGGTCTAAGAATGTTAGGAGAGAGGAGCGATGGTAGAGAGAGGCATAGTTAAAGGGGAGAGTGGTCGTCCATCACCGGTAAATTATCAGAGGCAAGGCACATTTCTTGAATCCGAAAAGTAAGCCTTGTCGTCCTGTATGATTAGTCATAAGAAGGTATGTATCCCTGCATCGTCATGTGAGGCTCATTCGATGGATGGGCAAGCCTGATCAACACCTCAATTTAATCGACGTAACTTGAACACCATAACCCTTAACGACTCTTTGCAGAGGTCTTTTAGAAGCCATGATATGGAAGTGACACTAACAGTGCTTTAATATTGATAGAGAGCGATAGTAAAGGCATAAAGTCTGTCGCAAGGCTGTCGCAGGCTTGCGCCCTGTAATGACCAGAGTCCACCATGTCCTCCCATCTCTCCCATCTCTCTCAATTCGACCACACGAAGATCAACGCACAAGTTATCCGGGAAGCAAACCTTGTTGTAGAGACACATTTGGTATCCGACCTGGTATCTGGTCAGAGACGTGTCCCGAAACAAAAAGTATGGAGGGTTGAGCGAATCATTGGGAAGGGCGCGTTTGGCGAAATTCGTTTGGAGGTTCTCATGGAGGGGAGCGAGCAGAGGGCAGTGAAGCGTCTGTGGACAAGCGGATCGACACTGAAAAGGGAATATCAAAGGGAGCTTGAGGCTCTAGTGGAGTTCTCGAAATTGAAATACAAAGAGGCGGCCGTGTTTGTGGAATTCTTAGGCTGGTTCGAGGATTCTGACAGCGTATACTTGGCTATGGAATACATTCCCCTAGGTGACCTTGAGCACAATGTGCCCTCTAGGCCTGGACAATTAGTGGAACCAGAAATCAGGCTCATCACCTTTCAAATCTTAGAAGGTCTGAAGATCATGCACTCGGAATCTTTCGTTCACCGAGATCTAAAGCCCAAGGTAACCGACTAGCTAACATTCTCATGATACACGTGCTGATATCTCCCTAGAATGTTTTAGTATGTAGAACGGGTCCCCAGTGGTGGGTCAAGCTTGCCGATTTTGGATTAACTAAAAGACGCACCGAGGAAACCGCATACCGGACACAAACAGGCACGGAATCATACATGGCGCCTGAGATATTAGATTACGTGCCTCGAGAAGACCCTCACAAGTCTGCATATACAACTGCCGTAGATCTATGGGCACTGGGATGCATCGTCTATCGGCTGGGAAGTGGAGTTGTCCCGTTTCCACCTGGCCCTTCCTTGTATAAATTCTGTGAAAACCCATCGGGATTCCTGTATCAGTCTCTTCAATTGGACCAATCTGGCATAGAGTTTATTCAAAGTCTACTTGCGCCAATTCCGCGGGATAGACTGAATGCCCAGCAAGCTTTAGACCATCCTTGGATGCAGATTGGTAAGTGAGGAATGGATTTGTTGGTATATTTGTTAACTGGCTTCTAGGCTTAAATCTAAATTCCACGTCTGGTCTAGTTCCTTTTAGTGACTACGGGCAACGAACTACTTGGGAATCTACTCTTAACACTGAGGGATACGATACTGTGACCCATGCTGGCTTGCAAAGCATATCAGCAACCCAAAGTATTAGCAGCCATGGCTCGCCCTCCAGTCTTAGGCCCATCCCACTACATACTACAAAGGAAACAAGTCAACCATCTCTGGCTGCAGGCATAGCTACCTCGAATCATTTAGATGGCACAAATATCGACGAGAGCCTCGACAACTCTACTCAGAGGATAGTTGCGGACTTAGCTCCGCCCTTGTATGCGGATGGCTATGTGCAATCTGACAAGTCTACATTCAAGACGTTCACTAGAGATATGCCAGTGAAGGAAGGACAAGTGGACGAACATATATCCTCGCCTAAATTCGCAGAAAGTATTGAGAAAGTGTGGAAGGAAAGTGAGAGATTTTTACAAGAAAATTCTCCTAGGCAAACATGGGCTAATGTAGCCGCAACCGGACTCACTCCTCCGCAAATGTCCGAAAGGCCAAACTCCAACCTAGGCCAGCCCCGAACTCCTTCAATCCCAGCGTCCGTAATTCACCAAACTCCCCAGGCAAAGGCTGTGGCTCCCCGTAGCCCTTTCCAACGCACAACCCCTAGGAGCGCAGCAATTATCATCAGGAATCCAGAAGGTGACATTGTTAAGCTGCCATCGGCAAAGCCACTAGGCGATGCCGGCCATGGACTAAATCGTCCGGATATTTATCGCTCAGCCACCTCTACCCATGCCTCAGAAGCTCCAGTCAATACTGTTTCCGGTGGTCTAATTGTCAAACCGAGCGCTTTAATCGCACCTACAGTTTCTCAAGTGACCTCTCACGGAAGGTCTAACAGCTACGGGGCTCCGGAGAAATCAAATGCAGGCATAGAGGATGCTCCGCTAAGCAAGTCTGCTAAACGAAAGGCAAAGAAAGCGAAAGAGCTGTACGAGAATTCTACTGCGAAACTTCCGGTTGTAGAAGTGAATCCTTTTACGGTTCTCGGGCCAGTGAGTGATCTGCCGACTAAGGATACCCCCGAGAGAAACGAAAATCCGTTAGGTACAGCAGACACCGGAGCAAAAACAAAGGCGTCTCTTACTGCTTTTGAAAAATTTAAGCTGCATATCAAACAGGAAGCTGAAGCCACCAGATTAGAGAAAGCTAGGAAAGCTCGAGAAGTAAAGCTCGGCGACTTGATAGCATTCTCTAAGAGTTTCAACCTTCACGCCCCGATTCCAGGGGATCTACTTCCGATCCTTACAAAGGACCCGGCGAAACAGCGGCAAATTCAGGCTAAGGCATTGAAGGATACCAAACCATTGTTGGCATCTTATGAACCGACACTAGAGGATGCAAAACGAAGCGTTGGGTAACTAAGGAGTTAAGAGAAGTAACACAATGTATTAAACGCAATCATTAATGACGAAAGACTGCAGTTACTCCTCCATTGTTATTACGCAAAATTAAAGCTATAAATCACATATTCGTAGAACATCTACTCCTCCCTCTCTTAATCCTCTATTCTCTCTCTCTCTCCCTGCCTCGCGCTCAATCTCTATACGTATCCCTTAATTTCTTAGCATCTCAGCCTCTCTCTCAATTTCTTAGACCCTCTGCCTCTCAGTCCGTCCCTCGGTCTCTTAATTCCTCCGTCCCTCTCTTTTAGTATCTTGGCTTCTCAGTTCCTCTCTCTCCCCCTCGATGTCTGAGTCTCTCTGCCTCTCCCTGTGTCTCCCCGCGTCTATGCTTCTCTCGTAATCTCCTAGCCTCTCTGCTATGAAATCAGTATCTCGGTGTCTTAGTGTCTCTACCTCTCGCTCGATCTCTCAGCAAATCAAAGAGAAATCCCATGTATTAATTCTAACACTGTTTCAACGAAACTTACGCCAATTCCTATTCCATCTTTATCCACGCCGCCCGGAATACCAGTCTCTAGGTTATCTAGAGACCGCAGACATAGCAATACCATATCAGTATACTTTCTCCCAAGTCTATGAGGCAGTTCACGCTCAGCGAGATTTTCTAACATCTCTTTATCTCGAAATGCTCGCAGGCGAGGATCTTTCTCTTTGCCTGGCGACACGAGGTTAACATATTCCGAAGCGACCGGAATGTTACCTTCCGTGTTCGGACTTGAGATTTGAGGGTAAGTGACAAGTGAAGTCCAAAGACCAATCTCCAAAAGCACTACGCCAATGCTATATACATCATGCTGCATCTTATACTGCTCTTCGGGCAAAATACCTTGGCGTGTTGGATGGCGGTCTATAGATTCTGTCAGTACTTGCCGTACGATATTAAAGGATGCTTAGAACATACAGAGATTCTTCTCCCAACTCTCATCTCCAATCAAATAAGTGTGTCCATCCGCAGGGCGAAACTTCTCGAATCCAACCAAGAACGGCGCGCCAATACTCGACGTCTCATTCTCAAACACAAGAATCGTTTCTGGCCGAATGCTCTTGTGGACGAAGCGGGCACTGTGGATATACAGAACTGAATAGGTGAGCTGGCGTGCGAGGTCGAGTCGCTCATTTAATGGGAAAGGAGCAGCTTCTTGTAAAATGCCACGGAGAGTTCGCGGGTTCCGAAAGTCTTTGGGAATTTCAAACACGAATGAAAAGGTTGGAAGAGCTTTAGGATGTCCGAACTGATCTGTGACAGTCTCTGATTCTTTAATGATTCCTTGGCATTTGAGTAGGCCGAAGTTTGGGGAGTTGATCTTGTGCAGGATTTGGGCAAGATCACGAGCATCCTTCGTGGTCCTGTCAATATCGGATCTGATGTTGCAGCGCATTGTCTCTATCATAAGACTATTCCCAGTCGACTTTGAGAGATGAATTGAGATGGGAGAGAACTCAATTACATCGTTAGATGAATGGTAAGAGTCCGCATCCAGCCAAATCGGAACTTCGACTGCAGGGTTTTCCACTAAAGTCGCATGAACAGCATCGCGCATCTCCTTTGCTGCCATAATGAACGGAATCTGCTGAGCCGGGGGTTTTTGTGTTTCCCGAGACAGCTCGTTGTCGATGCTTCGGGATTCAATTCGCATTATCAGCATCCAGCAAGGATCGAATCTTCCCTGCCACTTTTCAAGACCATTGACTAGGTCCTGTAGTGTGCCCTTTTCGAAAGCATATTTGATCTTCTGGCCAGGTGTCATCACTACGAGACTCTTCATGCGATCGATGATATTAGACTCTGTGCGCGACTTCCCGCGCTTGCTTTTCTCAATCAGCTGGTCTAAAGTGAGCGTCGCTGTCTTTAGCTGGCCTTCTAGCTCAGATAACAGGATCGATTGCATCTCGAGATAGTCTTCGTCTAAAGTGGTAGCGATTGATTTAAGGAACTTGATTTGGGATTCGGTCTTCCGCCAGTTGTGCTCGATTGTGACCAAAAAGGCCCTCGCCTCGTCCACTGCATGGCGATAACTTTTGCATCGTTTCACTAGTTTGGTTCCGTATCTGTACAGGAGGGTTAGAACAGTAATTTATATAATCAACGTGATGAGGGGAAGTATAAATAGGTTAGGAAGGATCTTTAGTAGCTACATGTAACTGACTTGATACATTGATCAGCAAAGGCTACTAGTGCCAATCCTGTTCCAAGTTCCATTTCAGGCCATCTAAAGAGTTACTGAACGGATACGGATAGTATGATAAATTGGACACCAAGTGACTTTTTAACCAAAAAATCTGAAAAAGACCCTTTGAAAATAGGACTGTAGGGAAGCTGGGTATAGTCATTTACTTATGAACATATTATTCGGTGCTACTGTGGCTGGCGAGTCTGCCTCGCCTTGCTCAGCCCACATACACATACCGCCTCGTTACTTCACAATGCTCAGCCTCTTCGATGAAGGCTCTTGACTATATCGACGAATTAAATATATCCACACTGCAAATTTTAGCGACGAAAGTATGCAGCTTTAATAGTACCTTGCGAATAAGTAACTTTACATAGAAATTACAGTGATAGTTACTTTGAATTGACGATTAGACCAGAACAGATGTACTACCGGGTAGGCTAGGAGCGGGGTAAATCCAGTAACGGGACGCAAGATGGGGAAGGGTCCTACATGATGATATTGGTTGTTCAGCATAATGATTTTACGTCTCTATCAAGTAGTATTACTTAAAAACTATGTCAGACTCCGATTTCCCTACATCGTTGAATAACGCTGAAAGCAAATCAACAAAGCAAAAGAGCTTGCATCGCAACACCTTGGAATCAAAGCAATATCGGCTCAGCTCACGACTACCCAGGGATGTTTTAGTAAGACACTAGAGGTCTTTCTCCAGGATGGTCGGAATGTCATAATCCAATTCAGAATCGAAGCTCTAGACGTAGAGCCGTTCTTCCATGCTCGCAATCTTCTCGGCGATATAGTGCCCATGATTGAAGCTACTCATGACCTGGAACTGGTCGAAGCTGGAGTATGGCCATTTTATATGACCCGTATTCCTGGAAAGCCTTGGATGGAGTATGAAGATATATGGAACGAAACCCAGCGAGCTACTTGTTCCGAATCTCTAGGTCGTGTCTTCGCTCGATGTTTTGTTGAAGGCAACGCAGGCGAGGTAGTCGACTCCGATATCATCCCCAATCTACACAAGATTCGCGCTCTCGCCCTCGAAAGAGATGATGTCAAGCCATTCTCCGCATTTATTTCCAAGTTGATCGAGGAGGCTCCGGCTTTGAAAAAACTCCCTCTATTCTTTGGGCACCTCGATTTAAATGAGATGAATGTTCTTGTTGGAGAAAACGCTGAAGTTACTGGTGTTATCGACTGGGAACTATCACCTCCTCCTCAGCCATTTGGTGTTGCGTGTTACTGTATTCAGTTCCTGGCTGGAGAGATAATCGACATAGTCTTCCGCCAGCGCCCCGAATTTGAGGCTATTGATTGGGGGTTTTGGGATGGGCTTCTTGAAGACACGCCGGCTGAAATTCGTGATTCTTTGGAAGCGAATTGGGAGGCAGTACAGACTGCTGTGATGATTGGAACAATATTCAAGGTTATGTCCATCGAGGGCGATGAAGTTTTTGTTTCGAAGATTAGACTCGATGCATTGCCGATGTTGATGCGATATCGCATTCCTGCTCTGAGAGGGGCGAGTAGGGCGTATTCTGATTAGAACATCTTTGGGGGCTTAGGTAGTAGGGAGTGAAAAGGGGCATAGTTTAAGAAACACAAGGGAGAAGATCGAGGGGGTAAAAATATACCAAGATAGGAGATTAAGGTGGCAAAACTGAGAATATGAAATAATAAACAGAAGGGATAGGGCATCGCACGGATTTTTCAACATTCTGCTCCTCCGAGCTTCTTCCCTATAAGACTTGCCTCGATTCCTCTCCCTCGATTCGTCTCCCTCAATTCCTCTCCCCGAAATCCTCTCTCCTAAATCCTCTCCCTCGATTCCTTTCCCTTAATCCCCCTCCCTTAATACCTTTCCCTTAATTCCTCTCCCTAACATCTCCCTCGATTCCTCTCCCTAAAATTCTCTTCCTTAATTCCCAAGAAACTCGCCAACCCCCCCCCTAACTCTCCCCATATCACGACAGTCACTGCAAACTGCAAACAAAACCAGAAGTATATATAAAAATATATCGGGGTATCATATTAACTATCCTATCCTAACTATGCTATACTACCTACATCCACAGCGATATCATTGGTATCCAGCTGTCTCTCCCTCCCTCGCTCCCACCTCCAAAGATGCTTTTCTTCCGTCCCTCCCAACCTAGTAGACTCAAAGGTCCCCATCCAATGCCGCTTCGCTCGCTGATAAAAGCAAATATTATGATGACAAAGAAAAAAATTAAGATGTATGCCTCCCAAGCCATGCTGTGTGCGTACTGTGAAGTACTCCCTCCTCTGTTGCTGCCGACCTCCATCGTCGAAAAAAAAGGGTATAATAAAAAAAAAGATCGCTCCCATCAAAGCCAAAGAGAAGTAAACCACCCCAAACCATCCCCAAGGTAGACAAACGGCATCTACCCAACATAACTCCCCTCAACAATCGTACTCAACTTCACCCTCCTCTCCCCGCGTTCACTCCCACCACTCCCCCTCCTCCCCGCCACCTTAACCTTCCTCGCCTTCTTCCTCGCTCCCTCCTCCACCAACGCCTCCCTAATCGCCCTCGTATCCACCAACGCCCTCATCGGCATCGCTCTTTGCAACGCAAGCAGCTCCTCCTCCTCCTCATCCAACGGACTCAGATCGTCGTCGGACAGGTAACTCGACGCGGCTGTGTGTGCGAAGGGTGCGTTTTCATGGCGCGATGAGGATTGGAGGGACGGGCGCGTGGGCCAGGATGGGTAGGCGCAGGGTGAGGAGATGGAGATGGGGGAGGTGGATGTGGTGCTGGATTGGTAGGGGGAGGTGGCGTGGTAGGATGTTGGGTGTGAGCGGGGCGTCGACGGCGCTGAAGATGTGGGTGAGGAGGCGGCTGAGGAGGATGCTGATGATGTTGCCGAGGAGGAGGTGAAGAACTGGGGATATGGGAAGTACATTTTCGACTATCCTTGTTGTGTGTGGTGATGGTGGTGGTGGGTGGATATCGTAAATCGCCTATCTGACTGCTTCAACCAAGCGATGTGGGTGAGCAGGGCGATTTATATCACACTGTGCGGTGTCCGTCTGATCGATGACAGCACTGACACTGCGATCCAGATATGGCCCGATTAACAACCCGCGGCGCTGGGAAGGTGGTCGCACGCGTCCGATCGATTACCGGTTGGTGTTTTTTTGTCTCAGATGTGTGGGTTACCGTTGCTGTCTGGCGGCTGCAAACGAATGGGTGCGTTGCTGTTGCTATGGTGGTGCGGTGAGTGAGTCGGAGGGGTCTGGATGTCTTGATGGTTTTCTTGGTTTTTTTGTGGGTTGTGGAATGATGTCTAGCGGTGTGTCTGTGGGAGGTTGCAGACGGGTTGGTGCGTTGCTTTGGGTATAAGACGTGAAGTTGGTGAGATGGCGGTGGGTGATAAAATGGCCGAGAGTTGAGGATGGTTGAAAGCGGCGAGGTACCGAGCGGGTGAGAAGTAGTAGTCGTTGGTAGGAAGTTGGAAGTTGGTATTATAGTTGGTATGGTATCGTAGTGTCTGATATGGAAGCTGATATGGTATTGTCTCTGTCTTTCGAAGGTAAGCCGTCTTTGTCTCTTTAACAAGAATCACCGCGAACAGACTGAGCAAGATGGGCCTGGGGGAGTATGTATACGAAAATTCCACCTCACCTCCCCCGTGTACTGTAGTCTATTTCCTCCCTCCCCCACCGCCCCCCCATGTCACCCATCATCTCCTGGCACTCACTTTCGCTCGCCCCATATCCCGCCCCCCCCCCCTACAGTACATTATGCTCAGATCTCCCTTTTTCATGGCGCCTTAACTGTACCTAGTCGATTTTTGCTTTTCCAAACAACGACGCCAGCTCCGTGGGTACAAACACGGATGTACCGCCGGCAGAGCAGCCGTGGGCCGTGAACGGGCGTGGCGTTCGGCGGTCTAAGACGCGCTAGGTTGGATGGGGGAGGGGGACGAGACCCGACGACGCGGTGTGTGTGTGGGGATTGGCGATGGGGGTGACGACAGGGGGGGTGGTAGGGGGGGGGCGGGGGGGTGTTTGACGGGGGGAGATGGGGGATGTGATGGGGGAGTTTAGTGACGGGGGGCGTGGGATTTAGTGGGATTTGTTCCTCTTGCGGGTGTGATGGCGGAGGGATGGCTGTTGATGGGTGGTGATGGGGGGTGATGGGGGGTGAGTGGCATCTTGACGGTCGATGAGTGGTAGCTGCGTGGTGGTGATGGGATGGTGTGATAGGGCGTGATTGGGCGTGGGGGCTGTGGTGGTGGTGGTGGTGGGAGGAGACGGTCGACCTGTCACTGTGATGAGGGTGATGGATGGGAGTGATGGGTATGCTGAGTGGCGGTGATGGGAGAGGAGGAGTCACCCATATCACACCCGTATCACACCCATAACCCGTATCACTCATATCACTCCTGCCACTCCTATCAAAGTCGTGTTAGGCGTTCTTGGTGGTGTTGTTGGGTGTATTGTGTGTATTGGATGTATTAGATGTGTTTGTGTGTGCGCTGTCTGTGTCCTGTGTATGGCCAGCTGTATTGAATTGTATGGGAGTCACTCATTCATTGCATAGCCAGTCAGTCGTACCTTCCACTCACCTCCTGCCCACACCCCAAGTACCTTCCCACTCATCACCGCCTCTCATCACCGCTCAATCCGATAAGTCAATACTTCCAACCTAACGAACCAGTACATCCCCATCATCGTGACGGTTAGAGCAACACCAGAGCAACACCCCCGAACAGCGTCCGATAGGGCACCGACCAGCGAATCCGACGCCCAAAGCGCGCTGTCACTTATGATGATACCCTATACTTACATACCAGGCGCCAGAGACCAGACACACAGTTCACCACCCATACCATAGCAGACAAGCAAGTTCATACACACACATACCACACATACCATATCACACACACACGCCTCACCGCACAAACAGTACACCCCTCCCAAGTCACCGCCTCTTCCCTCGCGACACCTCACACCCATACACCACCCTACACCAGCGAACCTACGATGCACTTAGAGTCAGACGTGCGCATTTACGGTGAGGAGAGTACAGGACAACAGGCAAGACGCGACAACAGGACAACGAACGATAAGAAACACCCCTCAGCTCCTATTGTCGTCATATCCACCGTCCCTACATCCCCGCTCCATCCATCAACAGCTGAACAATCTCACAAACTTGACTCACTCGAGTCATTCCCCTCCATCTCATCATCTCGCTGCGTCTTGACTTGCATCCCCATCCTCCATCCCGTCTCCGCGCCTACATTCCCATCTTTCAACTCCAATATCCCATCCTCCCATCCCCCATCCGGGTCCCTCCCCCCGCGCGCCCACATCCCGTCTCCGTTTCCGTCGCCCTCGACTCCACCCACACCACACACCACACCAGCGAGTACAGTACGTACCCTAATCTCCGCTGCACCCAGATCGCTGGACCATCTCGAGCTGCAGTAGTCTTAGCGGGCGGTGAACAGACCGCCTCTCCCCCACCTCCCACCCTTCCCATTGGTCCGCGGCGCTCGCCTAGATGCCGCGAGCTGTCCGAGTTGAGACAGGAATACCGGTGCTCGGATTAATTCTGAGCTGTAGCTTGCTTTTCGATACGTGTGGAACACGGACGCAGACGGTTCGATAGTTGGACTCCTCGGAGCGGAGACGACTGGATGCGGAGAGTGGACAGCGGGATGTATCAGTTCAGGTGAAACGGGTGGGTAGCGGGGAGGAGGGAGAACAGGATCTGGGGAAGCAACGGGGGGAGAGTGACAGGTGGGCGTTGAAGGATGGGCTGAGACTGAGGGGTGGCGATGTTTGAGGGGGGAGCGGAGCTGTAGCGGAAGCATACAGACGTACATGTATGTGCAGAGGTTCTTCGGTCTGGAGCTGGCTTTGGGAACTGTGGCAGCTGGGAAGCTGAATTGTTGCATCATATCACATTGGATCGTACGAGGCGCGAGTCGCGAGGCGCGTACTGTAAACAAACACCTCCCTCCTCCATCCCCGAGACGTGACTGACGAGACGGACGGGAATTGCTTAATCCATACTGTACTATACTATACTGGATGTATGAGCAGCCCGGGGACTTGGGTCATTGCACATCCCTCCACCACCTCCAGCATTACCCATCCATCCATCCATCCCTCCATCCTCCAGCCACCACCACTACCACCACCCACCACCCATCCATCCATCCATCCCCCCTCGTCCAAAAATACACTCCTTCCACCACTTCCTTCCACCCACTCCTCCCCCTTCCCCGTTCCGCCCCCCCACACACACCCCTACCACACGGACGGTACGTCCCTCTTCCTCCCTCCCGCCCGCGCAATCCCACCAATCACCTCTCTCCCTTCCCCCCCAGACCTATTTAGAACCCCATACGACCCACCCGCGGAGGTCGGAAAGCAGGGGAGATGCAGGGGGGTGTAAAGCTAAACCAAACTTTGGAGAGTGGTGAATCTCGGATCATCTCATCTCCCCCCTGAAAATACGGAAGGAGATGGATGGACGAAGGGGGAGGATGGAAGGAGGAACGGAGACCGAGGGATTGGAAACGCTGCCTGTGCGTACCCCACTCTCCGGGTCCGCGCCCGTCAAGGCGGCGCCGAGGGGATGGATGGAAGATTGGGATTGGGATTAGCTTTACCGGACTCTGACCGAGGTAGATAGAATTGGCCGTCACGTCGGCGGCGGCGGGCAGGGTAGGAGGGGGATTATGAATGATACTATAATGCTCTAATGCCAGGGCAGAAGTATACTTTATGCATCATACCAGCAGCCGGGGATAATTGCCCGCCCCCCGCCCACTTCACAATAGTACAGGAAATTCCACCGCACCGGGTCCTATCCTAATCCACCGAACCCCTAACAAACGCAATTTTAAGGGGACCCCCTCCCTTGTCAGTGAAAAATTTCCCATTACCTCGGGTTCGGGGTGGAGTCAGTCCTCCCTGGTTTATGACTCCACCCCGCCCGCCCACTACGGAGTACTACTATGGGTAAACTCGTGCTGGTGGGTGTGGGTGTGCTCCGTAGTGTGTGAAAATCTCTAGGAACGGGGGATGGGAGGGAGGGAGGGAGCGGGAGAAGGAGTGGGAATTGGGACTTGGGACGGGGTTACTCCCAGACGGTTTTTTTGAGGGGTCCACTTGGTGCTAAGTTGACTTTTGGGAATTGGGGCGAGAGTGCTTTGGGAAGGAGGAGGAGAACGGGTGGCTGGGTTTGGTTTGGTCGGTCCCCTTTCGTTCCCGCCGCCGAGGTCCACTTGGGATTGGGATTGGGGATTTGAGGAGTGAATACCGAGGAGGAGCGTGGAGAGATCGTTGGGTCTGCTTCCTCCCTCCTTCCGCGGGGGGGGCTCCACATGTAACTTTTGATCAAGTGCCTGAGCGACACTACAGTGCCTCGGAGGAGAGAGAAAAACTAGATGTAGGGGATGTGTTAAACGGGTCGTTGGGTTTTCGCTCCCCTGAGTTGCCGCGGCTGCTCCACCTCGTACTCTACGCTGCGTGCTTGGGGAAGTGAAGAGATTTGAGTAACAAGAGAGGGGGGACAGGACAGATCGTTGGGTTTGCTATCGTATCGTCCCTCCCTCCCTTCCTCCCGAGGTCCCGCGGGTGCTCCACTCATCTTCTACGCTTCTCTGCTTTGGAAAATGAAGAGATTTGAGTAACTAGCAGAGCCGAAGAGACAGATCGCTGGGTTTGCTATCGTCCCTCCCTCCCGAGCTGCCGCGGGTGGTAGGTCCACATCATGTATGTATGTACTATAACTTGCGAATTTGAGTTATCGTACCTGACATGACAAGACATGACAAGACAAACAGCGCGTATACGATTCATGCCGGCGCGCAGCCGCCTTCCCGCCATGCATAACGGCCCCGTACCGTACCTACATCTCCCTCTCATCGCATCGCATCACACAAGCCAAATAAATCTCAAAGGGGAATCTCGGTAAATTGCATCACCGACCAACCAACCGCGGCGCACCGCTCCATCTCCCCGCCCTCCCAAACCGACAAACAACCCTGCCAAGGATCTCCCGTACACTCACCTACCCAAGCACTGGAGTACAGCGGTGGTGTGATGTTACTCCCCCTTCCGTCCCGACGCAGCGGGAGGGCGCTCTTGGATGCGACGTCGCGGGCTTTGTGTGTGCTGAGATGAGACGGGGGGAGCTGTCACTTTTTTTTGGATTCCGCTGTTGTACTGAGATCGCGATGGGGTTGTTGTGCGTCGATCGAGGGGCGGGGAGAAGGCGGGTGTGAGCCGGTGGTGCTGTATGGTACGGACGACTTTGGGAGGAGGCAAGGGGTGGTGAGAGGAGGGGGAGGGGTAACGTGATGAGATAGTGGTGTGTGATAGTGGTGTGATGGGTGATGGGATCTCGATCCTGTGCAGTTCTTGGGAATTACCCTTTCCTTTCGTGGGGGCTATGTTTGTTGGTTTCTTTGTTCCTTTGTTTTGTCTGTCTGTCACTCTCATCTCGCTGTCTTGTCATATTTCCTTTCCGTCGACAGACAATATTGAAACTCCTGAGTGAGTATCGTCGCGAAAAGGAAGTATAACCATAAAATACACCCGCGACGCGACGATCGCGATATGAGAGTTGGGACGCGCGTAGCCAGAGGATTAAGCACGCGTGAGCCTGCCTCTGGGTGTTTATCCCACGCCCCCACACGCCTGATCCAAGCCTCCTCCTCCTTCCCCTCTTCCTACCTCCCACCACCTTCCCTCTCCCTCCCTCCAAGCCACATCCTCCCACCACCACCACCACCACCACGATCCCAAAAATACCACAACCACAACAACAACCCCCACACCCCACGCCCCCACCCCTTCCATCCCACACCACCCAAAAAAACGTGATGAACACCCTCATTCGCGTGCGTCGTCCATCACGTTTCTGGCACAGTAGTTCATAGGCAGACTAGAGAGGGTCATCACACCCCCATCACACCTTGGCACGCGTTCGTATGCCAGGAACGGGAATGCGGGAGCGAGAGAGGATCTGGCGATCGTGCGGTATCGGGGGTGGGAGTTAGGCGCCCTGGGCTTGGTGATGGGTTTGGTGAGGGGGGCGTGGGATGATGCGGTGGTGGGTGCCTGGTGGTGGTGGCTCGTGAGGGGATGGGGGGAGTTGGGCGTTGGGGGTGAGGCTGGTGGTGGTGACGTGGGCTGGGCTGGGCTGGGTTGTGGACGTGACCTTGGGAGGTGACGAGGCTTGGGGGGTGAGGCGGTTGGGGATGGGGTCACGGGGTTGTGTTGCCTTGGGGATGTGTTGTTAGACAGACAGGTCATTGTGAGTCGAATGTGCTGAGGGTTTAGGGATTGGGAGATGAGAGATGGGAGGTAGGTAGGTGGTAGGTTGGTTTGCTAGAGGTAGTTTGTGAGTGTAGGTTTAGTAGGCTTTTATATGTTGTGTTTCACGTGATGGGGGGGGGGGGTGAGTTCTCATTTTGATAAGGGGTTGATATTGGGATGAGAAGGAGATCGTGCTGGATAGAGGAGGAGGGGGGACTGTGAATAGCTGGGGATTCATATCTAGGACTTGATATCTGAGTACTAGCCTCATTGAAAGGCTGTGATATGTAACTTACAGCGTGAGGTGATTAATGGCCAAAATAGTAAATATAAATATAAATATGAACTTAAAAAAATAACACCTTCATTCTCGTTTCAAATTTCATAACAGCGCACCGATTTATATCCCATAAACGTAGACCATAGGATGTTACTCGTAAGGTCCTCTTGAGAGCGGACCATAGTAGAGTCTCTCTTCCTCTTCTATCAACATACAGATACGATGCTACGCTGCTTCCTCATAAATGGGGTTATCGCTTCGCCCGTCTCTATATCTCAGTTTGTAACCATCTCCTCCCTCCTCTACGGTGCTATCATTATTCCGCTCAGCTTCCCAACCGTAATTACTCTCCTCTCCCCCTCTCTCTTACTCTCTTATTACCCCTCGCTCCTATTCTTCTCCCATTTCGTCTCCTCCCGGACCGTTGCCGCTCTATCTCCTACACAATCATCTCTCTCGACACGGAATCGACCTTAACGCCAGGTACAAACTTTTACGCCCTCCTCCACATAGCAGCAAATAAAACCTTGCCAGAGTCTAGCGAGAGTACTACCAGGACCGAAAAGCTAAAGCAGATTCAGGAACTTGCGGAGAAAAAGCTTCAAGAGATTCCGGCGGCGCGACTTTCCTCCTCGATGGGCGACGATGAAATCGTAGTCCGAGAGGTTCTCCGGAAGGCCATTAGCAGGAGGAGCAGCAATTAAGTGGCAGCGGTCATTCTCCATTTTGTTAGGTGGCCACGGCCCTTTTTACATATGCAGAGAAAGAAAACGAAATGGCTTTGGGATACTATCGGACAACCCCTTTATCTTGAATTCTCCGGCCTAATATCTGAGTTGATAGGTAGTATAAGTCGATTTGGGGCTTCCTAGTACCTATAGCACGACTTACACCAACCAGAATCTCACAGTTCAAAGAATGCGGACTGGATCTTTCTGTTCATAGTCCGGTCTGGCGTCCATAACCCCGATCCTAATCGACAGTTTCTACCCACCTCATCTCCCAATTTAGACTTGCACGACTCCTTCATCTCACACCAGTCACTCAAAGCACAATCCTCCTCAAAATCTCCTCCACACACTCCTCCGTACTCCCACTCGAGTCCACAACAATAGCACCACTACCCGGACGCACCGGATTCTCCAACTTCCTCCTCAGCACCTCGCGATGATCCACACTCCCCTCCCCCACCCCCTCCGCATCCACCGGCGGCGCATCAATCCCCGTCCTCTGACTCCTCATCGCTACTCTCCCCTTTAATCTCCTATCCAACACCTCCACATCCTGCACCCTACACTCCACAAAGCGATACTCGCAGCCGAACTTCTCCGCTAATTCTACACCTTTCTCGATCAGCGTGGTGTAGTTGCACACGCTGTCGATGATGACGCTGCGGCCTTGCTTGAGGAGGTCCTCGGCGAGGATCCAGTCGAGCGTGTAGGCGAGCTTGGCGGCTTGGTCGAGGCTGGTGGCGGTGGAGGTAGAGGTGGATGCGGAGGTGTCGAGGAAGAAGGATTTGAGGAGGTCGTGGTTTATTACTATGCCGTCTATGGAGCGGGCGAGGCGGTGGGCGATGGTGCTTTTGCCGGAGCCGGGGAGGCCGGATAGTTGGATTATGTATTGGCGTGGTTGTTCCATGGTGGGTGGATGGGTGAATTTAGTTTAGGGAGGGCTGTGGTGAGGTGAGGTGGGGTGGGGTGAGGTGGATTATATAGGTTGTGAGTGAGGCGGTGCTGCATGCTTCTGCCTTGAGGATTGTCAGAACTTCAAAAATAGTGCCCAGAAAATAAACCCAACCATTCTATAATAGTGTCCGTTTCCTGTTTCGACCGCTCAAAAGAACCACTATATCACAATGTCATGTAATAGTACAAGTGAGAGTATCTGGGAGATGAGGCATTGGACAGGTAGTCGTGGGAGACGAAACACTGTTGCGTGTAAGAACAAAGAAGATGGATGTTGAGAAGGACTGAGGACTGATGAGTGGAGTCACCGCCCTGTATTCTCCAGCAAGGAATATATGGAAATTCGCGAAGGACCACGGCCGGTATTTGGACTCCTAGCGCCTCGTTCGGTTCAAAAGTAAGCAAGTGACAATCACACCGTCAGTCAAATAACACGTGAAACCCAGTCCGATATGTAGTGGAAATATTCAACAAGAAAATGCTATTTTAGTTTCCTCTGCCAAATAACCCTTTCTTGATACTCCCCAACCTAGGCCCACGTCACAGACACAGGCGGTCTATCGACACCCCATACGCGCTTAGTTGATCTCCTCAATCTTGTCGGAGGACTTTGCCTTGTCACCTCCCTCCTGCTCCTCGAGCGCGGGGAGCTCATCATCATCCTCTCCCTCATCATCCATATCGCCCATTCCACCCATTCCTCCCATTCCGCCCATCGCACCGAGCTTGGAGAAATCAATGCCGCCAAAGTCGCCGCCTGCACCGCCCATGCCGCCCATCATGGAGGCCATGTCCATACCACCCATTCCTCCTGCACCGCCCATGCCGCCCATTCCTCCTATGACTTGTTAGATATGATACTATATGACGAGCGTTATTGCTTACCTGGTGGCATGCCGCCCATTCCACCGAGGTCCTCCTCTGGTGCCTCCTCTTGCTCATCCTCATCAACCCACTGCTAATATCAGTATCTAGTTCACCGCCCATTGCTGTAAGGCAAACGTACCTTGTCAAAGTCAGTCTTCAGGTAGTGGACCTTCTTCGAGTCCTTGAGGAGTCTTGGCCAGAACTCCTCCTTGGCCTCCTTCTTCCTGAGAACCAGCTCGATGTTCTTGGAGGTGTGGTTGATCTTGCTGTTATCGACATCGATCTCGGCGAAGAGCTCGAGCTCAACGTGGTACGACTTCTTCAGGCTGTCGGACTTGCCGCTGAAGGTGAGGCCGGTGGGCTTGAGATCAAGCTTGAGGTCCTCCTTCTTGCAGTCGGGCACGGAGATGGTGAGGTAGATGTAGTTCTTCTCTGGCTCGGTTGCGTTTGAGCGCTGGGCCCAGAGGACTGTGAATTATTAGTCATTGCTCTTGATGTGACATCAATCTGTGATGGGATTGTGGCACGACCGCGGCTTGATAGAGGCGCATCGTCGATGTAGCCTTGAGGTCTTCAACCAGCCATTGGAGGGGGGTGAACTCACCCTCTGGGGTAACTGTAGTGGCAGACATAATATAATAAGTAGAATTGAAGTCAAAAATATGAGCTTCTTGTATTCAGCTTATGTGTCGTTGAGATGGAATTCAGATGCTTCGTCTGTTTGTAGAGAGTCCAGACCAGAAAGTCGCTTCCGAGACGATTTGAGGTTGTGCGGCGCTTGACGCCAGACGAGGCTGTGGTGGAGAAATAAAGAAGGCCAACGAATCTTGGAGAATTGCCCACAAGGCTCCCCAGGTTTGGAAATCAGGTTACAACAACAGGTTGTCCATTGGTCATTCACAATTAAATAATCATTTCTATATTCATGTTTAATTTATCTAATCCGTACCGCGATATATTGTCTTCAATTTATTTACGATTTATTTAAGTTGTGCCTGTAGGACTGATTCAACTTTAATCATGACCCCACCCAGTTCGCTATTAAAAGCTACCACACGTCACTGATTGGCGATGGTTGAGCCTCAAGTGACCTCGAACACTGTCAATCAAGGCAACTCACCAAAGTCGCCGCCGCAATCATTCACACAACCGCGCATGAACAAGCTCTATCAACAATTAGAGTAATAGCTGGCGACAGCTCATAGCCTCTATCTCGAACCCAGCGGCCTTTCCTCACGATGGAGTCCATCAGGTCTGTCTTCTTCAAGCCGGACCCGCAGGCCCAGGTAGGTACCACCCCGCCATCATCGGCCCAAATGACAGGACTGTCTGACACCTTGCAGGTCCGGAAATGCAACCAGCTCATCCGCGCGAACACACGCAAACTCGATCGCGACATTGCGCAACTCAAGACTGTCGAGAATAAGACGAAAGACCTCATCCGCCAAGCGTCGCGGCGGGCGCAGCGCAACCCCGCACAGGCGAAGCAGGCGAGCGCGGAGACGAGAGTCTTTGCGCGGGAACTGATACGGGCGAGGAAAACTACGAGTCGGCTGATTACGAGCAAGGCGCAACTACAGAGTGTGTCGATGCAGGTATCGGAGGCTTTTGCGACAAAGAAGATCGAGGGGAGTTTACGTGCTAGCACTGGGATCATGAAAGATGTGAATCATCTTATCAGGCTACCTGAACTTATGGGCACCATGCAAGAGCTTAGCCGGGAGCTAGTGAAGGCAGGAGTCATCGAGGAGATGAGCGCGGATATGCTACCGGAGCTTAGCCTGGACGAAGAAGACGAGGAGGAGGCGGAGAGCGAAGTAGACAAGGTACTGGGCGAGATCTTGAAGGACAAAATGGGAAAGGTTGGTGCCACGCCAGTGGAGGCGGCGCCGAGCGTACCTGCAGAAGAAGAAGAGGAGGAGGAAGATGCAGAGGAGATGCTCAGTCAAATGAGGGGCCGGCTGGAGGCACTGAAGAGTTAATACTAGAACTCTGGCCGATGTTATATGTTAGAGCGGGCTTCATGGCGTTTATCTTGGAGCTGGGTGCATCTATTTCAGTTTATTTGTCTCCAGTGCTGCCTTCAAAATTTGACAGCGTGATATTTGCTGTGCTGCCATATCAGATTGCGCTACCCGAAATAGCTCGACGCCGGCGAAGTCAAGTTGGAGGCTAGCTGGCACCGTTCTAACTTCGACCTTCTAGTGAAGCTTCTAGCGGTAGGTGAATACTCATAGGGGTTCATTTTCATATGGTCTGGAAAGGGTGTATGTATTCGTCTCTTCTTCCCTCTTTCCTCCCTTTCCTTCTCTCTCTCCCCAAAAATTATCACATCGTCATCTTGGTTCATACTTTTGGAATCCTCGGCTTTCAACACTCCTCCTATCATATTCTCTTAGATATAGTAGTCTCAATACCGCAAGCCTAGCTTCCAGCTTATACCGACGGTTTTGTAACCATGCGTTCCAAGCTCATTGCAGCGGTGCTCATCGCACCTGCTCTGATCGGTGCTCTTCCGGTTGCGAACCCAGATGCCAAAATCGTTCTCAATCTGGATACTTTCTCTCCTCCGCAGCTCGTTGGCACTCCCATGCCAGCCAAGCATACTTCACCCCACCACTTCGCCGACGGGGTGACTGACGAAGGCTTGAAAAGAATGATGGGAGCCCGCGACAACAAAATAGCTACCCCCAAGGAAGAAATCATTGTTCATCCCTATCGCCCATTTGCCGATCCCACTAATGGGAAAGAGCGTGAGCACGTCGAACTCTTTGACGGTGACCGGAAGGTCCATTCGAGAGGTTTCCGTCAGGAAGTGAGAAACGCCGACAACACGGAAAGACCCAACCCGAATGACCATTACTTGGGCCCGAAGATCGGCACTCCCATTAATGCAAGAGCCATCGACAACACTGGAAGTCTTCCGCACCCGAATGGGCATCTTCTCCCTCCGAAGATCGGCACTCCTATTGATGCAAGATACATCGACAACACCGAAAATCGTCTCCATCCAGATGACCATCATCCGGGCCTGGCTCCGAAGATTGGCACTCCCATCGATGCGAGAGCCATCGATTACACCGAAATTCTTCCGCGCCCGAATGGCCACCTCCTCACCCCGAAGATTGGCACTCCCATCGATGTGAGGGCCATCGGCAACACCGAACGGCCTTATTCCCATGATCATCACCTGGCTCCGAAGATTGGAACTCCCATCAATGCGAGAGCTATCGATTACGCCGAAAATCGTCCGCGCCCGGATGGACATCTCCTACCCCCGAAGATTGGCACTCCCATCAGTGCGAGAGCCATCGACAACGCTGATAGACTGCCTCACCCAGATGATCATCACTTGGGTCCTAAGATCGGCACTCCCATCGATGCGAAGTCTGAAGAACCAAAAGAGTCTGAAGGTCTAGAAATTCCAGTTGATCTTCCGCTCCCCTCGAATTATGATTATGAAGAGTTTGATGACCAAGAGGAAATTCCGGTGGAGCTTCCTATCTCTTCGGATCATTATCCTGATAAGTCTGATGAAGTCGAGGAAATTCCAGTGGAGCTTCCTATTCCCTCGGATTATTATCCTGGGAAGTCTGATGACGTTGAGGAAATGCCAGTGGAGCTTCCTATTCCCTCGGATTATGATTATGAAGAGTTCGATGACCAAGAAGAAATGCCGGTTGATCTTCCTATTCTCTCGGATTACAATCCTGAGTCTTCGGATTACGAGGATTCTAGGTATATTCCTGCAACGCCTGGTGACAGAAATAGCCGCCGTCCGGGTCGTCTTGCGGGACCTCCTTTTCCTTGTGCCGGGCCGCTACAATTCAATGGAACTGGCTTTAACACCACCATCAATGGGACTACATTTAACAACACCACCAACGGGACTGCGGTAAATATCACCAGATGCTTTGAGGAGGATACCAGCGACTTCAACGAGGATAACAGCAACTTCAAAGAGGATACCAGCGACTTCGAAGAGGCTACCAGCGACCTTGAGGAACCTTCCGAGCCAACTTTAAGACGCAGAGAATCTAAGGATGCTGCTATGCCTGAACTCGTGCAAGCTTTTGAAACACGTAGAAAAGAAAATGCCGAGAAAAAAGCTGCCAAGGATAAGGCTTCCAAGGAAAAGGCCGACAAGGAGAGAGCAAAAGAAGCCGCCAAGGTAGAAGCCGCGAAGGCCAGACAGGCCGAGGAAAAGGCGTCCAGGGAAGAATTTGAGAAACAGAAGGCAGAGGGTCGGTATACAAAGGATTTCGAGGCCTGGAAGAAGCAGATATGGGAGAGAAAGTCCAAAGAGGCAGATGCCAAAGCGAAGAATCCCCACGTTCCCGTCTTCGCCAACCCCAAAGCCAAATCCAAAGCCGTTTCTAATATCGAGGAATACGCCCCCGAGTTTTTCGATTACTTGAAAGATCCGTTCAAGACTCCGTCTCCCTTTGAGCAAGATAAGGCGTGGTCCGAAGACCTGATCAAAAAGATCGGCAAACCGAGACACCCGCTTTACTGGGCCCAGCGTGGCGTTGAAAACATCGAACCCCCCAAGCGGGAGCCCGGTCACGAATGGCCCGAAGCTCGCCATCCGGTGGACGTTATCGACAAAGACAAACCAGAGACAGGGTTTAGCCAGGGTGATGGCTGGAAGACCGATTACTTTCAGAACGGCGTCTGGGGCCAGCCAAGAGTGCCGAAGGAGCGCAAGCCGTACTGGACCGCCGACGGAAATCCAGTGTATTAGGGGACTACAGATTGGATAGCAAGATATGATTTGGGTTTTGGATTTTTTGTGTTTTGGATTTTGGATTTTTATTTGGGACTTGCTTCTACACAAGGAATATTGGCACTTCAGTGCCCAGCGATTATATTTTACTACACAATGCTCAAGATTTGATTTTTTGGAATTGTTGCGTTTTGAATTTTCATTTGGGACTTAAATTCTACACAAGGAATATTGGCACTTCAGTGCCCAGCGATTATATTGTACTGCGCAATGCTTTTCAGTGTTCGGCACGGATACCAATATACCCGTGGTATCCGGGTATATCCTCGAGTATATACCTACCCGGCAATATTTGAAGAGTATCCGGCGTATCCGGATACTCTCGAGTATATATCCGGATACATGCCAAGAGTAGCCAAGCATAGCTAAGGCTTCTTTTACAGACGTCGTCTTAACGT